ATACTATTTTTTTTAAAAAAAGAATTAAAATACGTTTCTAACCTCTAACCTCGAAGCTACGTATAGAATTACCTAAAGTATACGACGGAATAGAAAGTACTACGTACTTATTATAGTAGCTCGAGACGAGCTAAGCTAGAAAGAGAATAGTATTACGGATCGAGTAGGAGTACGTATTAGCTCCCTAGAATCGATATATATAACCGCTCTCTCGCTCTATTAAAAGAGTAATAGAGTACTCTCTCTCTTACTTTATAGAGTATAGAGTAATACGCTTCTCCTTTATTATATAGGAACGATATTATAGTTTATATAATAGCGTTTAACTTACTATTTAATCTTACTATTTAGTTTATAATTATACCTAAAGCTCTATTTTAAGATTATTTTAGTAGTCTACTAACTCTTTCCTTTTAACGAGCTCTAACTAAGGACTTAAACTTAGTACCCGTACTAAGTAAGATTCTAGGATTAACGAACCGATCCTAATATATCTATAGACTTTCCTTTAAAAATAAAAATTATAATAGGCGTAGTACGACGTATCGTTACTATATATCTCGGTATATAATTCCTACTAATAATTCCTACTAATATTTCTATATAAAAAATTCCGCGTTTACTAAATCGGGCCGTAATTTTAAGTTAAACTTACTTTCTCCTATTAGATAGGTCTTTAATAGGACGGACCTCTTTTATTAACTTATTTTTAATAGAGTTTTTTAATTCTTTTTAATATATAACCTAGAAAGTCTCGTTATTCTAATTAGTAAACTAGGCTATTTTTTAGAATTAGGTAGTATATTCGGCTATAGAAGTTTTCTAGGTAATATACTAGATAGTATATATAGTAATAGATTACTTATTAGTAGTTCTAAAAACTCCTTTTATAGCTATTTTAAAAAAGTTCTAGAAAGTAAATAGTCTAGAGGTATTATTTATTCTATTACTATTAAGATACGTTATTAGGAATAGTTAAACCTAATATTTAGCTTTTCTTCTAAAAAATAATATAGTAAAAGTAGCTTTCCTTTTTAGTTTAATAGTATTATCGAAGAAGAAGAAAATATCTATCTACTTAGTCTAAGAAGTAAACTTATTATAGTCGCTATAGTAGAGGCTTACTAAGCTTTATATTACTAATACTATAATTTCTAGTAGAGATATTATAAGTTAGTTATTAGGATCTTTCTACTTTAGAGGAGATAGGTATTCTTTTTAGTATAGATTAATCTCCTATTATAAAAGGCGTTTAAAACTATTAGAATTAATTTATTAATCCTAGAATTTTACTTAGTATAAATACTAAACTTAAGTTTTTAGTTAGAGCTCGTTAAAAGAAAAGAGTTAATAGACTACTAAAATAATCTTAAAGTAGAAGTTTAGGTATAATTATAAACTAAGTAGTAAAATTAAATAGTAAGTTAAACGCTATTATATAAACTATAATATCGTTCCTATATAATAAAAGAGAAGTATATTACTCTATACTTTATAAGGAAAGAGAGAGAGTACTCTATCGCTCTTTTAATAGAGTAGGAGAGTAGTTAAGTAGTTATATACGTCGATCCTAGAGAGCCTATATATACCCTACTTAATCTATAATATATAGTAGCTTATAGTTACTTTAAGTCCTTTTTCGCTATATAATAGAGGCTATTAATAGAATATCTATAAATTTACTAAGCTAAAGACCTAAATAGTCCGATAGAGAATAGAAGAATATTCGTTATAGTAGTATACTTCCGACGACTACTAAAATAGTTATTAAAAGGAGAGACGTTTAGTTAAGCTTAGCCTAGTAGACTCTATCTATCGCTCTATTAATAAGTAAGTAGTTTATCGTAAGCGTAGAGGACCGACTTTATTAAAGTAACGATCCTTAACTAACGATCTTTATCTCTATCGCTATATAGATAGAGGCGCGATTAATTCTTACGTAGATTACTCCTAAATATAGGCTAAAAATAGGAATATATAATTTAAAAAAACGGCGATAGACTAGGTCTTCTATAGGTAAAAAGATATTAAGAGTATTCGGAATTAGAAAAGTAGGAGAAAATTGGGATAAAACTAGTTTTTAGAACGCTTTAGTTTACTACTAGTAGCGACGCCCGGTCTACTATATAGAGCTTCTATATCGCTAGTAGTACGCGCGTTTAGGAGATATTACTCTAGTTCTATCTTTTAAACTTCTTATTATATATTAGTTACCGCGCCTATCGGAGCCTCTCTATTAGTCTTAGAAGGTTATTTAGATAATATAGGCTCTCCTATATTATTTACTATTACCTTTCCGCTACCTTCTCTATTATAATAGCGTAGGTTAGTACCCTTAGCTCTATATAAATTAAAGGTCGGACTTAGGAATCTAAGATCCGGCTCCTTTAGTAGTCGTATTAAGATTATCCCGGTTAATAATCGTCGAGGATTCTAGCTGTATTATCGAGACGTAGTCGGACGATTTTAGCTTTAGGCGTCTTACTTGTCTAAAAGACTATAAAGGGTACAGAAAGTATTTGTTCTCTAGATTAGTAAGATCCAGTAACGAAACGTCGACCTGCGTCTTGACAACTTGCGAATTCTCGTCCAGCCGCTCGACGTACCCATGTCCATCATGGCCAAGCGCCTCCTGCTCGGCAATCCACGCCTTCCTCTGAATGTTCCTACGCTTCAAGATGAATCGAACGATTAACAGGATTGTTGGAGTTCCGATCCAGCTCACGACAATCTGAGCGATCCAAGAACCATAGTACCGCGGAGCGTCCGCTGCAACCCATATCTGGGGCGAGATGATGTTCGACACACCGTATCCAATCATGAAAAAGACGTTACGCATCAGCTTCTTGGTGTATCCTGCTGACGACGACGACGCCCAGCTCAGCATGATGATGTATGTGATCCCGAAAGTGTTTCCAGCCAGCAGCAAGCAGGCCAGGAGGCCAATGCGATTGTCCCAGTCCAGAGCAACCATTCCAATGCCGCCAGCAACTGCCGGCATGCACCACAATGCACCCCAGTATCCTGCTTTGTTGGGTATCAGTCGCAGCAGTATCGTAGCGGTGATGCAAACAACAATCGAAAATCCACCGCCGGCGGCAGAGACAAGCGTTGAGCCAAGGTTGCCGACGCCCATCTTCAGGAAGATCAGGCTCTGCTGGAACTGGAGATTGTTGGCAATCATAAGCGTGAAGGCCCCGAGCAAGAACAGCCATGAAATCGGATCGCGGAGGGCCTCCAAGGCCTGGCTCTTCTTGAACTTCTTCTGCTCGATCGAGCTCTTGGTGCTCTCGTGCACTTTACGGATGACCCATACTCGCTCCTCAATGGTCAAGAAGCGTGTCGCTGCGGGATTGTCTGGGAAATAGAAGAAGCTGAAGATGGCCAAGAGGAAGCTCACGCTGCCGGTGACTATCATGAATAGTTTCCATGGGGCAATGGTATTTTTGGCGAAGAGTAGACCGTATGCGATGAAACCCGCCGGGAGTGGACAGCCCATACAAGACGCCCAGAAGATGGGCTGGATCTTGGTGTACTCTTGTGGGGTGAAAAACATGGCCATCGTTACCTCCATTGCTGGTACTAACGTGGCTTCAACAACACCGAGAAAGAATCTCAAGGGAATCAATCCACCGTAGCTGGAGGCGGTGCAGTGCAAAAATAATAACACTGACCACAGGAAGATCGATCCAGAAACAAATTTTGATAGCGAGATTCGTTGAAAAATGTAGTGCCCAGGCAATTGCGCTACAATGTAACCTATGATCGTGGTGAGAAGACATACTTCTAGAGCATCAGGGAGTGTACTGACCTGTGTAGAAGATGGTCGACAAGTTGTTATACTCGGTATCGGTGAGCCCGGTATCTTCCATGATGCCTAACAGCGCAGAGTACGACAGTGTTGCTTTGTCAATCTGATCATGTCAGTAATTTGGATGGTAGCTTCGTTCAAGACATACTTACGAACAGCCAGACGTTGATGAGAAGCAACAAAGGCAACAGGCTGGAGTATAGCTTATACCTCACTCGCTTCAACTGAGCTGCGGTCGCCGGCTCGACGGTATGCCCATACTTCTCGAGCAGGTCAAGCGTGGCATCGGCGGATTCTTCGACAATCGCTATCTCTGGAAGAGAAGTTACGTCTGTCGTCGGCGGAGCCTTCTTTTTGTCAGTTTCCGACGCCATGTTTGAGGAAATTTCGAGCGTTATTGCAGGAAACAAGCTTTCCAAAACCGCCACTCGCTCACTGTCACAGTGTTTGTCTTTATGTAGTTCAGGGTGGAGCTCGTGCGATTTCGTGTGTTGAGAGCACGGAATTTCGATCCTGCGTGGCGTCAACCGGGTTTATCTCGTTCATTCTTGCCAATGCTCATCCAGAGCAGAATACGCCACTTCAAACTAGTCACCTTCATCGTTAATGCGTACTAGCATCGATATCGGACCTCGACAAGCCTTAGCCCTGCACAACATAGACCCACGTGCGTGTCATTCTTCAGCTCCTTATCGGCCTGTAGCTCTAGTCCGGCTGCCGTGGTACCCGCAGCCAAGTACGTCCAGCTCTACTGCAGCTCAATATCACCATATCGAGAAAGGTTTTGCGGTACGTAACCCGGTGGTATTGATAGGGGTGCTGCTTGATCCGTCGAATAGAAACACGACCCTTCCAGAAACAAGCCAGGAATCGATTGTGTGGTGTTCCGGCTTGCCAATCGTCTGCGACGAATGCATTGTCCAGCACACACAACTTAAGAGAATTATTGGGGGTTGCACTTGTGGATAGCCACAGGCCTGGTTGCTTCTTATCCACGACTGGTGTTCAACTTAACCCATGGCTGTGGACTCAACGCTTGCTACAGCAAATCGCGAACCCTGCTCAATCAAACCAGGCAGTCTGAGACAAGACATTCTCCAGATTCGCCATCTGTGCGGAGCCTGACGTATCAAGGTGTAACGACGACCTGTTGCCCGAACGTGGAATAATTAGCTGCATTCTCCCAAGCATCTCTCCATTCTTCGAGCTTGTGCTTCCCAACAATCTCGGACCCACCAGCACGGCCAATCTTCAGAGTGCCAGCCTCAATCATTTTGAACAGCCTCTCGACATCGGATTGCTCGTACATCATCTTACCAAACAGCTTCTTGTTGCTTCCCATCTAGGAAAGGCAGCGTCAGTCCTACTGCGAATGTCATTTCGAAAGGAGACAAAACACTCACGATATTCTGATGTGGGATCCCAACATCCCCAACGTACCCTCCCATCAGACTGATCTTCGCACCTTGCCCGGTAGCAAGAATGGACGATTTGATATGAGTACTTTTCGCCGCCTCTGGTGGTCCGATGTCGAGATATGCATCGATTGGACCAAACTTCTTCAGAGCAGACAAGTCTGCCGCCATATCTCCTGATATGGGCACAATTTCCACCCTCTCCGAATTGGGAACTTGTTCTTTGAGCTTCTCCAGGGCTTCGAAATTCCTCCCAAAAGCTATCACTCTTGCACCCATCGCAAGTGCCACCGCTGTTGCTGCTCCCCCGTAGGATCCGGTCGCTGGAGCCACAATGATCGTTTCGCCCGCCGTAAGGTTGATGTCTGTTAAGCCGCCGTACGGCACTGCGAGTGTGCCTGCCCAAGATAATTCCTCAATCTTGTATCCTAGGCCACCATCCTTTCGATCGCCCGTCAGGCGATTCTCATTTAGCACGCAGATATTTTCCAGTGGAACCAGACAATACTGTGCATACGTCCAGTTTCGGTAGACCTCGGTCATAAGTTTCTTTGAGCCTTCAGTAAAGCCTTGCAATAGACCAGGGAGGAACACATCGGATCTGTTATCTCTCGAGCGAACGGTGTTGTTAATGTAAACCAGATCGCCAAGCCGCAGCTTCGTACTGTCGGCTCCAACAGCGGCCACTCTTGCTACGGCTGAACCCCCTGGTACTAAGGGAGTCGGAAATGGATATTTGCGATTGGGAACATCGCTTCCTTCTTCCCAGTAGACTTCGCGAGCATATGCATTGACCTTGGCAGCAAGCACCCTCACCACAGCAGTACCAGGGGTTGCTTGTGGTGTGGGTATTCTTTCAACCTTGGAGGTTTTGCCATCGTAGACAAGCGCTTTCATGTACTGAGGGATTTCGGCCATGGTGATACTGCGACGAGTGTGGTATAGTTCTTACCCTGCGGCTGCAGTAGACATAACTAGACGACAATTGCTTATATTCCAACGCTTTCAGCTCGCACGAGGCTGCAGCATGACACATCCAACCAGCGTGATTAGTGAACAGGCATCCATCTTTCCAGCCGCGCCATTTATCAGCGTATGCACAACAATATGTTTCATATACGATTGCATCCTGCGCTCTATCACTCTGGCATATGATTGGTGCTGCTGTCTTTATACGTGCGGACAGCACAAAAAGGTACCCTAACCGGAAGGATTTAGAGCTTTCTCCCCGCAGGTAAGATATTAGGGTCAGATAGCATTCACCTCCGCAGAAAGGTCTAAAGGCATAAGTCTCTTGGCCTCTACTGTAGTCGGATATTAGCATGGCCCTCCATTTGCCACATGGCATTCAAGATGTTGAAAGTCCCTGCAGGAAACACGGTAGTCACTGTCTCTGGCATTGATTCCACGCTGTCTATGAACATCAACCCAGAAAATCTTTACGCATCAAAGATCAAAGAGGTTGACCCTGCTCACTGCGGTTGCTGGTCTCTTCTCATCGAACAACCATCCGGCAAGACACTTCTCCACCACCTTGGCCTGCGCAAAGACTTCTCAACCTTTGCACCGGCGTCTGGAGTGCAACAACTTTTAGGAAAAAGGGCACTCGAGTTGTGCTTGAAATAGATTTCGACCAAAGCCTGGTGCTTGGAGGCTTTCGAGCGTATGACTACTTGGATGATGGAAGTCTCTATCTCTTAGGGTCGCCCGGAAACTGCGTTGGACATGTCGACGTAATGGCCGTACGAGCGTCGAGCCCTCGGACTTCATCAACATGTGTGGCGATAGTGCTCATCATTGCGGCGAGACAAGACCCTCGATCCACCTTCCACTGCCCGAGTACATCGAGTCATCTCCACTCCCTGAGTTACATCCTGACCCTTGCCCATGCGAGGTGTTCTCGACCATTCTTAGGAGCGAGAGCAAGATCGATCACATTCTTGAAGCGGCAAGTCCAGCAGCAAAGATGAACAATTCGATCGTGAATGAGACTGAGTTCCGAGCCACCATTAGAGGGGTGGAAGATATCGATGGGGATGATCATTCTGGCACACGACTGATTCCTCAAAGTGGTCATTGATGAATGGCCCAAGGCGTGGAATGGGTGGAGGAGGAAGTCTTGGAATACCGAAGCGAGATAGAAGTTCCTGGGCAACTTCAAAGCTGCAGTGACCTGATCTTTGCTTCATGATGGTAGCCAAAACAAGCGGTTGTAGGGAGAGCTGTCTCGACTGCATGTAGGTCTCGAAAAAGTATCAGAGGCTAACGTTCTCTTTGGGTTTCAGTCACTCTCCGGCCTCCCAAACTCCTTATCCGCAAGGCCGTAGAGCAAGAACAGCAAGAGGGCAGGCAGGCAGCCATCGGGATCTCTGCCAACTCTGTCGGTTACTGAAGGTCGACATAAGAGCATCGTTTCCATAGAGGTACTCACTCAATGACTCCATATCTTCTTGTATTTTGCGAGCATCTGTAGTATGCAAGGGTTGTTGCTGCAGATTGTTCTGCTGATCGGACATTCACTCGGCAGTCGGCAGATCTCAGACCGAGACATTTCGGCCCGTCGGCTCATCCGATGACTGCCAAATCAGGTAATTTCTTGAACAACGTGGTGGACACGTGCCGCGGAGGGCCAAAGGCTTTCATCCCCATCTGCTCCCATCTCACCGGGTCTCAGTACCTTGCAACAGCCTGTACTTGATATTCTGTCGGCTCTGTGCTCTTCTACCTGTTTGAATTCAGGTCGTCGTCATCAGGGGCGAACTTTCGAGCGTTCTCGGCCCGGACGGCCCATGGTGACATCATTTTTTGCCAGTAGTCTGGCTCCAATGACCCAACCAGCATGTCACCTACAAAATAGCTTGCCATTGACAAGCAAAACTTGGCATTGGAGATAGGTACACATTCCTTGACTTGCCAAGCAACTTGTCTCTTGTCCCTCCAGAACAACCTTGCAGCAAGAACGAATCTCGCGACAATGGTTCATCAACACGGCGACCATCACGACATTCCCCACGAGCACCATGTGGACAAGGCCGGTGCCTGGTTGCCAGCCGACCATCGTATCCACCAAGAGTGGTTGAGCGGCCAGGTGGAACATGCCAAGCAGAACCGCAAGGAACTCCTCCCCGTGCTCAAGGAGTTCAAGGACTTCATCGAGAGCGACACCCGGATCTACATGCTCTTCATCCAGATGTTCGAAGAAGTTCCTGTCAAGCACCCTTACAACAAAGACCCGACTGGACGAAAGCAGATCCGTGACTATCACCACCTGCTCGAGGTCATGAACCACACTTTCACGACAGCACCGCAATGGACCGACTCTGCACAGAAAGTGGGAATGGTCGGCGTGCCCATGTGCGCCATTCTCGACTATCCCATGGGAACGCCTGCGGGTTATGCTGCGTTCCTTGACCCTGCTGTCAACCGAGAGCTGAAGAAAGTTCTGAACGAATGGGGCAAGTTCCTCCAATCACCCAAGAGTGCTGAAGTTTTGGGCACGCACAAGCAGGGCTGGTTCGGAGATGTAGCTCAGAAGGATATCATGGAAGTGGCGAATGCACCCTATAAGACGGCCCACGAGTTTGAGGACTTCTTCCACTGCGATCCAAAGGCCAAGCACTATGGTTACAAGTCTTGTAAGTTGGATCAACGCTGTCAATTCCTGCATGTTACTGAACACCTCACAGGGGACGACTTCTTCACGAGAAAATTCCGGGACGAGGTGCGCCCCGTGGCATCTCCAGAAGATGAAAATGTCATTGCAAACGCCTGCGAGTCCAAAGTCTTCAACGTTGTACACAATGTTAAGCTGCGAGATCATTTCTGGATCAAGGGTCAGCCTTACTCGGTGCGGGATATGCTTGCCCACGACTCTCTGTCCGACAACTTTGCAGGAGGAACCGTCTACCAGGCATTCCTGTCTGCATTGTCTTACCACCGATGGCACGCTCCCATCAGCGGTACGGTGAAGAAGGCGTTTGTCCAGGACGGGACTTACTTCTCGGAGCCGCTGTTTGAAGGTATTGGCGAGCCAGGCACGGCGGAGATTGATGCTGGAGGTATTAGTGTCGGCCAAGGATACCTGACCGCTCTTGCCACTCGTGCGATTATCTTCATCGAGGCAGACAACCCGGCTATTGGTTTGATGGCTTTCATTGGCGTAGGTATGGACGAGGTGTCGACTTGCGAGATCACGGTCAAGGAGGGCGAGCATATCACCAAGGGCCAGCAGACCGGCATGTTCCACTTTGGCGGATCTTCGCACGTTCTTTTGTTCCGCAAGCACGTCAACGTGGAGGGTTTCCCCCAGCCTGGCCGCGCAGAGAACGTGCCAGTCAGGAGCCAGGTCGCAGTGGTAAAGCCATGAGAGGAGCAAATAGGGATATCTATTGCACGACAGAAAACACAAAAGTTCAATTTCTAACCTCGAATAGCTCTGTCCACAATTTCTGCGATAGCCAATAATTTTTCTTCGGTCAGGGTCGTGCTAACTAACTGCACAGAGATCGGCATTCCTGCATAGCAAGCAGCGTCTCCAGTAGAGCCTGTGCCAGTCTCAGGGACAAACGTCACTGGCAGAGTCACGGCTGGATAGTCGAGAAAGTTGAATATACTCGCATACTCTGGGGGCCTGGTACGCGAAACACTCAGTTACTGAAATACTAGGATTAGGACGACATACGGCAATGTATCATGCTCAAAGCCCACTTTGCTGCACACGGGCAGCAATAAAGCATCGATGGGCTTCTTGTTCGATGTGGACAGTTTCGTCTTCATCCAGGCAGCTAAAAAGTCGTCTTTATTCTGCTTCCAATTCCTGCACACTGTGAGTCTTACACTCAATACCAAGCAGAAGACGTACCGATGATTCTCGACTACCTCTTCGAGCGATTGCGCATCGTGATCGATCTTGTGCTTAATCGCTTCAATCGGCAGCTCGCCAGTCTGGTCGAGTTCACTTCTTATGAAGCCTCTTCCCAGCTCATAGGAAAGCCGCTCCTGTGCAAAGGCCGTAGTGAGTGAGAGGTCTTGTCGAAATTCTCTCAGGAATATGCAGTACCTTGACCAAAGCTCCTTTGCCAAAATCGAACAGCATGGGGTCGATATCAGTCACTACTCAGTCGTAAGCATCCTGCCACGCCCAGCACAAGTGTTGGTCTACCTTGATGACCATCTGCCTCGATCTTGTCCTTCGCTATATGCAATGCGTTCAGAACGAAGGGCTCCGCGGCATGCAGGCCATCGTCCTCGATTACCCCAATAGAGATCTCGCTTTCCGGTCCGATGCTAATATCCTGCCATGGCTTCTCCACAATTGCAGCATCTTTCAGCCAATGTTCATCGTCGATAAGGACCTTCATGATGAGCCGCAAGTCTCGGACGCTGTGTGCCATTGGACCAATCGAAGAAGCAGCACCAATGCTGCCAGAGTTGTTCATATTGCCCTTGTACGAGACCCTCGAAGAGGAAGGCTTGATGCTGTATAAGCCATTGAAGGCAGCAGGAATTCGAATGGAGCCACCGCTATCAGTCCCAATTCCGAGAAGGGAGCCTCGACAGGCTATTAGGGCTCCCTCTCCCCCTGAAGATCCTCCAGCAACCATATGTTTGTTATGAGGATTCAGAGTGCGACCAAAGAGCTGTGAGACAGTCTCAAGAGCCTGGGCAAACAAACTTTAGTGCATTGACAAGAACGAAAGTATCAGCTAAGCATACCATTCCAGATTGAGGCATTGTAGTCTTCGCAAAGATGATCGCCCCTGCTTGGCGAAGGGAAGCCACGACAACTGCATCCTGCTCAGAAACATTATCCGCCCATGACAAGTAGCCCATGGTGTAGTGGAGATTTTTGACAGCAGTCAAGTCCTCATAATTTCGTCAGCACTTCTCCACCATCTCAATAGACGATAACAGTCTTACCTTGATGCTTACCGGCAATCCATGCAATGGCCCCACGAATCTGCCAGTAGTTGCGAGAAGACGATCCAGCTCTCTTGCTCTCTCCAGGCTTGCCTCAAAATCGACATCCATCAGGCAATTCGTAACACTGTGAGCCAGGGTTGCCCTCTTGATGAAGGCGTTGACCACCGCTTCGGCTGAATAATGCTTTTTGTGAATCTTCTCAAGTAAGGCGGTCACATCAGTCGATTGGGTGATCTCAAGGTCACACCCGGACAGGATACCAGAGGATTGAAGCAACTCGAATGCACTGATTGGTTGCTCCTCCGCTCGTGGAAAGGTTGCCATGTCCAGTCGAGACTGAGACTGTATCTTCTTTGCGAGGCGCTCTCTCGCCGCCTGGTCTTGTCAACCATGGGTCTTCTGACGATGGAAGGACGTACGTACTTTGACTTTTGCCTCCCAGCTACCGTTCTGTGAGCTCTCCATTTTCCCACGTGCTGGAGTACAAGAGTCAAGAGCAAGAGTAGGCATTTCTGTTAATGTCAGAAACGAGCCAGGTGTCTGATTATCAACAACCAGTTCAAGCTATTTGCGAACACCACGTCAAGCATTGACACTTGTGTTGCAACCACAGAGAGCCTTTTGCGAGTATCTGTGCTGAAGCAGCCAATAAGAGATATTTGCGCCTGGCTTCTTGGATCCTATACACCGGCTAGCTCTCGAGGAGCCTTGAGTAGGCGCAAATGTTTATCATTCGTGGTTCACGTTCTCCACTTCCTTGACAGCTTGGGGTAGCAGGAAATATATGTAGCTTGCGAGCCACTACATATTTCGCTCCTATTCAACATTGATTCAAGATCAGCCTCGACATAATGACCTACTCTATCTTGCCAGAAAACCAGGTCAACCGCCTACGCAATCGCGGTAAGCCGAGGAAGAGTTCCACAGCGTTCAAGAGCTGAAACTAACCATCATCTTACGGTACAGCCAAGTATGATTACGAAACAGTCCACGGAATCGTTGCGGCGACCCCGGTGCTCCACGTTTCTTTCTGCTCAGGAGACGAAGATGCCGCCCCTACCATACTGCCGATGATCGGTGCCCTGGGTACTTTCCCGGAGACTCTGCTCGAGGAGTCTTCCGAAGTTCCGGACCTGTACTTGCACGGGTCGACAAGTGCGCGGTTGCTGAAAGAAAGAGGCAAAGAAGTGAAAGTATGCGTAGCCGCTACAAAGGTGGATGGATACGTCCTTGCCTTGACGCCCTTCCATCACAGCTACAACTTTCGATCAGCAATATTGCACGGCTCAGCTGAAGTCGTGAAGGATGAGCAGGAGCGTCTATTCGCCATGGAGCTCATTACCGACAAGGTCGTCCCTGGGCAGTGGAGGGTAACGCGGACACCGCCAACTAAGGTCGAGTTGCAGTCGACGCAAATATTGCGAGTACGGATCAACACAGCCAGTGCAAAAGTGAGATGGGGGACACCCAATGCTGATCGAAGGGATTTGAAAGACTCTGATCTGATTCAGAGGTGTTGGTCGGGGGTGGTACCAATGTGGGAGACGTATGGAGAGCCTGTATCTGGTCCCGATAATCAGGCTCCAATCCCTCAGCATGTGGTGGGTTTTGTGTCGCAGGCGAACGCGGCGAATGAGTCGGTAGCTTACACAGCAGCGCAGCCACAATAATATCATTCGCTGGATATCGTGGCAATTTCCATATCTGGTCCACCTTGTATTGTCTTCGCGATGCTTCTCATCGCCCGGGCATCAAGCAGAGAGCGAAGCCGTTTGTATGCTGCAAATTCGTCGACAAGCGATTTCGTCCAGACTTTACTCTTAAGGTTTTGCTTCACCAAAGCCACTGTGCTACTCTTGCTCCGATCCAAGACGACGTCGAGAGCGTCTTCGACGAGATTCGTATCTTCTGGGTCGAACATCACGGTACCGAAGATCGCCAGTGGAAGTAGGAGGAACTTGCCCCATGTATACGGGAGTATGTGGCGAATGGATCTCAGCAGAGATCTTATCTCGTCGAGAAAAGATCCCCAATATGGCTCGATTCTGTTGCCGGCGAGGAGAGAAAGAATTGCCTGCAACGATATGATGTACCAGTCTCCAATCGAGAAGTCGGTGACAGCAGCAGTGATGATCGACTCTTCCAGGCTGGTCTGCCAGAGCGTCACTTGGTGGCATGCCGACTTTTCCTCCTCAGGTAAAGGTGGCCGTGGGTGGCGACGAACCATTTCAATTGCCTGGATCAGAATGATGTAGAGATCGACAGGTGCAGCGAGTACAGGAGATAATGAGACGACCTGACCGACTCTGTGTCCTCCTGCGGTGACTTCCAGTACTTGCCTGTACTTTCTCTGCAGCATCATGGCTTTGGACAAAAAGCTGCCACTATGCTCATCGAACAGATTCATGACAGCCAGATGATAGATGCACGACTCGACACAGACACGCTCCCATGCCAGTTCTGCTGATGTATTTGAATCAATACACAGCGGCGATTGCTGAAGAAGCAGATCCGCCAAGGCAAAAACATGCACGGCGCCCTTCAGACCAGTCTCCAGCTGCGAGTTCTCGTAAACGGTAAGCCACATGGCTGTTGTCATAAGTGCGTGAAGTCCATGGTGCCTCGCGGATGCGCCCCTTGCAATACTGCATGAAGCCGATCGAATAGCCGCCCAATACGCTGTGGCTGCTGGCACTGGGTCTCCGCTTGCGATCAAGGCACAAGCGAAGATGGCGTTCCTGACTGAAGGCGAGTTATGGCAGAGTGCGGCCGTGTATGTTAGATCCATCTGTTGTCGATGGTACTGTGTTGGCAGGAAATCGTGAACGCAAAAGTAGAGGAAATCATGCTCTCGATTGTGAAAATGGCTTTGCTTGGTGATCGAGAGACTTGGTCTACTCCGTTGCCGCTGCCAACGGGTCCGGCGTCGGTCGACTCGATCTTCTCCTTGCCATGTGCAATGACCTTCTGAGCCTAGACGATGACATGATTGGCAGATTGGTTTCGTCTCATCACACTTCTTGCGACGTGCTCGGCCTGCACAATGTCAGCTACGGCCAACTTCTTGCTGGAAAGAATCAAAGCGCACAGTTGAGACACCCGTTTGAAGTACGCAGCCTGGCAACCATGCTCTAGGCGAATGGGAATAACAATAGTAGTATTGAATGCGATTCAAGTTTGTTGTCAAAACAGCAATCATGTTCAGAAGACAGACTCTGCTGGACTCCACACTGCTTCAGCTTCGTCGCAATTACCTCTGATTGGTGCAACCAGCTATCCAGACAGAGGGTACCCACTTATCTGCACGGGCAGTTCTGGGTCTGGAAGCACCGAGCAGATCGTTAAAGACTACATGTATGTTTGGGCATCCGGACTGTTTCCACCACGCTGCTGGGCGAACTAGCGTAGTGCGCATGTGAATTGGTCCGTGCGGACCCGGTATGATGGGAATTCGCAACGGTATCTTCTGGCCGTCACACCACATTGTTGCAATTTCAGTTCGGCCTTTGGTGGGCTATAAAAGGTCGTTCAAAGCATGGTATTGTCCCGGAGCCGTCGCAAGCAGTCGAGCAAGCGACTCGTGGATGCGTTCTGATTATTGATCTTCTCAAGTCAGCGACGGCGTGACTTCCTCACGTATAGCAAGACCTTGCATATAGCGAAACGTGCGCATGTCTCAAGCCTGCATTCTGCCCACTTCTGTTCTCGTCGAGGCCTTTGCCGGAATAAGCTGAACATCCACTGGACAAAGCAGTAGCCGCAAAGTCGTCGACGAAACTTGCTTTCCAATTGCTGACTGCTCGGTGCCGAAAATACTCCCCAGGATGCCGCTGGGAACCTTTGTCAAAAAGTAGGGCAACCCCTACCATAAGTCTTCAGATGGCGTGGCCGCATTGCTTAACGCCGTCAATCGGCACGACAGATCCTTACCATGGTCTGTAGTCCTTGCGATCCGCGGATACATTCGAACACAAGAACAGGTAAATTGTTAAAGCCCTGCGAATTGACACTCGATGCACACAAGCAAGGCCTGTATTGCGGTCAGTTGGCTTGAACGCTCTTGGAAAGATGCATCTCAATCTGGCTAGAGTCTAAAAGCTGACACATGGTAGTCCTCCACGTGTACGAGTGTCACACGCAGCCTCGTAAAGCTTGAAGTCAGCAAAAAGTCTACATTATCGTTGTGCCACTTCGGACGGCTGAGCCAATATTATTACGCAATGTTTTCTGATCTTTCCTGTAACCCGCAATGATTTTCGATTCACTTCAGCTACGACATACTAAGCTTTTCGAGCAAAGCAGAGACCTGACAGTGCACCAAATAATCTCCTCTCGACAACCCAGTCCCCCATCGGTGATACCGCTTCATGTATAGCAGGTTTCTCGGTGCTATGCGCAGCATCAGAATAGACTTTAATGGAAACGTCACCAAGTACAGTGTATCACAACACGAGAGTATATGGACATGACTTTGCTGTCGTTTGAGGACGAATGATGGATGACCAAAGGAAGCCAGCTCTCGATGAGGGCGAGCCGTAGAGTATAAAGATGGAAGACCGTAGCCTTCACGCTTACGAGAAGACCAACCTTCACTCAACATCAGCAAACCCAATCTCACCACAAATTACCACCGAACAATATGCAGTCCCTCGTTGCCTTCACTCTCGCTATCGCCGCCCTTTCAGCTGCTGCTCCTAGCACTGCTCCTGACGGGCTGGTCGCTCGCGGCGGTGGTTATGACTATTGCTGCCCTGGAAGCGGAAAGTACAGCTGTTCCCCTTGCGATCGTAAGTCACTTCTGATACCGTTTCATTGGAAACCCAGAGACGCTGATACTGCATTGCAGCAAACGATTCTTGCCCCCATGACAAGCCAGACAGGTACAGCTCCTGCTCTGAAGATGACCAAGTCGGGGTTGCCAATGTAGGCTCATTCTACTGTCAACTGCCAACATTCCTCATGCTGATCGACGTAACAGATCTTCCTCTGCGATGTCCTCAACGATATCACGGTTGCTGTCCCAATCAGCATCAACGTCCTCTAGTGCACTATTGTGGGCGATCGGGCACCTTGACTTGGGAACGGGCTGGCACCGTGGCATGTTCATAATGATTGCAGTTGACGTTGCTCGCTGGGTACACGTATGAAAGGCAAAAAGATCGGGATGGATCACGCTCATTTACTGGTTGTAATTACGACATTGAACACTCCCTCAAGAAACCGTCATACCGGCGTTGGGCGTATCTACTTTTGTTCCACTCAAGGTTTCGTGCAGGTTTGACATAAATCTAGCTTCTTCATCGGCTTTCACATCTACTTCCGTTTCGTTCTTCTTCAAAAGAGTGCTGATCAGATGGTTTGTGTACCCTACTACGTTTCCGACGTGATTGGAGCCTCGTACGCGCAAGTGATCCGCAATTTCAATCACCTGGAAAGAAAGCACAAAAGGGTTGCTGTGCGCAAAACTGAGCTGGCGTTTCCTAAGATGGTGGTTCAGGTGCAAGTGACCGCCGCGATCCCAAGTGTTTCACAGGCGGGTGAGGAAGCTATTTTGAGAAAATGTTCCGAAAGCAGTGTGGCTGGATGACTTGTTGACAAAACATCTGGTGAAGCATGGAGACTGATTGAGAGAGTCAGGCGCCAAGCACGTCGTTCCATATGAATACTTCATTAGACATGCTCTTGACGTAGAGCTTCCTGCATCATGCGATTGCCCTTCGAGAGTACAGGCAAGAATTTGAGACTTTGCATTGAAGGGCAGCATCACAAATGACTCACGGTCGTCTACAACCTTGAACAGTACACTTCGTCGTTGGTGAGCATGGAGCATGGTCATTCATCTAGACGAGACTAACTTGAAGTGCTGCCGTCTTGGCCTTGCTTACAATTGCTGACAATGCAGAACGCACGTGGATGACTACAGCCTTGCATTTGCCGGTGGCATGATCAAATTGGATGAAGCAGGGGCTGTCCCCAAAACACTGCTTCTGGCATCTTCGCAATCATAAAAGTTCCGTTGAATGCAGTGCTCTGCCACGTCCACCCTTTATACCTCCAAAAGAGGTACTTTCGGTATCAAAGGCTGTGCCGATGTGGACGAAATGGTTGGGATCGGTCTCCACTCTTTAGCGGGCTTTCCGTATCGCCCGCACACTCAATGACTGTTCTCATCGTCTGTAGGAAGTCGCAGCGTGGACTTGACAGATGGGCTTCAAGCGTTGCTATGCGCCTGGTCGAGGCCAGCAGTGGGGATGGCTTTCTGTCACCCTGTGAAGCTGATAATGCCACTGACAAATGGACTGATCTCATTTGACGGATTCATGACAAGGCTGACCTTTTATGCTTCTGCCTCTGTTGTATGACGCACCTTCATGACTGCGACCAGCCTGCTGCTCACGGATGAGATTCGCGGCTAAGAGGTGTCCCAAGCCTCATCATGGTACATCGGCATGTAGGCCAAAGCCGAGATGTGCAAATGCGGCTGGTGCCATGCGGTGCTGGGAGAGCGAACGAGGGAAAATGATGCGAGGGGCGGAGGGATTGTCGGCTGAAGGTGGCGGCAGTGGTAGATCTGTTAGGGTCGAAGGATGTTTATGCAAGGGCTTGCGATCGTTATGCCAATTCCAATCACTGCTCGTTGGTATGTACCATCTGCCATGTTCTCGCGTGACCTGTCGTTCCAGTCAGTCTTTTTAACAAGCTCCTGGGGATCGCAATGATGAGGACGTACGCTTTGGCGACGACCCTCTTCACTTCAGCAGTAACGGCGTACAGATGCATCAATCTCACAGTTCCCCTTAACATCACCGCCCCATCCGAAACACCAGCCTTTGCCCCATTCGAGTCTTCATTGGACTCGGTCCAGTTTCTCAACAACGTTACAACCTGGGCTTACGCCGCTCAATCGCCTTTTGCTGGCTCTAGGAATATCTCGATCTCCGTCAACATTGCTGCGCAATACTGCTATCCCTCAGATGGCTGCAGTCCCGGCGATGAAGGACAACATGTACAGGTCTTGACACATGACATTGTATGCAAGATCGTTTCATCGATCGAGCCAGTAACATTGACATAGGACACAGGGGTTCGATAGCAGCTACTGGGAGTTCGAAGGTGCTGATAGTGAATACAACTACATCAAGGCCGCAACCACCGCTTCCTTCTCCACTCTCTCCTATGATCGGCTTGGGACTGGACACTCGACCACCACAGACCCGTACACCACCCAGCAGCTAGGCCCAGAGACTGCCGTTCTCGTCGCCCTCACCTCCTTGCTCCGTCGCGGCACGCTACACTCGTCCATTCACGCACCGTCTCATGTCGTCCACATTGGACACAGCTTCGGCAGTGTAATTACCTCCAACCTGGCAGAACACTACCAGAGTTTGACCGACGGTATTGTGCTTACAGGATACAGCACCAACTCCTCGTTCGCTACAGGATTTGCCATCTCTAGCAAATTTGAAGTGGCGGCCGAGAGTCTCTCCGGGAACTGGTACAACCGTAGCAAAGGCTTCTTAACTTGGCCGGAAAAACGAGCCAACCAATACTCATTCCTCGCCTGGCCGTATTTCTCGCCTGATGTACTGGAACTCGCTGAGGCTTCTAAGCAGCCATTTGCGGTATCTGAGTTTCTCACAGCCGTGCCCATGCTAGCGCCAAATTACGATGGGCCTGTGATGGTGCGATTGATGACTGTCACCCCTAGCTGAGAACACGACCTAGATCATTTCTGGGGCATACGATCGCATATTTTGTGGTAACTATTGTTACGGTATACTCGAGGCTGGCAAGTCTTTCTACCCCAAAGCCAGGGTACGCAGAGTGGTCCCACATTCACCGCTATTTTCCATCGTTCTCTGATACAATATCTAGACATTCCGAGCTTACGTCCAGCCAAACACTGGCCATGGCATGAACCTTCACTACAACGCCACTGGCTTCTATGCCGTCATTGCGGATTTCAAGACCAACACATAGCTTGTTGAGGGCTGAATGCAGAAGACATGAGTTTAGAAACAGTAATACTTTTGACTTGCTCACAGATCCATCCGGAGAGCAATGATGTATATAGTTCCGACGATTTGGAACAGTTCTGGTATGCTCCGCACAAGGCATCCTCAAGCACTGTAGTCCTTTCATGCCGCATTCGGCATTTCCAAGTCAACGCCATTTATGGTGCACTGCGCTGTATGTAGCCAATCTCCCTTGAACCGTTTGAAGTAATGCAGCGTGACATGTCTTTGCACGATGCCTTTCCAGGTTCCACTCGCCTCCACGTCTACGAATACGTCGGCGACTCCCTCAGAGACGTCGACCGTCGAGTTGAAACTCGTAGCTCGCAAATGATATCTTGGGCAATGTGCAATGAATCTCTGGAAAGCCGCCAGGAGCTCGGAGAGTGTGAGCTCATTTCTCGATAAAGCAGCAGGCATCTCGACTCTCCACTGAGGGTGCTTCAAGTAGAATATTGGTGATGAAGGATCGAAATTGCGGGCGTTAAAAGCGTCAATTTTGTCCAGCACTCTCTGCTCCAGGCTTTTGGCGATGGCGAGAGTGGAATCCAGCTCCTCTCCTCCAATTTCCGTCATCAGTCTCGGATCTCTCTTAAGACTGGTGGCCTCCGAGGTACTGCTTCTTCAAACGTCCCCCTTCAAGATAGCGTGACACTATCAGAACATCCAAAGGGTACTTGGATCTGCCGCTGACGAGGTTGAAGACAGGATGGGAGGAGGGTAAGGTAGATGCATTTCGTCGCCCTACTCCAGCATTGTCGAAAGACTACAGCATTGCCCTTAAGTGGAATGGAAGGATCCCTCGCGTGGGATTGGTGTTGGCCGAGAACGGGTCTCATTTGCTCATGCCTTCAACCTGAATGCTCATTATTAATGTCAATTTGCTCCGAATTTTCCGTGGCAGGGTGTTGAGAGCCGTTGTCAATATTTGGTACATCCTGCGTGGTGAAGATCAGGCTGCCACTTCCATCAGGCACTCATGCCGAGCTCCGGAGCTGTGACGCTATCACCGCCCGTTCTCGGCCTGAAGACAAAGATATTAGCACAGTCCTGTAACCGCATCTACAGCGGTCATTCGTTGCCGACAAGTTCTGCAGTAATTGCGTCATGGCATCAGAATCAGACAATGAGGGGTACACAGCAAGGCTGGCGGACTTCGCAGCCAACTTGCAATGGTCTGACATCCCTCGGGACTTCCAGGAGCTGCTCCCAGTTTTCATCATGGATACTGTATCATCAATGGTTCGTCTGAATGGACACTGAGCTCGATCAACTTCAGATACTGATGAAGGGTCCCTTTCAGCTTTGCGGCGTCGTCCAGCCTGTCTATCAAGCTACTACCAGAATGGTGAAGTTAACATACGGATACGGTGGTAATGGTAGCGCATATTCCGCCATTGATGGAACGTCAACTTCCTTATCTGGCGCTGCCTTTCTCAATGGTGTTGCAGCAGGCTGCTTCGAGTTCGAGCACGTCATCAGCACGACTCACCCAGCCTCGGCCATGTTTCCAGCTCTGCTGACGGTTGCTGCGGCGTATCATAAAAGTGGAGAGGAACTTCTTACAGCGATGGCCGTAGGATACGAATTGTGCACCCGCATTGGCTTTGCATGTACTAAAGATGTGGAAGAACAACGCCACTTCCACAACCCAGGCCTGAATGGCCATCTTGCCACCGCAGCTGCGGTTTGCCGGCTAATGGGATGGGACGCCACTATTACTGCATCTGCAATGGGGATTGCAGCTTCCAGTTCAGCAGGTTTGATGGCATTCGTCAACACAGGGGCCATGACAAAACGATTACATCCTGCCCGCAGCGGACAGCTGGGCGTTGAAGCCGCTTTCTTGGCCAAAGAGGGAGTTGTTGGTCCCTCCGATGTAATCGAAAACCCGAAGGGCTTCCTCAACGCATTCTCGCCCAACCCCAGCCTGAGCACCTGACAGAAAGTCTAGGTCATGAGTGGAGAGGAAAGAGCATGATGCTCAAGCTCTCGCCCGTCCACAAGGTCGTTCAGGCATTCGTCTATGCTATCAATAAGCGTACAGACGAAGCTGAAAAGATGTGGACCACCGAGGATATCGAGGAAGTTACCGTCTCTGGGGGTGCCAATGCTCTAAGAGCATCTCATATGATTCGCCTTCCGGAGAGCCTGGTCTCGGCCCAATACAGCGTTCCGTTCAGCATCGCAGCTGCACTATCAACAGACCTCCGAGATCCTTTGAACATGAATGATATGTTGTTGTCCAACACAGGGACCCGGAAGATATCAGACAGTATGAAATTCGAGATAGAAACCAAAGACACTCGTTTAATCACTGGCGCTATCATCGTACGCTGTAGAGGTACAGATGTCGCCATCAACGCATGAGAATACCCTGGTCTTCCTGGAAGCTCCGGTCATGTCGAGGCTATAATCGACAAATTCGAACGTGTGGTGGCATCCTTGAACGTTCCTGGGCCAGCGGCAACGCTTCGTTCCAAGGCAGAAGCCGTGGCAGGTCTCGAAGACGTTTCGGAACTAGTGAACGATGCGGTCGAGGTTGGCACACAACTATGCAGAAGCATGAATCTGTCAAACGCTGAGTAGTGAACGCCACGGCGGTGTTGAAGTAGGAAATGGCGGTGTTGTATGGCACTACAAGTAGCTCCAAAACACATCATGTGCTGCGAGCCCTGTGTTCTGCGGGAAATATGGTTACGTTATGACTACAATTGAAACGAAGTGGTTCGCTTCTCCAACAAGAGGATTGCAGAGTGGTCAATCATAATGTGCCTAAAGCCAAACGCTGGGAAGCTCGTGGCACAGGACGTGGGCGTATGCAGGATTCGCGCCCTAGGGAGTACAATAGGAGCGACGGCGCGGTTATCTCGACTCCAGCTCATTGAGAAATTACAAGCTCTAGAACGACTCCTTCCAGATCGTCGAATCACGGACTGCTTCTCTCTATGCCCAGCCAAGCATCTCCCACACATCAGCAGCCCCCGAACGGTGGAGTAGCAGCCTGGACCAAGACGTTAGGATGCTTCATGATCTATGTGAACACCTGGGGCATTGCCACATCTTTTGGAGTGTATCAGTCATATTATCAGCAGTTCACACTTCATCAATATACGCCGTCGACGATTTCCTGGATCGGCACGACTCAAGTCTTCCTGCTCTTCTTCGTCGCCATCATCGGCGGGCCAGTCTATGATCGTGGCAACTCGCAATGGCTCCTCTACCTTGGCTACACTTTGATTGTGTTTGGCTACTTCATGCTTAGTCTCGCTACGAAGTTTTATCAGATCTTTCTGTCGCAGAGTATATGCGTTGGCATCGGTAGGTAGTACAGCCTATTTCGATCATGGGAGCGCTAATCGATAATTGTAGGCAGTGGCCTGGTCTTCGTTCCCGCTGTATCAACCGTTGCTCAGGCATTCAGCACGAAGCAACCCATTGCGCTCGGACTTGCGTCGACCGGCTCTGCTATCGGCGGCACTATCTTTCCGATCATGTTCAGACAACTGACGCCAGACATTGGTCTCATCTGGACGAACCGTGTGTTCGGTTTTCTGCTGCTAGCGACCTCGATGATGGCAGCAGCCCTGCTCAGAAGTTCTGGTTCTTCAGCAACTGAGCATGAACAACACTCTTTGAAAAAGTTTTTCGACATATCGGCCTTCCGTGAGCCCGCATTTACCTGCCTTTGCCTGGGTCTCTTTCTTGTCGAGCTAGGCTTTTGGATACCACCCTTCACCATCTCTCCATATGCACAGTTCACCCTCGGGGTTGGATCAGAGTATGCGTTCTATCTCATCGCTATCATGAATGCTGGATCATTCGCAGGACGCATCCTCCCAGCTTTCGTGGCCCAGACACGAGCCATAGGGCCAGCTTGGACTCTAGTCATGGGCTCACTGGGCCTTGGAGTTCTTGTTCTTTGCTGGCTTGCAATTAACAACGTCGTTGGCGTGACAGTCTGGGCTGTCATTGTGGGATTCATGTCGGGCATTGTGGTGTCGATACCGAATGTCGTCGTGGCAAGGCTGTCGGCCTTCACACAAGTTGGGTCGAGATCTGGAATGTTGTGGACCATTGTAGCGTTCGCGGCCTTGGTCGGAGCACCCATTGCTGGCGTATTGGTAGACTCGGATACTAACAGCTACAAATGGGGCCAGGTGTTTAGTGGACTGTGTATCTGTGCTGGTGCCGCCGTACTCTGCGTTCCTGCTTTGTACATTTCTCGCAAGCGGTCGGAGTAAGGACGGCCACGATTGATTTCCGGAACGGAACGCTTTCAGTGATCTACTCTAGACACCCTTGCGGAACGAGAAGCTGACTCAATAATGACAACTTCAGGATAATGCTCGCTGACAGAAGCCGGTGGTGTGGGATCCATGATCATCCTGATCCGCGTCTTGTCCATCTTGTAGCAGCTCCCGTCGCCCTTCTTTGTCGGTCGACTTTCGATCTCCATTGCAATTCCGAATTCATTTATTATGAGTACTTTGCCAGCAAGCCCAATCATCTGCATTGTGGGAGCAGTCATATCAGGGTTGATAGCCGCAGCCCATCTCTTGCGTAGCGACGTCCATGTTGTACTGATTGAACATAGACCCGAGAACAGAGAGGAGTTCATTGGTGGAGGGCTCGGTCTCACCGTAAATACAACCATTTGCCTGGAAAGACTAGGTCTGAAGTCAGAATTTGCACGGATCGCAGAGATCAAACAGCGCGTAGATGTCCGGCGAGGATCAGATGGCGCACGACTACTTGTCTTACCGCGGCCATCGGCTATGGTGCATCGTGCGGACTTGATGACCATGTTGAAGCAGCATGTTCAAAAACTGGGAGCTGAGATCATCTGGGATCAGAGTGTCAGCACAATTGAAGAGAGCAGCGACACTGTGAAGGCCACATTGCGAAGCGGAAGGCTGATAGAAGCCAGCATAGTCATTGGCGCTGACGGTACGCCCTCCTCATTACATTCGGTCGCCTCTGATATGCATCAGGTATCGATTCCTCCGTCCGACGGTACCTGCATCCCGGGGAGGCTTTCAGCCTGAAGACTACCTCACATAGCACATTCTTAGTCGACATCCCTGGGGCGACCATGGCAGAGCATTCGAGTACCCGCGATATCTACGAATCATCAAAGGACGCCATGAACCTCTGGCTGGGCCCATCTCGATCCATTGTTGACTGGACGATGACAAAGAGGAACAACTACCACCTACAGGTCAATGATCATATCTTTGGAGAGGGATACGCGTCTGACTCGAAGCATTCTTTCGACGGTAGCCACTACGCAAGCCATTTTGATAACATGATCGCTGTACAGGCCAGGTTTGAAGATTTCTCAGAAGCCATACGCACCATATTGGCAAAGGCGAAACACTGTACTCTCTGGCGAACCGCAGAACTGCCGGAGCTTCCATCCTGGTCCAGCACCAGCGGCAGAGCCATCCTCGTTGGCGACGCAGCTCACACGTTTCCTCCTTATGCTGGACAAGGGGCAGCAATGGCGATCGAAGACGCAACTGTCCTAGGTACTTTGATATGTCGAGCGATCAAATCTGGCAAGACTACACAAGCTATGGCAAAGACTTACGAGACGCTTCGAAGGCCTCGAGTCGATGCCTGCCGGGATATTGTCCATGCAAACATGGATACTTTGTCGCTCGAGAAAATTGAAGATCAATTTCCTCCCTTACAGATAGCGTCTTCAGTCGGAGTTGCGAGGACTGCAGCAGTCGAGCCAGCCACACTCGATAATCTACTTGCTCTTCACGATTACGACTCTGCGCAGGAGGTAAGTATCGGGACTTGGACGTTCCTGGAATAATAGTACTAAATAAAAGCGAACAGGCAGCTGAGTGCGACATCGTTGAGTAGTGCATATGAAGACGAACAGAAAACCCTCAAATGAGAGAATTGTAACGCTATGTAAGGGATTTTCCACACTTGACGGGATATCGTTACGAGGAGCATGTATGAAGTACTGCATAAGACGTCTTTCTATACTATTGCAGTCCAGAGTCGGGCGATAGAACACTGGTTGGTACATGAGATAGTCAGCCTCGTGACTGAAAGCATATATGGAATCCTGGCAGCCTCGGCTTCTCATACTAATCTTGTAGTTTGAATAGAGGCAGACCGAGGAGCTGTCCAAACTGGATGCGTCAGAATGGGATCAAGGATCTTTCGGCCGCAAGATGGACGACTAAACGGATCCTGCCTACTTGAGTACATAGTCCTTCGTCATTTCGACTGCTAAGTTGAGGACTTCCATATTGGCAGGGTGAGTGCCGCACATGTTGGAAGTTGCATAAAGGCATGAGCAATAGCGAGAAATCGACGCCAACGATGGCCGAACAGTATGGAGGAAACTCAAAGTGTAGTATATCAAGATACTAATGGCTCTCAGACCAGACTTGACTACCTCGGTCATCAATGCACACGGCGGAATGCAGCGCTGGGAGGAAGTCCAATCAATCGAACTGAAACTCGACTGGAGGGGTGATGCACTCGTAGCTAAGGGTCCACCTGGCTATTACCATGCAACATGCCATATCGATACCAAGAACATCAAAGTGACTTTCCAGGGCCTAGGCCATGGAAACAGCGACGATCGACAAGTGTATACACGAAAGAGTACGTGGATAGAACACGGGGGTGGCACTATCATCGCCTCAAGAGACAATCCGTAGGAGGCATTTGCCGAGCATACGTACAATACGCCGTGGGATGATCTCCATGTAACTACTTTCGCCGGCTATGCTCTCCATAACTACCTTACGTTTCCGTTCCACCTTCGCTGGCCAGGCTTCGAGAGCCGAGAAGTCGACGGACATCAAGAGAACGGCGAGCAATGGCGATGTCTGGAAGTGACATTTCCAGATTACTACCCAACACACTGCAAGGTCGGGCTGTTCTACTTCGACAAGAACTTGATGTTGCGGAGGTTCGATTACGCACCGTTGGCTTTCAAGATGCCGGCGGCCCACTACACCTATGACCAGAAAGACGTCAGGGGAATCAAGATCCCTACTCTGCGGCGTGTCATCACGAGATGGCCAGAGGGACCGAAAGTTGATGGACAATGGCCTCTGCGAGGGCATACGAAGCAGGCTGGACCATCGGGATTCGTGATACTGTTCACGGATGTTGTTGTGCATGAGGAGAAAGGAGGCCAAGTTCGTGCGAAAGTGTAGTCTCTGGGGAACGAAGTTGGTCTTCCTGCTCGTCGCTGAGTAGAGCCAGATCAGTGAGTAGACCAACGCGGATTCAGCAGAAGAGGTTTTCACGGGCTTGAGTAGTAGTCGATTGCGTGAAGGATGTAGAGAACATCTAAGCTGGAAAACTCCATGGAGCGCTGTCGGTATTTGCTTCGATAGGATCTCCTGGTGACTACAGGAACTTAGTATCAAACTTCTCGCTAGACATCGCATCCATTTTGTATAGATTGACGGCTGAGACAAGAGTCTGCTTTTCTCCACGGTCTCCACGGGGTTTTGTTCGAGGCGGAGTCAATCCTTCGGTCGGCCTCCGTCCGATGAACACCACTTGGATATGTATAGGTTTTCTGCCCCCAGCACTTGCTTGACAAAGCATGCAACAATATTGGCTCAGAAGCGAGACCAAGCGCTGGAGAAGGACTGGATAACCGGAAGCGAATGAATTGCGAGACCTATTAAAGTACTGGCCGTGTTAACGAGTTTTCTTATCGGCAATGTCATCGGCGAAATCGGCGAGCACGACATCCATCTTCGACAATTTCTAGAATACCACTTCCCCCCATCTTGAAGACACACATACCAAGCCGGATCTCCTATTCATCAAGATGGTGACTACCGCCGAAGTCAGCACCCACTCCTCCGCAGAATCATGTTGGGTGGTGATCCGAGACCAAGCTTACGATGTAACACACTTCCTCCACGAACATCCCGGCGGCGTCAACAGTATCCTGGCCTATGCGGGAAAGGATGCCACCGAAGAATACGAAGCTGAGCACCCCGAAGGCACAATTCAGAAGCATCTTGATAAGAAGTACCACCTCGGTCAAGTCACCGGCGACTTCAAGATTATCGAACCTCCAACAAAATCGATAATCACTCCGGCCACCAACTCATCACGGCCGCCGATCAACCACATACAAAACCTCGACGAGTTCGAGCATATCGCCAAAGAGACTGCGTCTGCGAATGCGTGGGCGTACTATAGCACCTCGGCCAACACAGGAACGACTTTCCAGACAAACAGGAGTGACTGGAGTAAGGTGACCTTTCGTCCACGAGTCCTTCGCAATGTTGCCAAAGTCGACACACGTCAGAATATCATGGGCCACGTATCTGCACTTCCAATCTTCGCCGCACCGGCAGCTCGAGCAAAACTAGGCGATCCTGATGGCGAGCTTTGCATCGTTCGAGGGACATCTCGGGCCAACGTCCCCTACTGCACAAGCAATGCGACTTCGACGGCTCATTCGGAAATGGCCTCCTGCTTCAAGGCTGAGAATGAGAAAGGCAGCCAAGGGGCATTGTTCTGGCAGCTCTACGTACCTGTCGACAAGCCAAAAGCGAGGGAGCTCGTTCGAGAAGCCAGACAGCTCGGCTTCAAAGCACTCGTCGTTACTGTGGACTCTGCTGTGATTGGGAAACGAGAGGCGGATGCCCTGCTAAAAGCTCAAGTGGGCGAAAAGTTGGACCCTCTACCGGAACTGGATAACGAGGCCTTCGTACCCCGTGGAATCCACACGTCAACTCTCGACTGGAACGATCTGAAGTGGATCCGAGAGGAATGGGCCAGTACTGGTCCAGTGGTGTTAAAGGGCATCCAGACAGCAGAAGACGCACAACTAGCAATGGAAGCCGGCGTTGATGGGATTTACCTCAGTAATCACGGAGGCAGACAGCTGGACCATGCCCCGAGCTCTTTGAAGACGCTGCTTGAGATTCGAAAGTTCTATCCGCAAGTCCTTGAACGGCTGGAAGTGTATGTCGATGGAGGTTGTCGGAGAGGTACGGACGTCGTGAAATCGTTATGTCTGGGCGCAACAGCAGTCGGCTTTGGAAGGCCATTTTTGTATGCCTTGACCGGCTACGGCACGGCTGGCGTTGAGCGAGCAGTTCGCAGTAGGTCGGCTTCAAAACGATCATCAAAATTTGGCTAACAGAGTGGCAGTTCTATCGGACGAGATCCAGACGACGATGCGCTTGCTTGGAGTGACCAGCCTGGATCAACTGAATCCGAATTACGTGAATGTCAAGTTGTTGGAGAACGAATTGCCCGATCGAATAGATTTTCCCGTGCTGAAGAGTAGACTATAGTACAGACGTCCAGCTATACGGCCAAATCTTTACTTGACAGTCAGGATTTTGCGGCGTGATATGACTTCTTCCTGGTGGAGCAAAGTTTTGCAACATCGATGAAGAGCGTCGATCAAACGAGGTAACCAACCGCGAGAGGGTCTCAACAACAGCCATTCCGGGTATAGTCTCCGTTCTGAATGTACGCCGGGTGCCCGTTCGTCTTGACATCCTCTGTACCAAGTCGATCTACCGGCCCATCAACAACGTCCACGCCTTTGATCAGAGTTTTGATGCCTTTCCCCGTGGAAACATTCCAAAACGCCGTCTCTGCCTCATCGAACCCAACGACATTTGTCACAAGCTCTTTCACAGAGAGACGACTCTTGGCAAGCATCTCCACGGCAAGTCCATAGTCTCCTTCCTGATATCTGAATGAACCTTTGACCGTGATTTCTTTGCCACAAAGAGCTCCGATGGGGAAGACCACCTCTGACTTTCCCATTCCTGCTTGCACGTATGTGCCTCCAGTTCGTAACAAATGGACCGAAGTTTGAATGCAAGGTTCGGCTCCTGTGGCATCGATGGCAACGTCCACGCCATCTTCTGATAAACCACATGTGCGAAGGATGTCCGCCGCCGCCGCTTCTGCCGTTTGCTGCCTGGTTAGATAGGTCTGCGTAGCAGCGTATGACTTTGCGAAGTTCAGCCTGCTTTCTGACAAGTCCGCACAGACAATGTCCACTGCGCCAAAGACTTTCGCCACCGCACAGCACAGTAAACCAATAGGTCCAGCTCCAAAAATCACAATGCTCTGTCCGGGCTTGATTTTTGCTTGCCGGACAATGTGAATTGCAACACTGAGCGGCTCCACCAAAGCGCCCTCTTGTAGACTGATATGGTCGGCGAGTCGATGGCAGAAGTCTTCCGGAAGGGCATAGGACTTAGTCAAGGTGCCGTCCACGGGTGGCGTTGCAGCGAACTTCACATGTGGACACAGATTGTACTTTCCGCCTCGACATCGAGTACATCTCCGGCATGGGATACCTGGTTCCATGGCTACTCGATCACCAATCGCCAGAGATGTGACGTTTGACCCAACCGAGACGACGATGCCGCTGCTTTCGTGACCGAGGACCATAGGGTCATTGACGACATAATTTCCAATGCGGCCATGCTTCCAGTAATGCACATCTGAGCCGCAGATACCGGTATAGTGGACATGGACGAGGGCGTCATATGGGCCTAGTTGAGGGATTGTGCGGTGCTCGTAGGTGACATCCCCGGGCTTGTTGAGTACGAAGGATAAGTTGTGATGGTCTGGATCCTGATTGACGTTCTCAAAAGTCTTCGTATGATAAATCTGCTGGATAGTCATGGTCGTGTTTGTCTTGACAGTGGATGGCTGAAAAACGGCGATGCAATGAGGGCTGGGGATGTCGCAGACGTGGTTAAGGTACTTTTGAGCCATATTGACTCGGCAATTACGCTCCTCAGCCTTCCGCACCATGTTCTCTCGAGAAATACTGAATGAGGTGCCCCGAGCCCGCCGCAACCGACTTGTCACAAGCCATCCGTCGGAGACCTCAGGCGGTTCCGCCGGAACCGTAGCGTATCCGGCGGCCGCTTTTCCGAAGTAGGCAGGTACGGCTCGTAGCCAAAGTTCTGCCGACAGAGATGCCACATAATTGTCCAGTACATGTCGCAATAGAGCGGGATTTGACGAAGTCAGATAGTGCCATCTGTCCATGCCGTGCGGAGACTCCAAGCCTCTCCAGTTTCTCCACAGCCTTGGCCTGAAAGGGGAGCAGGACATAAAAGCACACGTTGTGCGGCGTGAATGCTAAAGTTCATTCAAGCAGGGGCATTGCAGCGAGCAAAAGCAGACTCTTCAATCAAACTGGAAGTCTTTTACCACCATGTCTTCAACCGAGATACGCAAAGGCTCCGTCACAGCATCCGAACATGTCCAACAGAACCAGACCATTATCAAGAACAACAGTGGACCTCACCCATCCAGCTCCTGGCTCGAACGCAAACTCCGACCCAGCAAGATCACACATCGCTACCCCATCAAAGGCAAATGGCTCCTCTATTCGACCTGCGCCTTCGGCAGCCTCGGCGATGCGTTGTTCGGATACAACTCTGGAATCATGTCTGGTCTTTTGGTCAACCCAGTCTTCATTAAGAAGTTCTTCTCCGACTACGGCGGTGCCAACGGCACAACTGAGGCCATCGATCCGACCATTACAGGAATTTCAGTAGCTTGCCTCCAAGCATCTGCTGCCGTGGGAGCTTTGATTGCCGGAAGATTAGGCGACATCATCGGGCGGAAGAAGTGTGTCCGCCTCGGAGGTTTCATCTACTTCTTCTCAGCCTTTATGCAGATATTTGCCCCAGACTTTGCAACTTTCGTGAGTCAACACTTTGGACTCCCAGCCATTAAAGTCGCTAATGCTCATGATTTCTAGGTGGCTGGCCGCACAATTCAGGGCCTAGGCGTTGGCTTCCTTTCCATGACCGTCCCAATCATCCAAACCGAGATTGCGAAAGCGCATCGCCGTGGTCTTATGGTCGGAATCGAATACACTTTCCTGATCGCAGGATACATGCTATCGTGCTGGGTCGACTACGGCTTCAACTTCCTGCTGGATTCGCAGCCAAAAATGTCATGGCAAGGGCCGTTCATCGTACAGATCGCGCTGTCGTTCATTCTGCTCGCGATGAGCTTCTTCCTTCCCGAAACTCCAAGATGGCTGGCTAAGGCAGGATTCTTGAAAGAGAGTCTGCAGGTCGTTGCAGATCTGCACACGCCTGACGGAGACACCGAGGCCGAGCATGTCCAAGCCACTTTCCTGGAGATTCAAGAGGCAGTCAGATATGAAGAGAGCCTGGGAAGCTCCAGCTGGACAGAGATGTTCACGAGATACCGCAAGCGCACGATAGTCGGCGTGACTGTGCAGATGTTTGCGCAACTCAATGGTAAGCCAGATCGGGAAGCTGTGTCGTGGCTGGGTACTGATTCTTTCGACTTGGCCAGGCATCAACATCATCTCATTCTACCTCCCATCAACTCTGTCCGCCGCGGGCTTCAGCGAACGCCGCTCGCTGCTTTATACTGCCGCCAATGCTCTGCCCTATACAGCTGCAACGGTTGCCACATGGTGGCTGGCGGATCGCTGGGGTCGTAAGCCCTTGCTTATCTTGGGAGGTGTGGTCATGGCTGTGATGCTCGCAATCGTTTGCGTTTTCAACGAAGCGAACCTGGACATCACCACGAAGGCCAACGGCCAGTACGCTTTCGTGATGCTGTACAACATTGTTTACGGCTTCACGTGGGGACCAATGCCTTGGCTGCTTCCGGCTGAGATATTCCCCCTGCGAGGCCGAGCGAAAGGGATGGCGTTGGCAACGACTTCCAACTGGATCTTCAATTTCATCATTGGCATGGTTTCGCCGGATGCTTTCGCTGGCATCCACGGGTACTTCTACCTGGTCATTGGCGGGTTTTGTCTTTTTTCGGCTGGCCTGGCACACTTCTACTACGTCGAGACTGCGGGACATACGCTCGAGGAGATCGCGACGGCTTTCGGGGACAAAGCGTTTGTGGCTGACGACGAAGAGGTGAAGGTCTCGGCGGCGACAGTCACAATGCCGAGTACGGGAGAGAAGGTCTAGCGAGTGCTGCTTTTAATCCAAGCATACCTGTGCAGAGCGGCGAATCCATACATATGTGATGAATACGAGTGACGCGTTTACATCTCAACTTGGTCAAACAGGTTGTCCCAAGCCGGATCCCAAATCCAGTGAACACCAGTGTCAGCACCCGGCTCCAGAGTCTGCCAGTCGATCCCAGCGCTCGATTCGGCAAGGCTCGGAGGTTGAACGTCCTGACTTGATGCTTCTTGTGGGTCGAAGTCTTCGGGGGCGACTGATTGTCGCTGCGACTGGCCGTGGCTCCCCGGAAGTAGGGTTGGAACTCCAGCAAATGCTGACACTTGTCAATGATCATGCTTCGCGTGCAGTGGCGATGATACCCACCTCGCTGGACCGATTCTAGGCCAGTTTGGAGTCGTGCGGTAGACTCATGCCCGCTCTTCCCGACACCTGAATGATCTAGCTCAAAGTTGGTGTACAATGGCATACTCAGAGCATCCTTGACTGTTAGTGCATCTGTATCTTCAAAGTCGTTGTCATCTGCGTACGTGTCTCTGAATCCCGAGACAATGGGCGCAAGGATTGCATCTGACTCTCGACTTATCAGCAATTCAACCAGGCTGCGGAGGACAGCTGCGCTCTGCTTGGACAGGACAGATCTGTGCTCTAAAGCCGATTGCATCCGATGTACTCGAGCGACAGTCCTCTTGGCTTGTTGCGCACGGTCTGTTAGTGGTTGGGACAATGCTACAACGATGAGAACAACCGCTGCGTTGAACATGTTCATCATGAGAAAGTTGATCAGATGACCGTCGGTAGCATGTTGTGCAAGCTGGGGCAGCTCGGCGATCTTTGCCGTGCGTACTGCAGCGTTCCATAGTTGCTCGTGGCTTGATGCGTCCCTGGTCGTAGCTCGTCTGGGCGAGGCTGCTGGTGCCGACAGGTCTGACTGCATGGAATCGAGTCGTCGCTTCATGAAAGGCCTGTGCAATACCAAGATGAGGCTGTCAAATGTGAGGTAAAGTGACAGAGACTGTAGTCTGTACGCTTTGTCTTCAGGATCCAGCGAAGCGGGCCAGTCCTCGCCAATGTCCAAAAGCAAGTGTCTGGGTAAGTTTTGCCGCCAGTGCCAGATCTGAGTGGTGACTTCGCTGACCAGCACTTGGTATTCTTCGGTGGTTTTGATGTGTTTGTCGTCCTCTGTTCGATAGACTCGCTCGATTGCTGGCGAGGCTATAAGATAGAGCTTGTTCAGCTCGCGCTGATACGTAGAGTAGCATATGCTGCTTTGTTGATCGTATGCCGACAACGGTACCTCCGGCAAATCTTCAGGCTGCTCCGCATTGCACACCTTTTCACTGATTCCGAACGGCCGTCCGTAATTCACTGAGGAGAACCTAGAAACGTTAGTCAGGCATACGCTGGGTGTGGCTTTACCCACCGATCCCAGGTGTAGATTGTCCACCACACACGCTTTCGCTCCTCTCGATCAAGACTAGTAGCCTGTGGGCAAGATTTGTGCAGACCTATTGATTGCGCAGCCTTGATGGTTGCGCCGACGAGCGAGAACGACAGATTGGGGCGGCCATGGTATACGTAGTATGAGCCAAGAAGGATCAGTGTCTGGATCGCGGTGATTGATCTCTGGTCCATGATGTCCACGATCTGAGACTCAGCGTTGTGTACCATCTTCTTGCTCAGGTTCTGCCATCGGCTCCGTTCATTGTGGGAAAAGGCTCTGTGGGCGCGGTACCACGCTGACAAGCCGAGGATGGTGGACAACAACAGCAGGAATGGCTTCTCAAGAGCTGTGGCATATCCTGCACGGACGGCATCATATGCCACGATGAACTTGGGCGTTACAATCACCAGTGAGAACCAATGGACTGAAGCAAAATATTCGGCCAGTAGCTCATCGATATCTGCGTCATTAGGGAGCGGAAACGTCAGATAAGATGATGTACTTGCGGAGTTGGTCAGCTGATGCGCCAACGGGCTATCGTTGGCTCCTGGTATAGCATCTACATCATGGCCATAAACCGGCTGGTTGCGCAGGGCATGAATCTTCCTCGCAATGCTGATTGTCGAGTCGCCGCCGACGTCCTGGATGTTGGCACTGGAGCCTTGAAGGAAATCAACAGAGCGCCTGTCCTGAGGTAGATTGTGCTGCGCGGATCTCTCATTTGCACGGCTCAGGCCACGCTGATCGGACTCTGCCTCATTCAGCCTTCGACGCTTGACAGCACCGCTCGGCCCACTGGGTGGACTAGTATGTGACCATTCAATACGGCTGCCTGTCGTAACCTGTTGAGGCGAGGAGTTGTTCTCGCACTGGGCATTTGCGCGGAGACATAGTGAGCATGGGCGGTAGCTGTCACACTGGTCGATTTATCAGAATTGCCCGGGAAAGGGATCGGACGGAGGAGCGGACTCGAGACTTATTGCGGCGGCATCTGTTACACGCACGGTTGACTCTCGTGGGCAAAGGGTTCTGCGGGATCATGAATAGGAGCAGCCTTGTTTCGTGGTGATGAAAGGAAAAGTCGCGTCGGTGTAATTGTTGTTGTTGTGAAGGAGGAAAAGTCAATTCGTGGAGCATTGCTCAGCTGCGCCTCCGTGCATATGCCCGGCTTGTCCAATCGGACACAGAGCCGATATCGATAGCAGTATTGAGCGGCCAGGGGTCAAGAGGAAGAACATTCATGTCCTCCTTGCTCCGCTTGCACTCATGTCTATCACCTACAAGCTGTCTGAACAGGATGAAGTACGACGAGGAGCCTCAGAGGCTATTGAATCGGAGGAACGACGATTCCATGCGCTCCACTTTGCCTGGAATAACTGATGTACTTTTGCGGCCGTATTTTGCCTCACTTGTTTCCAGCAATCACGACACCTCGCCAAACTCCGCAACTCATAACAACCTTATCACTGTGTTCAACCAACTACACTCGCATCTCGTGCTCCCTCAGCGACAGTGCCATTCGAGAGATCAACGGCACACGTCCGAAACTTTCTGGCGCTCACTCTGTTGTTGAACAGGACGTCCAGCTCCGCAAAAGTCCTGTTCTTGGCCTCAGGCAACCTGAAGTAGGTCCACACCGTCGATAGGATACTGAGACCTCCCCAGAAGAAGCCGGCTTTTGCACCCCAGTTCCACGAAGTTGGATTGAGCATGTGCGGCGTCAAGCTGGCATTGACTAGACCCAGGATACTCCAAGCGCTTGCTGCGAGGACGATGGACTTTTGGCGGAGTCGGGTCGATGGAATTTCTCCGATGATGGCGTAAAGTAGCTGTACCTGCAGTCAGCGAGGAATTATGGCTTCAAAGGGCGAGACGTACCGGTCCGATGAACAAAGAGTGCACGCAGAAAAACACCAACAACAGCGCCCCCTTGGCCCAATTGGCAGAATCATTGTGATCTGATGCCAAGCCCAGGAATCCGATGATCATCAGCAAGATGCTGGAAAGTACCATGCCGGTCAGATACAATGTCCGCCGTCCAAAGCGAGCCATGAGAAACCACGAAAGGACTGTACCGACGAAGCCGATCGCATACTGAGCCATTGTGAGATCAAACGAGTCGGTTGTAGACAGTCCAGCTTGCTCGAAGAAGTACGTCGAGTATCCAGAGAGACCGTTGCCTGACAGATACTGAATGAGATACGCTGGATCGGGTCAGCCCGGGATCGCACATCCACACTGACTTCCTTACCCATGCAGACAATCTCTGTCCTGCGCAGATCAACGCCTTTGAAGCAGTCGAAATACGACGTTCCACTCTGGACCTCTCTCTCGATGTCGTTGGTATGAATCATCAGCTTCAGGTTGTCATCAAGCTCTGCATCGTCAGGTCTTGTGGCCAGCCTTCGCAAGGACCGTTTTGCGTCTTCGAATCGAGCTCGTCTGATCAGGAACCAAGGACTCTCGGGTGCGAAGATGATGCCAATGAACAGGGGTGCAGGCCAGATCCACTGGATGGCAAATGGTATCTTGTAGCCCCATTTGTCCGTCCGGGAGAGCAACCCACGCAACACTCCAGCGCCAATGAAGTGCCCGAAAACCCAACACAGATTGATGTACGAGGTCAAGTAATGTCGTAACACGACAGGAACAACCTCCGAGGCGTACGCAGTGGTGAGACCTTGGAACATGCCGAACGGGATGCCACAGAGAATCTCGCCCACCAGAAGGACCGTCAAGTTGGGCGCAAAGAAGAGAATGAAGATGAAGCCCGTGGTAGCCACCAACGCTCCCAGCATGACGCTCCTGTGCCCGTACCGGTCGGAGAGGAACCCGTTCAGGATAAGCCCAATTATCCCGCCAACGTTCGAACCATCAGAAAGTCCACTCTGCCACGAAGCTGGGATCTGGTATCCCTTCTTGGCCGGCTCGCCGTACTTGCGCTGGAATGACGGATATGCGTAGAAGCTGCCGAGCAATATGGTATCATATGCCAACATGACGATCGTGGTGGAGAGAAGAATGGACCATCCAGCTGCTTTGGGATACCGTCGGAGGCCTTCCAACAAGGACATGTGGGTCTGTGTGACGGCGGCTTCGACGGCGTCGCCAGCCTTCTGGGCGGAAGCTTCAGTTTCGACATCTTTGCTGCTGAAGACTTGGGCGGCTGGCAGCTTGTCCAGTTCGCCCTTCTCGTTCGAAGGCAAGGCCTCGTTATCACCGCTCATCGTGGCGGCTCTCCAAGCAGGTATGTGTCCAAGCCTCGATATCGATTCGGCTGACGGCGACCTCGTTTGAGCTTGAATCTCTCAATGGCTTTCTTTGTGTTTGGCACGTCTAACTAGCAGGTCTTGAGTGCTTTAAGGACCAGGTACAAGACACTGACATGGCGCGGCGATAACTGTCTGTTGAGCTTGGTCAAGCCGATTTCGCGAGAAGGGATCTGGATAGGATCAGCACGCCATCGCAGCTGCTGCGAACGCCACGCAGGGTACAGCAGCACGCATAGTCGTATTTCGGTATCGCGGCACCGTGCCACACGTTCCATTGCACAGCTCTCCACATCGGCAAGAAACTTTGTTTCTTCCAACTCCAGCTGGCCACGTGCGAACTAATCGACCAATGGAGGGTTTCAAAAACAGTACGTATTCACAGTCTCTCCTACATTCCCAGCTGGATTACTTTTACAGATCAGTCAGGAGCACTACTTCTTCTTCTCGCAGCATCGAAACTACACCGAAAAGTGTTCAACAGTCCCCGGTCCACTGTATGTCGGCCCACCAAGTTTGCCACCTGTGGCATTGATCAAGGTCCTTGAGTAGACCAAGGGATAGTCCACTTGGATGCTGGTGGTCACCACTCTCGCCTCCAGCAAGCCGCCATCCGGTAAGGGCATGCGTACCACAGCGCTCTGCAGAATGCAAAAGGTGTCGTAGGTTGGGTCAAACAATACGCTCCCCTTCTGACAAGAGCTCACCAATAGCTTGCCATCCTTCGACACGTACGCATCGGCGAAAGGCTCGCCACTGGTCGCAGACCCGTTGAAGAAGACGATGGACCAGGGACCGAAGTGAGCGTGACCCCAGAATCAAATTTCGATGGCGGTCTCAAAGATGGTGTCCCCCCAGGTCTTGTCATGATAGCCGAAGCCATTGACAGTGAACTTCTCGCCACCCAGGATCTCGAATTGGCCGGTCGTTGAGGCAGCTGGCAATGCGTTCGACCAGCCCACGTGTGGTACGATCTTCAGCCCGCCGGCCGTTGTTCAGATTCGTTGTACAGGGATAGTGGGCCGGTGCGATCTATGAAGGTCAGCCCGAACTCTCTATCTTTGTCTGCACGACTCTTACGCTCTTTTACTTGATGGAACCCCGGATTGGAGTCGGTATACCAGGAAATGAGAACATTTCAATCTTGATGGTTGCCTCGCTGAGGTCTGGGGCCACAGTGAAGTTTCCGATGCTCCCCCCAGTGCCTTGAGCTCCATTTCCATATTTGGCACCGCTCTTGATCGTTGCTCCTTGGATGGCAGCTCCACCGCTCTGGGTTGTCGAGCCATTTGGCAGCTTGACGTTGACGATGATCGAAGTGATTGGCAAGCCAGCTGTAATTTGGAAGGCTGCTGGGGTGTTCGTGAAGAAAGCAATGACGTTGGAGGTGTTCAAATCGCTGGACTCAGTATCAAACCACCACCACTCGTAGTCAGTGGCGGTGACGCCGGTGATGTGAGGGGAGTCCAGCGAGTTGGGCACCGAGAAGTATAAGACGTTGATGTTGGCCAGAGCAGGGGTCGGTGGAACGTACGTCGTCCCCTCTGATCCATCTTGTGTCTGACTAAAATTTGCAAGAAGGGAAACTCATGCAGGCAGCAGGTGTGAGAGCTTCATTCTGCCCTCTGACGAAGCCGTACCGATGGAAGAACTTCCAGGAGTGATGCGTCTTGCTACTCTTTCACAGCACCACCCTTATGTACACGGGCCAACCTACCTCAACTCAACAAGTCCCACGCCGATGTATCTTCGGCACTCTCTCGATTGAGGCCCCTATTGTCGGCCTGGCAATGTCGAGTCAGGACTCCTTCTCCTCTGAATCCATACGCACGCTTCACAATCGCGACATCGATGATACCTCTCCCATCTCATCCTGCTGGCACCTCCTCTCAACCACAGCGACCTCTCTCGGGTATTTGCCGGGCTCGGCTGCATTACAAGGCTGAAGCATATCGACAAGCCTTCCACTAAGCTTCCACGTGGCTTGGGGTCTTCGCACTTCTCCATAGCTCCTCCTCACGACAGCTGTTTGGACACGGCCGCCTGTGACATGTTTGCCGAACGAAGATGTCAAGTGCATCATTAGACGACACAGTTTCCTCACTCCAGCAATACGATTGTTACCCATACACCCTCGAGTGCTGGCTGTGCCGTCAGGGACATTCACAGACAAGAATATGTCCGGCATAAGAATATGGATCGGGCGTCGATGCCTCGAGTCAAGGACTATGACAACATGTATACAACACGTATGAATACGTCAGACTGCCTGTTCTGTGACCAGCTCCTGCTTGCGTTGGCGAACAAACCGAGTGTAGCTGCACGTTGGTAGAGCTCTCCGCAGCTTGAATACTTTTAACATGTATAGCTACCACGCGCTCCGGCTATCGAGCACGGCACAATCAGGCCCAACAAAGCACATTGTGACTCCATACGATGTCACCAGTACTCGGCTTCCTAAAGCAATCGGATATTCCATTTCTACCTTCGACTTTGAGCGTGTGGGCTCCGGCCAGGTCTGTCCCCAAGTCCCTGTCAGCTCGGTCATCACTTACTTACTCGCTATGACGATTGGTCGAGCTTTGTCATAACATAGGTTGAACACTGAGGAACGTAATAAAGCGGCAGGATGACGATCTCATTTAGGCCTGAGTCGAAGCGATTTACCTGGATTCGTTATTCGACCTTGGAGTTGAAGCCATATCTATCAGTAAATGAACAGCTGCCAAGGACTAGCTAAGGTTGCTAATGTTCCTGTACTCAATACCGCCGATCCAGACCCTCGCGATATCTAACGTGTTCGTGATATTCTTCAGCGGATTTTTGTTTAAAAGGACCAAATCTGCCCTTTTCCCGGCCTCAATCAAACCTCGGTCAAATTGGCGGTGCATGAAGGCAGGAGAGCTTGTTGCTGACTGAATCGCCTCTGCTGGAGTCATTCCAGCGTCGACAAAATGTTGAAGCTCCCAATGGAGCGTGAGGCCGAAGGGGTCTGTGATAGATCCGTCACCTATATTGCCGATCGCATCGGTTCCCGCCAGCATGGGCACTCCTGCTCTGTGAAGGACTCTCGCATTTTGCTTCGCCGTAGCGTATGATCCGTTCGTGGTATTGCTTCCTAACAAGAAAGGCACAAAGCCGGGTTCGCTGTCCAAGAGCTTGAAGATGTTCAGAGTGGGAGTAACGAATTGTGACTGCTTCCGGAGCTGGATTACCACATCTGTTGTCAGTGGCCTGTCGGCGGGTATGTGCTGTAACCCGTCACTGCCGGATGAAACCGCCAGCTCGTACCAGTACATTTCGGTAGCGTGGGTCATTGCTTGGTGTCCTCTTGCATGTGTTTGTCCCACGACAGCGCGCTGTACGTCCAACGTAGGTCCATTCAACTCGGATACAATTTTCATGTACTGTGAACCATTCCCAAAAACCCGGGATACTACGTCAGTAGCTTCGGACGTGCAGTTAATGGTTTCATCCGCAGGCAAACCACTGAGCTGTTGGTGATGACTCCCGAGTCCGACAGCTGCAAGTCCGGCCGATAAAATTTTCGTAAGGCCAGGTTGATCCGCCAGTATTGCACATGCTGTATAGTTGAGACAGTTCATGTTAAAAGCAGTGGTAACTCCATAGCTACTCAAATCTTCTAGGTCCGATATGTCAGAGACATGCAGATGGCTGTCTATAAGACCGGGAATAAGGTATCGACCATCGCATTGTATTGTATCGGTAACGTCCACTGCTCCGTTGACTATAATGCCGTCCGCTATGAATACTGTGGTCGGCTCCGAAAAGTGGTCGTGATGGAAGACTCGCACATTGTGCAATGCAGTACTGCCGTTGTGTTGGGATGGCAAGGTCCCTCGTCTCTTGAGGTCAAGAGAGTGGCGTGGTTGGGGATGAAAACACGCCCATGTAACGCCAGCAAGTAAGTGAAGAAAGATTTTGTCGTGAAATTTCATCGTCAAGTGGCGAGCTCACAACACCATCTTTCCCTCTCGCATCTCAGGCGCTTCCTAGGCGGATATTTGAATGTAATGCCCCGGACTCAGATTGTGAGCAATGTGGGACACGAGGGACTACGGGGACACGGGAATACGTGGGACGCGTGGGACATCGACTGATCGTAATCCATCACACTGTTTTGATTGCTCTCCCATGGTAGGCGACGCAAGGCTTAATTCCGAGACCCGGTCTACGCTGACTAAGTACTTTCTATATTTACATAATGACTTCATACGAACTGATACTAGCCGCTTATGTCGGTCTAAAGGCTATGCCGCGACTTTACCAGCCCGACTAACTTCGTCTAGTGCTAGGGAGTCGCGGGTTGGGCGCGTGAATTTTGATGTTAGGAAGGATGGTTCGATTTTTAAGAGAGAACACCGCTATAATCACGCTGCTGATCGCAGATGCTCCCTCGCTGTGGTACAAGATTGGCTTGATGAGGAGAGAATGGGCCAAACCGTCAGGTCACGCAGGAGCTCCATAGTAGTTGTAAAAATATGTGAGTACGGCCACGATGTATCGCATATGCCGTTCCGCTTACAATCGGGCTTCCATATTCCCGGATCTGCAGATTTCGTGTTCGTTCAAAGGAAGGGAATGATGCATAGGTAAGTGCGAGGAAGTGGCTGGCCAAACTTATCCTTCTCTTATCGTCCGATCACCATGGAAGAGACGCTGAACGATGACGCCACATCGGCAGAACCGGCATTCGTGCACGAGCGGGACAAATGCCACGGCTGTGCCTTCTTGGAAGTTAAGAGAAAGTTGGCTTGCATGAAAGCCCGGAACTCGTATGATGTAAGCAGAGGTCGACCAGATATGGCATGTTTGCCTACAAATGGAAAGATGCGGTAGTGTCGCTTAGATGAGATTCGAGCACAGCGTAGGAGCCGTCGCGTCTTTCTGAGGCAACGGTCGATCCCATATGGAACTTTTTCAGGAGCGTACCGGGCGAAGTGGCGTGATTGCCCTTGCATGGGCCCCATACTGGAGGTCTGGAAAACAGCCAGCTAATCGGTTGGTAGTATTCGGGAGAGATGCGAGGGTGTGAGATGTGGTGGTTCAGGTCGAAGTTCTCCGCCACGTAGAGCAGAATTGAGCCCGATTCGAATATTCGGACGATATCGCCGCTGCATCGCCGGTGTACGAGCATTCTCACAGTTGTATATGTAAGCGAACGATAGATTGTTGCTTTAAAAGCGGCGAGGCGTCGTGTACCTTCCACATAAATGCCAAGGCTGGGATCGCAAGTCTCGCGTTTGGTTCACCTCCCTTGTCGTGCCCTTCCTGCGTATTTTAAACAACATTAAACTGTGCCATGCGACTTCGCACTTGCAGGCGAGATCGCCCTACGCCCAGACATCAACGCTTTTCACAGCAAATGCTGTCCCAAGAACAGTCAACGCTGCTGTTCGGCCCGAAATTCGGACATTGAAGCCGGCTTCGCGGCCGCATTTCGGCACCTCGAAACAGCGTTCAGCATCCTCACATGTCTTATGAAGGACTGAGATTTTCTGACCATCGGCGTAGGCGACGGAACTATGGGCGATAATACCGTCCGCGCCTCGGAGGGAGTTGTGGCAAACACGTACTTCACTGGGTGCTAGCAGTGGCGCCAGAACCGCGGACTGCTAGTTTGTTGTAAGTATTTCAGATAGACAACCCGCTGCTTTACGACCCAAGAGCAGTGCAACCTTTGCAACGACACCCACATTCACACCATGTTTCCTCACGCAAAAGTCCAAACCGAGCACTACGACGTCATAGTTGTTGGGGGAGGCAATGCCGCTTTGGCAGCAGCTTTGTCCGCTCACGAACAAGGCGCCAATGTCTTGGTTCTTGAAGCTTCTCCAAAAGAAGAAAGAGGAGGCAACAGTAGTTTCGCAGGCACAGTCTTCAGAGTCCCTTATAACGGCCTTAACGATGTTAAAGAATTGCTCGGCGAAGCAGCTCTGCCCGATGCAGATCTGGTCAACATCGACGCATACACCACGGAGAAGTACAAGAAGGACTTTGCGGCTGTCAGTCATGGACGGAACGATCCTGCCATGACACAAGTGCTCCTCGAAAATGCGTTCGATGCAGTTCACTGGATGAAAAAGAAGGGAGTTGAGTGGGATCTGGCACTGCGGAAGTATTATGGTGTGGATAACCTCAAACCTGGCGAGAAAGTCAGCATGGAGTCTGGCGGAGTTCTCATGGCTAAGGGGGGCGGTGTGGGCCTGATGGAGAACCTTTGGGCGGCAGTCGAGCGAACAAACATCATGTCAAGTACGACAGCCCAGCTCAAGAGTTGATTGCATCGGGAGACACAGTGCTGGGAGTGAGAATCAGGCACAGAGACCAATGGCTTGACATCTATGGAAACGTTGTCCTGGCATCTGGAGGCTTCTCCGCGAATCCAGCCATGCGCCGACAGTATCTTGGAGAAAGCTGGGATCTGGTGCTGGTACGTGGATCTCGTTTCAATACCGGCACCATGCTTCGTCGTGCGATTGATGCGGGTGCCGCACCAGTGGGTCATTGGGGCGCCGCTCATGCATCGCCACAAGATATTAACGGACCACTTGTCGGCGACATCAACGTATCGCCCATGATGCCTCGCTACGCATACCAATTCGGTATCACAGTCAATGTGAACGGGGCGCGCTTCTTCGATGAAGGCGAGGACTTCTTCGGTCGGACGTATGCGAAGACTGGCAAGAAGATCGCAGACCAGCCAGAAGCAAAAGCTTTCCAATTGTATGATCAACGGGCGATCAAGCTTGGACTTTTACCCAAGCGCTATCAAACTGCAACTCCTATCCATGGCAACACGATCAAGGAGCTGGCCACTGCAATCGGTGTCAATCCTGATGATCTGCAGAAGACGGTCGATCAGTTCAACGCCACTTGTCCAAGTGACAAAGGATACGACCCATACCAGCTGGACGGACACGCGACAGACGCAACTGTCTCCCCACCAAAGTCAAATTGGGCTGCGCCGCTTTCGCAGGGCCCCTTCGTTGCGTACGCCGTGACATGCGGCATCACTTTCACGTACGGAGGCATTGCAACCGATACCTCTGCACGCGTGTTGAACAACGAGGGACGCTTCATGCCGGGGTTATGGGCGATTGGAGAGATTGCAGGTGGTCTTTTCTATCACAACTACCCTGGCGGTGCCGGTCTGACGAAGGGTACTGTGTTTGGTCGCATTGCTGGACGCGAGGCAGCACGCACGTCACCCAAAAAGGTGACATTTGCGAATGGAGCCTCGGTGAATGGAAACGGACACAAGGTGTTGAATGAGCTGAACGAGGAGCCGTGAGGCAAGGGGAACGCGCAACGAGGCGCGCGTACGTTGGCAGTGGCGGCGTGGTTCTGGAATCTTTAGGAGTGGTATGTTGGCAGCTCAATGCATTGCTAGTTGTGGACTGGAAGGCAGAATGTACTTTGCGGAGTTCAGGTTTCTGATAGATGTCTTTCGCACTTGAATGCCGTTCGGCTTAACCATGCAGCATTTTACGAGGCTTCCTTCACAGCCTTGCTCCTGTTCCACTTCACTTATCAGAGCTATGACCAGATTGCGACAGTGCTGATAATTTTTGTCCTTGACCATTGGTTATCTCTTCCATGTCTATTGCCAACGGAAAATGAGCGCAACATTCAGGGGCTTGGAAAAGGTCTCCGAAAAACGGCAGAAGTAGACCGAAACAGCCCTGTCGGGACTTTTCCTCGGACAGCCTCCAGGAACCCCCGCAATCCTCTCCGCAATATCGCGCCTCTTGACACAAATTCCAACCAAGGTTGCAACACCGCATTTGTGGAGCGACATAGCACGGCAATAACAGCATTGTCCGTTCCGACCTCGCTGATTGCTTCGCATAGAGCTGATATCGAGCAATGAGCCTTTCGGGTTCTTGACATGGCTTGCCAAGAGCATCTCGCTAATAGAAGCTTCAGAGGGTGAAGTGCAGCTGGCTTAGCGATGTTGCTTGCCCCAGATTCCCCAGCTTCCCCACGACAGATCAGCATCAGTCATGCGCCAGTGACAGCCTTGCGTCCAAAGTATCAATGTAGAGTCCGAGCTCCGGCAGGCCTGCTATTGCGTCTTCTCGCACTGAAAGCCGACTAACGGACATCTCACCTGTGTGTCGTCGTACCTCAGATTTGCTGGCCCGCAAAAGTACATATGTCATCGTGGCGAGTCGAGACAACGAGCAAAGCAACGAGAAAACCATAAAGACGAAACATTGGACTTTCAGAACCAGTGCCTGCGGGAGAGGAGAAATCTCGCAATGTTCGTATGCAGATTGAATGGCGTAGACTCCCTTTCTCAACCACGATGAGCTCTTCTAAGCTTCGCTCGAGATGGCCCGTTAAGATATGCAAGGTGAGCGGAACCAAAGAGTGGCGCTGCCTAGAACTCCATACCCGGGAGTTTCGATGCCATTCTCGGAGTCGTCGGCCAACCCCCTCATTCCTTTGCCCAGCCTTGTCTTGACAAACCCACCTGGTAGATCGCTTTCTCCCTGGAGCTCGATCTCACACAACCTTGCAAAGGCCGACATCGATATTTTGACCACTTTAAGCCCTCTATTTGTTCGAAATGTCTCGAATCAACAAGGCAGACGATGTTGCACTGCAGTTGGAAGAGGCAGATACGTTTGGGAACGAAGACGCTGTGAAGCCGGTGTACATCCCCAACGATGAGAGCTCCCACAAGAAGACGAAGGCTGAGAGACGGTTCATCACAAAGTGTGACTTCGTCATCGTGCCGTTGGGGGCACTGCTCTACTTCGTCGCATACGTCGTGAGCACTGTCGTCACTACTGAGCTTCTTGGAAAATCATGCTCACCTCATCGGCTTTAGGACCGCAACAGTATTGGAAACGCCCGCGTACTTGGCACTGGCATGCAGAATGATCTTGGACTATCCGGCGATCAATGGAAAAATTGCCTCTCGATGTTCTGTGAGTGTCAACTGTTTCCCCTCCCTATCACGGCTTTATCTGACCTCAAACACCTAGTTGTGGGTTACATCATCTTCATGTTACCCGGTAACATCCTTATCAAGGTCTTGCGACCCAACCGCCATCTGGGCGGCACAGCTCTCCTGTTTGGCGCTCTACTTGCTGCCATGTCAGCAGCGTCCAACTACGCAACTGTAGTTGCGTTGCGTCTTCTGATCGGCGCCGCTCAGGCATTTCTGCAAGGTATCTCGATCTACTGCTCGCTCTGGTACAAAAGAGACGAGTTCGCGACCAGACTCGGTTCGTACTTCATTTTGCGCAGTAACTTTGGGGAGCGTCTGACATTTTCCTCCAGCTTTCGTCTACTGGGCAGCAACGATCTCTGGGGCTTTCAGCGGTCTCATTGCATATGCTGTGGGAGATTCCTTACGATTGGAAAACACTGGCAGAGACTCTTGGAGATGGCTCTTCATCATCGAGGGATCTATGGCCATGTTTGTTGGTATTCTGGTTTGGTTAATCCTACCCCCTTCTCCGGAGAGTTTGAAGCAGAAGACTTGGCTGCTCTCCTCAGAAGAAGTCGTCCTCGCAAAGCAAAGAAGCTCAAGTACGTTGGAAAGGCGATAGAGAGTTCGCTAAATGCTGATATTGAAACAGCTTACAACACCCACGAATCTCGAGTCGATTGGCGACAGATTTTAACGACCATGAAAGATCCCAAGTCGTGGGTATTTGCAAGTCTAAATTGCGGCGTCTCTCTAGGAGTCTCGTCCATCAGCCTCTTCTTGCCTACCTTCATTCATGAACTTGGGTTCTCTGGAGGTGAGATGAATCTTATCTCATTGTCATCGCTCGCTGACTTGTGTGATAGAACGAACTCAGCTCTTCAGTGTCATCCCTTATGCTTGCGCTTCATGCGTAATTCCCCTGTCTCTTGTATCCGATCGCCTCAATATCAAAGGCCCATTCCTCCTGGGCACGATCCTGGTAACATGCACCGGATACATCATTCTGCTTTGCGAAGTCTCGGTTGCAGCCAAGATCGTCGCCTGCTGTATTGCAGCAAGCGGCTTATACCCATCGGTGATCTTGATGCAGGCCTGGATAGTAGGCAATATGGCGGGATACACCAAACGAGCCACGTCCTGGGCGATGGCGGAAATCTTCGGCCAGTGCTTTGGTGTTCTGGCTTCTCACGTCTACACGACTCCGCCGAGATTTATCAAGGGGCATGCGATCGTCCTGGGCCTTCTTCTCTATGCCGCAGTGATGACGGTGGCGTTGATGTGGTGGATGATGCGTGCCAACAAGAAGAAGCAGGAGGAGATCTTGCGATACGAGAGTGAAGGCATGGTTCATCCACACAAGCTGAAGTCGTTGGAGGAAGTGCAGGACTTCCACATTGACTTCAAATACATCATCTAGGATAAGTTACAGCTCAGCGGTCGATGGCGCATGAGGTGGGACTCTCGAAGGCGAGATGGTTGAGGTGAATTTCACATGAACGCCAAGCTTTGGCGTTTGTTTAGCGCTCAAACTAGCGGCTTCAGGTTGTTTCTGCCTCACGCAAACAATGGCCACCACGTACAAAACGCACTTGCCAAAATTTCTCCACTTGCTTCAACTATCCCCAGCGAACAGCTTCTCTCAACCCTACTATCGAGCCCACCAACACCATGGACGCCCCCACAGCCAGCGAGAGAGAAAGCAGAAGCACAACCTCCTCACCCAACGACAGGCCTCCAATCGCCGCCAACAACGAGCTGTGGGTCGTCCTCTCGCGCGCGAAGTCCACCTCCACCAAAGCGAAGCTGAAGAAGCTCCTCACCTTCGGCGCCAAGAAGCCCATCACATTCGTCAAGATCGAGGCGATTCTCACTTCAGCGCACGAGGTGATGGAGTTCATGAAGAGCTACGCGAGAGAGCACGAGGAGATGGAGAGACATGAGGTGGAGATTTGTTACTCAGATGGGAAGCAGGCGTTGAAGTGGGATGATGATACCGGGGGGTTTGACGAGGTGGCGACGGGGGTGAGGTTTGTGGATAGGAAGGAGAAGGTTGTGCGCGATGTTTGGGCCCAGATGGTGAAGTTCGTGGATGGGGTACGGGTGGAGATGCTTTGATCGCGCTGGAGACAGCATGGAAATGGGGAACAGAAGATAAGACACTGCTGTACCAGCATGGAAATGCAACAACATCCCACGAAAGCCATGGCCGACCATGGCTTCAACTACAATACCAAGACTTCGGCGTCGCATGGTCCTTGAAGATTGATGTCCATTCAGTCTTGCATCTCCACATCCCCGCTGCCATCAACCACACCCTGCTTGGCCAGATACAACTTCTTGTAACCCTCCCACCACTTCTCATTGACCCACAGCTGATGACCACCATAGCTTTTCAAAGCCCTTCACCACACTCGCCGCATCAGATAACAGCCACCTCGAAACCTCCTTCGCCACCTCACAGCCCTGCGATCCGCAGCTTCACCAAAAATCCGAGCATAAGCCTCCAGCCGCGGCGACTGTTCCTGGATTGTCTGCAGATGCAAAGGATTCATCTCGACATGGCCAGGTGGTTGCAGACCCATACCCATCAGCGCAGGCATCTGAGCGACAACTTCAACAGGAGCAGCCATGACGCCGTCGAAACCAATAACGCCAACAATGTTGAACTCATTATCAACGAGAAGGTTGTGAGGCCCTAGATCACGATTGACGAGACTGAAAGGACCCTCTTGTCCCGGCTTGCCGTAAAGCTGCATCAGGGTAGGAAACATCTTGGGGATGTAGTCGAATGACTCATGCTGGCGAAGAAGAGGGTCGGTGACAGTATCCGCAGCGATGAAGACCTGCCCGGCGAGGTCCTTGTAATACTCTTCAGCCGTGTTCCATGGTCCTTTACCAGTCTCGAGCTCAGGACCAATCTTGAAGCCGTCGCCGTCTTCGTACAAGCTTCCGATTTGGTCGAATTGAATACTTGCGAGCTCGATGTGGATTTCTGCCACTCGTCGCCAGAAGCGCTCGTTTTGAGCTGGGGTGCCGTATGTGCCGTATTGACATCCTCTCTTCTCCGCCAGCTCCTTTGCGGGATCACCTGAGATGTACTGCATGAACATGTAAGGCGTTCCGAGTTCGTTGTCGGGATTGAGGTCGTATGCGACGATCTCGGGAATGGGTAGGGTGGTCTTCTGCCTACGTCTTGATCAGTACGCACTCATCTACTCTCGACAATGAAGAATACTCACCTCAAGAACTTGGTCGTCGCAATCTCCATTCTCATAACACTCTCAACATCCATCGCCTCTCGATCACCAAAGACAGAGGAAAGAGCGGGCAGCCTCAATCGAACGACCCAGCTCACTCCATTGTCGAAATGGACGCCCCTGACGAGATTGAAGTGGCCAACCCGATGCGCCTGGCCGAACTTGCAGAGCTCACCTCCTCGAAATTTCGAAGCGACTGCGGCTACAGCATCCCAGTCCATCGAGAGCACGAACTGATTGGTTCTGAGCTGTAGTGCTTTTTCTTCTTCGCTCGCCTCCTCTTGATGAGCATCTTCGGAAGTCTCGGCGTGGATTGGTCCGTCCGTTATGGCGGATTGGTCTGCACCTGGGAGGTCCTCGATCGATTGATCTACTTGTGGGTCGAGATCAGTAGTAGCGGGCTCCTGATGATGTACACCCACGTCTTGTACCATTCTTGTGTCTTCGCCGGGCTGGTCTCTTTCCACATCTCCTGTCAGCAACGACGGAATCACAGTATCATCATCACTCGCAGCAGCTTGCATGGCAGCCAACTTCGCAGCTACTGTCGCATTGAAAGCTGCCCTCTCCTGTTGCAGAACAACCTGTCCTTGTCGATGGCCAGCCAGATTCGCGTGTGCATCGTCTCGCATCTGCACGAGTTGTGCACGAAGGCCAAGTGCCGCTCCGCGGATGTCTTCATCAGGAGTCACCTGGCGTTGTGAGCGACGTGTGGGTCTGGCACGGCTTGAACCTCTTCCTGAAGTAGACATGGCAGTTGTGGCGATACTTTGAAATGGGCATGGACATGACCAAATTCATGGGCATGAAATACGAGAGATGCTGCGGAACGGATTCATTGCCTTGTCTCAAATTCCGTGCAGCAAACTGGTTTGAAAGCGGGAGAAACAACTCTGTCCAGACATGCAGCATGAGGCAGCCCTCGAGGTCTACTGGTGGTTTCACACCAAACACTTACAGCCATTAGGCAGTGTCGTCGCAGAATTGCTGATTGTGATGAGGAAACAACATCCCACGATGCTGTCGCGGCACCAGGAGGCCTCTCCTCGTTTCTCAAACATGCAGTCGAGTGATCGTCTAGCCAAGCCGTGGACGGCTCGCATGTAGAATGCGACAGTCTCATACATTTCGTCGGTCAGTAATGAAAGACGTAGGATGTTTGAGAGCGTGTGTAGTTTTCAGATAGCAAAAGTAGCTTTCGTTAAAGACGATGTGGTGGTGATGTGAAGGCAAGGTGGAGTGAAGTCAAGCCGAACCAGGGCAAGCTTTGGTGGTCACGACTTCTGGCTGCCACGAGATTTGACATCAAGTCACGAGGTGATGTTGATTTTGTCTTCCGCGTTCCCGAGGGCACTCTTTCCGCTTGAGCGCAGTGCAGGTGAATGAACAGCACCCCATCGCATGCGAACGCCTTCGACGAACACGCAAGAACGATCATGGGATTGGCGGATATGAGACAGCAAGAGCAAGGAAGCCAGCTATGGATACCGCGGTGGATGTGATGATGAGGTCTTCCAACCTCACCCCTTGCCAAAGCGCTTCAAGCGCGCAACAGACAACAGGCTAGACGAGACTTCATTGTCTGTCGAAGCTTGACGATGGGCCGTCGGCTACAAGCTCTCCAGCATGTGACAATTGCTTTTCCGCGCACTGTGAGGAGATCGACATGCTCGGGCGGTCGCTCCTGCCACCACCAACACCTGCCTCACAACTTCACCCACATCGCTCGCCATCGCAGCCGTTGGACCCACCCAAGTGAGTGAATTGGACGGCGGCGCTTTCCGCACATCGATCTGGAGGATGCAGGCGAGATTCTGGCATCCCAACGGGAATATCACTTCGATCTGACGTTGATCTAGGCCTCGTCGCGCGATTGATGAGGTCGGGTTAAGGTTTGCGCAGGAGCTGTCCCAATGGCGGGGAACGAGCACGCCATAGCACGAGTCGCCCACTAATGCACTACACCTCCGGCATCTGCCTCAATCGAGTCGGGAATCCATCAAATCTGCCAATCAATCTGCCAATCAATATGCCCGAGGACATCTTCACGCCTGCGATTGAGCGCCAGCCTGCCGACGAGCCAGCAGCAACCCCCCAAGACGCCATCCGCGCGGGATTGTCACCATGTCGCCAGCAGCGTCATCGCCAGCACCACCACCACCAGGTAAGGCAGTACCGGCAGCTCCCAGCTCCATCCTCTCCTCCAATCTCACCCAAAATATCTCCCATCGCCCCGGTTCAAGTTCATGAGCCCTGCGCTAGGGTGGCTGGTCGCTGCAACAGCCTGGTTCTTTGGCCCTAGTCCCCTTGCTCTTATTACCACTGCGTTGGTCCTCCTCCTCCCCTTCCTCCAAGGCTCTGCACACTCCGCCGCCAAGATGCCCTCCGCCTACTCCAACTCCCCCTTCCTCTCCCTCCGCCCCGATCACGACTGCGGCCGCACCAAGAGCCCCGCCAGTCCCTCCACTCCCTCCAAGAGCTTCGCCTCGCTGAGCACTCCTGCCACCTCCGTCACCAATGGCAACGGCTACAGCCATACGAACGGCCATTCCAACGGCCATCTGAACATCAACAGCACACCCGACGAGTTCCTCAAGCTCGACAAGCCGCAGCAAGACCTGCTCCTCCTACACGGCCCACGCCAGAAGTACTCGCTGGAGAAGTCGAAGGACATCCCAGCTCTCGAAGGCGAGCGCGAGATCCTCATCCAAGTCCTCGCCATTGGCTTGAACCCCGTCGACTGGAAGGGCGCAGACTACGGCTTCAGCCAGCCCAGCTACCCTTGGGTGAACGGCAGAGACTTTGCCGGAATCGTCGTCAGAGCTCCAAGAGACAGCAGTCGCATTCAGCAAGGTGATGTGGTCTTCGGCCCATCCACCGACTACCGCGACGTGAGGAAGGCCGCATACCAAGAGTACGTTGTTACCACAGACTACAATGTCACACGGATACCTGCGGGCGTCAGCGTCAAGGAAGGCGCTGCTCTCGGTGTGGCATACGTTGCTGCGCTCGTAGCACTGGGCATCAGCTTTGGTGTGGACTTCTCCAACTTGAGAAACGCACCAGCCGGCCCAGATCTCCTACACGCCGCTCGCCAGGTTGACCCCCGTGCTGTGCCGGAAGACATTCGCGACGAGATCTTCTCGGGCATTCCAAACTCAGAGCGCCCACAGCCAGGTGAATGGATTGCCATCTGGGGCGCGAACAGCATGACTGGCCAGGTCGCTCTCCAGCTCGCCAAGCAGGCTGGTTTGAAGGTGGCGTGCATTGCTGATGTCGCTCGAGGTGGAGCACGTTTGTCTGAGTTGGGCGCCGACTTCATGGTTGACCGATACGACGACAAGCGCGCAGTGGACATCATCAAGGCTGTGACCGGAGGCAAGCTCCGTTTTGGAATCGACTGCAACGGCAAAGACTCGGCAGCATCTCTGGAGCAGGCTCTCCAGCAATCTGAAACCGGACTGAAGTCACACCTTCTCGGGTTGACCGGTCTGCCCAAGGCCGCAGCGCGTGGTGTGGTGCATCACAAGGTCCCAATCAAGCTCTTCCACGAAGCTCCTCACATTGGTGAAGCCATGTCGACTTGGCTGGAAGATCTTCTCGTGGCTCAAACCTTGAAGCTGCCAGAAGTTGAGATTGCAGAGGGTGGCTTGGCTGGTATCAACGATGCTCTCGACCGCATGCGCAAGGGCCTCATCAACGGCAAGCGCATCGTCGTTCCAGTTGGCGAGAACAAGAGCGGTGCCACATCACCAGCTCCCAATGGCATCGTTCCAAACGGCATCAGCAGTGTCGTTGATGAGTCTCACGATCTTTCCTATGCCGATTCGCTCAACTCCGACCCAGATCGTGTGAGATTCGCTTACTGGGTGCCCAACGTGTCCGGTGGTCTGGTCATTAGCAAGATCAAGCAGCGAACAGACTGGGGCCTCAAAGCCAATGTGCGATATGCGAGGACTGCTGAGGCGGTTGGTTTCGAGTATGCTTTGTCACAGATTCGATTCATGGCTGGGTATGGTGCTGAGAATCAGCATGAGCCTGTCTCGTTCTCTCAAGCTCTCCTCATGGCGACTGAACGACTAAAGGTCATTGCCGCGCTTCTCCCTGGTCCATGGAATCCGGCTGTTGCTGCCAAGCAGATTGCCTCGATCGACAACTATTGCGACGGACGTGTGTGCGTTAACGTCGTTTCTGGTTGGTTCAGAGCTGAGGTGAGATATATCCTCGAGTAACGCTCCCTATTCAGCGCATTAACCTTCTTTTAGTTTGCTAGCATCGGTCAATGGTGGCTCGACCACGCCGAACGCTATCGCCGCAGCCGTGAATTCATCGAATGTCTGAAGGGTATCTGGACGAACGAGAAGTTCTCCTACAAGGGCGACTTCTACCAGTTCCACGACTACCCACTCAAGCCCAAACCCCTCAACCTCCCAGGCCGTCCCTACCCCGAGATCTTCCAGGGCGGCAACAGCGACGACGCAAAGGGCAACGCCGCTTCAGTCTCCGACTACTACTTCATGAACGGCAACACTCTCGAAGGCTTCCAGACCCAAATCGCCGATGTGAAGGAGCGCGCCAAGAAGAACGGTCGTGAGGGTCAAGTCGGCTTCGCGCTAAACGCCTTCGTCATCTGCCGTGAGACGGAAGAGGAGGCTATCCGCACACTGCAAGAGATCCAGGGCAAGGCTGATCTCGAAGCTGTGGAGGGCTTCCGACAACAAGTACAAAACGCCGGCTCTTCCACCTCGAACAAGAGCGGCATGTGGGCGAACTCGAAGTTCGAAGACTTGGTCCAGTACAACGACGGCTTCAAGACCAAGCTGATCGGCACTAAGGAGCAGATCGCCGAGCGAATCGTCCTGCTCAAGTCGCTCGGTGTGAACATCATCCTCACAGCATTCCTGCATTACGACGAGGAAATCGAAGCGTTCGGACGGGAAGTCCTGCCGCTGGTCAGAGAACTCGAGAGGTCGGGACGAGGCACCGACCAGGCGAAGGAGATTGAGCTGACGGGAGATGTCTATCGCAAAAAGTGAGCGATTCTGAATGGTTCTTTTGTACAGATTGAAACACGCTTGTTGGAATACGGATGTTGATTCTAATTTGCGATACCTTTGCTATAGTCACCAGTCTTCATCTGTTGATGAAGGAGAATCGAAAGTTAATGTTGTGTCTGAGAAGACGAGTGTTCCTTCCCAAACTCCGCAGAAGCAGTGGGCTCCCGTGTCTGGGAGTGCAAGGAGTGGACAACGGTCTTTCCAAAGCCTACGACCTCCACAAGTATCTGAGGCGACGACGACAACTAGTACGCACGCTTCCAACCCGTCGACTGCACCTAGATCGAAATGGACACCCGGTGGCTGGGTCGAAAGCGAGCAACAGAATGTTCAAAAGCCGACTTCATCGGACGAGGCTCAGGAGACGACGACAAGAACTCAGCCTACATCGAAGTGGACTCCGGCAGGCTTCAAGAATGAAGAACAGCCACAAGAAGAGAAATCAAACATAATCTCAAGCAAAGACCAACTCAAAGACCAAGTCAAGGCCATCGCCAACCCGAAGACGATAGCAAAGGCAATCGCGGACAAGATTACCCCGTCAACAACTGAGAATGAAGGGGTTGAGGAGACTAAACAACCGGTGCCAAATGCTACTATATCACCCGGTCATGGCAATGTGCCGAATCAATGGGATGAGCCCCCTCCGCCAGAGATCTTGACCGCCCCAACAACCAGTCGAGACGTCAACAGCAGTACAACGGCACAAGGCACCGCACCAGTGCAATGTGACGAACCTCCCGAAGCTGCAGATTTGCCAGCGAAATCAGAGAGAAGGCCGCTAGTTTTTACCGCAGGGGATCTGGATGGTAAGGTTGGCTCAGGTAGTGAGCCTGCGGAAGAGAACTCGACGGTACCGGTGCAGTGGGAGGATGCGCCTGAGGGACTGCTTGATGCGAATGCGTCGAGGAAATTGGAGAGTAGGCCTTTGATTTTTGCGGCGGGGGATACGCAGGGTAGGCTGGGCGAGAAAGAAGAACAACCACAATCCCCTGCAAAGGAGGGTTCTATTGCTGCGACTGAACCCGTTCAAAAAGTGAAGACTCCTCAGACTGCGACCGAGACCAAAGCTTCCACGACAGCCCAGTCAACTCCGAACGCGACTGAACCAACGACGTCCAGCACAGCACAGCGACTTCAGCCCACAGCAGTGAAGGATAGTCCGGAAGTAGCGAAGAGACAGGATGTCAAGACTGATACGAAGAGAGATTCCACCATCGCAACACCAAGACCATCAACAGCCACCAGTGGTAGTGTGAAGTTTGGCAAGGAAGGCAGCGTCAAGACTAAAGGAGTGTTCAGCAAAATCCGACATAGCCTGAGGAAGGCATCCGGGAAAGAACAATGAACCGTCAAACTCCTTTACCACTCGATTGGGATCGTTGCACTACATTCGCTTAGGGGTCCCAATGAGACAAAGAGGCCAGCTGAGAGCTATCAGCCGACAGGTCAAAGCCATCACCTACGATCTTGGCTTTGGAGCTCCCCTGGTCAGCCTTGTGCTGGATGTGGTGTCATTCGACGAGTGCGGCTGGCGAGGCGCGAATGCGAGAGTTGTTTCGCTTGGACCCAGCTTGGAAATTGATACCTGAGGAAGATATCTCGAAGACATAAGAGAGCGTTCAAACTTGCGGACGGGTCTCTGGAGCATAGTCGAGAGATAATTTAACCAAATGGCGAAGACACATTCTGCACCCACCGCTTCCACAGCTGGAACGAGCTCAACACCCTCAACAACCTCTAGCGACAACGAACCGTCCCCTCCAGCCCCAATAAAACAATACAACATCACCCGGGCCAAATACTGGTCCTACAAAAACCTCACCCTCACAGACTCCTCCACCTCCCAACCCGTCTACACGGCCACAACAACAGTCTCCCTCTCCACAACGCCGCAAATAAACCTCCACTCCCCATCCACCCCCTCCCAAACCCTCGCCGCCATCCGCCTCACGCATTCAAAGAACTTGCTATACAAACTCGGCCCGGAAATCGACTGCACCCCAAAGGTTGAATGGAGCAAAGCCGTCTCGGAGTCGAAACTCGGTCGCTGCGTGCGATTCGAGGTTGGTGGGAAGGTGTATCGATGGAAGAGGACGCATAAGCGGGAGTGGGGGGCGAGGCGGTGGAGTGATCGGTGTTTTAAGATGGTTGAGGGGGAGGGAGGGGAGGCGAGGGTGGTGATGGTGTATGTGACGGGGAATGTGTTGAGGGGGTTGGAGGTGGGGAGGGTGTTGGTTTTTGAGGAGGTGGATGCGAAGATGGAGGTAGTGGGGTTGGCGGTTGGGTTGGCGGTTGGGTTGGGGGTTGTGGAGAGGGTGAGGAAGGATTAGGGCTGGGTTTTTTGGGAGGGCGGGTGTTCTTTGAGGGAGGGCGTGTTGTTTCTTTGCCATGTCAATTATGTTGATCGAAGAATCGCTTAAGTCGAATATTTGATGGGCACAACCAAGCTAAATGCAAGAGTGACTCCCATTGTAGCAGTGCCCCAACTTGTCAATGTAATACAAGTGAATGTCAGTTAGTCTTGCGTGAGCCATGTGCTCTACCATTGTCCGATAAATGCGGTTAGGACTTCTCGTGGGATTTGCATGTGATTCGTTTCCGTTGGTGTGGTACAGCCAAGGCTGAGCGCCAAGACTTTGGGGCTTCCAGCCACCTTCACTTCCTTTTCTTCTTTCTACCAATAATTCATCGCCACGCATCAATATGCCATCTTTCTCCCGACCATGACTGGTCAAAATCCGCGGTTTGCTTGGCCGATGTCCTGGATGATGGCTGTGCGAGAGGGGCAGAAGTTTATCAAGTCGCGTTCGCCATGGCGGAGTTGCTAGCGGAGGCGGATCGGGCGATCAGGATCAGGACTCGCGATCAGGCTCGGGCAAGGGTTCCGAGACTGAAAGATCAAGCAACATACTGCACCTGTTGTTTTAATAATAAGGTGCGGGCGTCTTCCTTTCGCTTTACCGGCCGCCAAACTCATCACCTCGGCAGCGTATTCATGAAGCTCATTGCCCATCCCTTCAGGACTCTGGAAAAACGCAAGCCCTTCGTCTTGCCGAGAGATTTCAAGTTCGCAGGCCACCCCCTGCTACCAGACAGGGTCTTTTGGGTATTCAGCTCATTCAGCATATCGACCATCTACACCCGCATTCGTCATGGATCGAGTTGCTCCCCATGAGACTAGGCCACGATGCCCATACCGATCTGGCGGCCCTTGCATTGACAGAGTCACTGGATTATCACTTCGGCGGCAGGGTCGCTGAGTCTCACTTCAACGCGGCCATGCTCTGCTATGACAAAGCTGTCTCCCACTTGCGAAATGCTATCGAAACGCCAACCCACGACACCTTCAAGGATGCCACCCTTATCACCGTAGCGCTACTTACAGTGTGCGAGTTGATGATCAGTAACCACTCCACCGTTCGACGGCGGAACGTGTTTATTCACTGGTCTGGATTGAAGTCGGTCTTCCTGGCCAAATACCAGCCGTCTCAAGTCAGCGACATGGGTAGAGCGATTCTATATAACCTGTTCGATTGCAGTTTTGGGGTTGCCTGCGCTACTGGAACTCGCTCGCAATTTGACGACGGCATATGGACGCAACTCGAGCCCGCAACCCTTCACGGGATGTCCACGCACGCCTTTGTTCTCAGGAAGCTCACGAACATGCTAATCATTCGCACTCCTCGCTTGATCGCCTGTGTCAGGTCGCTGCGGGAAATGACAGGTTCGGTAAACAGAGATCTGTTGTGTGAAACAGCTACGCTCGCGACCGAGTTGTACCGATGCCAGGACGAGCCTGCAGAATCAGCTGTACTCCATCGTGTGAGAGTGGCAAAGACGAAAGACCCTTCATCTCGTGCGGTCGTTCCTTACTCTTACACGTTCCTGGATATCGACGACTTCAATGCCGCCGTACTCAACTGGTCAATGAGACAGGTCATCCTCAATCTTTGCCTGGCCGTTTGTCATCTAATGCCGGCAGACCTGTGCCCTTTCAACATGGCTACCATCAAGACTATGAAGGCAGAGAAGCAGCAGCTGGCCATGAACCTAATGATGTCCTGGGAGTTTGCGGAAACGCTGGGCCCATTTGCGACACTCTGGGTGGCGAAGGGACTGCTGCAGAACTGGCTCCAGCTGAGAGGCACCGACAAATTCAAGAATGTGCCTACTGCGGATGTCATAGCGTGGGCATTGCCGAAGATGAATCATCAGTTCAACGAGTGGCTTGCGGAGGATATGAAGGAGAGCGATATGGATGTTGCGGCTGACTTGCTAGTTGGGGGACCTTTGATTGGATTCATCGCCCAGACTGGACCTCAGACTCCTTGATGGGTGCAACAATCTGCGGAGCTCGTTGCTTACCTGGTCTCTTCAAATTGGCGATGGGAAAGAGGGTGGGTGCTCGCATTTCCATGAGAAGAAACGACTCCTCCAAGAATGATGAGACGCGGCCTTTCATTCTGGCAAGGCTGTCCACCCGAGGCTATCCTCGTGGTTCCGCTCAAAGTGGAACGCAGTCGCAACCAACCCGTTGTTAGAGGACATCGGGCATAGCTGCCACAAGCGCACTACTGCGAGTACTTTGCCCGAAGAGGATTTCTGTGGCATTCAATGCGATCAATTGGTTATAAGATCCTGTCCCAAGCTGCAGCCCACTTGGCCTATCGACCTGAGCTCGCGTTATCGAGAACCGAGCTTCCAGACTCAACACTCGAACCACTTCAGAGTCTACGAGAGCTGAGTCCCTACTCCACTACTTCTTCTTTTGCCGTCGAACGTCTGCTGGAGTCGGACACGTATGTTCGTTGCTTCTACTGCTCAATCTTACGTGGCAACCACCGCGATGGTGTCGGCAACTGCGACTACTTCCAGCATTGCTCAGCCGTGGCGGACCAAGTCTTCTTGGGAAGAGCTTGTTAAACAGAAGATATTGAGTCTTCAAGACGATCTCCCTGCAGCCTGGCGCTTGTCGGTAGAGCTATTGGAGAGATATCGACCCTCTTCGCTTGACCATTCATATATCATAGATGCAGGCAAAGTCCTCCACGACGCTCCGTTTTTCTCGGATCATGAGTTCAATATCACGGAACATAACACAGCGACGCAGTTGGTTGGCAAGTTGGCGAGAGGCGAACTTACGGCAGTCGAGGTCACCACGGCGTTCTGCAAGAGGGCCGCTATTGCAGGCCAGCTGGTCAGTCTCTTCCTCTAGGAACAGACGAGTACTTACAACGAGCAGTTGTCCTGTCTTACCGAGACCTTCTACTCCAAGGCCTTGGATCGTGCAAAGACTCTTGACGAACACTTCAAGCAAACAGGAAAGACTCTCGGACCTCTCCATGGACTACCGATCAGCATAAAGGATAGTTTTGACGTTGGAGGCATTACGACGACATGCGGATTCGTAGCCCTTCTCGAAGTCGGGCAGGCGAAGAAAAATGCTCCACTGGTCGACATGCTGCTGGATCTCGGAGCTGTCTTGTATGTGAAGACTAATGTCCCACAGACGATGATGGTAAGAACGGCTTGGTCGATGTCGATCTATCGGAGAGCTTATTGATTTCCAGACTGCCGACTCCGAGAATCACATATACGGCCGTGCCTTGAATCCCCTGAATACAGCCCTGACTGCTGGTGGAAGCAGTGGAAGCGAAAGTTCTCTGGTCGCTTTCAAAGGAGCACCCCTGGGAGTGGGAACGGACATCGCAGGCTCGGTACGTGTACCGGCGTTGTGCTGTGGCCTGTATGGCTTCAGATCAACTGCAGATCGTCTGCCTCTGTTCGGTCAGGAGTCGATCAGAACCGAGTTCGTCTATCGTGGCATCCCCAAGATCCAAGCCTGCGCTGGGCCAATCGCACACACGATGGAGGACTTGGAGCTCTTCATGGCTAGTGTGATTGGACAACAGCCTTGGAATTACGACTCGCTATCATTCGCGGTACCATGGCATACAAGCTTTGAAGCGAAGACCGATACGAATACCAAGCTGAGGATTGGAGTATTGCCAGAGCATCCAGAAGCACCACTTCATCCTCCTGTAAGACGTGCATATCACGAAGCCATTGCCCGTCTGCAGAAAGCTGGACATGAGATGATTCACCTGCCTGAGGACCCTGCAACAGACATCAATCTCGCAAACCGCATAGCATATCAATACTACTTCTACGGACCGAAAAAGGCTGATCTCCTCGCAGCCAGCGGCGAGCCAATGGTGAAGTCTGTCGTCGGGCATATAAATCCCCTCTTCACGGGAGACTTGCCGGTATCCATGGAAGCAGACCTCACTACACAGATGGAGGGGCTGTGGAGTTCTCGTGCCAAGTATACTGATGCGTGGAGGAAGGTTTGGGTGGACAATAAGCTGGACATCGTCCTCTGTCCCGGGGCTCATTGTACGGCTGTCGCGCATGATACCTGGGGATGGCCGTTCTACACGGCCATTTGGAATTTGACAGATGTGAGTTGAACCCAATGCTTTGGTGGTATTGGGACGTTACTGATACATTTGCCTAGTTTCCCTCTCTTGTCATACCTTTTGGGAGAGTCTCGAAGGAATTGGATCCTGATGGGTTCCCGGCAAAGAGCCATTCACAACCCGGCTGTAAGTGCTCTCTACCCTCTTCATCACCTAGCTAAAGTATCTGACAATATCATCAGATGACCCTGAACTCATCGATGGTGCTCCTTGCGGGGTGCAAATCGTCGCCCCGAAATTCCAAGATGAGGCGTGTTTGTGGGCTGGCAAGATCATTGACCGTGTTCTCCATCAGTAAACCCGAGGTCTAGAAAGTCCATACAAATGCCATGAAGCGAGTGGCTTGGTGCTTTGCGAAGCTCTTTCTTATATGAGAAGATACAATGTTATCGATGGGAGCTAACTTGAGTCAGATTGACGCTCATTTGCCATACAGGCCAATTCACTTACCACTTTAGACCTAAACTTTAAAATGTGGACCCGGAATGTCACTCGTGCTCAACATGTCAAATTGGGAGACCTTGACTGGCCGCACGGAGCTTTGGAGCGTGCATCAAGCACTTCAGATACTTGTTGACAAAATTGAAGCGACGGGTAATCTCTAAGAGCGGAAATCGACTACCGACGAAAGGCTTCAGGCCGGCCAAGGCTTCCAAATCTGTTACGTATTGGCTGCATGGACACACCATACGCAAACCATCATATACCCCAGTACTGGATGGCATCATACGTCTTGTGAGGGACGTCTACCGTGCGTCTTACTGTCGTTGTCCGCTTGCGTACTGTGTTCGAGTGCTGATCGATCTCAACGCAGTTATGAACAAGACTGGCCGAGCAAACAGGAATGACAGTCCTGGTGTCCATGTCACAATATTTTCCGTCTACGCCCACAAAGTCTGGTCCCCAAGACTCATCATGGTGGCACAGTTCCGTCGCTGTCTGGCCCGAGAGGTCTGATACGATCAATGTGCTGTTCATCCACGTCGGGCGATCTCTCTGCCCTCGTTTAGCGGGCTTGTCTGTTTACACGTCTTTGTTAGCACTTCGAATAAGTTATCGTAGTTGGAACCACTTGCCATTGGTAGGCTCACTGTCCCTTGCCCAAAGAGTAGACGCGCACACATGGTCCGCTCCTGCGTTGACCGTGTCCACAGACAGTTCTCCGTAAGCTCGAACATTGAATTTCATCGCCCCATAAGGATAGTCCGCAGAATGATCCGCATCGAGCCAAGCGCAGACAGGCCTCCACGAGCAGCAATATTTAGGACATGGTTCCTGGAACTGGCCCGCTTCTTGATTGCCCGCATGGTACCAGTAATCCTTCCCAATGTCTCCAGTCCATGCGCCACCGACACTACCGTCGTATTGAGAGACCGAAATCCAAGAGATGCACGGAGCGTTTTTCGTGGCACTGATGCTCAGGAAGTCGGTCTGGATACCAGGAGTGTCTTGCCTCACGGTGACCTCAAGAACGCCACCTATATCAATGGAGTCGCCTTGAGCTCTCCCGATGTAGACGTTGTTGTAGTCATAAGCATAGATGCCGTCTATACCTCCTCCCTACTACCCTGTAAGTATACGCCGCTGGTATCGGGAGCTGTCAAGGAATCATACCACGTTACCACTGTCACCAGGCTCGCCCAAACCCACTTTGATCTGAACATGTGCACCGGCAGGATCTGTCTGGGTCGGCATGTTGTTTTTGCCAAATCCAATAAGCCCAAGAGCTCCGGCAACGAGCCCAATGGCATTGAGGGCGAACTCGCCTGACATTGTTTGGTTTCGAACTGAACCTGTTGAGTGGGTGAATGATGTGAGTGTAGGGAGGACGCAGCAGACATTCCAGTGCTGAGTGTGGAAATTAATATGCTGAACTTGTTACACAATCCAGTGCTGCGGCCGAGTGAAATCCAAGTGATGCACAGCAAAATTTGTTGGTGTCATTTTGACAGTTGTCTGTGGCACATAGCTGCTGCGCCAAACATCTTGATATTTTCTACTCGAATCGAAAGTTCACCGGTCAGGCTTTCATAACGGCGTCTGTGACACGTCGAGTCTCAGCTTCGGACACATCGGTGATTTGTGATGAAGCTCAGCTTTCACAAACAACAGAAAGTATTGACCGGTGTCTTCAACATCCATCAGATTGCTTGATGACGTTGAAGATGCATTACACAGCGTTCGAGGCTCAAGTCGAGAGTGTAAAGTTAAGTACAGAGCCCTCGTCCGGAATATCTTTTCGTCGACCCAGATCAATCAGCGCACGAAGCCTCAAGTCATGCTTTCCAAAATAATCACGATCGGACTGCTAATCATTGCTGGCACAACAGCCTCTGTTCTTCGCAGAGAAGAGCCCGAGTGCGAGGACGGCGCCATCGTGGGCGGATACGAGAGTGAACATCGTGAGTCACGCTCCTAGTCGTGCCATTGACAATTCGATTTTCATCACTAATCTGCATCTTGGAACTAGTCAAGGACTGCGAAGCTCATTGTATCATGAAGGAGACCGCAGACAATGGCAACAAGGGCGGTGCGTGCAAAGGCCACTGTCACTGCGAGGTGTACAATGTACTTCATTCCGCTTGCATGGGCTGGTGGATCTGCTGTAGGTGTTTATTATGTCACGAACTAGGCTGAAAATTACTGATGACATTACAGAGAGAGGGCAATTTGCCAGAACATGGCTGCGATATGCAATCCGCTTTGTAAAGCTCACGCTTTGCTCATTCACTTCAACCCAACGAGAGTTTTCAATGATGCTGTCCGGTTTCAATCCATTGCCTTAAAAGCAGCGACTTGTATTGGGCATACTTCCAATATGACAACTCTAGTAAGTCGGAGTTCACCTGCCTACACGTTTTAGCGACAAGCCGATAAGTGGCTCGGAACGTATATCGACTTGCTTGACAATGTTACGCTCAATTCATCCGCGACATTTACATCCCTCACACAGTATCTCAACTACGCTCACTGATATGAAAGCTATTAAATGCATCCCCGTATGCTTGGCGAGCATCCCCCAGGTACTTAAGCCTGCAGACTTCACAAAGTGGCCGAGATTCTGAGCAGTAGCAATTGAAGCAATTACATCTTCAACCCGCTTTGTCAACAGCAACAGAAGCAATATTGTACATATTATCTATCATTTTGGACTAGATGCAATAGCTAGTACAAGACCATATCCAGTCGACCGGCCTACGTGCTGCAGTTGCGTTCTGAACAGCTCAACAAAGCGCGAGTCGATGTACGGCGTGGTCAGAGCGATCATCAAAGGATGAACGATCTCCTCAGAGTCGTAGGGCCGAACAGTGCTCGTGAAACACATGTTCTTGCCGTCTGTCGTTTTTGAATAGTCTCTACTCAAGCATCTGTCAAGGTACGAACTGATAGCCGACCGTAGACCTTCAGCCAAAGCATTGGGTTGCCGCGACACTTCCGTGATGTGAGTGGCAAGTCCATTCCTCGAGTTCGGTGCTAATAGCTCCATTGCCTGCATGCGCAGACGGCAGGTCATCATTCGATAGCCGTACCATCGGACCTCCTCCGCAGCCTTGGCTCCAGCCTCGTCAAACTCTTTGGGCTTCATACAGACATACTCCCATCCAAGCAACGCCCTGTCTATGGACATTGCTTCTCGTTCGAGGACTTCAGCCGCTTGGGAATTGGCGAGCGAGCGCTCTTTAGTTTGTAGGTTTTCCATTGATTTACGGAGAGCGATCAGGCGCACCAGCATATCATCCAAAGACAATCTGGAGCCTGTTTCGCCAAACGCTGATCCGTCTTCGAGCCAATTCGGAAGATCGATATGGCCTAAAAGAGCTGCTTTGCTTAGCATGCGTCGCGCATACGTTACCGAAAAGGTCGGTTGCTGCGGAGCCTGGTGCATGTTGATCCAGTGCTCCAGGACAGCGATGACTCCTGTGTGATGAGATTGCGACCAGACAGGTCTCTGGGCGGAGTTTTGTCCTTGTTCAAATATCGAATCTTCATAGCGGGCCATGAAGAAGATGGCCAACAAGCAAGCCCCAACATCATCCTCTCCAATGTGAAGGAGAGCAGTCTGCAAAGCTTGTAGCGCTCGTTGATAGTAAGTCGCCGCTTGGAATGCCACACGTTGCTGACATCTAACCCTCTCAAACACTGCCAAAGCTGCAGCAGATAGGGCAGCTTCCATTACGTCGATGCACTGCGTTGTGCAGAGCACAGCCTTGCGAAGGTCGCTCATGGCCGATGTTGGGACATCAGCCGAACCCAAGTAGTATTTCACGTAGTAAGCGATCGCTTCGGATACCACATCTCGCCCAATTCCAGAGGTAGTAAGAGGCGATTTTTCTGCTGTTCTTCGAGCTCCCCTAGGTCTTGACAGCTCTTTACTTGCATACTTGTTCTCCACATGAATGGTGCCGAACGCTGCACGGTAGCCATAGCACTTCTTGCTCAATCGGACACATCGTTGACATGTCGGTTTGCCGCCATCGCACTGTGCTCAGTTAAAAAGTCAGTTCCGCCAAGCTGGCTTGTGATGAGGATGACAACCTTCTTTCGGCTGTCACGGCATGGCCGACATCTATTCTCTTCTGAGAAGCGCATCTCAGAGCGCTCCGATCGATTCGATGGCAAGCCGAAGGCCGTATTATTGCATGGCGACTTCTGATGACGGACTCGATGTAAGCGAGGAGCTGAGAAACCAGTGGCAGCGTCGCCCTTTCAACAGAGAGCGAATCTGATCGGGCTCAAGTTCATCCGGGCGTCTTTATGCCCAAATCCAGGCTAGTGGAACCCCTAATTTAACCAATGCCCTTTCGCAGCGCTGGCAGTCGTTGATAATGCTCCAATGTCATGTATACTATGAGGTAACCTATGCCCGACGAACAAAGATACTTAAACGGATGTTGCGCCCTCTATCCTTTCCTCGAACCAAAGCAAGTCCAAGATCTTATACATACTCGACTGCATTTAAAATTCAATGGCGCCTCTCACGTGGCTCATAACAGGCTGTGCATCCGGCTTTGGTCTTGAGCTGGCTTACCAACTTCTAGCACGGGGAGACAAAGTCATCGCTACCTCACGCACGAGAAGCAAGATTGTCGATCTGGAAAAGCAGGGCGCGACCATCATCGAGGTAGACCCAACGCTGCCCGACGGACAAGTCAAATCCGTTGTTGAGGCCGGTATCAAGGAAGCAGGGGCAATTGACGTGCTTGTCAACAATGCTGCATACATGCTTTCGGGTGCAAATGAGGTATTGACGTCAGTCAGCAGAAAGGAACCCCCTTGAATGACAGTGTTGACGAGTGAGATAGAGCAGAAGAATGGCAATCCCATTTCGATGTCAATGTGTTCGGCGCTCTGCGAATGCTTCGCACCGTCCTACCGCATCTACGTCGTCACCGGTCAGGCACCATAGTCAATATGGGCTCGCTCTCCGGGTGGGAAGGCCATCCAGGCTCAGGGGCATACAATGCCACTAAATTCGCCATTGCAGGCATATCGGAGTCCCTGAAGCTCGAACTTGCTCCCTTCGGCATTGAAGTCGTTTGCATCGAGCCTGGGACATTTCGTACAACCTTCCTTTCGCCAGAGCATAGACACTCCAGCAGCAGCAAGATCGAGGACTATGAGGCACTGACAAATGGGATGAGAGAAGCCCTGGACGCATACCACCAAACTCAAGTGGGCGATCCTGTTAAGGGGGCAAGAGTCATCATCGAGGCTGTGACGAGGACGGGGCCGTTCAGCAACAAAGAGTCGCTGCCGGCGAGAATGACATTGGGAAGCGATGCGGCAGAGGCTGTGAGACAAAAGCTGCGGGCATTGAGTGAATCGCACGAGATGTGGTCACCTCTCACGTCCGACACCGACTGGTGAAGTAGCTTTAAAATATGGCAGATGCAATTGCGAACAGTTTGCTGTTTGAAGGAAGATTCCACTCTTCTCACGTATTTGCAAGGGTATCTGGTGCTACGTCTGCCGTCTCAGTGCCACGGAATGACGAGGAGAGACGGAAAGGGGTTTGACTTGTTCACATTGATCATTCGAATGACGGTCCAGGAGTTGAGGATAGAATAGACGCCGCACTTCCATGCCGCAGCAAAGCTCTATATCTGCCATCACTGCTCAGTACTTCGCCGGGCCGCTCCGTCCAAGTGCATCCACAGCCTGCTCCAACGTAATCACCTTGACCGGCAACAGCGGCAAAATCCCCGTCAAGATAACTTCGTTGACCTCCTGATTGCTCGTCTTGGCACCCGCCTGAAAAGTATTATTGAGGACGACATACCTGCGACAGCTATTAGCACATCCCCAGGCCTGAATCCCCCCAGACAGAAAGCAAGAACTCACACATTATAATCCAAATCAAACAACCTCAAAGCCGTCGCCAGCACCACCCCACTCGTCGCAATCCCACTCAAAACGACCGTATCGATCTTCTGCGCCCTCAAAATCTCTTCCAGCTGATTACCCGCCCCAGCGTAGAACCTCGCCTTCGGCAACACCACATCCCCCGCCGTCTCATTGACATAGAACCTCTCGTAGATCTTCGTTGTCTTCGTATCGGCCGCGCCAAATAGCTCAGGGGCTCCGTTCCTCACAAACGGCACCGCCTCGCCGCTCTGGACTCCGAGCTCCAGCTTGTGCGAGTTGACGTACGCGACGGCGGTGTAGATGGAGAGGGGAGGAGGGCTTTGTCGGTGCACGGCATGGATCCAGCAGGCGAGGTTGGAGATCCAGGCTTTGCCTGCGGTGTTGTTCTCGTAGGGGATGACGGCGCCGTTCTCGACGTCGAGGTTGAGGACGACGTAGTATTTGCCGAAGCTCAGCTTGGATGACTCGTTGGCCGGGATGCTTGGGGGAATGCAGGTTGGGTGGCAGTTGTATCCGACGCTGTTGCTGAAGGAGAGTTGAGCGGAGGCTGTGTTGGACCAAAGGGCAGCGGCGCAGGCGATCAGGCCCAAAGATCTGGATGGCAAAGTCATTGTCGTGTGTGAAATCTTGAAGCGGGTAAGTATCAATGCCAGTCATTGACAGGGACATCCCGTGAGTTCGAATAAATACTTGCAGTGTTGCTGTCCATCCCATGACGTCCAATCTAGCGCAGAACATTCCATTATCGGCAGCCTTGCCGCAAGAATTTCAGCATTGTCTGCTTCAGGCTTCGGATTTCAGCCCCTGCCACACTGCTGGGACTCCATCATTGCCTCACACAGCGACGCAGACAAAGAAGACTCCAACGGCATCATAACGTGGACGATTGTGTTTCATGCTCGCATCGAAAGCGCTGTTTGATATTGGAAAGATGCTCGTAGAAGGAACTCAGCCAGCTTCGTAGCCAACATCTGCATATCTCGGAATCTGCAATCCAACCACGCTCACTGATAAACCTTGACACTATTAACCAACCAATAAACATCCGAGAAAACATTCGGGTTCTGCGCCACATATCCATTGCAACTCGGATTGCTGTTCTTGCAGCTGGCGTAGTTGTTCCAGACCTGGCCCGCCCAGTCCCCGCAGAAGGTGATGTCGAAGATCTATACATTCACGTATCAGCACTCACTCCGTGCATATGAGTTGGAAGGAGGATTGGGACTTACGATATTCTGATTCTTCATATACGACGAGAAATCGCAGCCCGCGAAGTTGGCTTGCGGCTGTCCCCAGCCTCCTGGGTTTGGCTTGCCGGAGGAGATGTCGCTGGGGACAGCGTTTCTTGGGAAGTACCAGATCTTGATGTTCGACCCGGTCCATTGCATAGCATAGACGCCACCACCCTTGACGTTGTCAAAGGGGGTGCCGTAGCTGGTGCCGGTGTTGGAGACGACGGGGCAGCCGTTGTAGCCACCGCCGTCGCCACAGGCAGGATCGCCGACTGACGAGCCGGATTGCCCGCCGGAGCCGACGGAGACGGTGCAGCCTGGCGAGGTGTGGAGAGTCATCTGGTTGGTCGTCATGAGGTTGACGCCTTCGATGATGTCGATTTCGCCGGACGAGGGCCAGTTGGGGCCAACCATCCAGCTGGGTGGCGTTAGTATTGCAGATGGTAGATTGAACTCAGCATGACTTACAAGGCTGGCCAGGAACCACACTCAGTTCCGGGGATGTGAGCGAAGTCGCCAATGACAAGACCCTGGTTGTAGGCAGTGTTGCTCATCAGGCGCACGCTGTTCCTTCCTGTGCCGCTTGGGTTGAGGACTGAGGTGTTGTCGACACCAACGTAGACCTGGTTGCCAATGACTTTATACAGGCCCTGAGACTGGGCCTGTTGTTGGTTGACATAGTTCACGTAGCCATGAGTTGGGTCGGAGATCTAGCGAGATTCGATCAGTATGCTGTAGCAAGGAAGAATGGAGCCTCTTTTCAATAGACAAACTCACACTCTGAACACTGAATTTGCTCATCCAGTTTGACGAGGTATAACTGTCGACTAGAGCGTACGCTTGCGCGGATTCTGTAGAAACCTGCGAATGCGAAACGTTGAGGATCTGCTCGTTGGCGGCTTGGAATTGGGTCGCCTTCGAGTAATGAAGTTGTGGGATTGGCACGGGAGACGTAGGTGGGACGACGTAGCCGACTGCAGTGGATGCCAGCTGCAAGGCCACTAGGCTGATGGTATTTTGAGAAGAGAACATCTTGTCGAGAAAGGTGCCCCAGATAAACGCAGCTCGAGCTGGTAGCTGTATTGTCCTCGTATCAGAGCTACTTCAAAGGTCAATGTATATCCTTCCTGGCGAGCGCCCGACTGCTCTTGCTCTTTGTCCCGTCACAAGGTTGTGGCTTACATCTTGTCGACAATCACTGTCGGAGATCATTGGCTGACCGATCACAAGCTCCAGTCCTGAATGCTTCAAGTGACGATCATCTCCCGAAGTTTGCGGTATATGTTGTCGACCTTCTATTGTTAGCGTAGTCCCGCTGTCCTCGAATGTGGGGGACGGGCACAAGACCAGAGAGGGACAAGCCTGGCCAGTGTCATGCGTCCCTCAGAGCGGCGTTCGACGATGCAGTGGTCTTCGACACCAGTAGATTCCGCGAGGCATCTCGAAGTGATCAGTCGGTGCAGACGCATACAGCTATAGTGTTAGCGCGCCACCACCAACCTACCTGAAAGGAAGTAAATCACGGGGTGTTCATGGCTGGGATCGATTGGCTGGGGACATGCGCGGATCATTTGAGAACTACTGCAGGATCGAAGTCACCTGCAGCCTTGCAGAGGTTCTTTAGGTGCCGTGGGCTTGGTTTGAGCTAGCGCCGGTGGTCGGTGATGGAAGTGGCAGGTGGTAGGCGTTCTATACCGAGCTACTGCGAACGTCGGGAGTATGTGGAGAGCCAAATGCGTTGTTTGATGAGAGGTCCAGGAGGTACTTCGTCAACTTTAGCAGACGTAACAGTTGGTCGAGTGAGCGACATGGCCATCTGACAGTGTGTTGTCAACAGCCGCAGCCTTACCAGCCTAAAGAACGTGGCAAGTCGTATTCTCATGCGGTGGCGAGGTGGACTTGCAACGGTCTCCAGCCGATCCAGAAGAATCTCTGGTAGAGCAAGGCTGGGCTTGCTTTCATCCTGATGACCGTCCCGAGCCGAGGATGGCTGACGGCGTTCCTTCATTCCAAACTCGAAGTCCATCTTTTCTCCGATGCATGTCGTGGAGCTCCTGCCGTGTCGTTCAGTCTTTCTTCTTCGCTTTGTTTGTGATCTCGTCAAATCCGTCCAAGTACCGTGGTCTCGACAAGACATAGCGAGTTGCCGCGGCTTGGGCAGCCTATCACGACTCGAGGTTCAGCTGTAGATCTCCACATGCACAGTAGTGACGGTGCCCCACACGGGAAATATTTCACAGTAGCGTCGCGAGCTTGAAGGGGGATGCAACACTGCACGGAGATTGTCCTGTAGAGTGTCGGCAAGACGACTAATCTTCTGAGTCCAGAGAGAAGCGTAACCCCAAAAAGGCAGGCAACGGCCTATCTGAGCTCTGGAGAAAGTAAGTCAATCTCCAGTCCAACAAAGTCGATGTTCACTCACAGTCCATCTGCCCTCCATCCCAATCTCTAGACTTCCATTTCCCGACTCAGCATCTAGTCGTCTGCCCAAAGGTTGCGTCTCAACTTTCCCGCTTATCCCGATGTCCTCCATCTCCTCAAAGTCCTGCCCTTTCACCGCCCTAACTCTTTGCCACAACAGCCCAGTCTTCCGGATAGGACAATCTCAACAGTCCAGTCTCATTTTCCAGACTAAAGTGGCATTTTTGAAGGGTCTATGAAGTTGAAAAGGGTATTTCAACTCCGTACTGTGCCAGAAGCAAGCCTGGGTCAAGTTCTAGCGAAGCTTCAGCGCACAACAAGGTAGCACATTCTGCGAGGCGCATACATCTGCTGGTACGAGTGTTGCGAAAGAAGGCACTGCGATCAAGTTTGTTTTCTGGGTATCATACAAAATCTCCGTGCCACTTGCTAATAGTACAATGTCCCGCTTCGTAGGACGAGTCATTTCAAAGTCAATAATACATGTCAGCAAAGATAGTTTCAGCAAGACATGACAACGACATAGAGCATACCGCTAGTTCTTCGAAATCTTCAGCTTGTTTTTGGGCAAGGTTCGACAGTTTGGACAGAGCCACTCTCCCTTCGGCTCCTCCGTAACTCCCACACACTTGTAATGGAACCATTGAAGTTCGCAGTCGTCATTGTCGCAGCCAACCATCTCACCGTAGCTGACCTTCTGGCAGATGCAGTAAAGGTTCTCGTCATCGCCGTCTTCGTCATCGGCGCGGTCACCAGAACCATCTTGTTGACTACGGGGAAGGGAGGATGGAGTCGGTGATGCAGAGTCATCATCATCCGAACCAGATAGCGAGGCGTTGGTACTGGGCGTAGCTCTATCACGGGCGAGTTGACGTCGACGGTCCTTCTTGTTTGGTGGTCGTGCTCGATGACCACTCTTCTTGGACGCGGGCGGGGCTTTGCGGTTTACAGCAACAGGTTGACTCTTTTGGACGCCACCAGGCCTAGAAGGCTGCGCAGATCCAGCGCGGGACGAGGTGCCTGGGCCTGGAGTACCAGCTTTGGGTGTCCCCGGACCGAGTGATGACTGGCGAAGCCTACTTGGACCTGCGGGGAGATTTGACAGGGACTGGTTGAACTTCTTCCTTCTACTTGCATCGATACTGCCTTCACGCTGACTCCGAGCAGGTGCATTTGGGGTCTGTCCACCAGCTGACGCACTTCGACTCGTTCCACCTGCGGCTTGCTGTGCGAGACGTATTTGGGCTGCATTCGCGATGTTGGGAGCCCCGCCAGTCGAGCCAATGTTACCACTCACGACCTGGAGAGGCATGCCGGGAGTTACGCCACTCCCTCCAGCAGCTATGGGCGTGCTCACGGCGGTTGCAGCGCCACTGCTGGTGAGCATACTAGGACCAGGCCAGTCAGCGGGAAATTGTTCGGTTTGTGTCAAGCCACGGATACCAAGGTCGAATCGCTTGAGCTGTCGTTCGAGAACCAGAAGGGCTTTCTCGGCGAGGCCACATTTTGCAGCCTGGAGAACTTCGCACTTGTCGTAGCAGTCGTTGATAGTTTTGGAGAATGCTTCCTCCTTTGGATTCTGCACATGGCCCCCATTCACACGGACCCACTTCTGCAGCTGGGCGTCTCGTTTGTTGATTTCGTCTTCGAAGGCGGCAATTTGGAGATCCTTGGCCTGGATCTCTTCCATGAGATGGGTGACCTCGGCGGGAATGTTGGCGACTAGGACAGAATTCAGTGGGAGCGCATACTGTATGAAATGTTCAAGATACTTGCCGTCATGCACGAACTGCTCCAGCACAGAGGCTGCGTCTTCGGGATTTGCCAGGCTCATGTTGTCCGTCTGTCGCAAACCATGCGCAGGGTGTGGTACTTGTTTTCGAGGGCTATATGTCCGCGAGTAGGTTTTTGTGGTGGCTTGGAAGAAGTGTCGGCAGTTTGTTTGATGAAAGCTGGCGGGTGGGTGGCGAAAGTGATGGAAAGAGAGTCTGTCACATGCGCTGAGGTGAAGTTGCGCCTGCCACGCTAGACACGCGCTAAGCCCCGCAGCCGATTCCCGAAACCTTATCTGGAATGCCAAGCGGGACCTGCACTGCAAGTTCGAGATCCGGGAGCGAAACATGCATCTGTACATCTACCCACTCTTCGACAAAATCGACAGCGACATCTTCTACCAGAAGATATAGCGATTCAAATCACCATCCAAACAGAATAGCCCACCGATAACAAATTCGACGCCTCTCCAGATCCAGCTACTGCCCGGCAGCATGCTTTGTACGGCATGGCTGGATCCCTCACCCCTCGCGCAGATGTCCACGCCGGTATAGTCCAGCAGTGGGAAGGCAACGTCACCAACGGCAGCACCAACACGCCTCGATCCGTCTCGCGCTCGCCCGGCGCCGCAGCCCTTCAGCAAAATGGGCACCATCCGAGGAGAGCAGCGTGCGGCGAGGAGGAGCAGATGCCCAACACACCACCCATAACGGAGGAGGACAGGTTGATGTGGCAAGACCAAGAGCTGAACAAGAAGATTATCGACCAGGTCGAAGAGAATGGCATCCAGCGGCCAAAGGGCCACAAAGTCTCGTTCCACTACAACAGCCACGTTGAGGACATGCATTTCGGCAAGACCCATCCCATGAAGCCATGGCGCTTGACCCTGACCAAGCATCTCGTCCTCGGCCACGGACTACAGTACGCCATGGACACATATGAAGCCGTGTCGGCCGGCACAGACGAAGTGCGCAAGTTCCACGCGCCAGATTACGTCGACTTCCTCAGACAAGTCAGCCCCAAGACTTTCCCTGAGCTCTGCAAGATACCTCGATTTACCCGCGCAATACCCCCAAAGCATGAAGGTGTGAAACCACTATCCCTTTTTCTGAGACTTTCTCTAATATGTTGTTAGGCGACTCCGTCGAGCTGGGTCCGTACAACCTGTCTACCAGCCCGGGTGCGGATTGCCCAGTCTTCGACGGCATGTCCGAATACCTCTTCCTCTACACAGGCGCTACCTTAGCTGCCACGCACCAACTCACATCCGGCGCATGCAACATCGCAATCAACTGGTCTGGCGGCCTGCACCATGCACACAAAGCCGAAGCCTCAGGTTTCTGCTACATCAACGACATCGTCCTCGCCATCCTCGACATGCTTCGAGTATATGCGCGGGTCCTCTACATCGACATCGACGTCCACCATGGCGATGGCGTCGAAGAAGCTTTCCAGCGCCAACCTCGAGTCATGACCCTTTCTTACCACCGCTACGGCCCATACGATGAGACCGGCCACAAGTTCTTCCCCGGCACAGGCGATCTGGAAGACATCGGGTTGAAAGGCACCCCAGGCGAGCACTTCGCCCTGAACGTGCCGATTCCTAGTGGCATCGACGACCGACAGTACAAGTTCCTCTTCGAAGGGGTCACGGGCCGCGCCATCGAAGCCTTCAACCCGTCCGCCATCGTCCTGCAATGCGGCGCCGACAGCTTGGGCGGAGACCGACTCGGCCAATTTAACATCAACATCAAGCAACACGGCGAATGCGTCGCCTTCGTCAAGAACCAACATCTCCCCTTACTCCTCCTCGGCGGCGGCGGCTACACGGCCCGCAACGTCGCCCGCGCCTGGTGCCACGAAACGGCCATCGCGACCGACAACAAACTCGTCGACAAAGTCCCCTACTTCGTCCCGCGCATCGAAGCCTTCAAAGGCCGCGCGCACGGCGACGAGAAGATGTACCCGTCCTTCGAACGCCTGCATAAGAACGAGTGCAAAGACGCCGATCTCGAGTACATGGTCAAGAAGCTCGAGCACGATCTCAAGTACGTGCGGAATGCACCGTGGGTCAAGCGGGATCAGTTGCCGACGGAGAGCGCCATGGGGAATATCATGGACGATGTGGATGAGGATATTCGCGGGGATAAGGCGGAGATGCAGAGGAAGAGGCGCGAGAGGGATCCTGCTGGGAGGGGGGAGTTGAGGTGATGAGCAGAATGTGTTCATCGCCGAACAGAATCAATTACCCCATTAGTCACAGCTTTAGAAATCGCACTCTTGTATCATCTACGTTGTTCAAAAAGACAGCGATATCAAGATACGAAATGAATACAAACCAGACTTCAAGATGGATCGCGCACTGTCGCTCCAGCTTCACTTTCACTGGGGATCGTTTAGACAGCAACGTCGAGCTGTGGCAGCGCACAGTGGCAAAAGGAGGCGAGGTCAAGTCCGAGATGTGATGCAGCAACGACATGGTGAGGCAGTGGAGGCGACGTGGAGAAGCAAGACAAGGTTCATTGGCGGATACAAAAGTAGCAACAACAACACTGAGGTCAACACCCAAACAGAAAGGCACAAAGGCCTCCACAATGCCATCAATAATCCCAGCCCATCCATCATTATCCCCATTACCATCCTCCAGCAGCGTCATTATCATCCATTACCATCCATCATCCATCTCATTCATGCAGCGGCGAAGGTGTGTCGTCAGGAGGGGTGGGAGTGCTCAAAGCTTGTCGTCGAACCACTGATCAGCCTCCTCGAGGTCCTTGGGGTCGCAGACAGTGTTCTTGAGATTTGCGGGGCACTCGATGCGGATGGATCTGGCGCCGCCGACGTTGAGGTGAGTGACCTCTTGCCAGCCATCGTCGACGTTGAGGCACTGGCCAGGCTTCATGCTGTCCTTGTTCGTGGCTGCGAGAAGGTAAGAAGTCAGCAAAAGAAGGCAGCGAGCTCGGCGGTTGGGGGATACATACTGTCAATGACGTGGAGTGGTTCGCCCTCGCAATGAACATCGTCGTGGATCAAGAACTTGCAACCGTCCTTCTCCAGGCGCTTGGGCAGACAGAAGGAGAAGCTGTGGAAGTCGTCCTGGTCCTTGGGGAACTTGAGGTCCTTGGGGCTGAAGCACTTGCCATTCTCGTCCTTCTTGTCGAACTTGAAGGAGACGTCCTTGTAGTCGCCGCTGCCACACTTGGGCAGGTCGGGATTCTTGTTCAGTGTGTTCTCGACAGGGCGCTGGTGGGATGGACCCTTGCCGTGGTGGCGCCATTTGCAGTCGTAGTCGTGGGAGAACTGGATGTGGAGGTCGTCGTGCTTGGCTGGGGCAGCTGGATCCATCTCAATGGCCGTGGCAGAGGTGAGGGCGGCAGTGGCCAGGATGAAGGCACTGGTGAGCTTCATGGTTGCGGTGATGGGTGAAGTCTGGGTACTGGGAGGTGTCAGCATCGTGTGCTGAGGGTGGCAGATGGTCCATGAAGAGGGTGAGGCATGCGATGAAGGTTGAGGCGGAGGATGTTGACGGTGGTGAAGGAGGAAGGGGGTATCTCAGCTGTGACTGGTGCGCTGGAGCGCTCGTGGGAGAGGCCTGGAACTGCTGGCGAATGGGAGGCAAAAGAAGTGCTGAGGTGGTCGACTCACTGCAAAAGTATCTCTCTTCTGCAGAAAAAGGTCAGCGACGTCAAGGTCAGATCAGGAGGAGTGAGCAGACTCACGGATCAATGCTCAAAAGCAAGATGCTGGTGGCAGATGGTTGGCGGTGCTGAGTGCTGAAGATGCTCCGATGTGTGTGGTGTGAAGAGAAGAAAGCAGACGAGAGGGGAGTGGAAAGTATTTGAGAGGCGGGCTGTGTTGACTGCTGCGACTGCCATCTTGTTGCTGAGGGTAGTCGCTGATGGTGATCGGGGAGGAACGAGTTGATGGTGGAAGGCGAGATCTTGAATCGGGGAAGAGTAGTCCTGGCTAACGATCCAGCGAGAAAGTGCGTTATAGAGATGAAGCAAAGGTTGGCTGCCGGCATGTGCGTTTCGACGGTGAGATCTGAGAAGTCATATATCAATCACGTGATCTTTAAATTGAGATGAATGAACATCTTCAAATCGCTCAGCTTCACAATACTCGCAGCTATCCCCTGCTATGTTACAAAGCTGCCTCGCCTCACCTCTCCCCAAACTCCCGTCTATCGCTTATCGGTACTCTGGTCGCACAAAATCCGCCATCGTCTTGGGCTCGCCCTCGTAGTTGTGCGTGCCATCTGCGTCGTGGTGGACGTCGTGTCCGTGGCCATGGCCGTGGGGATCTTCCTGTGGGCCGACGTATTCCATCTTGTAGACGCTCCCGCACTCGGGGCAGCGCTCGACTGGGCGATCGCGGGACATGGCACACCAGATGACAACGTGCGAGTCGGCTGGGTAGCCGGTGCAGCCAGCGAATTGCTCGTCGCCGAAGGACTTGACGATGATAGGGTCTTCCAACGTGCCTATAATGTCCTGTATCAGTTCTACCCTCCTTGAAGCCACGCTCCATCTTCTTCCTCACCTTTCCGGCTCGCATCCAGAGGCCTCATGTCGAAGATATCCACACCCTGCATCTTTCCGAGGATTTCCAATCGCTCAAGACCGGTGGCCTGCTCGAGATCGGTGGGAATGGTACCCGGCTGGGCACCAGGTGGGAGAAGGTCGTGTTCGGACTTGATGCCTGCGTAGATTCACCCCCGAAATCAGCCATTGCCCTGTCTTCTACTTCCCAGCGGTATTCTCTTACTGTCCAGAGGCTGCAGCAGCTTGCTGTCCTCGCCAATCTTTGGGTCAGCCTTCTCCTCCCCTACATTTCCTGGTCAGTCATGCGCGGCCATGTTTTTGATTCGGGAGGCATTGGATGGGCGTACATCGTCGGACGGAGATGGCGAAGGAGCGCGTGATGGTAGGGCGGAAGACGGCGCGCTTGGCGAGCGCTGGAGCAGCGCGGCGGAGGAACATGGTGGGCGGAGCAGAGGGTGCGGTGGGTGGTGGTGAGGGCTGGTCGAGCTGTGGTGAAGTTGTTGGATGGAGCTGTCGGTCGCTGCTTCTCCTGCCGCCAAGCCCAGCATTCGGCTGATCCCGGCGCAGCCAGCCGATGCCGATGACATTGCCTGTGCGCTGTTTGGCTGATGTCTCTCCTGATCAAAACAGTATCAATTTTCAACCTCCATCAGAAATTGAATAAGACTTTGATTATAAGTTGCTGAGATACATCTTGGCCATCATGGTGGTGGTGATGCTGGACGCAACCCCAAAAGTTAAAGAGCTGTATTCCTGCATGGCCACTCGCATCACCAAAACAACGCTCGACAGCGAGAGAACGACATCTGCTTGAGGCTCGCGCAAGACCGATAATCAATCCCGATGTACAAAAGACCGTTCTACTTCCTACTCGGCCGATTTGATGGGAAAATCAATTTGAGAACTTGACGTTACGACTACCAAGCTACCACTCATCATCAATCATTCCTCGTGAATCGTCCCACCAGTCCTTCTCGCCAACGGACTACCCCCATTCCTATACGACGCCATCCTCACATCTTCCACATTCGTTGGACTTCGCACGCTCGGCATCTCCACCACAGGACTGTGCTCTTCGGTGCTGTACTGCTGCGGTGCAGGCGGCGTAGGGTAGAAAGGCTGCGCTTGCGGTGGCGGTGGGTAATACTGTTGCGCACTCGGCTGCTGATGTACAGGAACAGGCTGCCACTTCGTCTGCTGTGGCTGAGGGGTGTTCTCAGGCGAGCCGCGAAGGGAGGAGATACCCAACAACGTGGCCCAAGATCGTCCGCTGAAGTCTTGCTTGTTTTGCCCGCCCGGACTGCCGTACACGGTCGAGTCGCCGATTGTGGACATATTTCCCACTTGGCTCCCGTTTGGCTCTTTTGTGGCATGTTGCTCGGCGCGTTCCTGGCGTCGTCTCCAGCAGAGGAACACGAGGGCGAGAACGATGAGAAGACCTGCCACGGCGCCGATGACGCCTCCGACAATCGCTCCCACATCCGCACCATCTCCTGGACTTTGCTTGGCTGTCGGTGAGGTAGATGTCGAAAGTGCTCTGTTTGGGGTACGTTGGCCTGTCTGCGCCAACCGACCCATGTACACACCAAGATCAGGGCTGTCAAACCCACCGACCGGCGTCTTGAGTGTGAGATCACCAGTCGACTCTCCGCCGATTACCTCAGTGAGTTGAGTCGGCCGTGAGTAATAGGTCAGATTGGGCTGATATCGATACCAGATTGCATCGTCGACGTCGTTTGCGCCAAGATTGAGGTTATGCATGCCCCGACTGGGTGACGAGTCGCAACGCACGTCGGAAGAGTTGGGGAAGTACCCGCCCATGACTATCATCTGGCCTTGATTGATGACATCGCAGCTGAGAGAATGGTGCGGTCTTTGGGTGGAGTTGTCGAGCTGTCGCTGGTGAGCCGCGTTCTCGAAAATCACAATCCAGGCTGACATACAACGGCCCAAGTAAACGATGGCAGACTCAAGACCCACACATCGTCAAATCCATACCCTTCTCCTTGTGCTTCTTCAAATAGAGACAAGCCGCCGTAGAGGTATCTAAAGGCTGTCAGCAGCAGATCGAGCAGAATCTTAGCGATGCCCTACACGTCGAACGACGAGCGGTCTTCTGGCCAGCTGACTCCTCCACAGAATCGGCGTCGCATACCCGGGGTCGGGCCAGATGTTTTCTGTGAATACGTCACCTGGCTACCAATGTCAAACATCCAGATTGTCTGTTATTCAGGTCAGTATCTAGGACAGCGAGCACTCGATCATCAGGTCACCAACATCCATCGGCACCTGCGGAACTATCAGCCGGTGCAACTTCAACAACTCTTTGCATACCTACTCCGCTAGGGCCCTTGGTTCCATTCGGTCCACTCGAGCTCTGCTCCACACCACCAAAATACACGAGCATTCCCTGATCCGACGCCGGGATATAGAACAACGCTCCTTCTCCACGAGGCGTATCGTCAATGAACAGACTGTGTCCCCACTCCTTCGTGTTCAGATCGAAGGTGATCAACCCCGACTCCAGCCTTGGCGCTCCGGGAAAGCCCACTTCTGTCGCATTGCTCTTCCATCCGCCATAATAATACGCCGTGCCTTTATTCTGGTCGACCGCACTTGCACCAAACGAGTTCGGTGTCGGCGGGGACTCAGTACTGGTCTCGTTCCAGGTATTATATATTGTATCGAACAGCCAAAGCGTGAACTGCTGGGGTGGTGGGCTGGTCGAGTTGTACTCGCCACCATAAAGATAGAACAGCTTGTTGACTTCATCTGCCCACAGCGTGCCACCGGCCACTGACGGAACGTTCGTAGGCTTGGTCAAGTCATCGTGCATGGGCGGGAAGAAGTCGTCCGTCGTGGTCGTGGTGTCGGCCCAGAGAAGCTGGGTGTTGGTATAGTTGACGGTCGATCCGTCGATGTGCGAGCCATAATCGATGTAACCTCCGTCAAAATACAGCTTGTCGTCAATCCACGTGCTCTGATGGGCGAAGCGGCGACAGAAATTGTCAATCTGGTCCTTGTCCTGGTCTTGTGCGAGTGCATGCGTAGAAAGAAGAAAGGACGCAGCCAGCGCCACAAGAGCGAATCGCTTTGTGGAAACGTGCCACATCTTGATGTGCCGGCGCAAGGAAGTATCACGTCTCACGTCTTTCAAACGGCACGAGGAAGGGGAGGAAAAGGTATAAAACGACAGCGAAGCAATTCACCTGAAGGGGGCCCCCACGCCTGTGCCCACGGCGCAGGAAGGCTACTGATCAACGACCTGTGTAGCCCCTGAGATGCATGGGACTGATATGGCTTAAACCAACGTCGAACGACAGTAGTTCGGACAGTCGAACAGATCGCCGTATTCTTGCTCAATGGCGATCATCTCGTTGCTGTGCCCAGGTTTCTAGCGACGGCCTGAGTGCAGTCTCGCCCGTCAAAGGCCAGGCCAGGCCAACTCATTACACATCGTTGTGCGGCCCCAATGCCATTGTCAACCTGGGTCTTGATGGCGTGATCAAAGCCTGCGGCCTGGAAAACAACCGCGGATGAGGCTGAGTTCAAGCACGACAAGCAACCTCACCGAAGCCACAGACGACGACCAGCAGAACAACCCCCACGCATGCACGCCTGCGTATATATGGACGTCTATCCTCTCGATGGCAGCTCGCCTCATGTCTCACCAATTTGTAAACTTGGCCGAACACGGCAAGAAGCCCAACCTTCCTTTCTCTCTCACAAAAGCCCTGCTCGTTCTTTCTCGGCCTTCCTCCAACGTTGACCCTTTACTATCAAGTTTACATGAATACCCAAACCTACTATATACAATAACATACGTCGGCAAGTCCGCAGCTTTGCCTAGACTCGAATCTGGTACATGTTAGGAGGCGTCAACCTTCAATGCACTTCGCCCCCCAAACTGGACGGCGTGAGCTGATGTCCCTCCCGTCCCTGCCAGCCTCTGCGGAAGCCGGACCGAAAGTAAAACAGACGACACCGCGTGCGTGGGCCTGCAGCAAGACGTTACCTGATAATGACCTCGGATCAGGCAGGGGTTGAGGATAGCCTCCAAAAGCACATCCATCGATGCAACCTCGTGGAAACCATCGTACGCTTTCTCTACCCTGTGTTAAGTGAAAGAGCATCTCGCACATCGACACTCCACGCCTGTTCATGCCTGCAAGAAAGACTGCCTTCATTCTCACGCTACGCTAGGTGCTCTCATCGCGTGAATACGCTGCTTGAACATCAAGATCATCTCGAGTCCCGACTTAATTCCAGAGCAGAGCAACAGCGTCGTCCCAACCACACACGAGCCAGGGATTGTGTCAAAGAGAAACCTTGCCATCCCTCCCCAGAATGGAAGGAGGCAACAACCAATCTCTCTCTGAAAACCCAAGAAGGACGAGATCGCACGAGCGACGTCTAAATGGGTGTTCAACAAATAGACACGACGGTCGCTCAGACAGACCTCGCCGTTCCTCAACCCTCCCGGGCTTCCCCCCTCCAGAATCCGGAACCTCGCGATCGGCCCCGAGTTTCTATCATCAGCCTTCGTCTCATGTGAACAACGACATGCCAGGCAGTGCGCAGTCAAGCCCTGTACATCGATCTCAACCCATCAATGCGGCGGTGAACCGCAGTCTCCAACGCCACGCAAGATCCCATACCATTATGCATCCCGAGAAGGATTCCGAATGCACCAAGTCTCACAGACTAGCTGCATCTCTCTCACCACTCATAACATGCGTCAAGGAGAGCCTAGGCACATCTACCTTCACTAACATCACATAATCCAGACCCCTTTCTCGAAGACGAGGCTGCATTCCTTCGCCAGCTCACTGCATTGACAAATCTCATCCGCGCCATCGTGAAACACCACCTCTGGCACACGCGTTCAACCACTATCCCCCGCAAAGACGAGTGAAGATGTCGAAAACAACACACATATTGCCTTGTGCTAGTCATTCTCGCCACTGTGCGCTCGCTGGATAACACAACGATCGCATCAAGTTTCTTCTGTTCTGTATCAAGAGTCTAGCGCACATGCTGTTAACAAAAGATTGGAGGGGGCACAGGCAATGAAATTTAAGAGTGAAGAGATTGTCAACAATGCGGAGGATTTGAAGCGAGTGCACCCAACGCGCTTTCACAACAATATCTACATTACACCTGCTCTCCCCCTCCCCAATCCCCTCCAAAAAAGAAAATACCTGCCGAGGTAGAGCCCACCCAAAATCGAATTCAATAAATTGCTTCTTCTTGACCCCATGTCTGTCATACATGTATACCATAAAACCATAGCCAGCCAACCGTCACCAAAGAACCAAAGAACCTCCATTTTTCTTGCCTTTCCCTTTCCAGTTACAGTCGATTTTCCCCAAAAACTCGTATTATCCAGACAGAGAATGCAAAAAGCCGCCGCCGCCGTTGCGTGTTGTGTAGTAGGTCGGGTATCGCCATCAGAGAGCATAGCAATTACAATTCAATCCAAGAACGCCAAATCCCCTCCCTCTGCTTCCAGCTCCAGAGCGCTGTCGTTACTAGTGTAATATCCAAAAATAAGAAAGTCGCGATGAAGCATCCGACTATCGGTCGTAGCCGGTCTATGTGTACGTTTCACACTTCGATTCCATTAGAATGATTCGCCGAGAGATGAGTGTGTCAAGGCGGCGTTGGAGACCGAGACTTCTGCCGTGGCCGACACTATCGGTAGGGGTCATACTCGCCATCGCTGTCGTCCAGATGTTGCTGTTGTGGGTGACCATTCGTCACAGGTGGTGCCGCCGCTGCTGGCGCTGCTTCTGCACCGTCGTCGTTCCACTTTCCTGCCCAGCCGAACCAGCCGCCATTCGGCTTTTTCATCGATGCCTTGCGGACTGGAAGTGTCGCAGGATCGACGGCCTTGGACTCTGCAGCAGGCGGAGGGACTGGTGCATTGAAGGTTGGGACAGGTATTTGCAGGCCGTTGGGGTTGGTCGAGGTTGATGGCGAGGTTGTGTCGTCGTAGAACGAGTTCAGCTCGTCCACGCCATCGAGGTCTTGAAAGTCCGCCTTGTTCGATGGTCGAATGTGAACCGCCTTGACCAATTCGACGACGGCAGCAGTAAGATTGCTGGCAGCAGCGTCGAGTAAAGCGACCGGCGACAAACCATGCGAGGCAGCATGCTGTTTAGTTGCGGTGATGAGGCTGTTGGCAGTACCATTGACTCTCGCCTTGATCTTGTTGACGCTCGGCGCTTGCTGCATGTTGGTCTCTGGGCTGAGCGGCGATGGTGACGGCGTTGGGTAGCCTTCGGTGCGTACGGCAGAGGTAATGGACTGAACACTGATGGCCACGCTCTTGACGCTCTCGAGCATGGCATCTGTGCTTGTCTGTCTGGCGACCTTGAGCAACTCGTCCACGGCCAGCTGGAATCGAGTGACATCGGTATCTCGCACCAGACCACCTTCAGAGATGAGTCCTTCCTGTCGCACCAGACTGCCCGAGTCAAAGCCAGTCTGGAGACCCAGACCCATGGTAGAAGCGCGAAGTGACTTGTTCTGCGCCTTGACTTTGGCATATCGCTGTCGCCACTGGTCGTTCTCCTTCTCCAGCTGCGAGATCTTGGCGGCCATCTTCTCTTCTTGTTCAATGGCCTGGTCGTTCTGTTGACTGAGGTCTCGCATCTCCCGTAGATAGGTTGTAGCTTGTTCCTGTACTTGCTGAGAGATCATCTGCTGTTTTTCGAGCTGAGCTTCGAGTTCTTGTATTCGCTGCTCGAACTCGGCAGGGGTGGCTTGGTTTTGCAGTTGACGCTTCAAACCTTCGTTCTCGGCTTGGTGGGTTTCGAGTTGGGCGTGCAGAAGTTTGAGATCGCCTGCATTTGAAGACTGTCCGCGAAGGTCCTCATTCTCCGCGTGCAAGTCTTCCAGCTGATCTCGCAATGCTTGGATGTTGTGATCGTGCTGTTCCCGAATCTCATCCTCATCCCTCGACTTGGCTTGGAAAGCGGCCAGTTCCTGTTGGAGGTTCTCGTTCAAGGTCTGCGCATCGAGATGCTTCTGTTCCAGCTCTTCTCTCAGCGAAGTCCATTCATTTTCCGCAGCTTCCTTCGCCTCCAGCTTCTCTTTCAACTCGGCGAGTTCGGTTTCTTGCGCCTGGATCTTTTCTTTGTCTTCGGCGCTGCCCTCGGCACTCATGCTGGGTCTTGCGCTGAGTCCAGTACCGACATGATCAAGCCCGAACGCATCCTCGTCGTCATCCATTTCATCGTCCTCAACCATGGTGCCTTTGTTCGGGACGATTGTGTTGCTCTGGAGATGCTTCGGTAGAGGTCGCCCCAACGATCCAGCCTCACTTGGTCTTCTCGATCCGGGCGGCATGCCAGGTCCTGGACCGTACGGACCGGGTGGATAGCCTCGTCCGCGACCAGGACCGGGAGGGCCAGGTGGATAACCGTAGCCTGGACCTGGCGGTGGGCGCATACCACCGCGGCTGGGCGCTCGACTTCGGCCGCTGGCATTGCTCGTTGTGCTTCTTGGTCGGCCCATGTCGCCAGCTATGATTCTGGGTATTCTTCGCTCCAGTTCATAGAACACATCAGTCGCCAGTTGTCTGAACCGTTCGATGGGGAGGGTCGAGAGCTTCTGTCGCGCCTGGTTTCGCTTCGGGTGGAAGTTCTGCTTGGGTAGGAGAAAGCGAGGGACATTCTCCACGCGCTGCATCCGTTCGTCTTCTCTTCGTATTAACTCGTCGTACACATCAGTGCTCAGCTCCATGAACTGTGTGACGGACAGTCGCAGCAGCTTGTCCCGAGCTCTATTCGGCTTGATGTTCCCCTTCTCATCTTGCAGGTGTACTTGGAGATAGCTCTTGAGCGCGGTGTAATGCCTCGACAGTGCGGCTTCACTTTCGTCTTTGAAGTGACTTCTTGAGCTATCGCGGTCGCCAGGCGGCGGTCTGCCCATTCCCATTCGTCCATCGCTGGACATACCGACTGAGCTGGCCGATGATGGTGGGCGATTGCCATTGACGCTGCTGCCGCCTACGGAAGGCCGCGACATATCCGTGGAACTGCTGGGGTGTTGCGATGCGGGAGGAGAGGCTTGCGCGGGTCGCGCAGCGCCATACGGGCCACCAGTATAGGGAGCGTCGTTGGGGGTGCCGCCTGGAGTTCCTCCCAAAGTTTCGTAGCGACCGACAAAAGAGGAATCGTTGCTGCTCATCGAGAGCGGCGAAAAGGGTGGAGCAGGCCGTGACATGAGGGGAGATATTCAATGCGCCGCCCAATGTGGACCATACAGCAGGTGCGTGTGATGCGAATCGCAGTGTCAGGAGGAGGGAGTCGACGAGCAGGCGCGGTGCACTCGTGGGGAGGAGTGACGAGCAGGCGTTCGTCCGGAGATCTGCCCGGTGCGGTCTGGAGCGGGTGGTAGGTGGGTGTATTCTAGATGCAAGGGCGATGCGGGCTCCTCGTATTATCGTGGTCGAATCGTCGAGTCTTTCAGGGGAGTCGGGCGCTTCAGTCTCGGTCTTTGTTGCGGCGGTATGGGACGAAGCGCAGCCTTCCGGGGGGGTGCGTGCGGCGACAGCGATATAGCGAGGGACAGACAATAAACACTACCAGGTAATGACCGTAGGTATATGGGAGATAGGTGGAGGAGGAGATGGGATACGAGGCAGAGTCGATGCTAGCCTGGTGCCGGGGCGGACAGAATACTGGGAGGATAGCGAGAGGATAGGGTGGATGGGCTGGTATGTGCCCCCTTTGCTGGCTGCCGGTTCCTGAACGCTCAGCCTATCACCGGCCTGCGCCATCGATCCCACGGCTGACCACGACTTAGCGCCGCCTGCCATTCCGTTGGGAGACGGCGGCGACGTCCACGCAAAATCTCCGTTTGGGCTCCTCCATCAAAAATTTGCTGTCTTCGCTTAGGGAATTGATTGATTTGATTGATGGGCGTGGGAGGGAGAGACGTTGGCTGCTGAAACGTGAAAGCTCACCTTTCCCGATCCTCAGTGTGAGTCCTGCACCCCTGGACCTTCTTTCCGCCCTGTCGCCGAGTGCCAGGAACACAACACCACGACGATCCACTTTACGCGAACCTGGCGCGTTGGCGCGGCTGATGACAGAACTCTGCCTCATCTCGTGAATGTCTGCTTCCAGGCGGGATCGTCGTTGCGCAATATCTTTTTTCATGTGTGCATCTCCCCATTCGTCTGGACCTGTCTCCGCAAGAAGACATCGCATGACGAGATCGTGGGCGAGGAGCGTTGCGCCGGGTTGTTGCTATTCGTGAACGATGGTCGGCCACGATGGGACCAGCAGCAACGGGCTAGGACGTGAGAGTGAAGGCGATGTTGTTGCTGCTGTTCCGCGGCCGTCCGAAGACTTGTCGCCGCAGAATGGCCGTCCGGCAGAATGCTCACCTCAGCAAGTATCGAACTCAGACGGCTCCTTTCCATCGCCAAGGGATGAGACGGGACATGCTCCAATTCGCAATACCTCAGGAGTCGCCTTCTGGAATGTCAGCATCCCGCCGTCTGACTGGACAGACGAATGTCCAGAATACCTGCAGTATGCGTTCAAGGACCACAAAGACCGCGGCGTTTTGAGCACGCCGGATACCGAGTACCAGCGGCAGAGTTGGGATGAAGTCCGGGAGTTGATCCGTGGGAATCGACTCGACTTGTTCAAGCGGGTACCGAGCCAGCTACGACTGTATAGGGAGTACTGCCAGCAGTTGATACGAGAGCATGGAAGCATCATGAATTTTGTGTTGAAGGAGAGATTGCATTGGGGGGATCTGAACTTCTCGGCCAGTCCGCCTTTCTCCAATGCTGGTATGTCAGAATGAAGACTTGCATCTTTTCATGGCTAATTTGTTAATAGATGACTACATCATCTTATACAACGACTGGCCGTACGGCGTGGACGAACGGATTGTTCATCTCGTCGTGTGGACCAAGTTCGAGCTGCCTGCCGACGCGGCGTCTGAGATTGGTGATATGTCTACAACAACGCGCGAATTCGTCAACGACTTTGTAGAAAAGACGTTTGTGAGTACCTGCGGTCGCGAGAATGTGATTTGGTTCAAGAATTGGAACAGCCTGAAGAGCATCCATGCGGTCGAGCACTTCCACGTGATGCTCTATGATCCCAATGCGGGGTTTGTTCGACGAGTGACGCATGGAGACCGGCCGCTTTTTGAGAAGGTGGTCTCGAGACATGCAAGTTGAGCGCGTGACCTCTCCATCACCATGTCGAGCTGATGAAGGTCGTCAACAATAATGAGGGATTGCTTGCCAAGCACAAGTACTGCCAAGTTGGGAGATTCGCAGCCACCGCTTCTGACGAATGCCGGATTGCTGCGGTACAGGACTACGACAGCATTGCTTTTTGCCTGCTCGTCAGCAGTGGTCGCAGTTGCTCATCCATTGCGAAGACGTGCAGTCAGCACCAAGCTTATCGGCGCAGGACGATGTTGGTATCGTGGCGGCCGTTGAAGGCTTCGCCGATCCGCATGATTGGGATTTTTTCATTCAACCAGACGCTGGAAATAGAACTATGCGCCTCATACGTAGTAGAGATAGATATCATCATGCAGGAAGAAGATGGATCGTAATAGCAGCCCAAACGGGTAGCAGGCCATGCAGCATCGTGTGTCTTGTTGTCAAGCTGCACCGCCATGCAGCCACGACGCAAGAAAAACGTACGATGGCGCGGGCCCGGATCCTCCGACTCCACCGCCAGCAGCAACTCATTACGCGGAGTTTGTTAAACTCCTGCCCAAAGTCACCCGATATTGAAGTAGTTCCGGCCGATTTGGAGTAGGAACTTGATTGATTCAATCATAGTTATGATCCGACTTCATCAATTCATCGCTGCTGTCAAGCCCGAAGAAGAAGAAGAAGAAGAAGAAGAAGAAGATTCGTGTTCCTGCAGCGACAGGGAAAAGATCTGATAAGAAGATTTTATCAATCGTTCATCTCGCAGCGCAGTGGAGCCACATTGAGTTCTGGGGTACAGCATCTGAGGCATGTGATTGGGCGGTTCCTTGCGGCGAAACAGGCCCAAGAGGATATTTTCTCGTGGAGCAGCGAATGCCTCGAGGGCGGTGAATTGACTAGGCACTCACTAACTGTGGCGGCGGCGGGATAACTAACTGGCTGCTGGTCCCTGGTTGGGGTCGTCTTCCCTCTCCATCAATATTTACTTGACTTGACTTGTTGACTCTGCTTTGTTGCTAAAGAACAATTGCAAGCAACGCCTCCCCCGGTTTGCTTGCTTGGAGCGGCGTGACGTCGAGCGGCAGCAGCAACAGCCACACACCACACCACCCTCGACCGCTTCAGCAGTGCTTGCGACATTCAGCGACATCCGACAGCGAGGGGACACAACAGCACAGGCGGGTTGAGGACGAGGAGCTGGAGGCGGGAGAAGTCGACTCCGCGACGGCGACACCACGACATGCGCCTGTGACCGAACAATCCCCCTACGCCCTACTCACCACCACCCACCCCTCTTCACACACCACCGCCGCCGCCATGCTCGGCTCACAGCTCATCCCCACGCGATGGCGGCGCAACTACGACATCACCGACCCCCACAAGCCGGGCTACTACAACCAGCGCATCACCCCCTACCTGCAAAAAGTCTCCCTCAAGGCCTGCACCCACCCGATCAGGACCATCGTGTTTGTCGCCGCCCTCGCCAGCGTCTTCTACGTCGGTCTTCTCGACACGGGTTTCTTCCGCCCATCCCCAGTCTCAGGCAACAAGGTCGATTTCACCGCACTGTCCGCGGGCAGCAGGAGGCTACATTTGGGCCCAGAAACAGCTTGGAAATGGCAGTTGGAGGAGAATGGCGCCAGTGGGAAGGCGGCCAACGCGAAAGAGCAGGACATTGCGCTGGTCACACTCGACTTTCTGGACTCGGGCAACAAATCTCCCAATGCCGCGCCAGTCGCGCAGAGGGTCCCTCTACCAGAGGACAGCCAGGCGGAGTTGCTGCCTTCGAGCGAGAACATCCTCTCACCCATCTCCTCGGACACCATGCTCGCCTTCTCCATGCCGTTTGAGCAAACGCCACGCTTCATGGAACGCGTCAAGGAGATCCCTGCCTCGCCCGCCGGTCTGACGCAAGAAGACGATGGCTCAGACGACGAAGCTGAGCAAAAGATGTGGCTGATGAAGACCGCCAAGACCAATCCCTCCTCCCACGGCATGGTCGAATGGGTGCAGAACTCGTGGAGTGCCTTCCTGGACTTGATCAAGAATGCCGAGACTTTGGATATCGTCATCATGTCTCTGGGATACTTGTCCATGTACTTGACCTTTGCTTCGCTTTTCCTGAGCATGCGCCGGATGGGATCGAACTTCTGGTTGGCGACTATGACCCTCTTCTCCTCGGCATTCGCTTTCCTCTTTGGATTGATGGTGACCCTGAAGTTGGGAGTCCCAGAGAATGTGGTCTTGCTTTCTGAGGGAGTGCCGTTCTTGGTGGTGACAGTCGGCTTTGAGAAGCCCATCATGCTCACCCAGGCTGTCCTCTCAGCCTCCGTCCAGGCCAGGAACGGCAACGGCAATGGCGACGCACCGCTCACCATTCAAAATGCTGTGCAGACTGCAGTGCGCGAGCGTGGTTTTGAAATTGTACGCGACTACACTATTGAGATTCTGATCCTCTGTGCGGGAGCAGCTTCTGGCATTCAAGGTGGACTGCGACAATTCTGCTTCTTGGCCGCTTGGACGCTCTTCTTCGACTGCATCCTGCTTTTCACCTTCTACACCTCCATCCTCACCATCAAACTTGAGATCAACCGCATCAGACGTCACGTCAACCTGCGGAAAGCTCTGGAGGATGATGGTGTCAGCCGACGAGTGGCAGAGAATGTGGCTTCAAGCAACGACTGGCCCAACGGCGATGGCATGTCTCCCAACAGCGAGAACAGCATCTTCGGCAAGAAGGCTCGCGACAGCAGCGTGCCACGCTTCAAGGTGTTGATGGTCACAGGCTTCATCATGATCAACGTGTTGAACATCTGCACCATGCCCTTCCGAGGAACGAGAAACAACGCACCAGTCACGACCGCTGGCCTTTCAAGTGTCGTGACACAGCCACCCATGGATCCCTTCAAAGTTGCTGGCAACGGCCTCGATTTCCTCTTCAGCCAGGCACAGAAGGGCAAGCAACCCATCAGCGTGACGGTCTTCAACCCGATCAAGTACGAGCTGCAATATCCATCCATACACTACTCACAGCGGGGAGAGTCATCAGACTGGGCCATCTTCGACGGCGACTACCGAAGTGGTATGTTCTCTGCGCTGGGCGGTAAGATGGTAGAAAGTCTGCTCAAGAGCTTTGAGGACCCGACTCTGAGCAAGTGGGTGATTAGCGCGCTTGTCTTGAGCTTGGTTCTGAATGGTTACCTCTTCAATGCGGCGAGATGGACTATCAATGAGCCTGAAAGCGAGCCTTCAACCCCGATCAAGGAGCCTGCTGGGAGTGAAAAGTCGAAACAACCACAGGCTAATGGCCATGCGGTTGCACCAATCAAATCTGAACCATCGCCTGAGGAGGTGGCGGAATTGGAGTCCATCATGAACAAGCCTGGGAAACGGACACGAGAGGAATGCGAGGCGATGGTCAAAGCTAAAAAGGCACCGCTTCTCGATGACCACGAAATCGTTGACCTTGCCCTGCGTGGTAAGATACCAGGACATGCGCTGGAGAAGACTCTCGAAGACAAGACTCGTGCAGTCAAGATCCGAAGATCTGTCATTTCAAGGACGCCAGGCACGGCGGACCTCACCGGTAAGCTCGAGAAATCCAAGCTGCCTTACGAACACTTCGACTACGACAGAGTGCATGGCGCATGTTGTGAGAATGTGGTTGGCTACTTGCCATTGCCTCTTGGCGTTGCTGGACCTTTAACAATCGACGGCCGCAGCTACTTCCTTCCAATGGCAACGACCGAGGGTGTGCTTGTTGCCAGTACGAGCAGAGGGTGCAAAGCCATCAACGCTGGTGGAGGTGCCGTTACTGTTCTGACAGCCGACGGCATGACTCGTGGTCCATGTGTTGGATTCGAGACGCTTGCTCGTGCTGCCGCTGCCAAGGTCTGGATCGACAGTCCGGAGGGTCAGAAGGTCATGAAAGATGCCTTCAACTCGACCTCTCGTTTCGCTCGACTACAGCAGCTGAAGACGGCGATTGCTGGGACATACCTCTACATCCGCTTCAAGACGACGACTGGTGACGCCATGGGCATGAACATGATCTCCAAGGGTGTGGAGAATGCTCTCAACGTCATGTCACAAGAAGCCGGCTTCAGCGATATGGCCATCATTTCGGTCTCAGGCAACTTCTGCACAGACAAGAAACCGGCCGCGATCAACTGGATCGATGGACGTGGCAAGAGTGTCGTCGCCGAGGCTATCATCCCCGGCGAAGTCGTCAGGAGCGTGCTGAAGAGTAATGTCGACGCTCTTGTCGAGCTTAACATTGCCAAGAACTTCATGGGGAGTGCCATGGCGGGAAGTATTGGAGGTTTCAATGCCCATGCCGCCAATATCCTCACAGCCATCTTCCTCGCCACGGGTCAGGACCCAGCACAGAACGTGGAGAGCAGTAATTGTATTACTGTGATGAAGAAGTAAGTTGAACTCATCTCTGTAAGCAACGTTCAATTTACTGACTTACTTCACAGTCTCAACGGCAACCTCCAAATCTCCGTCTCCATGCCCTGCATCGAAGTCGGCACCATCGGCGGCGGAACTGTCCTCGAACCCCAAGCCGCCATGCTGGACCTACTCGGTGTGCGAGGACCTCACCCAACAAGCCCCGGCGCCAACGCCCAACAACTCGCCCGCATCATCGGCGCCGCTGTCCTCGCAGGTGAACTGTCCCTCTGCTCAGCACTCGCCGCAGGTCACCTCGTGCAAGCACACATGAGCCACAACCGTTCAGCCGCGCCTTCTGCGGCGCCCAGCAGACCGCAGAGTCCTGGGCCCAAGAGCCCCTCCACGCCCGTGAGGTTGGCCATGACGAGTATTGTAGATAGTGCGAAGGAGAAGACTGGTGCTCCGAAATAGTAGTAAGAACTTGCATAGACAGACAGACAGTTGATGTATCAGCATAGCGAGGCGTTTTCCCTGTTTTTCGAGCCCGAGACAGAGACAACGTCTGCAGCCAATAGGCCTCGGGGGCCGAATCCGTGTTTCGACAGAAAGAATTCGTTTTTTATATACCATTTTTTGGCGCTAGAGAGAAAGGCGCGCCGCGAGGGAAAGAGAACGCTTTATTGTACATACTGCCACCATCGTTGTACTCGACAGTGCTTTTCTGTTCGTCCTCCTCGCATCTCAAAAGGTATGTTCGAAAGATCCAACGGATTTCCAGGGGCAAAGACGGCCACCCTGCTTGACTTTCCCTGCCCTAGAGCACGTATGCTTCCACTGCTGGAAACGGAAGTTTGTGGGTCTGGATAGTGGATCAGATTCGCTCGCGGTGTGGACACTGTTTGATGATGGATGGGCTTGAAGGCGGGTTGTAGGTGATGGTCGATGCTGAAGGGGAGGGGACGGCGAGGTGTATAAAAGACGGCGAAGGAGCGCTGTCAGGCAGGAGGGAGAGTGAGCGCAGGAAACCTGCATGAGATATTGAGCATCTGCAGAACTGAACAAACCTCGAAAGGACTCTTTCACTCATCAGGTACAAGCCACGAACCCCTTTTCCTCTCTCCCGCCATCTCTCTCTACTGACCTCCCTCTACCAGACGCCACCCTCCACGCTCCAAGATGCACGGCCCAACCCTCCTCTTCGCCCTCCTCTCCCTCACCGTAGGCTTCACCAGCGGCTCTCCCACGCCAGCGCTGAACGAAAAGCATCTGCCACAGGAGACGTCCATTCCAACCTCCTCCATTGACGAGCTGCCTCCTATTGAGTTCCCACCGATTACGGAGACGGTTGTGCCGACGGTTGTACCGACTTCTGTGCCGAGTTTGAGGGCGGGTTGAGATGGATGTATCTTAGGGAGCTGGAGTGTTGAGGTGAGATAGGTCTTTTGGGGGTTTGGAGGAAGGCTTGAGGGGTGGAGAGATGGAATTTTGAGGTGTGTGGAGACTAATCGTTGGTATTTGTTGCAAAAATAGTAGAATAGTCGTATAGCACGACCGTCCTCGCGTGGTGACAAGATCGGAGCGTTCATTCACTTACTACGATTGAGTTCACTAGCGTCGAGCTTCAAAATCAAGTGGGCTTGGATTGTGGCACGAACACTTTTGTCCTCGTCTTCTATCAACGACGTCAGCAGATCATGCACAAGACTATCCAATACCTCCCCAAGCCCAATCCACACTCTATCCAACTCACAACAAAATCGTCCCCCCATGACTCCGAATAATACTCCCAGAAACATTCCAATCCCTCAAAACATACAAATACGCCTCCACCACATCCCCCACCTCACCCACCCTCCCCGTCGTCATCTTACTCTCAAACCTCGCCCTCACCTCCTCATACAGTCCCGCCTCCTTGGTCCCACCCCACAGCTCCGTCTCAACAGGCCCCAGTCCAATCGCATTCACCCTCACCGGCGCGAGATCCACCGCCAGTCTCCGCGCCATGCTCTCAATCCCGCCGAGGTACGCCTGCGCGACGGACCAGTTCTTCATCAAGTGGTGCGGGACGCCGCCGGTTGTTAGAGTGAATGAGCTGCCCGAGGTGGGACGGAGGTTTTGGCGGAGATGCTGTGCGACGACTAAGGGGGCGAAGAAGCGCACGATGCCGGCTTGTTGGATCTGTGGGAGGGAGAAGGCTTCGAGGGGTTTGATGGGGAGGGCGTCGCCGGCGGTGAAGACGACGTGGTCGAGTTGGTTGGGGCCTCCTAGATGCGTGGCGATTTCTGCGAATAGAGATGTGATTTGCTCCGTCAGGGTTTCGAAGTTTCCGAGGTCGCAAGGAATCCCGATGATGGCGGCGTCGTCGTCGTCGTCTCGGGTATGGGGATGTAAAGAGCGAAGGCGATCGATGGCTTGGGAGATTCGCTGTGCTGAGGAGGATGAGATAATGACATGGCCACCGAATTCGAGCACGGCGGAGGCCAGACCGACGCCTATCCCTATGCTGCCTCCTATGATGAGGACGCGGGAGCCTTTGAGCTTGTCGGAATGGTTTCGCGGTGGAGGCATTGTTGTTCGAGCACGGCTTAACAGACTGAATGGATGGGCGTGGAAGATGCTTCAGGGGACTTGAAAGGCAATCGTTCTCATAAAGGTGCTGGCGGGCTTATTGTAGTCGGTTTAAATGCAGGAGATGTAGTCATCTCTGAACTGGAGACCTATACAACCCTAGATGTAGGTCAGTGCTCAGAAAGTCTTAGAAACCGTACTTTACGGAGACCAAGTATAGCCGGTTAGGAGTCTTAACGCACCTCATTGCAAATCAAGGCAACTTGAGGAAAGTATTACTGCCAATAATCTGTCTGAGAGCTACGCGAGCAACGCACCTCCATTAGTATACACACTCCCGCCAGTCATATTCTTGTCCTTCATCAAATACAAGTAAGCCTCCACCACGTCCTGCACATCCGCAATCTGGCTCGTGACAGTAGCACGCGCCAGACTACGCTTCAAGTCGTCCACATCAGCTGTCTCTCGGTGTGAATACCACCTCTCAGTGTCTACGGGCCCTGGCCCTACCAGGTTGACTCGAACAGGAGCTAGATCTCGCGCCAAGGCTCTCGTCATGCCCTCGAGGCCTGAGAGATAGGACATCATAATGGCCCAGCCTTTGCGAGGTCGTTGGTGTAAGCCACCGGTGGTTATGGTGAAGGAGGAGGCCGTACTTTGGGTCATCGCCCTGGATAAGTGCTGGGCTACCAGTAAAGGGCCGAAGAAACGGACCATTCCAGCCTTCTGTATCTCCGCGAGCTTAAACTCTTCGATGTTTCCAAGCGTGATATCATCTCCCGCCGTGTAAACAACGTGGTCCAAAATCACTCCTTTGGCAGCTATCGTGTCGAAAAGACCTTGGACTTGCGTTTCGACCTTTTCTGCGCTGCTCAGGTCGCACACAATGCCTTCTAGGCGTCCCTCGGCAAGGGGAAATTTCGAAAGGAGCCTTTGTACGGCGTTGGAGATGTGGTGCGGTTGGGAAGAACATAGAAAGACGTAGGCGCCATGTTGTAGCAGTGCCTCGCATACGCCGAACCCGATTCCAGAAGAGCCGCCGATGACCAGAGCGCGGGCATCTTGCAGCTTGCAGTGAGATCTGGAGAAGGTTGTGGGTGCCATTGATGCAGGTGTATGAGCAGGTGCTGCCATAGTGTCCCAGGTGCTGACAACAGATTTATACCCTTCTTGGTACTCGTGATTAGGTATCGCTACCGTAGTTTTAACCGGCCAAGCAAACACGTTATTGCTCATTCATGGCATCGAACATAGATTGAAGAACCACTTGCCGTTGTTCACCGTCGGTCAACGCACCATCGATCTGAGCCATCAACGCTGATCGACTATGAGAAGAGGGCTAGATTGAACATGTTACTGACTGGTTCAAGCTTTTGATGGAGAGTGACCTGCATTGGCGTCCGAGCGCACGGACACATGGTTAGGGCTGCAAAGGCCGAGTGAATGTGTAGGTCGTTTCGTCCGCGCTCAGGATGCAGGCAGAGTCGTTATATCCGGCTACCCGCAGCAAAGTAGCGTGAGTCAACCAAATAGGTTCAACAATGGAGTCCAGATTATCAACCGTTAAGAGTCATCGTGGACCAGATGCTTTCCCAAGTCAATTCAAATTTTGTCGTGCAATCTTCGTCGTGCTTTTGAGACGATCTTAACCTGTGAATGTTGTTTGGTCATGTCCCTAGATGCCTTGCTCAGCGATGCGAACAATCCTTCTTACCACAAGTACACCTATAGCGATATCTCTACCACAACCCATCTCATACGATATTGCCACCGTTTCGTGTCTCTCATGAATGCCAGACCCCTCGACAGGACTTTGGTCGCCAACGAGCCCTCCGACTCCTTCATCGCCCTGATCGACAACCTACCAGTGGCAAGCACACTTGAAGAGCACTTCAACAATCTTTCGGTGGTTTACAATGCCTTCCCTGATGTCAGGGTAGATGTGGTCGACATCTCCTGTGTCATGGACGATCAAACAAAAGGGAGAGCCTCGGCGTTCATGCTCCTTGAGATTCGAGGGTATCCAAAAACCCTTGTCCGTCAGGTCATGGCAGTTCTACACTTCCGGAGGAGAGAGGACGGATGGAGATGTTTCCAATATGCCGGTATGAGAGGCCAGATCTTCTGAGGCTCGTGGGGAGAATGATATACACCGACACCTGGCGATGGAAGGCCGAACACCTGGAGTTCGACGATGGTCTGTGGTCCTTGCTGATCCTGATGAAAGATGTAGTGGTCGCTAGCACGATGGGCGATCATGACTGCTGAACGTACGACGATTGTGAGAACGCTAGGTCCAACTCATCCGAAATCTCTCTTGGAACGAGTCATTCCCACGCCTCTTTCCGAATGAACCGCTGCTGTCCGAGACGCCCAATAAGGGACTAGAAGGTCGAAATGTCGATCCGATCGAACTCGTCACGAATATTGTGTCCGTCGTCGTGCTCTCAAATTCCATGATCGCTGCGAGACAAGGGAATCAAAACACCAGAGATCGTGGTGTGCGGACGATCATCGAAGGCCTTGCGCGGAGAACACATCAGCATAGAGTGCCAAAGACACAAGAATATACCTGAGCTCAAGTTGGTACTCTGCAAGCCCCATAACTGGCAAGGGAACGACCAGCAAGACGTCCAGGAAGATCCATCTTAGAGTTCCCAGGTCGACACCTCAACTTCAGCATCTCCGGCGCGGCGATCTTAGGCGAGAGCCTACCAACAGCCTCTTTCGTAGCTGGGCGAAAAGCATAGCAACCAAAGCGGCTAGGAAATGTACCTCACACATGTGCGAAGGTGTGGCGTCTGGAGCAGAACCATGGAGTCCCGGGTCGACGGCACGGCCAGCTGCGCGGAATGAACAGTAGACCAGGTCGCTGGTGCATACAAGCTTATGATCTTGACTGTATGCCTAGACACACGTCTGGAGCTTATAGGTGAGATAGCAGATACCCGTTCCTATGGACCTAGGCTTGCGGTCAGCTCCGATGAGAGCGCTTGCGGGTTCCCATGTTGTGGAGTGACAGTGGACGCACTGTACTCGTGTTGTCTCTGCTTTCGTTTGGTCTTAGGATAGTCTTCCCATTAATAGAGCAGCCTTCATGGTCAGGTGTGGGCATTGCTGATGTTGCTGATCGGATAGAGTCAGCATCTCAAGGAGAAGTTTTGGGACAATTTATCCGAGCCCGCGCAACGGATCAGAGTCCGCATTGGGCGCAAGCTCCATTCACCCACCACCAAATTTCTGTCAACCAGCCGCCCCTGATTGGCTGCAGTCTTATCTCTGCTGAACCTGCAGAACACACGCTCCTTCGTTCTTCGCAGCGTTCTCGCCTACAACCACTCATCTGGGTCATGTAATCGACGGCACCAGACAGGCCGAGAACAGGGGCTGGGGGAGAAGACAATTGGTGAATGGCCAAGCTGCCGAGCAAAGTGCTTCGCAACGATAAGCCTTGTCGCTGGACTGGGATCCTGGTGACGACCCGGGTGGGTACGTATTCCGTACAGCGACCGTCGGTACGTCCTCGTGGCGGTTCGCCGTCCAGCGTCCTTCCAGAATGTCGCCTCTTACCGACACAGGCATGGCACCCGTCGTGCCGTTATCAGCGGGCGTGGTGATTTCTTCGGCCATGTGCGCGTGGGTGGGACGCACTACATATGTGTCGCGTGTGCGGGCTGCTTGAACAGATTTCTTGTTTCGTGACTGTGTCGTTTCCCACTACCCAGCAGCCTTACGCTCTCCCCATTGCGCCGGAGTAAACTTCTTCGTGAAGCCGGCTCGACCCCAGCACCCAGCATTCGCTCACTTGGGTAACACAAAACCGGATTAATCTTCTTCGTGAAGCCGGTTCCACCAGCAGGCCAAGATGCCGTACGAGTACCCGGACGTCGAGAAGAATGGAGGGGTGGTGAATGCTGGCAGCAGCAGTAACAGCGGCGAGTACGAGAAGCGGAATGCACATATCGTCCATGAAGATGGCGCTGTCCCAGGCGAGAGCTTCGAGTATGGCAACGGATGGTATGCGAAGATCCAAAGGCTAGCGGGCAAGTTCCATGTCGAGCAGAGAGGTATCGAGAGAGTGCCAGAGGACGAGCGGACGGATACTGGTGTCAAGGCGTTGCTGAACGTCTCGACGATGGTGAGATTATAATTTCCACCGTGAAAGAACATTACTAACCCTCGATTCCAGTGGTTCTCCGCCAACATGGTCGTCTCGTCCTTCGCCATCGGTATCCTGGCCAAAGAGCTCTTCTACCTTGGAGTCGCAGACGCCATGCTCATCTGCCTCTTCTTCAACCTGATCGGTGTCATGACTGTCTGCTTCTTCTCAACGTTCGGCCCACGATTCGGCTTGCGCCAAATGGTCCTGTCTCGATTCTGGTTTGGCTGGTGGGGAGTGAAGCTCATCGCCATCTTCAACGTCCTGGCATGTATCGGCTGGTCGTCTGTCAACTCCATCGTCGGCGCGCAACTCATCAACGCCGTAAATAGCGACGTCCCTGGCTTCGCCGGTATTCTGATCATCGCCTTCTGCACCATGTTCGTTTGCTTCTTTGGCTACAAGATCGTCCATGCGTATGAGTTCTGGTCCTGGCTGCCAGCGACGATCATCTTCCTCATCGTGCTCGGCGTGTTTGCCCACAGCGGCGACTTCGTCAATATCCCCATGGGTGTAGGCAAGTCTGAGCTCGGTGGATGCCTTTCCTTCGGCGCCACAGTCTACGGCTTCGCCACGGGCTGGACCTCGTACGCCGCAGACTACACAGTCTACCACCCAGCCAATCAGTCCCGCCGCAAGGTCTTCTTCGCGACGTGGATCGGCCTCATCATCCCCCTGCTCTTCACTGAGATGCTCGGCATCGCCATCATGTCCGCCACAGACATCGACGGCGGCAACAACCGCTACCAGACCGGCTACGAGGCCTCAGGAACCGGTGGTCTCCTCGGCGCAGTCCTCATCTACCACCTCGGCACCTTCGGCAAGTTCTGCCTCGTCGTCCTCGCCCTGACCATCATCGCCAACAACTGCCCCAACATCTACTCCGTCGCTTTGACCGTACAAGTCCTCTCCCGCTACACCGCCCGTGTGCCTCGATTCATCTGGACCGCCATCGGCACAGGGGTCTACATTGCCATCGCCATCCCAGGCTACTCGCACTTCGAGACGGTCCTCGAAAACTTCATGAACTTCATCGGGTACTGGCTCGCCATCTACAGCGGCATCTCCCTGACCGACCACTTCTACTTCAGACGTGGCTTCTCCGGCTACAATCCCGAGGATTACGACAAGCCGGGCAAACTGCCACCAGGTATCGCCGCCGTCGCCGCTTTCTGCTGTGGTGTCGCAGGAATGGTGACAGGCATGAGCCAGACCTGGTTCGTTGGTCCCATCGCGCTACATGCTGGCGAGGCGCCCTACGGTGGCGATGTCGGGTTCGAACTTGGATTCGCCTTCTCGGCAGTGGGCTATCTCGTTCTGAGAACCCTCGAGTTGAAGTATTTCCATCGGTAGAAACGTCGTGCGGGAATGGGCCTCGGTGTTGTTTTGAAATTTTGATTGTATAGGATGTATTATGATTCCCTCGCTTCGCGCATTTTGAGAGGAAAAGCGGCATATGTCGAGCGGTTAGCGCCATGGGTCTGCTGTGAATATGAATGATGATGTGAACTCTTCAAGGATGGCATTCTCCTCTCTGTTGTCTTCCTGCGTGAGTAATTAGTGTGGTGGTGAGAGTGCTTGGAAGGACATACCACAGGCCGACCGACTCGCACGCTTTCCGCAATAGGCAGGAACGACGACGAACATGTGGCATGCGGGAGTAAAGTGAAACCATCGGCCGCACACACTTACGAGGTGAGGTCAATTGGGCATGCTTTTTGAAAGCGCGGCGATTGGGTTGAACTGGATAGACTTCTAGCGATACAAACTCAAGTGGCAGTAACTGTGACTTCATGTTGACTGCACTTGGCGGAATTGTGCACATGGCGAGGATCATGGGAGGCGTGAAAAGCGAAATGATAGTGCAAACGCGCAAGATGCCAGTGCTTATGCCTGACATTGGCCCACGTCCCATATGGTAGTCTGGCTGCTCACGAGTGCGCAGGCATCGCCATCGTGACCAACCCGTCTTGGGACGTATGCTCCCGCCCAGCGCCAAGGCACTGCGCTGCTTTGGAATATCAACATCTCTGTCTGCCCTGCAAATCCAGCTTTGCCGGCCTTCAGATCATCGGAAGCGCCAAAGCACTGACGAGATTGGCGTTCGTCTCAGCGCCGCCGCACCATCGCAATGCATACCTGCTTGGACGCAGCATCACCACTTCATTCTCTTGACCGGGCTCGTCCTCGTCCAACAGTTTGTACTTATCCCAGAACTCTACTAGGCCATTCCAGGACATCGCAGCCGGCAGCCAGCTCTCTAATATCTCACGCATCCTCTTCTTTACGCTCTTGAAAGCGTCCGACCGTGTCTGCATGGATGAAGTCAAGCGGAAGTCGTACTAGGTCCAGAAGTTCCTCACATGTTCGACGACTGCAGCTTCGATGAATTGATGTGATGGAACAGACATTCGGTCGTATTCGGAGAAGCAGCTCTCGGTGATGAGTCTCGCAGACATGAGATGGACGCGAGGGAAACGTTCGGTAATGATGCGGTAGGTCTGGTGGCAGATCAGGCGGCGATCAGGGCGAAGGTTGGACCAGACTGATGGACTGGGCCCGTCGCGATGGGCAAGCGCTTCGTGGAAGACGGGGCTGGGCACGATGTACCCGACAAACATGTTGCGCCAGTGGTCCTATTCAAACGCATGAGCAGGCGGCATGGGAGTGATCGAGGCAGTTCTGCTTACCCAGACTTCGTAGAGAATGCGGCCTCTTGCAAGTGTCATCTCGCGAGCATATTGCAAAGATGGCAGCGGGTAGTCATCGGCGGCGAAGTATCTGTAACCAGCCTGCGGCACCATGGTGTCCGCGTCGACACGAACGACATCGCGATACTCTGAATAGATGAAATCTGCCATGACCAATGCTCCAAGTGGTCGCGTTGTCGAGAAAGCCGCATGAGTTCAAAACCGTACTCAAGGAACCATTGTGGGTAATTTCGATGTCTTTAGACAATGAAAGACTGCAAAAGTCAACGCAGTCGTCGTTTGTCCTTTGTCTCACCCGACTCGCATGAGGCAGGGATTCTGTCTCGCCAATGTTGCCAGCGTTGTTCTTTGTTTGCATCCGACACCTTCCAAAGTCTGTCATTAACATCTTCAAAATGCGATATGAGTATCATCCAGGTACCGCTTGTGTAAGCTGTAGATCGTCCTCGACGAAGTTTTCCAGCTGCGTCAGCGTGAATCCAAGTTCTGGAGAGCAGTACAAAGACGAAGCCGGCAAGAAGGGACCTCTAATCGCATTCTGCGTTCTCATCTTGTTCTGCACACGTTTTGCAGGAAGCGACGGTGGTGGCATCGCTTTTTTCGCAGCTTTCATGGGAAGGTTGTGGGACGTCTTTGCAGATTGTGCGTTCGCCTCAGTCGTCCGCCCTGCAAGTCTCGGTGGATCGAGTTCATCCAGGTCTTCGGCAGTTAGATCAAAGTCTTCAGAGCTGAAAGATCCTGCCTTGGGCTCAGGAGTCTGTTGTTCGTTCGGGCTGTTGCTGTTGAGCTCGCGAGCGACTTGAGTGCTGCTTTCGAGGTCGTCCCAAAAGTTGCTGAGATCTTGATCAATGATAGGGGTGGGTTCTGTATTTGAGCGCTTCAGTATTGCAGGTTGTGGCCGAGGGGGCGGAGGCATCAACATAGAGTCTGATTCAGGGACTTGTTTTGGCTGGGGCTGTGACTTGTTCGAGTTGGCCGTTTCCAGGGCTTCAAGCAGCTCCTCATCGTCCAGACCATCGTCTTCGTACACATCGTCCTGAGCGGTATATTGCACCTTGCCACTCGTCGCTTCAGCCATTGGTTTGCCGAAGAAGGCGCCCAAATGAAACTGGCTCGCCTTGAACCCGAACTTGTCGCATCTTCTCTGGCTCAAGAGCTGGCTCTTCTCTCGCTCAGCTTTGTCCCTCTTCCCCTGCTCTGACCGCTTCCTCACGGCTTCGGCTCTTCGTTTCTCTGCCTCTTTCGAGCGTTCTGCACGCTCTTCCAGCTCGATGGCGCGCACAAGTTGGCGTTGTTCGGCGTCGCTGAGCGAGGGCCGGCCCCGAGCCTTGAAGGACGCTTTTGCTTGCTTGGTTGTCTGCGCCTTGCAGATGGCCGGCATCCTCACATCACATGCTGCTCGGCGTGTCCGTTTCGCCCATCAGTGGGATTGCAATGCGTGGCATCCTCGTTGCGTGAGACGCGATGTTGACGTCCCGCCTTCCCCGCAAAGCTTGGCTTTCGGACGATGGGGGGCTGCACTGCAAAATCATTCACTCACCTCTAACTTTCCACAAGCGCTCTCGATACGGCAGTAACTGAGAACGACATCAACATGTCCCAAGACTAACTGCATGCTCCACTTTCAGGACTACTCTGGGCAGACCAGCGCGGTCATGTTCTAGGACAAGGCACCAACCCTGCTACATCATTGGTTTTCTGTCAAGCCCGAAGCTTCCAATACTTCGCTATTTTGAATGTGGCCAAGGTCCCAATTCGAGCCATATGTGGATAACCGCCTTTCTTGCAAGACAAATCTCTCGATAAGTTTCATAGCCTACTGCCAAGCTGGTGAAGTCTGGGACATCCCTGGAGGCACCGGCAGCATTGGGCGGGCTCTGCCGCTTGTTGGTTGACTGTCACCCCTTGCCTGATGGACTCTCCAATCTGGGATCAACCACACATTTCACATCTGTCAAGAGACATGAATGCGTCATATCCATAGCATCAATTTCCCAGGTCCATGAATTTGACAATGGTCTGGCTTTTCCGGTAGAGGATCTTTCATTCCCAAAGACCGGTCTCGGAATTGTCGGATGAAATTGACTTCCTCTTCGCATCGAGACGTATCGCCTGCTTCTAAGAGACTTTCGGCTCACCCGTCCTGCCCAACAAGGACCTGGGTAGACCCTGCCAAAGCTAAAGCTACCGCGTCCACGGGACACTTTTGCAACATCTTCGACACCAACGTGTACCGAGGCAATACGAAGTCGCAGAATGCTATGCATTAATCGAAGGAACGAGAGTGCTTGACTGTTGAAGAAGTTCTACGACAGAGGTTGCCTCTCAAGACTCATCTTTGGCAAGGCAGCAAAGATTACCAGGCTCGAGTCCAGAGTCGATCAATATCAAACAGTTGCAACGACGTTCTGTCCAGGGCAGTTCGAGTCTCTTCGCCAGGTGAGATTCAACAGACGATCCATTCCGCAATGTCTAAAAGCTCGAGGTCTCCCTATGGGAGATACCGAAGAGCGTTGAAAACAGCGAGACTGAAAGGCTCTCCTGACGTCGTGGCACTTGGCAGCCAACAAACGCTACTATCTTCTCCAGGGCTGCCAGCTTGGTGATCGTTGCCTTCTCGTACCTGAACGAGCGAGGATCTCCTGAAGACTGGTCTCCAGGGCTGAAGAACGAGAGTGCTTTTTCGTTCTCGCCTATCAATCGGTCTGACCCCTGAGTCACTGTCTTCGCGTCGTTCGAAGAGCATATCCCGCTGAACGCCGCTCGATTGCCATCATAGTAGGCACCAGGTTCTGGGCATTCTCCTCCTGCTGCTTTCCTACCAAAGCGCTCGGGTGTCCCAACTGTGCTGCTGGAACTGGTGCGTGATGTTCCACGAAGCTGCAACGCCCCCACGCGTCCACCACCAATTGGAGCTTCAAGGACAGGCCTTGAGTCGTGGAGAAGCTGATCGCCGCCTTGAACAAGGTGCTGGGAGTCTTGATGGGAATCGACGAAGGACGGGGAGAACGAGAAGATGGTCAGCCCGCCGAATTATGCTACTACACGTGTTATTATGGTGCTGCGCTTTCAGGGCATTCACGCTACTCCGGGCATGGGCTCTCTCCACGACACGATCTGTACTGAGTATCGCTGCTGGCCTTTGACACGGTCCACTCAAGCCAGAAGATGGCAACACTCCAGGATTACGGATCGTGCCATTACTTGGCGGACTCTGTTTCCCAGGACTCATCCGTGCCTGTGGAACAGCAGCAATCAGCTTAGGAAGCTGAGGTGCTGGCGTCCGTCTCTATCGGTGCTTTGCAAGACATGTGCCAACTCCGCTAGCCCGCGATCTGCCAGCGCGAATTGAATATAGGGTCTCTTGTTGGGGGCTGTAGCCCTTCACCGACGCTGCTTCAGCCGCTGAGTGCTGTAGGTCTTGGGAAGATGGCAGTCAGCGGCTACAAATGTGGCCAAAGATCCAGCATGGAGATATGACGATGGGTACTGGCTACCGCATATTTGCCTGTACAGACTTCCCGAACACTACTTGGATTTCGAGTCGACGGCAATTCAGCGGCACGAAACGTGACCCTGCAAGAAACGGAGTTGATTAGTCTGAGATTAGTGAAGCACAGTAACACTGAATCGATGTTTGACACAAGGCAATGCAACCTAGAACGCTATCGAATGACATACACAACATCGCTCGATCAAAGCCACCTGCTCCCTCCCTGGACCCCAACGGCGCCTTTCATTGAATTCTCGAACGCCAATTCACCAAGTAGCCTTCCACAGCTGGAGATGCATTCATGCTCGCTCGCCCATGCCACAAGGCGCCGTTATAGGTCGCAGGTCGAAGCGCATGGTAAATGCCGACTTGCGCGTTCTTGCACCCTCCCAGTATTGTTTTGATAGTCAAGATGTGCTCATCAGCGTGCCTCGACTATGCTTGTTTCTCGGTGGCACCGACAGTTTGGCATTCGAATCTCGCTATTCCCTCTCCATGGTCCAGCGCCTCGGATACATGGCATGCTTCCACGACCGGATTATAAGGAGTCGACGTGCGGGCATGTGGTCGATCGGTCATTCGAGCGACGTAAAAAGCTTTTCGTTCGTACTCCAAGGCGATCATCGTGTAAACTGCGAGCTATGGCAGCATTGCGTGTGGGCGCCTGTGTCTCATGAGCTCTCTGACGATAGGGCGATCTCTCCAGGTCTCACAGAACTATTGATCGAAGGAGTAGCATCGCGGCTGCTGGAAGTTGGAACCGTGTTCGCGACGTTGCTGCGAATACATCCTGGACTGTGAGTCTCATTACTGGGCTTCGCGTTGTCCTTGTCGTCCACTGGGTACTCCTTCCAAGGCCTTCGATCACGCGAGGTCTTTTCTTGTCTTTTCCCGATGCGCATGTATCTGGCAGTGCTGGAGCCGGCCGGCAATCATCGCGGAGACCATCGAGAGGTCGACAAGTTCGGATACTCTATCAAGGCGTTGTGGTGAATGCATGTTGCCCAGGCTGGCGTTAGTATCATACTGCCCTGGACAAGCTTTGTCGCATGTTCATAGCACGGCTGCGTGTGCGAAGCCGTCTGTAGATGGTCGGCCTACATTGGTCGACAAAGGTTGTCTTTCGGTCGCGAACCGTTTGGGCCCGTCATCGGTCGATAGCCTGGTGTAGGTGACTGAGGTGAAAGAGTCGAAGGCTGGGTGTTGGAGTAGGCCGGCATCAGTGGTGGTCTCTGCATGGAGTATGGCGACGCGTTTTGTTCTGCTGGCGACCGAGATGAGCATGGGACGGTCGCATTGCCAGTGAAGCCACCACTCAGGACAGGTGCTGTGGAATGGCTTTGTGGCCCGACGCCTGGAGTCGACTGCTGGCTTCGTTGGCGTGCTGCTGGAGAGCTTGGCGTCGTATCTGACACTCCAGGAGAAATGCTGGACCTGTTGGGGCTGGTTTTGGCGGAAGAATCAAAGTAGGAGTTCATCGCGAGTGTGATTGAGGTGCGTTGGTCTTATCACGCCTGCGCGACGGCAAAATGGCGGTGGAACAGGAGAGTTCGTCTCACGTCGAAACCTCCTTACTCGCCAACACGGCCGGGTCAAGGCGATTGACAGTGTTCTGAAATGTTGCGAAGCAGACGAAGAGCCAATGTTGGCATGAGTGAGGACAGACGGTCTGAAAGACACCTGGTGTGAGGTAGAGAGTAATGATTGCTTGGCCTCGCACTCACAACAACAAAGACATCCACCCTTCCGGCGGCAAGCACAGCCGTGGCCCCTCCCGATACTTCGGCCATCCTTGGCCTGAGAATCTCGACATGTGCCAGCATGGAGAAAGGTTATAGACGGGGGACTGACTACCAAATCCGGCTCCAGACTAGACAGGGAACCGCCTCGATGCCCTACTGCGGTATGCAATTCATTGGTCGCCAGACAGAAGTCATTGCTGACTGTACGACCCTTGTCGATCGAATTACCAGTATTGCTTGACTTTACAATGTGGACAGCAGTCACGCCTGCCGGCAGTCGTTGCGTTTGATATATGACAGGCCTTGGCTAAGAACATTCTGCGATTCTAGCCGACATCCGGGTCTTCAAAAACACGAAAATGATGGTGCAGCAGACTCTCGTCCAGCCCCTGAGTGCAAAATCCGCCTCGAATGCTCGGCTGGTGCCGTTGATGATGAGGCGAGCATAGCCAAAGCCGGCCTTCGATCGATGGCCTGGTGCTCGTAGATTCTTTGATGTCATTATTCGGCGGTCACCAGATCGACAATCCCGGACATCGCTCCCACAGGCGTGTTTTAGCCTTGAAGTCTCTGGTCCAATCTCCCGCATCCGTGCTGTTGGAACGACAGGGCTTGACGAATGCAGGGAAGCCACTCAAAGTAGGTTCATTGCCGTCCGGCCTTTTCAAGGAACAATGATGTTAGCCAGATCGTCGGATCGAAATTTGAGGGCGTTGTTGCAGGCGCTGGATGCTTCCCATCATCCTAGCACAACGACATGAATTAGATGTATGAGGTGGCAGTGAGGCTTCAGGTTTGCTTCATGCTCCTTCCCAGTCGCAGGGATCTGAAATCCTTCTTGGCTGATCCCGGTACTTGGAATCGAGGCTTGAGTCAATGTCCTTGGTAAAGTGTGTAAACTCAGAGTCAGGATTTACCGGCAGACCGGAAGATTGAAGCATTGAGCTGCGTGCGGTCAAATGGCCAAGCTTGACCTCCTGCGATCTTGACGATGCTCCGCCTTTGGATGATCCTTCGAGCCATACTTCACCGGGCCTGACGAACGATGACGATCGCACAGGTTTGCTTTATTACTTAAGGTTATCGTCCTGATTGCGCAAGGCTGTAAGGTCCACTCCCCACTTTTCATGTATTGGGCTGAAACCTAGATAATCTCGATCGAAAGTAACAAGGCAATATGGGGAACCGTCCTCGGGCCGATCTTGCGGATGGAAGAGCACTGAGCTGGGTCTGCAGTTCGTGAGGAAGGATGATCTTCACGATTACAAGGAGTCCGGGAGCTGATACAGAATCTGATTCTAAGGATGTATTCTCTTCTCCACGGACGGAGTCGAACAAGACCTACCTTTCGAAAGATGATGGCACAACGTGCCGCCAGGGCAAAGTGCGATGTGACCTTGCTACGACGGACAGGCAGGCAACTAATCAGGAGGTAGAGCGCCATGCTCCCGATGCAAGTCGCCGGATATCCTGTGTGTCTTCGATGCCTCATTCAAGCGATCCGCCAAAGTCGACATAGTTTGATACAGCATGCATAACACCGAGACAGCATACAGAAGAGTCGTGCGGCATCGACATAGCCTTGGTTACTCATCTTGAGACTCTTCTGTAAGCCAAGCAGCCTGCTATTGCCGAAAGTATTTCGATCCTGACAAACCACACATCAGTTTCAAGAGGATACAAGCAAGGTGGTCTTTACCAAGTATGTGACGAAATAAACCAAAGCCAGAAGGGGTATCAGAAGGAGGTCCAGCTTCCATAGGAGTTTCCTCTCAGCGGCTGTCTTGGTAGTGGAACGACCAAGAGTGCGATACTCATACGCTGGCTCCAAATTCGGCTTGCCCTTTTCGAGGTGCTCAGATTGCAGGCTCGCTGGGAGTGTAGGCTTAATCTTGTCGCTTTTGCCCTCCATATCGTGGACTCGGTCAAAATGCTCGTGGTGCAAGGCTCCCACAGCCTTGTTTCCTGAACCATCCATGTCTTGCAGGTAGTATCTCTTCGTGTCGGTGACGATCAGTGCAGATAAGAAACGACTAGGCATGCAGAAGCTGCATCAAACCTGGGGTATGGGGAAGTGGAGTTATCTGATGCCATGCCGACATGCTCGTACATGTATGTGAACTCCTTACGATGCCGCGCCCGCTCATTGCTCCCTATGGAGAGATCCCACGACGAATCACTGTGGACCGCAATGATCCTTCATTCCGTGTGCGGCATCATGATTCATTTCACATTCAACGCCCGACAAGGTGTTTCGTGGTCGATGTCGGCCCGTGTCGTATATCGGGTGCCATTACATGGTTGTATCCATTTTGTCCAAGCCACTGCTTCAATTCTCCTCGCCAAAGCAAGGCAAACTGTGGTAACGGAGTATTGCGTGCTGTAAAGCTGCATACTCGACTTATTTTGTTGTCTGTTCTGTTTATCGCCAACCCTCACTCCCTCCCCCAAGGCAACCTCAAAAACAACAGCGGAACATGCTGCTGCGACCCATGCGTATCACTCTCCGCAAACCCGCCACTCACCACAGCCCTCTTGATCGTCGCCTTAAACGCCATCGCCGGATCCCAATACAACGTCGCCACAACATCCTTCTTCGAAATACCATACAACTTCATGATCGTTTCTTCGGACAGGATGCCTGTCGCTTTGACGCGCTCGTAGACGGTGGGGTCGGAGAACATGACGTCGAAGGTGAGTTCGTAGGGGCTGGCGTTTTTGCTGCGGACGACGGAGGCGATGTCGCCGAGGTAGCAGGTGTTTGGTGGAGGGGAGGGTTTGAGGGGGTATTTGGTGGTGAGTTTTAGGGCTGGTCGGAGGCGGGCGGGTGGTTTGGTGTTGGAGTGGCCGTTGCCTGCTGCATATTCGTTAGCATGGAGGACGCGAATGGGTGTCAGGGGGAAGTCTCACCAGGAGCGCCCTTGAATGTGTTCTCCCCAGCGCACTCATACAACTTGAACGGAAACAGACCCACAGGGTCAGCCTTGTGCACAATGTGGTAAATGCAGAATTCTGAAAGCGGGCCCATCGGAATCTCAGCAGGCGTGAAAGGCCACGCGAAGTTTCCAGCAGTGGCGACTTGGCCAGGATATGAGCATGAGTGAAGTAGAATTTCGTCAGGCTGGCGATCGAGTTGGCTTCTTCTTGCGTGGCTGCCCTGACTTGGCCGGCAATGCCGACTTCTTTGGGTAGGCTGGGATCTGGTTCAAGTTGACCCATTACGCCTACACGATTATGTTAGAGGACATGTAGATAGTCGTGGTATTGACTTACCATTCACTCCGTAGGTATGAACCTTCAAATCAAACTCCTGCGGAAACTGCGTCCTCACAGCAGCCTCAATCCACTTAATCCACTCATCAATCTGAGAAATCACAATTGGATCCCGCAAAGCACCCAAGAAGATCGTCTGGAAGCCATTACTCCGCGCACCCTCCAGCTTGATCGTGTACTCCCCCTCAGGCTCAGGGAGAAACTTCGCACCTGTGACCCTCGTCGTCCTCTCCCCGACTTGCTTGTAAGATGTCTGCGTCAAGTCGAGATGACCGCCTGGGCCGTGGAGGATATCTGGTCTTGCTTTTTCGTAGAGGAAATGTGCGGCAACGGAAGTTGGTGTGCATTTCGAGTTGGGGTCGAGGGGTGTTACGTCGAAACTGTCTTGACGGACGACTGCCATGGCTGAGCGAGACTTTGGGACGCTGCAGAGGCCACCGCATTCGAGGATCTTGCCCATGGCGTAGCTGACACCTAGGATATAATCAGTGGAACCTTCACTCCTATGGTGATTGTAAAAACATACCCAAATCAGTGAATCCTCTGTAAAGACAGTACGCAGCACAAGGGGCGGGATCATAAGCACGTCCACCGATGATGATATCGAAAGACGGGTTCTCCTGCATGGCCTTGAGATAAGGCTCCAAGCCCATCTGTGCAACAATCCTCGTGCTCGTGTCAATGTCATTCTCAGTCAACTCCGGCACAGCGCTACCACAACCACCGACAAGCCCGTCCCTCATCTTCTCACGAACATACTCCTTGTCAATCTCAGAGTATATCCCAATGACCTTCATAGAGCGATACCCGCAGCTCTTGATCGTCTGCCGAATGATATCGATGCACAGGTTCACGAAAGCGTTCTCGCCATCGCCTCCAGCCGTCCCGACCAGTAGTAGGACCTTGTACAGATGACAAGCCTTGACCAGGGCTTGCAAATCTCGCTCCAGGCGGTTCACGGGTACGTTTGTTTTCCCTTGCGCAAGTCGGCCTGGACCGCTGTCGGTCGAGCCGCCGTCCATGATGATGGCGTCGACGCCTTGTTCGAGAGTAGTCCAGAATAAGTCATGAGGGAAGCCTTGGCCTAGCTGGCCGCTGGGTGTGAGGATCTTGAGTTCTTTCTGGCCTGTCATGGCGGCTTAGGGTGATGGTGGACGGGCAAATTTGAAGAGCGGCTTTAAACAGGAGTATTGCTATGTGCTATCCTTGGCACCGGCATCGATGGCATATATGTTGGCCTTCCGAAAGCGCAGCCTGAGGTCGACTAATCACCCCATGGGGTATCGTTGTAGCATTGCGGCCGCGCACGGCAGCGGCATCAAGCCCGCTATCGCAATGACATCCCGCTCGGGCAATGGTCCCACAACATGTACCCGGAGTACCATACCGTCGCAATCGGCAGCAATGTCTCCGTGCGCCGATGGTATGATGTTGTTTGGATGTCTCTGTGAGGTTATTCTGGTGATCTCCTGACCAAGCACTTGCCTGCTGCTCTTTCGGTGGACACTCAAGCCATTTGTCATGTCAAGACTCTTCGTTTCAACGTACCAAGGCCGAATAGCGACTCTTACATTCGACCCGGAGGCGGCCCACCTAGAGGAGATCGCCAGCACAGAAGACTCCGGCGACCGTCCGACTTGGCTGTCGTTAGACCACAAGCGCAGGATACTCTACACCACAGATGGGGGAAGCCGTGGCTCCCTGAAGTCTTTCGCCATTCAAAATGACGGTAGTCTTCACCTGCTGGACAGCATCGGTATTCCAAAAGGACCGGCTTCGCAGACTCTCCTCCATGATGGCCAGCGAATGACAGTGCCATTTTAGTAAGTCGAAGATGGTCTATCCATGCTGCCTGGCAGGGGATGTTGACTCCAGTGTTTTAGTTACTCAGGCTCAATCGTAACGTACGACCTCGAAGATCCATCCGATTTGAAAGTGCTCCAGGAGATATCGTTCCCGAATGCTAGCGCAGGTCCAGGGCGTAGACAAGATCAATCCAGGCCTCATAATACCACCACAGACGCAACAGGACGCTTCATGGTCATAGCAGATCTGGGGGCAGATATCGTTCGAGTCTTCAGCATCGATGATTCGAACACACCACTGCGGGAGATCAGCGGTCTTCACCTGCCCAGACCGACATTCCCAAGGCAGGTCGCTTTTGTGAGGCTGCCACATGGCGTGCACATGTACATCCTGTGCGAGGACAGTAATCGCCTGCTGGGTTTCAAAGTCGATTATCAGCTCGGCGGCGAGATGGACTTCACCCCGGTCCAAGATGTCAATGTTCTGGTGAGAGAGGACGGAAGTGTGATTTCGCTGTGGAAAGACCCTTCGACGCCTTCACATGGATGGTACCCCAAGGCCTCGCATATTGCTGTTTCGGTAAGAGATATCTCGAATGCGGGATCCTGCTCGAGCTGACATCGTCCAGCCAGATAACAAATTCATCATCGTCTCGCTGCGGGGCGACTACTCGCACCGCGGGACCTCACCTGAAGAGACAGTCTGTGATAGCCTCGTTTCGTACGCCATTGACCCAGATACCGGCATCTTGACAATTGCAGACTCTGCGAGTAGCGGTGGAAACATACCCCGGCATTTCGCGCTGAACAAAGCGGGAGATCTTGTCGCCGTCGTAGCACAGCGCAATGGCTGGATATCGGTTCTGAATCGCGATCCTGGTACGGGCAAGATAGGGGGCGTGGTGGCTGTCAAAGATGGGTTTGGAGGAGATTTTACGGGATTCCATGGAAGTCTTCGAGGTCCTGTCAACGTTGTTTGGGACGAGTAACGCTCTGATCAGAAGTTAGCAGGCAGTTTGGTAGTTCCAGCAATGGACGCGATTCCGTATCGGCCGGGTTTTCTTTTAGGAATCCGAAAAGTCGTCTACCCTCGGTGTTCTGCTCAAAGTGGAATCTTCATCCCCATTACTCCTAACCCGTCAAAGTAGCTTAAGGTGCAATTAGCAGCGCAGTTGCTTCTTGAAAGCCGGAGAAATGGCAATTGCATACGTTCCAGTTTGACCGGATCGAGGAGGGTAGTATGTCGTGCAAAGGACAAGGCTGCCAAGCCTGGAGTGTTTGGTGTCACCATGCTGTACCCTCCTTGGTCCGGTCAAATTGGAAACCTCATCCCCGTTACTTCCACGCCATCTAAGCAGCTTGCAGTGCAATTAGCAGCGCAGTCGCTTGTGAAAAGTCGGGGAGACGGGACTTCCATTACAGTATAGGACGTTCCACTTTGACCGGAACACCGAAGGGACGGAGGTACAGAAGATCTCCAGTTGAGTCTCCATAAACAACACTGTATCCCGCTACTGTGAAGCAGTCTCCATGTTATTGGCTCATCACAAACGATGCTCAAGACTGGATGTACCCAAGATCGAATGGCGATCATCGACTCCTGGTACGGGCTGAGCCGAGAACATGTTCAAGAAAACCCTGGCCCAGTGCTCTGGGTTCTGGCCAAAGGCTTGCGTAACAGAATGAACAGCAGTTCACGGAAGCCGGACGTGAAACGCGTTCTAGGATCCTTCTCCGTTGAGATGGTTCAAGTTCGCCACACGCAAGCTCGAACAACTTTCCAACTTCATTTAGCTCCCTGACCAATCACAAGCCCCAGACACCCTATTCTCACCTATTCATCACCAAACGCCACAAATGCAACCAGCAAATGGGCATCGGAGAATAAAATCCTCGGCCTTCATTTCGAGATCTTGCGTTGAACATCCTCTTCCGACTTCCGCGACCGTACAGGAGCCGGCGTGGCTTTGTGTTTGCAAGACCCGCAGGTTTAGATGAAGGGAGGAGTGGTGGAAGTAGGATCCTGTATTGCGATTAGCTGAGTGAGCCGCTTTGAACATGAGGACTACTTTATAGCAGAGTGGGTCAAACATGATGGCGTGGAGGAGGATGCTTTTGCGCTTCCATAGAACTTGCCTCCTTCCTTTTCCAAGCTCTCGATGCCGCGCATTCAACGAGCGAGCACATGCAGGAGGGAATCTCCTCGGCCGCGTCGATGGTGTTGTTTCGAAGGTATATAGGACGTCCTTGACCGGTGGTGCGATTCTCGTCCCACGAGATACCCTTGTTGTCTTTTGTATTACATTCTTTCTTGATACCAGTCGCTACCATGTCACTCTTTACGTCCCTGGTCTGCGCTTTGTCATTCTTTTCTCTGTCCTTATTTCAACCTACCAGTGCGTTCCCTGTTGTCAATTACCCAGGAACCAAGAACGATCTTGTCATCACGCACAACAATACCATCAATGCCACCACGCCAGCGGGTCTGGCGTTCGCACCTGATAGCCAGCCGGCGTCTTACCTGAAGCTCGCTCTGGTCAACTACCTCAACAGCAACAACGTCAAGGCTTATGTCACTGGCTTGAACGCCAACAACCAGCTCGTCTTCCTGGGCCAGAATGGACAGTTCTACTATCCCTCGACGTCGTCCTCAGCCCCAGTCCCTCTTGCCGATGCAGATATCGCGATCCCACTGGGAGCTAAAGGAAGCACCACGTCGGCCACCATTCCAGGCTACCTCTCAGCATCCAGGGTGTGGTTCGCAGACGGATCCCTCAAGTTCTACGTCGTGGGTACGCCCAACGGTCCGGGTCTCGTCGAGCCAGCTGCAGTCAACCCGAACGATCCCAACGCTGCCACCAACTACGGGTTTGCTGAGTTGACCTGGATCCAGAGCGGTGGACTGTTCGCCGATATTAGCTTTGTCGACTTTGTCGGTCTTCCTCTGGGTATCCAGTTGACCACCACCGACGGCACTGCTCAACAGCAAGCGTTGGGGCTTCCTGCAAACGCCGTGCAGAGTGTCTGCTCTGAGCTGCAGAGCCAGAGCCAGAAAGATGGTCAACCGTGGGGCGACACCTGCGTGTACTCTCCAAGTGGCTCGCTCATCCGCGTTCTCGCTCCCAACGCATACCTCTCGCAGAAGAACACGGCCTTCAGCGGATACTTCGACTCCTATGTCCAGCAGGTCTTCCAGCACTACTCCACCACGCCGCTCACCATCAACACCCAAGCTGCCGCTGGCAATGTCCAGTGTACTGCCAACGCTGGCTCCATGACCATCACCTGCGATGGCGACAACCGCTCATACTCGGCACCCAGCGCTGCGGATATCTTTGGGTGCAACTCCGGACCGTTCGCCATTCAGGGTGGTGACAATGCCGTCCACTATGCCGTCGTACCAAGACTCTGCGCAGCCTTCAATCGTGGCACATTCCTGCTGAACGGTGGAAATGTGCAGCCCAGCCTTGCACCAAGCTCGTACTACACCAGCTCGCCGGCGAACTTCTACAGTGAAGCAGTGCACAAGTTCGAGTGGAACGGGCTGGGCTATGCCTTCTCCTACGACGATGTGTCGCCGACGGAGCAGCAGAACGTGGCGGGCGTCGTCGCCAGCGGCAACCCGGGCACGCTGACTCTCCTCGTCGGCGGGTATGATCAGGCGTAGGTGGATGTTTACTCCGTGCCGAGGAGGGTGAGAGGAGAGCATGAGGTGGGATTTTTCGGTTTGCCGATCGCCGGCGCTAAGATAGTGAAGTCTTAATCAATATCCATCAAACCTCATCAAATTGTCTCAGAGTTACTCGGCTCGTGTGGCCAGATGGGCAGTCGCCACCGGAGGATCGAGATAGAGTTTCTTCGCCCGCAACCTTAATTGCACCTGCGCGCTCACACACTTTCGCACACGGCTGGGAGCTGAAGGCAATACCATGTGGCCTCCTCGCGACGCAGCAGCAGCAGCACGCGGCGATGAGCATGTTCAAGTGCGCGGAATGCGACAAGGTCTACAAGACGCGCACCTCGCTGACCCGCCACGCCCACAACCACGGCTCCTCGCCCGCCCAGCACGCCTGCGACACGTGCGGCGTCGTCTTCGCCCGTCGAGACATCCTCAACCGCCATGTCAGTAATGGCCACTGCTCTGCCTCCGCCGCCGGCCGCCACCGCACCCACACCGCCTGCGAGCCCTGTCGCGCCGCCCGCATCAAATGCGACGGCCGCCTGCCCTGCCGCTCGTGCGCGGGGACGCACAAGGACTGCAAGTATCCCACCAAGACCGGCCGCATCAGCCATGCCACCCGGCCCTCGAGGTCCGCCCCGCTCGACCTGGACTCACCCGCCGACAGGGACGGCGAGGCCAGCAGCTCTGACCCTCCCCTGTCCGCCGATGGCCTGACGCCAACATCGCAGCCGCGACACGACTCGGCCAGATCCGACGGCTCGGCGTCCACGTACCGCGACGACATCAAACCCGAGATGCACCAAAGCCCCGGCAGCGACGTGCCCAATGTGCCCTGGCCATGGCTGCATGAGAAAGACTACATGCAGGATGGCAGGAAGAGTGTGACTGGCAATCCCGAATCCCGTCAGCCGTCACGGGCTGTCTCCACGGTATCTGGAACTGCTGTGAATGCTGCGAATGCCTCGCCTGCAGGCCAACCGACGTCGACGCCTGATCTGAATGGCACATTCAGCGACACAGTGACGCCCATGTCGAATCTGGTTGAGAACCTGGTGGCATATGCTGCTAGTACGGCCTTCTTACCAGATGACCGGTCCACCCGACGACACCACTGGGAATCCGTATCGCTTCAGCTTGCCGAGTTGTGGGGATATGGAAGCGTCTTCAATCCACGACGTGCTCTTTACGAGCTTGTGCAGGTATACCTTGACAAGTTTAACGTCCTCTGGCCGCTACTCAACCACGAGCAACTCGATCCAGACACGCACCATCCGATCTTATTCCTGGTGGTGACCTCAGTTGGCGCCATGTTCGGCCATCCCACGCAACGGGAGTTTGGAAGTCTTATGCATCAACGTTTGCGAAGACTGCTGTGCGCTAGTCTTTACGACCTGGAAGGACCCGGCGATGGGATGGTGTGGCTCGCCCAAGCTCGATTGTTGACACAAATTGCATCACTTTACTTTGGCCAGCATCAGAGCTTTTCTTATGCTCAGGTACGTATTATACTTCACTTTGGAAATCATTCCCACTAACACCTCTTCCAGCACCTGTCGGCAATCACAATTGCCCAGCTTCGCCGTATGGACTTCTTCCGCGAGCCCATACCAGACAGAGTCATTCGCTCGTCGGACCTGACACCAGAGGAAGAATTAGCTCGTTTTCACGACTTCGAGTGCCGAAGGCGCATTGCATTTGGCATCTTGAGAACTGACGTCTACACAAGCATCCTACTCAACACTCGGCCACTCTTGACTTCGGAAGAAATGAAGCTGACTTTCATTCGGCCTGACTCGCTTTGGCTCAACACCGGCAATCTCACCCCTGAGCAACAGCTGGCTGCATACCGTATGGAGGAGTCACGCTGTCTACAGCTGCCGCTCTCCGACCTTGTGCGTATCTTCTTCGAGCGCAACGAGCCAAATCCTTACCTTGGTCCGGTCGGTCATGAATTGGTCCTTTTTGGTCTTCAGGAAGCCGTCTGGCGGTTCTCACAAGATCCTGAACTGTTCCCACGATTGACGGGTAGGTGTCTGGCAGACACTGATATCACTTACACAAGTCGCATTCTGGCCAATTCTGATTCGACAAACGGTCACGTGATACCTGGAAGTACTGGTTTCTGGCAACGACGAATGGACGATCTGCATGGAGACCGGCTACGACTTGTGCGGGCGCTGGATACTTGGTCCAGCGCAGTGGATCTTGCAATCTCCAGGGGCGCATACACATTACATCGCGACACGTTGATGTCGAGCATGCTTCTTTATCGGTTAAGCAAGTTGCGGCTTTGTGCGCCTCTGGAGGAACTCCACCACATTTCGTACAGATCTGCCCATCCCAAAACAGTCGATCTGCATGTCCACCGCAAGATCGAAGCCTGGCTTGAGAGCAAGTTTGCCGTAGAAGCAGCTCATCTGGCTTGGGATGTCAAGATGCTGATTGAGACGAATCTGCAGCGACCCGCAGAAGAGCGAGCTCGTTTCAACTACCTTTCATTCTGCAGCTTACATCACGCCGCCGTCGTTCTCTGGACTGTCATAGCGATTCACAACAACGACCCCATGGCCAGTACCTTCGACATTCCGAACCATTCGATTGATCTGTTCTTGCGGGATTGCAAGAATCTTTTCAGCAGACTCAGTCCGTTGGGCAGCAACTCATTTGAAGCCGCAGCGGAAAGGCTTCAACGCTATCGCTTCCCTCGCCTGGACCCTACCATGAAATGAGGCCAGCATACAAAATGCCACCTGACACGGCCGATTACGACAGAAAACAGATAAATCATGCACATTAGTAGCAGCACAGTAACGAGTCAAAGAAACCTGGGCCCAGGAATTCGTCAAAGGCCTATCGACTAGAAGATGGCAAAGGAATCGCCTCACGAAGTCTAGTCAGGCCATTCTGGCGCTCTCCGTGCTGAATGGTCTTTAATCGCCCAGGTCGATGCGACAAAAGCGCTGTAGCCTAAGAAAGAATAGCCTGGGCCGCCTAGGCCCGCCTGGTTGGCACCCCTCAACGTCATTACTGGACTCAGCAGGAATCTCATAATCACCTGGCGGCCTTCGTCCCATTCCAGCAAATCTGCCTCATCGACTTGCTGGCCTCTCTCTCAGGTTCCTTCGAATCACGAACTCGTAGGTCCAGGTCAAGCCGAGTCGTTAGTCACCATAGCCATGGCTGATAAAGGTTTCCACAACGACACCTTCACCGGACAAGGCGTGCCCACCGGCTTCTGGGTTAGGAAGTCCACAACAGGGCGTCGAAAGGACGAATCCGACCTTTGTGACGTCTCGATATGTAATGACCACGGGACACAAGGTTGCATTGAATCAACTTCCGTCAGCCTGCGGCGGACAACCCTCCTGCCCCGTGGAAATAGCCATCAGCGCCTGATAAAAACACGCCATGATTTATGATTCGCAAGCTTGGGGAGTTTTGCGCAATGTGTATACATACTGAGAGATACGAATGCCTTTACATACACATGTTGCATTTGAGTGGCAAAAGCTACGCTCGTTCACGACATATAAACAGCGCTACGAATTCGACCTGTACGTATTTTGATGTAGCTTTACACAGTGAAAAGCAGGATATCGCAATGTCACGATCCTATCAAACATCCAACCCACTCCATCCCCGCTCAATAATCATCCCGTTCAACCCACCCCTTCCCGCCCTCCCACAACTTATCCACCTCCTCCCCTCCATACTCCTCCCGAAACTTCTCCCAAATCCCCAACCTCCGAAAAAACTGAAACAGCCCCAAAAGCACCAAATCCCCATAACACGGCACACTCCCCATAATAAACGGCCCTGCATCCTTCTTCTCCTCCGTCAACAACGCCCGCAACATCTCCATCCCCGGCCGCGCCGCATCCCACGCCTGCTGCCCGCCCTTCGTACGCTCGAACTCGGCCATCGAACAGCCGAATTTCTGACTGCGGTCCGTTTCGAACCACTCGCTGTCCGAGTCGAGGACGATAGAGCGCCCGATGATGGGCATGAAGACGGGGAGGAGGGGCCCGGCGGCTTTGGCTGTTACGAGAGAGGTTTTCTCGTGGAGGGCGGTGTCGAGGTGGAGGGAGGGGGAAGGGTGGAGGTCTTCGAGGGCGTGGGCGATTTTGAGCGAGTCCATTAGGTGTTCGCCGGAGGGGAGGCGGATGGCGGGGACGGAGTAGTCGACCCAGGCGATGCCGGGTTCGTTGGGGGAGATGCCGCTTTTGAATGGGGGTGTTAGATTTGAGGGTGGATGGGGTTTTTGGTGGGAGGAGGGCACGAACGTTGCTTTTAGTTTCTCTTGAAGTTGGTGGAAGGGGGTGAATTCGGTTTTGTAGGGGATGCCTTTGAAGTTGAGGATGGCGCGGGCTGTGAGATATTATCAGTAAGATACTACTTTTACAGGTCTTTTCTGATTGATGTAATTTACTCTTCCATGTGTTTGGCGACCAGCACTGGCATTTGCCTCTGCTCGGCAAGTCGTAGAACAGGATCTCGTCCGACATGTTGATTGACGATTGTTGAAGAAAGTACGGTGTGGATGAGAGGTACAGCTCAGCTTTTATACATTTCAATGGGCACGTTCTCTTTTTGTAGGCAGTTGACTGGACACGGCGGAGACATTGATGCCCCGATTGGAAGGTGAAGTGGCAGCTGGAGAACAGCTCGGTCCTAGCGTAGGCTGCAAGGCCAATCGAAGTCCACCTCGGGAGACATTTCATCGTCAACTATCAACGCGAGACCGGGACGGAGGAACAGGAATGGAATCGTCAACAACTGAATTGGGTATCAACTGGGTTCATTTCAAATGCTAGCCGACTCCTCCCAGCCCGGCGGCTTTTCGCGCTGCCTTTTGCTTCCGGAACGCCGTGCGAAATGACATCTTGAACTTCATTCCCAGCAGCACATCTCCCGGTCGTTGGTAGAGATACGCCTACTCGTCATCCTCGTCCTCCTCCTCGGCCTCGATGGTGGTCTGGGCGATACGGTCCAAATCACGCTGGCCCTGCTGGGTGATGCGGCGGCCACCCTTGTCCTCGTCCTGCTCAAGGACACCAATCTTCTCAAGGGCCTGCATGACCTTGCGGTCCACAGAGCCGGAGGCGTCAACGTGGTGGGATGGGCGCGAGCCACGGTTCTTGGTGCCACCGTGGACCTTCCTCAGGCGGCCAACACCGACAGTCTTGCGCACGTAGATGTGGCGGGCGATGGCGGCAGCGCGGACATAGAACCTGGTTGGAACGTTAATCATGTGGGAATGAGGAGGAATAGATGTGTATTCTTACCAGTCAGGGCTCTGAGGAGGCAGCTCCTTGGAGTGGGAGGTCTTGACGGTGTCGGACCAACCTGTAGACTTTGGTGTCAGTAACAGTCTGACACACTTGTCCCCCGTTCCGCACGGGATTCAGGTTTCTCTATGCCAGTGTGTGTGTTTTGGATGCATCCTCCTCTTGTGTGTGTGCTCTTTCTGGGTGGTGCTTCACGGACCTGGAATTGGCAGCTTTCCCTGGCGCTTCAAGAAAGCGGCGTAGGACTCGATGAACTTGTCGGCGGCGACATCGCGAACGGAGACACCAGGCATGATGGCGGTGTTGGTCGAAAGGAATGTGAGGAGGTGTTGTTGGCGGGTACCTTTGCGCGGTGTGGCTCGCTGAATTCTTCAACTCGAGTGCGAAGAATTCAAACAGGCGATGGAAAGCCGGCGACAAGATTCTCCGCGCCGCGCAAGCGAAAGCTTATTTCGAGCCCCTCCTCCACTCACTCATCAATCTTAAAACTGCAAAACACCAGTTTTGATGCTCAGAAACATGTGAAAACTATGAACACGTTTCAGTGAAACCTTTCCAGTAAGAAGAAAATAATCTTTCGGTACACTCAATCTCCTACGATGAATCACGGCAATACAGCAACTACACGATCACTCATCTTTCGTTACCTCGTATACATCTTTGAGCGTTGTTGTCTTGACTGAAACGCGATATAGATGTCGAAGAACACACTGATCACTACTTGATGTAGCATTCCCTCACCGCCAACTCAAAAGCATCACTGCTCACAAATGCTCACCACATGGCGAAAGACCAAGGAACCCAACTCTGCCACCCACAGCCGGCCTGATTGGGCAGCAAACTCCTTGACAGACATGTTGGTATGCATGTTCGAAGTCAAAACCTCAGGACCTCGTCCTGGCGACCACCGCGGTCCGTCTCCGTCGACCACCGGCTGAGCTCAGCTCCCAGCGATACACTCCTTTGGCAGCGCAACAGTCGATCGGCTGTCGCCTTATAGTCCATGATGAGACGACTTGCTCTTTACGCGCTCCGTAGTCAGCTGCTGATCGGCTAGATGAAGGAGTCGATTGCGAGCACATTGCGAGAGCCACACTCGCATTTTGGCGACGATTTTGTCAATTGCTGGAACTTGCTCGAGTCTCGCCTTTGCGACTCATATCACCATCACGATGGCCATCAGCGAAGATCTATACGACAATCTCGCCGCGACAGCCAAAGGCTTCATAGAAGCTACCAACGCCGCCACGCCTCGAGACAACAACCCCGACTACGACCTCATCCGCTCCTTCGCAGCACCCCATTTCCGCATCGAATGGGCCCCCAAGCTCTTCGCAAAGTCCTCTCCCGTCCTCGGCGATGCTCGCGACATCGAAGGCTTCTGCTCCCACATCCGCGGCATGTCTGCAAACCTCTCCACCTGGGCCATCCTCGTGCAAGACATCTTCGTGGACGTAAAGCGGCGGACCGTCATCGCCCGTGCGGATTTCTGGATGCTGCCGAATGGAGGCGATAAAGTATGCAATGATATTGTGTTCTTCATCAAGATGGACCAGAGCGGCGAGAAGATTATCGACTGCACTGAGTACGTTGATCCAGAGGCCAGCAAGCAGATCCGTGATCGGATTGCGGCGAAGACGTGGGAGAAGAATGCTGAGGCCGAGCGGAATGTGGCTCTCAATGGTCAGAGTTGAGGTTCGTGGTGGATCGAGAGCTTGCTTGTTCGTTTGGGTCGCGCGTTGGCACTGCGGCAGGACTGGGCCACGGGCATATAGACCAGACTTGTACGAAGAGCATTGTACCTTCGAGATTGATCACTTCATGATACTCCACCTCCTACGTCAATCGGCGTTTGCGGTCCAGACCCAGCAGAAACATGACCGCACCATGCTCGTAGGTCGGTATACCACAGCCACACAACTCACTCACATCCTACCTCACTCCCCACCCCTACTTCCCCCCACTACCTCCCCTATTATCCCTCTCCCTCTCCTCCCTCCTCCGTCTCAAATACTCCTCATACCTCCTCCTCCTCCTCTCCTCAATCCCATCATTCAACCCCGGATCCACAAACCCCTGAAACGGATTCCCAATAGGCCCCTGCCTCGCATCAAAGCTCCTGTCGCGCTCGACGTAGCGTTGGAGGGTCTTGGAGGGAAGCTCGTAGACGGCCGTGCAGAGGAGGGGGAGCTGGGAGGAGACGAAGTGGTGGACGGTGGTGCGGAGGGTTTGGAGGATTGTGGAGGGGTCACGGGGGTCGGTTGGGGTGGACATGGTGGTGGTGGTGGTGGTGGTGGTGGTGATGAGGAGGGAGGGGGTTACATTGGGCTCGTTGTTGTGTGGTGGTGGTTGGAGTTGTGAGGGAGAGCTGTTCGGGATGTCGGGTGAATGTACGGCGTACGAGATCTATGGATTCGCTAGTTAACATCAGTCTCACGACGAGCGTCCATCCAATCCACTACATTTTTGGGCGGCGAATCGATCATATCTGTGGGCATTGGTGATTGAGATGATAGTTGTGCAGCTTCACAATCATACATCATCGCCGCTCAGAAACATCCCACGCTGATTGCTAAAGCACTTCTTGCAAGCCTTCCCCCCAGACGATTTAACTATCTCTTCAGGTCATCGAACATGCATATCCCAACATCAACACACCCAGGGATGACTGACATGGAAAACGCACACCACATGATCCTTCCCTCAGAGACCTCACCCTGTGGCCGCGTGTTGCGCGGATAGTGAGACAATACTATCGCCAGGGCCATAGGTTTCGTACATGGACGTTTCGCAAGTAAGTCTGAATAATGAGCTCCGCTGCAGGTCACAAGAGGTATAGGTACAACGTCGCTGATTCAGTCTTACATCTTACCTCCAACAATACTCCTGAAGACCGTTTTTCTTCCTCCAGCGTGATGGCAGATGGGGTCGATAAACGTATTAGGCTTGTCAAGACTGCATTCGTTACCTACTTTCATGCAGACTTGAAGAAAGCTCGTCAGTTCCTGCTCGACTTCGGGCTGACTGTTGCACAAGAGTCGGAAGACGAAATCTTCTTCCAAGGATACGGCTCAGAACCCTACGTGTACGGTCCCAAACCGGAGAGAGCTACTTCGACGGCGCCGCATACGTCGTGGAATCCGCACACGAACTCGAAAGAGCCGCAGCTCTCCCCTCCAGCTCCAGCAAGACTCAAGACCTGGCAGGCTCCGCAGGCGGCAAAATCGCCACCCTCACAGACCCCTTCGACCACAAAATCCACCTCATCCACGGCTGGCGAGAAAATCAGCCGTCAATGCCCGAGTCCCAAGGCCTCCAAAAGCTGACGGTCAACTTCGAAGACTCCAAGCCGCGCAAAGGGCGCTTCCAACGCTTCGCCCCTGGCCCAGCACCCGTCTTCCGCTGGGGCCACTACGGCGTCTCCTATCCCGCCTCGGACCCGCAAGGCTACCAGAAGCTCTTCGACTGGTACACCACGACGCTGACGCTCTCGCCCAGCGACATCCTCACGCGGGACGGCCGCCCGGTCACGGCGTTCTTCCACATCGATCGCGGGCGCGAGTATACCGACCACCACAGCTTCTACTTCAAAGCCGCCAAACCGCACGCTGCGCCCTCCGTCACGCACGCGGCGTTCGAGACGCACGATTTCGATGTCCAGCAGTTGGGGCATCAGCATTTGGCGGCGAAGGGGTATCGGCTTTGTTGGGGCGTGGGACGGCACACGATCGGCAGCCAGGTTTTTGATTATTGGTATGACCCTAGCGGGTTCATGGTGGAGCATTACGCGGATGGGGATGTGGTGAATTGTGAGACGGGGGTGGGGGAGATGGTGGCGGGGAGGGAGGCGTTGGCGGTGTGGGGGCCGCCTTTGCCGGAGGCGTTTTGATGAAGCGGGAGGGTGGATGGTGATGGTGATGTTTGGAATGTAGGCTGATGTTGTTGGTCGAAGCAGCTTGTCTCACGGTCCTTGGCGTGCTGGGGCTTTTCATTTTTTGAGTGCAAAAGTCCCGTTCAAGCCTTCATGAAAGACCACGCGACCACAGTATGAATTGCTGAGTCGCCTCTGTAGCAGCTCAGTGTCTTCGACCGTCCCAGGCCGTATGACCAAGTCTACCGGGTGAGCCCCTTCTCGTCAGTCGACGACTTTGTGATGATGGAAAACAAGTTCTATCAGCAACACGAGGAGATCATGAGATGGACGAGGCTGACGAAGCTGCTTTGAGATTGGGTAGAGTCTTCACGCGACGAAAACGTGGCGGGCGTGCAGAGATGTTGAAGATGTTTGCGTCGTACGTCGCTGTGTTGTGCGTTAGCCGGTGGGATTTCTGGGTGTTGAGAGTTGGGGTGACCTGAGCGATGGGTATATGAACAAGGACGATGTCTGCTTATTCTGGGGAGTCAACTTCATGCAGACCTTCAACATGTTTCTTTCCGTACTGAACGTCCACGTCCTTTCGATACTGGGTTTGTCTTGCCTTGCAAGCGCAACTCCAGCTGTGCAACGTCGGCAGATCATAAGATCGGTGAGGTCGATCACTTCTACGGCGTTCCCACTTACTGATTGCGATTGATACAGACTTGCGTGCTTTCGTCGCCAGACACGGTGTGCGTAACGAACGTAGAAGAGGGATTCGAGATTGTCTGTGATCCTGCCTTGCCGGTATGTTTTTCGACAGGACAGTATCGAGTGTGATCTGCGATGAGCTGATGAACACTGAAGTGCACAATCGATGAGGCTGAGTGTTCTTACATTGGCGGCGAGGTGTATGCGAGATGTACTTGAGGACTCGATGTTTGAAAGGCGATGGTCGGAGTGACGAAGACTGTTGGATTACGCTCCTGTGACCCTCGATAAGCAGAGCAAGATGTCATTTGAGACAGAGCGATGAGGAAGTTGAAGATTTCATGCCTTCACCGAACGGGTTTCATTCGGCAGTTCGCTTCAGGTATCTCATCACATGCCCCAGCCAGGTAAACTACCATCTCAGAGTCCCTGGTTTCTTGGGAAGAGCAAAAGAACATATCATTTTGTCAATCCACTCTGTGCGATGTACCGCTGATGCAGTTCCCTTGCCTGTCTTATGCGCCCGAAAGAAGCCCAGCCATCACACCATTGCCGCATGCCGAAAAACTTTCCAGTCCTTTACCGCTTCTGCTTCTTCTCGGCCTCCTTCATGACCTTCTTGACAATCTTCTGCTCCTCGATCAAAAAGGCACGGGTGACGCGGTCCTTGACGCAGTTGGCGCAGCGCGAGCCACCGTAGGCACGCTGGACGGTCTTCTTGGGGCGGGAGATGGTCGAGTACTCGCGTGGGCGAAGGGCTGGGACCTAGAGCGTCATACATGTCAGTTTCGAACTCTTCATTCCTGCCGATGATATCCCTTCAAAATGTATGTCGCGCGCCGCCTCCTCTTCGTGGATGTAATTCTGTTGGGGATTCGAGACATACACCTGGGAGCTTGGTGCCGCAGTCACCGCACTTGGGAGCAGTGCCTCGCTTCTTGAGGTGCAAGTATCGCAGCTCACCGCCGGGAGTCTTGATGACGCGGACCTTGTTGCTGCGAGTGTTGTATGGCATCCGCCGGCGCTGTATGGATTTTGTCAGTCCAGTGCTCCTTCCTCCTGGTATATTGTATTCGCAGTATCGGTCGGACGTACGTAGGTGAGTCTGTTGGAGCCCATTGTGACGGTGTGGCGGGTTGTCGTTGTCGGGGTGGGACCGGGTGCTCGACGGCGATGCTCGAAGTCAACCTTTAAGCCCTCAAGCGAAAATGAGATCGTGGTGCGGCCCTCCCGTCAAGTCTTGGCGGCAGTCTCGACTTTAGCTTTGCTAGCGCGCGGACGAACCCGCTTCTTCGCCTCTTCGCGTTTTGCAGAGCAAGCGACTGCATCACGACTCCACGATATCAACACCACCTCACGCGCAGGCCACAGCGCATCTCGACAACTTCGAATTCGTGTTTTCTCTAGGTAAGCGTGTTGGAAAGGCAGAGCGAACAGCGGCGGGAGGATATCAGAGCAGAAGACTGCGGCGGGCTCGGCGCCGTGAGCCGTAGCAAAAGTTCGACAGCCGTCACAACGAGCACGAGACTCGACCATGTCAGGTCTACCACCACCACCGCCCCCGGGCTGGGCACCACCGCCTCCTCCGGGAGCTCCACCAGGCTTCTCAGCCAGCGGCGCACCACCTCCGCCGGGCTACAAACCACAAGCAGACCCGCAAGCTGCGAAGCTGCAAGAGAAGAAGCAGAGATGGATACGGCAGCAGAAGCAGCGTTTCGCGGAGAAGCGCAAGGGAGGCTTCGTAGAGACCCAAAAGGCAGACATGCCGCCTGAGCATCTGCGCAAGATCGTCAAAGATATTGGAGATGTGTCGCAAAAGAAGTTTAGCAGTGACAAGAGAAGTTATCTGGGTGCGCTGAAGTTCATGCCCCATGCAGTGCTGAAGCTGTTGGAGAACATGCCGATGCCGTGGGAGAGCAGCCGAGATGTCAAGGTGCTGTACCATGTCAATGGCTGCTTGACGTTGGTCAACGAGGTTCCCAGAGTTATCGAGCCCGTCTTCCATGCACAATGGGCGACCATGTGGGTGGTCATGCGGCGCGAGAAGAGCGATCGACGACACTTCAAGCGCATGCGGTTTCCACCTTTCGATGATGAGGAGCCGCCGCTTTCTTGGAGCGAGAACATCGAAGACGTGGAGCCCTTGGAGCCGATCCAGATGGAGCTGGACGAGAACGAAGACGAGCCAGTTTTTGAGTGGCTTTACGACCATCGCCCACTCTCCGATACCAGCCACGTCAACGGTCCTAGCTACAAGGAGTGGAACTTGAACATTTCTCAGATAGCAACTTTACACCGGCTCAGCAATCCTCTACTGTCTGATATCAACGACCGCAACTACTTCCATCTCTTCGACATGCCGGCGTTTGCAACAGCGAAAGCTTTGAACGTCGCCATTCCCGGAGGACCACGCTTCGAGCCACTCTACAAGGACATCGATCCAAACGACGAGGATTTTGGCGAATTCAACGCAATCGACCGCATCATCTTCCGTGCGCCGATTCGCACAGAATACCGAGTTGCCTTCCCATACCTGTACAACAGCTTACCACGTAGCGTCAAGCTGGGGACCTACAGCTACCCGCAGACCGTCTACGTAAAAACCGAAGACCCAAGCCTCCCTGCCTTCTACTTCGACCCAGTCATCAACCCCATCTCATCGCGGTCAGTCGCCCCGAAGAACCTCTCAGTCAGCCACGAAGACGAGATCTTCGGATACGGCAACAATGAAGAGCCTGATGAAGAGGATGGCGGGTTCAGCCTGCCTGGGGAGGTTGACGCTTTCATGGAGGATGAGGATCTTTTCAATGACGAGACTGCATCAGCGATTGCACTCTGGTGGGCGCCGTACCCCTTCGACAGGAGATCAGGCAAGATGGTCCGAGCTCAAGACGTTCCATTAGTCAAGCAGTGGTATCTTGAGCACGTACCTCAAGGCCAGCCCGTCAAAGTGAGAGTGTCCTACCAAAAGCTCCTAAAGACATACGTCTTGAACGAGTTGCACAGGAAGCCGCCGAAAGCACAGAACAAGCAGAACCTTTGCCGAAGCTTGAAGAGCACCAAGTTCTTCCAGCAGACCACCATCGATTGGGTGGAGGCCGGTCTGCAAGTGTGTCGCCAAGGTTTCAACATGCTGAACCTCCTCATCCACCGCAAGAACCTGACGTACCTTCATCTTGACTACAACTTCAACCTGAAGCCTATCAAGACCTTAACCACCAAGGAGCGCAAGAAGAGCAGGTTTGGAAACGCATTCCATCTCATGCGAGAAATTCTCCGCTTGACGAAGCTCATTGTCGACGCTCAAGTGCAGTACAGACTGGGCAACATTGATGCCTTCCAGCTCGCGGACGGTATCCTTTACGCCTTCAACCACGTCGGCCAGCTGACTGGTATGTACCGATACAAGTACAAGCTCATGCACCAGATTCGATCTTGCAAGGATTTGAAGCACTTGATCTACTACCGCTTCAACTCTGGGCCCGTTGGCAAGGGTCCTGGCTGCGGCTTCTGGGCTCCAGCTTGGAGGGTGTGGCTCTTCTTCCTTCGTGGCATCATCCCACTTTTGGAACGATGGCTTGGAAATCTGCTCAGCAGGCAGTTCGAAGGTCGTCACTCGAAGGGTGTCGCAAAGACTGTGACGAAGCAGCGTGTGGAGTCGCACTTCGACCTCGAGCTCCGTGCCTCCGTCATGGCTGATTTGATGGACATGATGCCAGATGGTATCAAGCAGAGCAAAGTCAACACAGTGCTGCAGCATCTGTCAGAAGCTTGGCGATGCTGGAAGTCGAACATTCCTTGGAAGGTGCCTGGTCTGCCCAAGCCAATTGAAGACATCATCCTCCGATATGTCAAGTCGAAGGCTGATTGGTGGGTCTCTGTTGCTCACTACAATCGTGAGCGCATCAGGAGAGGTGCGACCGTGGACAAGACTGTCGCTAAGAAGAACCTGGGTCGTCTCACTCGACTGTGGTTGAAGGCTGAGCAAGAGCGTCAGCACAACTACCTGAAAGACGGTCCATACGTCAGCACTGAAGAGGGTGTCGCCATCTTTACAACTGCTGTGCACTGGCTGGAGAGCCGCAAGTTCCAGCCAATCCCATTCCCGTCTGTCAGCTACAAGCATGACACAAAGATTCTCATTCTGGCCTTGGAGAGACTCAGAGAAGCGTACTCGGTCAAGGGTCGTCTGAACCAGAGCCAGCGTGAAGAGCTTGCACTCATCGAGCAGGCCTACGACTCTCCTGGTACCACCTTGGCTCGGATCAAGCGTTTCCTGCTCACGCAGCGCTCGTTCAAAGAAGTCGGCATTGACATGAACGACAACTACAGCTCCATCAACCCAGTCTACGACATCGAGCCCATCGAGAAGATCACGGATGCCTACCTTGACCAGTATCTGTGGTATCAAGCTGATCAGCGACGACTGTTCCCACCTTGGATCAAGCCTTCGGATTCTGAAGTTCCGCCGCTTCTTACCTACAAGTGGGCGCAAGGCATCAACAACTTATCGAATGTCTGGAGTGTGGACGAAGGCGAGTGCAACGTTATGCTCGAGACCAGACTCGACAAGGTCTACGAGAAGATGGACATCACCCTCCTCAATCGGCTGCTGCGCTTGATCATGGACCACAATCTTGCAGACTACATCTCAAGCAAGAACAACGTCCAGCTCAACTACAAAGACATGAACCACACGAACGCCTACGGTATGATTCGTGGCCTTCAGTTCAGCGCCTTCGTGTTCCAGTACTACGGCTTGATTATTGATCTGCTGTTGCTTGGACTCCAACGTGCTTCGGAAATGGCAGGCCCACCAAACGCGCCAAACGACTTCTTGCAGTTCAGAGATAGGGCTACAGAGTCCAGACACCCCATCCGACTGTACACCCGGTACATCGACAAGATCTGGATCTTCTTCCGCTTCACTGCGGACGAGTCAAGGGATCTCATCCAGCGCTTCCTCACTGAGCAGCCTGACCCGAACTTCGAGAACGTTATCGGCTACAAGAACAAGAAGTGCTGGCCTCGCGACTCTCGCATGAGGCTGATGAGGCACGACGTCAATCTGGGACGTGCAGTCTTCTGGGACATGAAGAATCGTCTCCCTCGCAGCATCACGACTGTCGAGTGGGACGACACATTCGCCAGCGTCTACAGCCGAGACAACCCCAACTTGCTCTTCGCCATGAACGGATTCGAAGTTCGTATTCTGCCAAAGTGTAGGAACATGAACGATGAATTCCCAACCAAGGACTCAGTGTGGGCGCTCGTTGACAACCAGACCAAGGAGCGAACGGCGCATGCTTTCTTGCAGGTCACAGAAGAGGACATCGCCAAGTTCAACAACCGCATCCGACAGATTCTGATGAGTTCTGGCAGCACCACCTTCACCAAGATCGCCAACAAGTGGAACACCACTCTTATTGCACTCTTCACTTACTATCGTGAGGCTGCTGTCAGCACAGTCAATCTGCTCGATACGATCGTCAAGTGCGAGACCAAGATACAGACTCGAGTGAAGATTGGCTTGAACTCGAAGATGCCTTCCCGTTTCCCACCCGCCGTCTTCTACACGCCAAAGGAACTCGGTGGTCTTGGTATGATCTCTGGATCGCACATTCTCATCCCAGCATCCGACAAGCGATGGAGCAAACAGACTGACAGTGGTGTCTCTCACTTCCGTGCCGGTATGAGCCACGACGAGGAGACGCTCATCCCCAACATCTTCCGATACATCATTCCATGGGAGGCGGAATTCATCGACTCGCAACGTGTCTGGACCGAGTACTCACAGAAGCGTTTGGAAGCTAACCAGCAGAACCGACGATTGACACTGGAAGATCTCGAGGACTCGTGGGATCGTGGTTTACCCAGAATCAATACGCTCTTCCAGAAGGATCGCTCTACGCTCTCCTTCGACAAGGGTTTCAGAGCTAGGACCGAGTTCAAGCTGTACCAGCACATGAAGAGCAATCCCTTCTGGTGGACTTCGCAGCGACATGACGGCAAACTGTAAGTCTCCCCCAAAAGCTGCATACCGCTCTTTGAGTGAGAATATTTGCTGACATCCTCTTCTCTTCACAGGTGGCAACTCAATGCCTATCGTACAGACGTTATCCAGGCACTTGGCGGTGTCGAGACCATTCTCGAGCACACTCTCTTCAAGGCAACAGCATTCCCAAGCTGGGAAGGCTTGTTCTGGTGAGTCAAAAACAAATTCCCAATGGTATGATAGCGACCAAGGCATGTGCTAACTATTTCACAGGGAGAAAGCCTCCGGTTTCGAAGAGAGCATGAAGTTCAAGAAGCTCACAAACGCCCAGCGGTCTGGTCTGAACCAGATCCCCAACCGTCGATTCACCCTCTGGTGGAGTCCTACCATCAACCGTGCCAACGTCTACGTCGGTTTCCAGGTCCAGCTTGACTTGACTGGTATCTTCCTTCACGGAAAGATTCCCACCCTCAAGATCTCGCTGATTCAGATCTTCCGTGCCCATTTGTGGCAGAAGATCCACGAGTCGGTTGTCATGGATTTGTGTCAAGTGTTCGATCAAGAGCTTGAAGCTCTTGGAATTGAGACTGTCCAGAAGGAGACGATCCATCCGAGAAAGAGTTACAAGATGAACTCTTCGTGCGCTGACATCCTGCTCTTCGCCTCGCACAAGTGGAGCGTGAGCAACCCAAGCTTGCTCTACGACACCAAGGACAACATGGGCTTGACGACGACGAACAAGTTCTGGATCGATGTGCAGCTTCGCTACGGAGATTACGATTCCCACGACATTGAGCGATACGTTCGTGCGAAGTACCTTGACTACACCACCGATAGCCAGTCGATCTACCCATCGGCGACCGGTCTCATGGTCGGTATCGATCTGGCGTACAACCTGTACTCTGCCTATGGTCAGTACTTCCCTGGTCTCAAGCAGCTGGTGCAGCAGGCCATGGCCAAGATCATGAAAGCCAACCCTGCTTTGTACGTGCTGCGCGAGCGTATTCGAAAGGGTCTGCAGCTCTACGCATCTGAAAGCAACCAGGAGTTCCTCAACTCTCAGAACTACTCTGAGCTGTTCAGCAACCAGATCCAACTCTTTATTGACGACACCAACGTCTACCGAGTCACCATTCACAAGACGTTCGAAGGCAACTTGACGACGAAGCCCATCAACGGCGCCATCTTCATCTTCAACCCGAGAACTGGCCAGCTCTTCCTCAAGATTATTCATACGAGCGTTTGGGCGGGTCAGAAGCGTCTGGGTCAGCTCGCCAAGTGGAAGACGGCCGAAGAAGTGGCAGCACTCATTCGTTCCTTGCCGGTTGAAGAGCAGCCCAAGCAGCTCATCGTCACGAGAAAAGGTCTGCTCGATCCGCTTGAAGTGCACTTGCTGGACTTCCCCAACATCAGCATCCGCGCGTCTGAGCTTCAACTCCCATTCCAGGCTGCGATGAAAGTGGAGAAGCTTGGAGACATGATTCTGCGTGCGACCGAGCCTCAGATGGTGCTGTTCAACCTCTACGACGAGTGGCTGAAGAGCATCTCCTCGTACACTGCCTTCTCTCGTCTGATTTTGATTCTGCGCGCACTGCACGTCAACCAGGACAAGACGAAGTTGCTGCTGCGACCGGACAAGACTGTCATCACACAGGAGCATCACATTTGGCCTACTCTATCAGACGACGACTGGGTCAAGGTCGAAGTGCAGCTTCGTGATCTCATCTTGAATGACTACGGCAAGAAGAACAATGTCAACACCTCGTCGCTCACGAACAGTGAGATTCGAGACATCATTCTTGGTATGGAGATCAGTGCTCCAAGCATGCAGAGACAGCAGGCCGCCGAAATTGAGAAGCAGCAACAAGATCAGCAGCAGCTCACTGCCGTCACGACCAAGACGCAGAACGTGCAAGGCGAAGACATGATCGTCACGACCACTTCAGCGTACGAGCAGCAGAGCTTCGCTTCCAAGACCGAGTGGCGGACCCGAGCCATTGCGACAAGCAACCTGCGCACGAGAGCCAACAACATCTACATCTCGTCTGAAGATATCCGTGACGACGAGCATCACTTCACATACGTCATGCCGAAGAACATCCTTAAGCGCTTCATCGCCGTGGCAGATTTGCGTGTACAGGTGGCTGGATATCTTTACGGTGTCAGTCCACCTGACAACAAGCAGGTCAAGGAGATCAAGTGTATCGTCATGGTACCACAGGTTGGCAGCACTCGCGACATTCAGCTTCCACGCAACCTGCCAGAGAATGAGATGTTGAATGGACTTGAGCCTCTGGGTGTCCTTCATACTTCTGCTGGAAACGAGACGAAGTACATGACTGCTCAGGATGTCACCCAGCACGCCAAGCTGATGGCCGCACATCCAACCTGGGATCGCAAGACTGTGACCATGACCGTCAACTTCACGCCAGGATCCGTCTCGTTGTCTGCCTGGTCCCTCACACCCAACGGCTACCAGTGGGGCGCCGAGAACAAGGACCTCTCCTCCGACCAGCCCGCCGGCTTCTCCACCAACATGGGCGAGAAGTGCCAGCTGCTGCTGTCCGACAAGATTCGCGGCTACTTCCTCGTCCCCGAAGACGAGCGCTGGAACTGGAGCTTCCTGGGCAGCGGCTTCGGCGATCGCGAGAAGGGCCGTGTGTACGTGAACGTGGGTGTGCCTCGGCGCTTCTACGACGACGTGCACCGTCCGATTCATTTCCAGAACTTTGCGGAGTTGGAGGATGTTTGGGTCGATCGGAGCGATAATTTGGCTTAGATTGAGATGGAAGGATTGTTTTGGTGATGGATGGATGGATGGATGATACCTCTACTGTCTTTTGATGCATCAGCGAGTGGCGTTCTAGGGAGCAAGGAGGTGGAGTACATGAAACCATGAGCATGAAAAAGAGGGTGCTTCAAGCTCCCTGCCATGTTGTGTTGATAGCACGTGTGAAGAGAAAAGCTGTGACTTACTGTATGATGTTGTCATCTATTCCATTCAGTTCAGTTCGGTTCAGTTCATATTCGTCTGAAGCGCTCGTGTCCGATTCTGCTGCCTGCACGGTCACGACGTTGCTCCTTTCCTTCTCTCCCGTTCTTTCTTCCTCTCAACAATCCTCGCATCCAGAAACACCGAGTCCACCCTCGACGAGTCAAACTTCACAGCTTTCCTTCGTTCTTCCTTCTTCTTGTTCCCATTCGACGGCAACTCCAGAGATAAATCCCCCGAGACGTTGGCATTCGATTTTGGAGGGGGCTTTTTGATGGAGATTTTCTTTGCGGTCTTCACAGGTGCTGCGGAGGAGTCTGGCATGGTTGAGGTGGTTGTTGTGCGCGGCTTTGGATGGTAGAGAGAGGGAGGTTGCTGTTGTTGGTAACCCCAGAAGAACCCTAACGCTAACGATGCCTGCTGTTCGTGCCTGAGGCTCTACAGTCAATGACGTTTGCGCGAGATTTTTGGGAGCTCCAAGCTGCTTCATCAATGTGCTTCTAACCATCCGCCAGATTCGACTTCATCTCCTGATTTCGCTACACATCGAGAAAAGAACGAAACCCAGTTCTAGAAAGGCTTTAGTAGAAAGACTGGGAACTACTCGACGACGACTATGTCTGTGTCGCTCAACCCCCGAATCCTGAGGCACGCTGCCTCATACTGCCATCCTCGACTTGTTACATCGAGATCGACCTCAAGAGCACTACGAACACGGCGGCAGACATGTACCGCACCACCAGAAAGACAGACCAGAACCTTCGCAGCATGCGCCCCTCGACCTCACCCGCCCGCCGCACCGAAGAGCAAAGACCGCGGGCCCAAGAGCGAAGAGGACACACAGACGGATTTCGGAGCCATGAACGTGCTGGGTAACACGCCCGTGCCTACGACCGCAGTCGACGCATGCTTGGATGATGGATTCGCGTTGGATTCAGGCCTGAAGGTCAGCGGGGCAGGAGTCCTCTTACTCGGCGGCGAGGCCTTCAAATGGCGACCTTGGATCAAGGAAGGACGCAGAGAAGGCACAATCGGCGCGGGCGCTGTTGGTGACGATGTCAAAGGCGTTGCGAGTATGGCAGGCAAGGTGCTCAATGCAAAAGGACAACTCGAAGTGGACAAGCAAGCATGGGGAGTGCTGAGCCTGGTCTGGCCGAAGCCGGATCTGTTGGTTTTGGGCACTGGACTCAAGATGGTTCCTGTGAGCCCGAAGACGAGGAGGGATATCAATGACTTGGGAGTCAGGATCGAGGTGTTGGATACTAGAAATGCTGCGGCGCAGTTCAATCTGCTGGCGACGGAGCGTGGTACCCAGCAGGTCGCGGCTGCTCTGGTCCCGATTGGGTGGCGAGAGGGGAAGTGAAGCGGTGGAAGCGATGATGTTCCCCAAGAGCATAGGGGGAGATAACTCCGTCAGGTCCTTCGATGTGTGCTGGTTAAGTAGACGTCGTCAGCCGGAATTGCAAATTGGACGCCGACTTGCCAGATCACACTCGGATGAGCTCGTATTCTGGGCGATGTTTTGCCCTAATCTGGTCTGGCTGCCATTCGCCATGGGACCCCGTACGAGAAGATACAACATACTGCGGCACCGCGAATCACATATTAAATGGCAATAGGTCGAGCATCGACCCCAAGCCAAAGAACAAGGAGAGGCCAAAGTGGCCTTCAGGACTCAATATGTCGACGATGCCATTCACATCGCTGCATTTGGCAAGCATGGATATGACTGCCAGGCACACAGTTCCCATCCAGGGCTCTGTACCTACATGTACTCAAAAGGGCAGCCGGTATGCCATGCGCAAAGCCGACAAGGGAGCCCTCTGCTACAATCGATCAGCTTCGTTCGATGAACGACACCATGGAGTTTGCTGCAACTTTCCTCTCACTAAACGTCGTTCAGGAAGAGAATACCATAAGTTACTAACCACAGCACTTGCAATCGTGGGAGTGTTGCTGTTCAAATACGTCAACAAACCAGCACCAAGCTGTACCTAATGACTATAGCTTCCCTGCGTGTCACCAACAACTTCTCGCTTCAGCTGCACTTCCAGGGGTGGCCAAGATGTAGTCGCATGAACCATTTGCTACCCTGGCCAACATCCATGATGGCTCACGGCTCATCGGCTGGGGTATCATCCGCCAGCTGACTCGAGCGCCTTCGCCAGCATCTTGGGATGGATTCGCCACACACCTGTCGCCACAATGGATGGACAGATTTACAGATTGACAGTCTCGAACCACGCCGTCGGTGCCATCTCTGACATGTCACAGCCAGCGCAAGCTACGTTTCAGATTTCCCTGAAGTGTTTCATGCGTTTCTCGACTCATGTTGCCGACGGGGACAGCAATGATATACGTCTGGCTGCTCAGGCAGCTTTGACAACATTCACTTGGCCCTGATAGGTGGAGTCCGCCAAGGCTCAAGCCCGACCCGATTCAGAAGAGTCGTATTGATGTGTTCCTCCCGGCCCCCATCGGCAGGCTGCGATGGTGAGGCGGGAGCATCCAACTGCTGGAAAGGGAGGCGTTGCTAACCAGAAGGGCCAACTGCGAAGTGAGGAGGCGGAGAAAAAGAATGTTTGCGTTTGTGGCATCGTGAGCGTTACGTCAGCGATCTTCGGCGCCAGAAGCTGCATCCAGCAGAGCTGCCCTCGGCTACGGCCTGCCACTCCTCGCCGCAGTCATCTCACACACGCACGCCAGACAGGTAAGTGAGGTGCGCTGTCACGCGCGCACTCTGCCCTCCCCGCTGCTGCGAGCCGGAGCGCTGCTGGGGCACAGCGAATGGCGTTGGACCGCTTGACGAGCATCGAGCACTCTCCATCCATCGCCCTCTGCAGACGCTGGCACGCCGGGCAATCCAGGTCGTGTCTGGCCTTGGCGGCGAATCCATTGCTCGACCGCCACACGCTGGTCGCTGGTGGTTGCTGTCTGGTGCGGTCGCAGGCTGGCTGGTCATGCTAGCCATGTGGTGGTGGCCGTGGTGATGCTGCTCGATGGCCTTACCCCGCACACTCGATGTTTTGGGGCACCTCATTCAATCATCGCATCCCCTCCCACGCTTGCAACTTGCTGGCCTGGTTGCTGCCCATCGGCTGCCCTTGTGAGAGCGACGGGCGGCTAGCAAGCCTGCTTTTGCTGCGTGCGGCCCTCCAGTCTCTGCCTTGTTCGTTCGACGACGTCAACAACGCCGCCCGTCCATATCCATCCCTCGCCCACCTCGCCCGCCCCTCGCAACCATCCCTCGTCAATCAATAATAAATAGCCTGCACGGCGCCAACAAGCTACGCCCCTCCCTGCTGCCCGCCCGCCTCCCGCTCATAGCGCCATCGACGACGCGCTGCTTCTGGCTGCACATCCATGGCCGTCTGCCACTGCTGCTAGCTCTAACCACAGCGCGGCGGCATGCTTCTTCGCATTGGTCCTGCCTCCCGCCTCCAGTCAGCTCCTTGTGATAGTCGGAGCTATCAACCGTCCCCTCCGCAAACCGTAAAGCTTACTCGAGACCTCGTCATTTGACGTTGACCACGACCGCATCTCTCCCAGTTACCCGCCAGTGATCGCAGCAGCACCGCCTGCTCCGCACTCTCCTCCTCACGCTGGACGCTGGACAGCACGCAGGGCGCCGTAGATTCCTGCTGTTTGGAGCCCGGAAGCGGACGCTTTCAGCCATAGCTCGGCGCATCGCGACTGCTGGCCAATGCTAACATCGCACTTCTGCTGAGAGAGCCATGCATGCAACAATACTAGCCGGGCCACTACAACATCTCACAACCGCAAAGTAGCAGCCGCCGCCGGTCTGAGGGACGCACGCACTCTGCCGCGATGTCGTATGTCTGACCCACCTTTACTTCTTACTTCGGGTCCACCGTGATCCCTCTTGTATCCATACCAGACATCTCACGCGAGGCTCGGCCTCGTTTCGAAAAGATACCTTGTAACATCGAGTTGGGAGAGCATGTATACTAACGCCTTACTCATCAGAAATAACCCTCAGGACCAGAAGCGCAACTTGACCCCCAACATCCCACAGCCAAACGCGTATTCGGCCTCGCCGTCTCAGTTGACGCTGTCGTCTGACCTGACGTCCGGACACGGGTTGCCCAATCCCTACCAACAGTACGGTTACGTGCCCGGTCCGCACGATCCTTCAGCGTTTGGTTTCCCCCCACAGGCAGGATACCGGCCACAACTCCAAACCCAGCATCATCGCCATCCGCACGCGCACCAATATCAGCAACAATCACCGACGAATCCGCGCAAGAGGCGCGCATCTGAGCTGGGTGACCCTTCGTTGCCAGGCTCGTCCAGCAGCAATGCGAGCGCATTCACCAACCCGTCTGGTCTTTTGTCAGCTGGGAGCGATCTTTCAGGCGCAGGCTTGGACCTAGGCGCGCCGTCGCAGCAAACATTACCCAGTCCGACCGTGAAGAAAGGGAGGACGAATACGCCATGGACGCCAGCGGAAGAGCAAAGGCTCAAAGCGTTGCGCGATGCTGGGAGTAGTTGGAGCGAGATCGCCAAGACGTTTCCCACGCGAACCGAAGGCAGCGTCAAGAAGCATTGGTACAAAGTGCGCATCCATCCCCCTCGAACGTCGCCCAACATATGGCATGCTCAAAGGCTGACTCTCGTGTGTCGCAGGACATGCATTATGCGGAGTTTGCAGAAGACGAGGTCAGCAACTTCGTTCGCCTCACTGCGAGCCTTGTGCAAGAGGACTGGCTGACGGATGTGACAGAGCGCAGCGTTGCTGCAAGCCATCAAAGATTACGAGAACAACAAGTGGAAGGTGATTGGACAGAAAGTGGGCAAGCCGGCGAAGGTATGCATGACCAATATTACTAGATGGTACATGTATCGCATTCGGCTGACTTGTTGGTAGGCTTGCGAGCAGTTTGCAAAGGAGCAAGGGTGGAAGGTCTGATCACGCGATACGGACCACCAACAAAAGGCGTCGTTGTTTCGGATTGCAAAGATACCGCATGCGACGAGGAAAAGAATACTGTTGATGTCGCAGAGATACCCCACTCGCTTCTTGCTTTGCTTTGCTTTTCACGCCCACGGCGCCAAAAGACATTCGGGGGTTGACTTCTGGGGGAGAAAGATACCATGAACAGCGTCAAGGCGAGGCGTTGGCGGCGTTCGCGGGCGGTAATGAGGATTGGGCCTGGACACATATTATTTGGCGGAACAAAGTGGAAATGGGCAACGGACAAGCATGAATCGCGGGCCCAAAGCCATGGAGTTTGAATGGGATACGGGGCGCAAGAATGAGGCTGTAGTATGAGGAATTGAGGAGATTTCTTGTTCTTCTGATGGTGCGCTGTGTCGTGGAAATGAGAGAAGGGGGGTGTATTGGGCGTGTTGACGATGGAGTGAGGTTCACACTGAGTTGGAGGGCGGAGTGGGTCTTTTGCGGCCTCTGGCGTTGAGGGCGAGGGACGTGCGGGCGTGGAAATCCAACACACGTGCCCTTCTTCCACCTCCCCCATCAACCTCGATCAAATATTTCATTGACTCGTGCCCTTCGCATTCCCCCTGATCTTCGCCGTCAACACCTTCAGCCTCTGGTTGTTTGCGTGTTTCGCCGCATGAAACACGACGATTCCGTGCGAGCAGATGACGTTGATGGCACACGGAGATGTCTCGCAGATCCGCTCGCAACACGTGAAATACATTGCCCTTGAATGCACGACAGGAAAGTTGTGCTGTGTGTGTTACGGTTGTTCCAGAACCGCACGCGGTGGAGCAAACGGGCATGAACAGGTGCCCATCAAACGTCTCATCGTCAGGCGAGCATACATGCTCGACTCATGCCCAAGCGATGGCACATCACTTCCTGACTGATGGCGGAATGCCTGACTGAAGTCTGACGGCTCGCGCTCGCCGGGTGAGTCTGGACCCTTGGAATCCTTCACTTCTCCAGTTTGCTCTTTCTTGTGGAAGAAGAGAACAAGAAGAAGAATTGCCACGCGGAAGTCTGAGTCTCCGGCGGGGAGTCTTCTGGACCCCACGCACTCATTCTCTCCCTCACTGGCACGATAGCAGCACTGCCGTCGTGTCCAAACTGCTGCATGCGCTTTTGTTCGCTTGGGCATTGGGAGCGCATCATTCGTCACCGCGCTGCAGTCAGCCATCCTCCATCCGGCAAAGCTGACATCTCTTGCGTGCTGCCACCCTTCAACAAGGGACCGCCCGCCAGATCCCTGTCTATAACAACTGCATGCGGCAACCATCGACACCACTCGTCGCCCTAACTCGACAAAGCTCGAGATTAGAGTCCGTTCGGTTCGGCAGACCCTCCCATCTTTTTGCCACTCCAGGGAAAAAACTTGGCCATCTCCCCGGGTTCTCGCAGACATGCACTCGATGCCTGACTGGGGCGGCGATATGCCCATCTGCCCAAGGATGTTCGAGAGCCGGCTGCTATTCTGAGCGCGAGTCCGTTGCAATGGTGCTGCTCGATGCTACTGCTCTGCTTTGCACTGCCTCCTTCGCTTGGGTGAAGGATAGTACTGCAATACTGAATGCCGGTCTTCGCTGTCGTCGTCGTCGAGGGTCCATTCGGCATGCACGAGTCGGACCACTCTGGTCCGAGCTGGTATACGAGTAGGACGGCCATCTACCAATTGAACCAGTCCACCACCGTCGGCTGCAATGCCGCGCCTCGTCGAATCCCTGGCATAACGTTCGCTGCGGCTCTGTTACCCGCGTTTGCCCAGGTCCTCCCTGGTCGGGCTCTCGTAGGGCTCTTCGAACCTTCGAACCATCTGCGCATGTGGGGTCTGGGCTAACGCAGTACCTGCATGAGGATGGCAACGAATGTCGTTACAGCACGACGTCAAAAACGGTGCCCCAGGAGTCGATCGTCTGCACGTTGCGTGTTACAGATTTCGGCCGCCTGTCGACCTCTTTTCCCGGGTCGAGCCAATCTTGCACCAGAATTGCCCAATTCTGCCAACCTCACTGCCCTTTGGGCCCTGGCACTCGACTGCTGCACCTGTGGCGATCAAGCGAGGATGCGACGTTTTCGAATGAGACCACTTCCATCGCACGCGGTCAGACGTTCTCTCATTCTGCAGCTCCCGCCGTCGACGTCTAATAAGTACACTTCGATGCCTTACCTCCCTCGACACCCAACATCATGTCCGGTGCAGCATCTATTATCCATGATTGTACACTTGGGTGATTTGAAAGCGTTCTTCTAGCAGCCCTCCTCAATACGACCTTCGCTTTAATTGTCCGATCGACCAACCACCACCCTCGTCCATCGTTGTAATACCTTACATTGTACACCTATTGTCACTATTATACGTCGGGAACGTTGCTTGCTTGCTTGCTAGCTAGCAACTATTGTCCAACGTACCGATCTCCAGGACCAACATCCTGCCACAATCGCTGGACCTCACACCACCGACGGCACCACGTCGTTGACAGTCGCTAACGTTATCCACCAACACCAACAAGCTGGCCCTTTTGCGGCAAGCTGCCTGAGCGGAGTGCTCTGGCAGCCTCCAAGCTCAGTATCAACTGTGGCGCGACCATATCAGGAGTTCTCCTTCGACTTTGAGGGCGGGCATCCACAAGAATCAGACCCCAACAATGCCGCGGTGGCTCAGGTGACGAGCGCTGGATACCAGCAGCTGCTCCCGCAAGCATACCACCAGCAGCCGGTCACGGCGTATCTCTCTCAACACTCGCAACCGGCGCAAGAATACACGCAATATGGCATCTCGAGCGTTCTCCCCTCGCAGATGTCTGCGCCGGAACCCACCTACAGCATGGACCAGACACAGCTGCTGGCAACCCAGAAACCACGACAGATGTCCCACGTTACGTCAGTTTCCTCCCATTACGGCAGTCCATACCAAAGTCCAGGAACGGTTGCGTATCAGGCGCATCAGAGCGCATCCCAGTCGCGGAAACGCAGCTTTCAGGAAGATACGACTTCATATACCTACGACTATCCAGGTCTCCAACAGCTTCAATCTCACGCTGCGGGAAGCCAGGTCCCGGTCGAACTCACTCCCCACGGACATCACGCCCAGCTTCAACCAGGTGCGGCGTTGCAGTACCAGCCGTATCCGTCTCAGCGACCTTCGCCGCAGCATTCTCATTCGGGACAGTCGTCGTCGATACACTCACAGTCGCTACAATACCAGCAGCAGGCGCAGCAGCAACAACACCATCACCACCGCCTCCCCAACCAACAACCTCCCAACAAGATGCAGCGCACAATGGGCTCCTTCGACGCCACCCTCTCCCCCCCCGACGAAGACGACCACGGCCCACCCAGCGTCGTCGGCCAACCCGGCATGCCAGCGCCCGCCCCGCGCCCCAAGGGCCCGAAATTGAAGTTCACACCGGAGGACGACGCCTTGCTCGTCGAGCTGAAAGAAACCAAGAACCTCACCTGGAAGCAGATCGCCGACTTCTTCCCCGGGAGGAGTTCGGGGACGCTGCAGGTACGGTACTGCACCAAGCTCAAGGCGAAGACGACGGTGTGGACGGATGAAATGGTACGTTTTTGAGAAGAACAATCTCAACCTCGACTTCGTTTGTGTCTGTGTGTGATGGGAGGTATAACCCCCCAAACCTCTCCCATCACACCCTCCAAACCACCCTCAAAGCTAACGATAATGTAATGATCTAGCTTCATCGCCTCCGCACAGCCATCCAAGAATACGAAACAGACCGCTGGCGCATCATCTCGTCCAAAGTCGGCAACGGGTTCTCGGCGACGGCGTGCAAGGACAAAGCCCTCGAGCTCGTCGAGGAGGACGAGGCGTTGCTGTTGCAGCAGCAGCAGCGCCAGCAGGGCGTGGAGCTGGAGAGTCCGGCGTCCTTGACGGCGACGTTGAGGAGGGAGAGTGTGGGTGTTGTGGGTGTTGTGGGTGGGAAGGAGGGGAAGTTTTGAATTTCGATGTTTTGATGTTTTGCATGATACCACACGAGAGGGCGTTTGTTTGACTGCTTTGCTTTTTGACTGAGCATTTGCATGGCCTGAAGAACGGGAAGAGAGAAGAGTGCTGGACACCTTCCTTTTCTGTCGACACCGACACTGAACCGATCTAATGATGAACTAATGGCGGAAAGAAAGAAAAGAATCCACGGCAGATATAGTTTTGATGTCCTCATTTGACGCCAACAACGAACGATTGATGGGAAATTGGGACAGTTTATGTACGATAGCTTCTTTGCATTGCGGTGGTCTTGAGATGCGAAGAGATGAATGCGCGAGCTATTCTATCTATCTATCTATCTAATGTTCTTTTTGAGATGGATGAGATGTGGAATGGAAAGATTTATTTGCTTGCTTTCTTGATCTTTCACTGTTCATTCTCGTGCTGAAGTCGTGTCTTTACTTGCGCTGCCCTTGACGATGCTGCAGAATCACTTCTCTGTCTTCACCATCACCTTCAACACCTGTCCTCAGCGAAGACTCGAATCTGCCTGAGGCCTCCTCTCCACTAATCGAAATTCGCCCTCGTCGTCGTAAAATGCCTTGTTGCTGTTGCCTCACACCTCTCCGACCCTACGGTGACAGTCTCGAGCTAGTAATAACAACAATATGACCCAAGGACATCATCAAGCTTGTCAGGATACCTTAGCCAGAGAATGGGCTGCATAATCTTCACTTAGTCATTCGATCCAGAGACCTGTCTATCCACCACGAGATCCATGGTGGCTGCTCACCGCCTCACCGCCTCACCGCCGAACATGTTCTGCCCAACTCCGAACTCCTTCAGTCCTTTCATCAAAAGAATTCTCCAGGAAGTCACAAATAGAAAAGAAAAGCGACAGAGAGTGAAGTGACGTCGAGGTCGGCGACTCAGCAACACTCCTCGACAAGGATACAGTGTCGTCGTTGCGAGCAAGCAAGGATGGTGATGTCGACGACCTCGTAATTCAAAGTTGTTAGACTTTCTGGTTGTGTGCATTCGTGCCTAAAATTAAGGCGTGACCGGACGGCTGGGTATGCCAGGACTTTCTCGAGGGAGGGAATGGTCATCTGGGATGTGCCGGTTGGAGGACATGTAGGCCGACGATAGGCGTGGATTTTCTCGAGCGAGGGAGAGGTCATATCGACTGACTCCTGGTTGGTCCCGTCTTCCCAAGCTGCTAACGGGTGTGCAGCGTGTGCTCCGTAGCAGTCCTCCTAACCTACCGTTCGGCATCTCGACGGCTTCGCGGCACTCGGCGCGAATACTCGGCCTGCAGCGATGCCGTGTGGTACTGTTATTCTTCGCTTCCACGGTTCGGCAGATCTTATAAGCATACTACCTTACCAAACTCCCCATCAACTCACTGGCCTAGGGACAGCGATCTCTCGACTCCTGAGACGAAGGTGGCGGAGTGCGTACAGCACAGCAGCAGGGCAACGTAGTCGAGCCTGCAGCTTCGCTTGGGTAGACACACATCCGTGTTATTATCAGTGTTAGAGAGAGAGATGTTCGTTCGCCACAGTTCTGCTTCTATAGATAGAATCCCCGTCGTCGATCGTGGTGTGGGTGTGGCGAACGCATATCGAGCCAAGAACTGTGAGGCGGAAAGCTTCTTGCCGACGTCGACCGGATCTGGCTCCGAGCTGGTCATCTTCGAAGAGCTGCGAATTTCGTCTTCTTCTCAAAACGGCAACCTCTTTCTGTGTATTGCTTGCAAAATGAATGGGCGGGAGCAGGTTAGGTCAGCGATGGCTGTGGTAGCTTTGGAAAAGATTTTCGATGAACCACGGAATCTCGGTGCGCTGCGTGAGCTTGGAGAAAGTGCCGAACCGCTACTACGCTGTGGTGTTCGACTTCATGCTATGAAGATGAGAGTGTGATATTCGTGATGAGCGGGTATTCTTTTGTCAGGCGAAAGAGGAGCTGTCGTATAGATGAAGGAGAATGTGGTGTCGGCGTGGAGAGAGACAGGTGTTGTTGTAGAGAGAGGAGAAAAGTGGACCGGCCGCCGGTTATTCCGGCCTTGCCCGATTGGGATTTCGATATCAGGGTCCTACCTATGGGCCAGAGCAGATGATTCTCTCGACGATGTATTGGACTGAACTTGAGTAAGCAAGAGCTCGTTATCGAATTTCGTAGCCGGTGCCAGTTGTAACCGTTGTCATCGACCCCGTCGGCAGACGAGAAATGCTCTAGCGGAACACCATCGCGAATCTAGACCGCCTCGACGATGATTTTGAGGACGCACTGGTCGAAAGTCGACGACGAGATGGCTCTTTATCGACATGTGAAGATGTTGCAGGTAGTCCCCGTGGCTGTCGAGCCCATTGACGGGTGGGAAATGCTCTAGCAGAACAGTACCCAAGCCCAAGCGCGTGTTAACAGAGAGTAAAATGGACACGTCTCCTAGATTACAAGCAGGATGCCATATTCGACCTGCCCGGTGGCGGAGATTGCCGTGCCAAAAGCGTGTGAGCCAACCGCAGACGTTTGAAATGTAGCTTGCCATCCCCGACTCACACACGCAGACAGACTGGACGATATTCTATTCGATGCCATGGACAGTCTGCTACGTACGGGGATGTCTGTCAAAAGTGACATGATGTAAGTATTTCCCCCGCTGCTAATGCGCGCCCTCTTGAACATTGGAGCTACCACACGAGCAGTGAACTAAATGAGCCTAGCGTATCCAGGTGAATGAAGTTTGCTGCTAAGCAGTAAAACCTACAGCGCTCTGTGGCCGAAGGTATTGTGACTCCTCCACGAAACCATGGTCGTTATTTTTGTTCCCCTCACGCACACAGCGCTCAAAATTGAGGGAGATGGGAGGGCTTTCAGAGGGTATATAGCGTACAGGAGGGCCTGTCCGAGGTGAGAGGTTTGTCCAAGCAAGATCGCATCACATCACAACATCCAAATCAACAATAACAAACATCACATCCAAGAAAATGCCCAAGGCTTCGAAGGTATCCAAGCTACTGATACATCCATTGACTATGCTGACGTTGTTGTATAGATGGAGAAGAAGGCGGGAAGTGGGCTGGAGAAGAGGGTCAACAAGGCCCAGAAGGCGGCCTGCGGGGGCAACCGCTGGGATCCCGAGGACGTGAGTCTACCTTTCACCTGATCTCCTCCACTGCTGCGTTTGCTAACATTAAATAGTGGGTGAAGGCGCTTGAGCTGTACTACGAGGGGTACGCCAACGGCGCGGTCGGACTCCACCTCGGGAGGACAGATCAGGCGATTCGCTTGATCACACAACAGTGGCGGGAGGCCACCGGTTGGGCGCAGAGCATTAAGCACCGCAAGGTTGACCCTCCCCTTCCTGCCCTCTCTCGGCGCGGAGAGGCCTCGCCTCAGGCTGCTGCCGCCGAGGCCATCCCCAGCTCGGCGTCCCCAGCCGGGCCATCAAACATGGCCTCGGGAGGCGAGCCTGGCCGCTCCGTGTCGAGGGGATTGACTCTTGACGAGCGTACAGAGCTTGCCTCTCTTCTTCGCGGCTCGGAGCCATCGGCTCCTAGGGAGCGTAGAGAGGCTTTCTCTCGTCTTCGCGCCGCGGTGGCCGTCTTCATGACCCCCAACAAGCCACCGCCCGCCAGGGAGACGGCCTCTCCTGCTCCCGGCCCAGCGGCTGGCTTCACGGAGCCTGGCCCCTCCGTGTCGGATGAAGTGACAGCTGGGGAGCCTAGGGAGGCTGCCTCTCCTGTCCCGGGCCCGGCCTTTGGCTTCACGGCCATCAACGCGCCGGCGCGCGTCAGGGTGGCCTCGCCTCCCGCGGCTCCCGTCTCCGCCCCTCCTGTCGCCCCTCCCGCCGCTCCTGTCCTCGCGCGTGCTGCCTCTCCCCCTGCGGCTCCTGCCCCCGCCCCCGCTGCCTCCTGGGGTGGGATGACCCTCGACGCGCCGGCGCCGTGGCTGCTCGCGGTCGTCGAGGGACCCATTCAGGAGTTTGTGCAGCCCCTTACTGGGCTGCCGTCCCCGGAGGAGGAGGCCGAGAGGGCGGAATCGTCGGGCCCCCCGATGAGCTGTTTCCGCCGGCTGACCCTTGACGCGCCGGCGCCGTCGCTGCCCTCCCCCGTCGAGGGGCGCCTTCAGGAGTCTGTGCAGCCGCTCATTAGGCTGCCCTCCCTGGCGGAGGCCCTGAGCACGGCCCCGCCACCTCGCCCCTCGGTGAGCTCGTGCCGCCGGCCCCGGGCCTATGACCTGGACTTCATCATGAACCCGCCGATGAATAAAGGTATGTCACCTCCCCATCTATCCCCAATACTACCTCATCGTCCATGATACTAACTACATGCACAGTCTGACGAGGTTGACGAGGGATGGGGGATGATGATACGATTCTCGGGGGAGGCCCACTCACACATGCGTGAGCTTTGAGGCTTCCCCGGCGCTTGCGGTTTCCTTTGTTATGTTCGTGTACTTGTATTTGTTTTCGCGCGGCGTGGATTATCTACGCATAATGTAAGTGATTTTCGCGAACTTCTCCTCCACCCCCCGTATCCCCGTTTCGTCCATGCCGTGGATAGAATGTCTGTATCATCTGTTCATCGTTGGGCTCTGGGGATAACAGTTAGTTGTTATAATCCACGGCCCGCCTCTTCCAGCGCTTCCAGGGCAAGTGAGGTTTTTGAAATTTTTGTGCTATCTCCAGTGTTCTGGTCTCGTCCATGCCGTTGATATATTGTCTATAGGGTGTGTTCGCCGTTGGGTTCTGGAGATAGTAGTTAGTTACCATCATTATCTGTCCGCTTCTTCCAGCGCTGCCAGCTCTCTTTCTCACTTACACACGTTCTCTCTTTCAAGTTTCTACCCCTCAGAGAGATTTCTCGAGCACGATTTCTCAGAATGGCCCGGCCTCGGTATCACTTCAAGGAGCCAGACAGTAAGTGGCGTACTGCACCCAACGACCCGTACTACACCGCGATCAAGACCGATCGCTTGCTCCAACCAGGACAAGTGAGGTTCAGAAACTTCTCGTACTATCCCCGGTGTTCTCGCCTCGTCCATGCTACCGATACAACGTCTGTATCATTTATTCATCGTTGGGTCTTGGGGATAGCAGCTGTATTCTATCATACAATTCCTCTCCGCTGTACCGCTCTTTGCTGATGTGAGACTATCTCATAAGAGATTCGTTTAACAGACACACCACTTCCAGTTGGCACTTATCCACCACTTCCGCTTGCCACTCATCCACCACTTCCAGTTGGCACTTACCTACCACTCGTCTGCTACTTCCACTTGCCATTCCAAGAATCAAGAGATTCGTTCAAGACTCTTCGCCGCTGGGAGGCTTCCTCACTTCCATGCCATCTCCAACAATTCATATCGTCCTCGGTATCGATACAACGTCTGCATACCTTGTCCATCGAGATTCTGTGGGAATAGCAGTCATGTCTCAACATCATCCGACTTCTTTCTTTCTAGCGCTCTACTGAGAGGCTTCCTTACTTCCATGCTATCCCCATCATTCTCATATCGTCCTCGCCATTGATTGAAAGGCCTGTATCCTTCGCCTATAGTAATTCTGTGGGGATAGCAGTCAGATCTCACCAGCAGTTCTCCTCCTCATTTGTACCGCTTATTCGCTCGTGGGAGGCTTCTCTACTCTCATTCCATCTCCCTCAAGACATTGCGAGGCTTCTTCAAGATATCCCCGTCATCACTCGACATTCTAGACCGTCAAGTCGTCTTCTATGGGGTTAGATCATCAGATCATCGGCGGGATAGCGATTTCGTTCAGCAGCCTCCACTCGCTGTCTGTCCTCTGCTGCCCTTCGATGACCTGCAAGCCGCCGAGAAGCAGGTCTTTTGGATTGTTCGCTGCCAATATCTTGAGGCTCTCAGACGATGCCAGCCACTGGATACATACGCTCAATCATAGTTTGTTCGTGCCTGCTGTCGCAACGTCGTACGTACAACTTTTTGTCGTTGGAAAGCGGAGATCGCAGTTGTATACATCTACACTCTTCCCCGAATAATCATACGTGATCCTGAGTGCAGAGTCTCCTGTGCTCACCAATTTGGCTGATGGTCAGTCCTCCGCCAGGCCTCCGTTCTGTGCGACCTCTAAAACAAGGCTGGTTACTCAAACGAGCAGGTAGCAGGAGCGAATCCGAAGCCACCACTACAGCGTAGAAGACACATCCAAGCCTTTTAGGCGGACAGGCCAGCTGAAATATTAACATGTAAGAGTGGCCCCTCAGGTATTTGAAATGGTTCTCAGGATGTGTGCATATAGGAGCAAACGTTTCCGATGTCAAAATGACATATCGGCAATAGTAACCAGCAAGGAAGTTTTGCTCTGCGAGGATACATATCGTAGAAGCTGGGGCCAGTGTTCGTACCGCCCCGAACTGGCCATCCATAATGCATGTTCGTTCACCGGTTTGAAGAGGTCGAGAATTCCTGGACTGTTGTGAGACGGCCGAGCGCATCTGGCGGTCTTGACTCCTTTCAAAAGACACATCACACATCAGCTGAGCGGCTTCAAAGATCGAGGGTCGTACGAAGGTTGCGCCAACAGCGCCTCAGCGATTTACTGGACCGTCGCTATACTGACTAGCTCGATATGTCGCTCAAAGGACGCTGAGTTGTATGTACAAGTCGCCCCGGTATGACAGCAGCAGAGTAGTTGGTCGTGTTGGTAGCTTCGGGCTGAAGATAAATTGGCCGTTATGCGCTGCCCTTCATTCTTGTCTCCCAGAAAATCTCACTTTAACTCGCTGCGGAATCCTCCTGCAACTATTGACTCAATCGTGGACTCAAAATGAAATTTCTCTTCATCTGCCTCATGGCTCTTCCTAGCCTTGCGCTCGCGGGAGGCTGGGGCGACCCCTGCAAGATCGACCTCAAATGGCGGCCCGACAAGCATGGCATTTGCATCAATCCGACCGTCAACGACTGTCAAAAGAAAATGGACGAAGGAGATTGTGACCAGGGATATCTCTGCTGTTACTGATGTCGTGAGTGTTGACGATCGTTGAATAAGCAAGGAAGCTGATCGTTCCATCAGGATACCCGACGTGTGGAGAGAAGGCATGGACCAGATGAAGCGCGTGGACTGAGTGAAATGCAGAATACTTGAGGAGACTGTGCTACTTTGTCCACGTTTTCGTCGGTTGGGTGTCTTGTCCGCTTCATTTGATGGCCGGTCTTCTGTGGCTCATGGGTTGTCGCCGTACCAAACCTGTCTTTACAGTCAGTGATATCGACTACTGCAGAACAAATTCGAATGAAGCTATCGACTTGGTGATGAATTTTTGCATCACAAGTTGTGCGCCAGACGTGTCCCGTTGTTCTTTCGCCGTTCACTAACCGCTTTACTCGAAGCCTTCATCCATCACTCATGAGCAGCGCGTGTGCTTGGAATTCCATCGATCTCACGTCCAGATCTTCATCCACTTGCTTCCTTTTCTTATTGCCCTTCTTCCCGGCGGTCGTTCCATGCTCACTTTCTGTCCAGTCGCCAGGTTTTGGCGCTCGCAGCGTAGCACTGATCATGCATCGTACATCAGTCTTCACACAGGCTCTGAAAAGTTTGAAGGTCGTGAAGGGTGATCTTGTTATTGACCATAGTGCCTGTCTGGTTCCGATACGCCGCATGAGCGACCAAGTGCTGAGCTGCGCCTTGCAGTCGGTATTCAAGCCTCTTGAAGATGATAACAACCTGTTTTCTTCATCTTCTCTTCAAGACCATCCTCCTGACATTCACGCGGCCACTGCTCTTCTCCAGAGGTATCGTAGAAGAGATACTTATTCTCCCTCGTATTTGTACCTACAAGAGTCTTTCTCAATCATCGACCCAGCACGTACCCGTGATGAGAAATAGTTGTTGTTTCAGCTCCTTGAACCAGAAGTTGCTGCACATGAAGTTGGCTCTTCTTCATTCACCATTCTCCCTTCCTCCCTAATCTTGCCTGGCCGCTCCACCAATGTCCCTGCAATACTTCTGCCTCTTATCTCCAGACCTTGTACGCATCCAACCATGGTATGAGCGCTTGGCGGGCAGTCGCCGTTGTGTACTGCAGATATCGAAGACTTTAGGCGGGGGAATGATTCGGACGATCGCAGTTGTTGCTTGGTGTTCTATAAATCGTTGAGGCTTGGCCGAGGAGAGCGGTAGCTGTTTCGACCGCGGTGGCAATAGGAGGACGCGTGCGAGGCTACACCCGCGGACGCGCCTTGGGGTGCTTGGGTTGAGACGTACAGGTTGCTCGACCGTGGAGAGGCGATGGGAGATAGGGCCAATGTCGACGGGCACGTTTGGTATGTTGTCGTGGCTGAGGTCGTGCCGTGAGCGCTCGACAGCGATTGTAGACGCGGATGCCCGGTCCTGAGCTGTTGGAAGGCTCTGTACGCGGAAAGCCTGTTCGAGCTGAGAGCAGCTTCCCCGTTGGAGGCTGTCCGCCGCGTTTGTGTGATCAACGGTGTGATAGAAGAGGAATGACTACCGTGTTTGGCGAGTTGTTGACAGGGAGTGCTGTGAGATGGAAAATGTTGTTGCTGTTCCTTGTGGTGGTCGTTGATCGCTTTGCGGCTTCCGGATCCTGCTCGCGACATGCGGCCGATCAATCGATTGCTGCTGCTGTCCAACAACAGAATACGAATAATAAGTTAATAGCCGTACAAAGAGCGTCTTGATATGCGCAATTGTGCTGATCAACATAGTATCCAAAGCGATCTCATTGTAAGACGTTGCGACCATGTCGCTACCCCTTCCAGCTTGCCTCCTGCCTGCTTCTTTCCTTCCTTACCACCCAACCCACCTTCTTCACATGCTCCTCCGAGACCCCGCCGGCGCGTCATTAAGGTACATAATGCATTTGAGATTCATTGTCATCAACCAATCAAGCCAATAAGCCAACGACGACGACAAGCCACCGAAGATGCCAAACGCCAGTGCCAAAAGCCGCCGCCTCTAACAATTACGATATCGTTGAGGGACTTATAACTGACATCTGACAGTTCATTAGTGAGTTGTGTATCATTGAAATTTTTTTTGGCGGGGAGGTGGTGAGTTCGATCCAAGGTGATGTTTCGACGTGGTTGCTTTTTTGGTCGGCTGGAGGTACTTGTGATTTTGTACGTACCCAGGTACAAACAACAGGCCATTCGGCATCGAAACTCTCAAAATCAGTTGAATCATTCTTCCTTTCTTTTGACTCACGAGCACCGCAAAAGCCTCACCACGTCTTGGATCGTTGCAGTTGATCAAGATTTCGTAAATCCATTTTGACGACCACCACGCTTTCGAATCCATCCAACTCAGCATGCCCCCCCTCTTCCCTCCGACTCACAAGCTCTTAAAGATCAACAGTTTCCAGTGGCCCGACATTCCTCACAGACAATGGCCGTCACCTCTCGGCCACCACACGCAGACCGCAGCGCCTCACCTCCTCTACCTTCACGACTACGCCATCCGGCCCTCAGCGCCGCCACCGAACCAATTCTCGATGGCAACAACCGCCACCCTCATCGATCAGCACATCGAAGCGAAGAGACCACGGGCCAAGTGACCGCGATCACGGGCAGTGGCGATGTCGAGGAAAAGAGCTTGCTCAAGAGATGGATGAATATAGACCTTTCATGACAACGAATCACAGCTCCAGCGGCAACAGAGTCGAGAGGCCGGTAGCTGGAGAACGTTTCGATGATATAAGGCACCTCCAAGGTCCAAATGTAATGTCATTCGAACATGGGAGGACACCTCTGGGAAGGACAACCAAGATGGCCGCGAAGGTTCTGTGCCAGCAAACCCCTTGAAAGATGCCACGAGCTGACACAACCCAGAGGCTTCATCAGGGAGATAGCAGTTGATACGATTGGATTCTCGCCCCGAGTTGACTATTCAGGACAAAGTATCCCCATTGCCAGCTGATGGTGAGTCGAGCCGGATGATGAAGAGAGCTCAATAACCGGCTCCCACTGGGCGTAAGATAATATCTTGAAGCCTCACTTGCAAAAGACGACCCTCGCAGGAAGAAAGAAGGACGTTGCTATCGTCATGGACTTCCGCTGGGCTCAATGAGCGACAGATCTCGTCGGTACGGAAAGCTGGCTCGCAGCAGCAGCTGCGAAGGCCCACAGCATCTCTTGACCCTGTATAAGCACTCCCATCAGACCGACTTACGAGGACATGCGATGACTAGATCTGAATGAGAACGGCAGTGGAGATCGGAGACGAGAAAAGCAATGATGAAAGTGATGGCCGCCCAGGAGTCCTCACACTGAACACCGTTCGGGAGAATCACCCCTGAAAGAGATCACAACCATGAAAAGACAGAGAAGCTTCTGAGTTTTCGTCCAAGAACCATCATCATATCATACCATCTCATCGTCCATATGTCCATGTTCATAATATACATACATGCCAATCATGTTCATCAAGTCGTTCTCATTCCTCGTCAAAAAGATGCCATGCCACTCAATCATATCACTCATCATCATGGCCATGCCGCAGCCGTCCAAAATTCCGTCTCTCCATGCATCGCTCATCTGCACAAATCATCCGTGTCTTGCGTAAAACATGCCACGTTTCTTTTCAGGGCACACCGCACCTCCCGCCGTCATGATACATCCGCGTGCCGATCTGGCCACGCAGCTTCTCCCTCCTCTTCTCCAGTGCCCGCTCCTGTCGTCGCTTTCGTGACTCGCGCATCCTCGTGCCCAGGCCATTTAGACCGACATATTCGACTCGCGCTCCGCCGGAGAATGGCAACGGAAAAGTTCGTCGTCTCCTCTGCTCCGCCAGACGACGCAGCATCTCCTCGCTAGTACGTTTGTCAATGTAGTGTCTCCGCTTGTTCGTGCCGTGACGGTCCAGACCCAGGGAGTTTCCGACCAGAAATCCACCAGTGCCTCGGAAACCTGGCATCCGCACACTCATGTTCCTTGGCAAGAGACTGCGCTTCTTGTCGGGGATGTTTGAAGTATCCCCACCTGGCGGAAGAGCATCTGGACCATCGTCTTCATATTCTTCCTCACTATCATACTCTTCCCAGAAGTCGCGAGGCTGCCAGAAAGACGACAGGTGCGTGGGTCGTGGCTCAGAAATGGTCGCGCGTTTGGCTTGCGACTTGCGGACACTTCCAGATCGTCCAAATGGAAGTGGCTGAAAGACTGCGTCGCTATATCGCCTCATCTTCTGGGTCAAGCTCATGCGTCTTGGCATGCTCGGTTTCGTATTTTCATCCCCCTGGCGCTCGTTAGCTGCGTCTCCTCCCAGTGCTCGTTCCAGCTCCTCGCTCGGCGTTGGTGGAATGAACTTGATGACAGGTGGCTCAGGTGCGGCTCGTGGGTTCGTCAGGGGACTGTCGACAGTATGCTTCGACCTCTCCTTCTCACCCGCGGAATCTTCTGGCGCATCGACGAAGGCCTGGAAGACTGGGTTTGGTGTGTTTCGTTCGGTCTCGTCAGACTCATCAAGAGCTTCATTGCCAAGCGCGTCAAGTGCACCGACCGGCAGAGAGCTCTCCTGGATGAGTAAAAGGCTATCATTGTTGTGAGGGAAGAACTGAACGCCTCTAGCCTCGCCAATCTCTGCTTCAGTCATGCCAGTGCGATCGGAGAACTGACTGGTCGACAATGGAGTTCCCATAGGGCGAAGCGCATGTGGATCGAAACCTTTGCGGCGGGGCGAGAGCGGCTGTTTCTCTGAAGAGCGGCGTCGATCGGTCAGTGAGCTGTGATCGGAAATCTCATGACCTTCTCGTGTGAGATCTTGAGCGACTCTGTCGAGCTTCTGGGACATGGTCTGTGGTTCTCGGATAATGCTGTTTCGACGAACATCATCGTTTCTGTCAAGTCGCTTTTCTGCCGACGATCTCCGCAACTTCGGCGAGATCGATTGAGACTGGTCGAGAGTAAGCGACTGACCGTCCATGCTCCACGGCCTAGGTCCTGATGAGGGCTGCTTATCAAGACTTCTCTCACGAAGAGATCGTCGCAGTCGGCGTGGCTTGAATGCTGGTTCCAGAGCAGGACCTGCAGCCGGCTCGGCCTCGACCGGCGTTTCTTGCACATAATCTTCATCTGGCAACGCTGACCAGTAATCGAATCCATTCTGCCCAGGATCGAATCGAGATATCCGCGAAGAGAACTTCAGGCCGCCATCGTTCCTCTCGGGTGTCACATCTGGAGTCACTTCACTGCCACCAAGTGAATCCATCGCTCGCTTGTGCTTCAGCTTTTGTCCACTCTCAGAGCTGCTCCTCTTGCTGTTGCTCGCCATGCTCACATCCCCTCGCAATGAATCGCGCTTTCTCGAATGCCTCAGCTTCTTCTTGCTCTCCGGCATCAGCACCACCTTGGCCTGGACGCTACCATCGCTAATTGCGCTGTGTCGCTTGGCATTCTCCTCTTGAATCATGCGGTAGACGTTGTTGTTCTCCTCCAACGAACGCTCTTTCGTAGCAGTGTTCGGCGGAGACATCATGGCTGGAGATGCGGACGGCGCAAACTCGCGCAGTTTCTTGGGTGTCCCGTTCGGCTTGTCCGCACTCTTCTTGCGTTGACGTGGTGTCTCAGGCTCTTCCTCCGGCGTTTGAGGCGACAAATCAATGAGAGATTCTGGGGTTTGGGGTGGCACGAGATCTGCATTCCTTAAGAACGTGGTGTCTTTCTCACGTCTTGGCGGAGTTTGTGGTGTTGTCAAGGCTTTTCGACCTTTCCATGTCCCGAGTGAGCTGTAGAGCAGCGCTTCATTCGGTCGTTTCGCATCATCGCCGGGTTGAATGGGCTTCCTGAGCCTATGCTGGGCCATGTGGTGATCGAGCGCTTTTCGGAATGTGGGCGAAGACGACGCGTTCGCATTCTGCGGCTCCAAATCGCTGTCTGATTCCATCTGGTAGTTCTTGACCCTGACTTCCCCCCGATCAGACTCTTCGTTCTTCTCAGAGCCTGACAAGACGTAGTTCTTCGCCCGAACCTCGCTCTTGTCAGACTCATAGTTCTGCTCTGGGCTGGATAGTTGATAATCTTTCACTCGTACATGCTCCTCACTCGAAGTGTCGTTGACGCGGACAGGCTCGTCTCCCAATAACCCCAGCCCATCCAGCCGCACGGGCATTGTCGCATGCAACCATGACTTCTGCTGCTGGCTGGGCTCATCCTCGAAAGGCGAGTGCTCTCGGCTCACATTCCCACTGGCACTCAAGCCCTCGTGAGCGGTTTTGAACGAATCGGCGAACGAACTGGGCGAATGGCTGAGAGGTGGTCGGGGAGGCGATAACGTTTGGCGGACTCCAGGCGGTGACGGATCGGGGGTGGGAGGACTGTGGTTGTCTAATACCGGCGTGCTGATTCCAGATCTCTGCGATTCCAGCGCGTTTCTAACGCGGTCGGCGAACAGAGGCAGTGGGCTGAGGTTTCGTTCGGGCTTCGACTCGGAGACGTCGCTGTTCGTCATCGTCGGGGGCGTTGGCGGGAGGCCAGTGTCGGGTCTGCTGTTGCTCGCGTTAGATTGCTGCTGCAAGAAAGGGAATACCATCGCCGGTTGTGGCAGGAAAGCGCGACCCGTAGACGACCGTAGACGGTGCTGTCGAAGCAGTCGCAGTGGAAAAGTGGTGCAAGCAGGCCAGCCAGGTACTTACTCGTGTGTCTGTAACCCTTCCGGAGGGTCCATCTCGGGCTGAAGCTCATAAGTTCATGCGGTGCGCTCTCCAGCAAACAAGCAGTGGCTATGCGCCTGGGGACCGACGTCGTGCGAGCTGAGAGAGGCCGTAGGTAGTGGATAGCGACGAGAGAAGGAAGAGACGCCGTTGCGCGCGACCAGTCGGATGCTGGCAGTGCGAGCCGTAGCGAACGATTCCAGAAGCCTTCCCGGCTGGGACGGTGATGTCAGTGAATGTCACGTGGGTACGTTGATAAATGTATGGTTCGATAGTGGGAGTATATCGTTGTTCAAGCTACGAAGAGGACGGCGGTGTGAGACGAGCGGGCAAAAGGAGTGCGCGAATTACACCCACGCACGGCTGATGGGCGAGGGAGGGCGATGCAGCAGTCGTGCGCAAGTCCGTCTGCGAGTCCTTGAGTCCTGACGCGGGCTCGCCTGCGCCAAGCTCACGAGGTGCTGCATGGCTGCATTGGTCTCTTCCTCCCGCGGTCCAATCATCTCCTCGAGCGAGGAGATGGATGGGAGAAGTGGTTTCATTCCATGATTTCGAGCATTGAGCGAGGCACGGAGCATTGTCCGCATCGGAGGCTGCGTTATACACGACGACGAGGCGTCCGAGGTGGCGGCTGTTACTCCTTTTTATCTGGGCAGAGGCTGCATCGTCGAGACGAGATCGAGTCGTATAAGTCTCGCTTGTGGCAGCGCGTATCTTGTTGGCTCGGGAAATTTCTCTTGCTTACCGTGCGGCAGGAGCCGGCTTCGATAAAGTGAATGGATGATGGTGCTCTTTTAGCCAAACGAGCCTCAGTCAGCACTCATGGGATCAAAACCTCTGCATGTCCATCTCATCACAGACTCGGAACCTGCTGCCGTTACTCGACCTGGTAGCTGGGTAGGATTGATGAACTGTCGTGTTCATGCATGTGGGCCTGAGATCCACTCACCACGTTTCCAGTTCCTGGATGGTGGAGAATGGTACGTAGTCTCGTCTTCAACGAGACATTCGTCGTCACCTTTTCATTGGTTGGAACTGCGGAGAGTGGACGTTGACGTCGAACTCGAGGCCTGCAAGCCATCACTCATACTGAACAGTATCAAAACATCAGCACTTCGCTATGCTGTCCCTTCATGCCGTCTTCTTCTCCTTCGAAATGCTCTTCGAGGGTCTGAGCAGATCTTCCACAATCGCCTCGCTCAATGCAATCCATCCAATCGCCAGAACAATGATATCAAACACATGCACCGCCCACCAGATATGTTGTACACCACACATGCAAGAAGCATACTCAAACTTCCATTCTTTCGCTTCGGCATCCCACCAGGCACTCAACAGTCCTGCGTTGCCATCAAATGATCCCATCATACTCCTCACGGTGACCTCTCGAAGGCCCATGAGGTTGCTGTCTGACATCTGAGGTCCAGCCTCGGAATACTTGACAGCCTCCCACTTCTCCTCGACCAGAGGTGAGCCGTCCGTCATGGCGTCGAGGTCCATCTCCCTGGGCTTGGAATGGTAAACTTGGCAACCTTCGTGATCGTGGCCATTCAGTATAATGCCCTTTCGACTTCGCTCTGGGCCCAGCATGCCCTCCAAAATCCGCTCACTGACTCCATAGCTCAAATGATTCTGCTCCTTGATGCCTCCACCATGATGATCCGAAAAGTAGTCGAAGAACGGCCCATCCACGCAAACGCCGTCCTCTTTGTACAGGGGTATATGTGTCAACAAAACAGTCGCAGTGTCGCTCGATGGTAATTCCCAGTATAATTTTTGATTGAGGTATTCAAGACCCTCTTCTTGGAGAGCCTCATGTTTCGCCGGCTCGTCGAGATTCATCGAGTTGAGAATCACAAGTCGAACTGCAGGCGAAGAGGAACCAGAATCATTCGAAGCCGTCGCATAATCGCTGTCGTCCAGATTAAATCGTACTTCCCAATTGACTCTCCCAAAAGCATCCTTAAAACGCCGCACGCGATGCTCATCCAAATCTCCGGCATATCCTACATCATGATTCCCAGCAACAGCAATTATCCTGTTCTTCCAATTCCTATCCTTGCCCAGTACTTCGCTATGCACTCCCTCCTTATCCAAGATTCGCTCCGGCACTTTCTGCCCACCCTTGAACACCCTCTCCCAGAACCTCTGTGTCCTACTCTCAAACTCCCCGTCCCCAATCCACTGGCTCCCTAACAAATCCCCCAGCACAACCACATGCGTCGGATCGGTGAACCACTGCATACTCCGGTAAACATGCGCCAGGTATAAATCATTTCCCCAAAGATCCAACATCTTTCTATACGTGTTGAGTGCTTTCGGGAGGTCGTCCACGAACAATCTTCTCCCGTCCTCTTTCAACGTTTCAAAATCCCTTCCAATCTGCAAATTCCCCCACAACCTCTCAAAGTGAGGAAACACCGCATCATTGGGATCCGGCAGACTCGTATCGCCTTCAAGCTGCGGATCCGCGAGGGCGAGTAAGCGAAACGGCGCAGGTTTGCCCGTTGGCGTGGATGGGAAGCAGCATTGCTTGACGAGCGGGTAGAGGTAGAGGTATGCGGTTGCGAGGACAGCGGGCGGGAGGAGGAAGAGGAAAATGCGGAATAGTAGTCTTGAGAGGCGCATTGGATGTATGCTACATTCTTGGAGTGAAGGCTGCTGGTGTTGGAGCGTTTGAGTTGACGGGGATCCAGGGGTTGTTTGGCGAGAACGCTGTGGACGTGAATGCCTGAGGCAGGAAGTGGAGAGCTGACTAGTATATTACATCGGTACTACTCTTTCTCCTTCTTCGTCCTTTCTTTCCACGAATAGAACACAAGATCCATCGTTGGCATGAAAATTAGGAGCAGTATTAGGCTGGATGTGTATAGCTGATATTGTTACGTCGTCACCATCTTCTCAACAATCTTCAAGACCTTTCCACGTGACCAGAAAATGAGATCATCGTTGACTGCAGAATCCCGGCGCCGTTTGGTTTCGACTTTCTGATATCCAGTTGACCAAAACTTCCGTCTTCCGCAAACCCAGTCCTTCGAGCAGTAGAGTCTTGAACTGTTGACGAGGGTCGATTTCCAGGACAACGTCGACACAGTGACCTGCTCAGATCGTTGTTACAAGCTACATTCAACAGCACAACAACAGACACAAGAAGCTTCCAGGCATTCACAGTCCTGTAGAGTCCGGCCCAGAAAGGAAATAGGCGGCAAACAATTCACTGCAGCCAGTGAAGCTGCACCTGCGTCAGCACCACATTCTTCACCGCTCGTTCTTATTGGCTCTCTGCACCTCTTTCGGCCTGCTCAACCCTCCATCTTCAAACCACCAAACCTCTTCGGAAGACAACGTACAACAGCTACAGCACTCGAACAGCGACTACCATGCTAAAAGCCTGCAACATAGAGCAACACCACATCAACCCTCGTTGAAGAGAACACGATCTTGATGGCTCAGACGACTCTCACCAAACTGCTCGACAGATCCTCCGATCTGCGACCTTCATCATCGAAATGGCCACTTGCTCTATCTCTCAGGGGTCTGCTCGGGGCTGCCGGCGCCGCTTGGTGGTATAAGCAGACATACGGCCTGCCAAAGAGCCTGCGAATCAGAGATGGTAAGTATTCTACAACCGCCACATGCTCGAGCCGCCGGCTAACTTGTTTGTAGCTGCCTCTACCGATCCAGGCCTTCTCCAGAAAGGAACCACCTTCGAGCGATACGAGACGCCCTCAGGCCATGTTTATCCGAGGATCCGCACATTCTACCTCGAACACTCGAAAGCGAACAAGTTGCCGCAAGACATTCCCCTGCTCGTGTTTATGCACGGTCTGGGCGGCTCAGCAGCACAGTTCTCTGCTCTCTTGACTTCCCTCGTCAACGTTGCGCCATGCCTTGCAATCGACCTTCCAGGCTGCGGTCGCTCCGATTTCGAGCCGAACGACGACGAAGCATACACCACACTCGCCTTTGCCGAACTCCTCTACTGCGCCATCGATCGGTACCGCAAGAAGGACGTCAACCAGAAGGTCATCCTCATCGGCCACAGCATGGGCTGCACCATCACGACTCTACTTGCTTCATCGACCTCCCCGCTTGCTCATCTGTGCGAAGACCACATCTCTGGCGTGGTGGCAATCTGTCCACGATCACATCCATTGACGGACAAGCAGCTCCTTCAAATCCAGCGGCTGAACTGGATCTGGACGCCGCTCTTCAACCTGATAAGATTGGTCGATCGGAGAGGTGGTGTGACCAGTGCAAGCGTTCTGCGAGTTGTCGGTAAGGACGCAGACTACGAGACTAGGAAGCTCCAGCTGCGATTCAACCAACAGTCAAAGTCCGCTGTGTTTCAGAAGATCCTGAGAGGACTTTACTTGCAGGAGCAGAAGACGAAAGAGAATGGCGAAGAGTCGTTGCTGGGCAAGAGGATATGGAGTGGCTTGAAGGTGCCTCTGTTCTTGACTGCAGCGGAGAACGACACGCTGTCGCCACCTGAGGAGATAAAGCATATCGAGGAATAGTTGACAGAGGGTAGGCAAATGCCTGCCAGCTCGGATCAACAGCAAGACGAAGAAGTCGCTCCAGACCAGCTGGGCTCAGCACCACCGCAAACGATCGACCAAGCCAATGGCTCCCAGGTCGTCAAAGAGGTACGTCAATTGCGTTTCACATCTTTCAACACCCACTGACACGATACAGGAATCATCCACCACGAAACACTCCTTCGTCCTCAAATCCGAAATATTCCCCGCCCCATCCTCCCACAGCCTCATCTACACCACCCGCGACGTCCGCGTCCTCTCTTCCCTTATCGAAGCCTTCCTCGCTCGCCACGTCGACGAACGTCTCGGCCAAGACTGGCAGCTCCGACACATGACCACATCCGGCAAATGGGACGTGAAAAACTACAAGAAGTGGCAAGCCATCCAGCCGTGCTCCCCACCCATCGCAGGAATCTTCCGCGCCATGAAGACGATGCGCGAGCAAGATGACGTCCACTCCCCTCGAGAGTTCGTGAAACGCTACGGCTGGCAGAACGTCCCAGGAGGCGCGACGATGGTGTTGGATATCTCACACGACACGCCGGTGTACAACTCCCAGACGCTGGACGACGCGGGGGTGGAATACCACAAATTCCCCACCGTCTCGAAGCAGCCGCCGACCGAGGATGAAGTCGAACAGTTCATCGATATCGTGAACCAGCTCCGCGCGAGCCCCAAGATCGCCGGCGCCTCAGACAAGGTGAAGCCCACCATCGCCGTGCACTGCCACTACGGTTTCAACAGGTATGCGCTCCCATCCCCGAACATTCATCTCCTTCCATGCTAACGATCCTAGGACCGGCTTCTTTCTCGTCTGCTACCTGATCGAGAAAGAAGGCTGGAAAGTGGAGGACGCTCTCGCGGAGTTCGCGGAGAAGAGAGCGCCGGGGATCAAGCACGATTTCTTTGTGAACGAGCTCTTCCGGCGCTACGCGATGAAGATGGAGAGGAGGGGCACGATTGTGGGGTGAGGCGACTTTTCCTTTCTTTCTTTGTTTTTTGTTGTTCTTCTCCGTTGCTGGAAGCCTGGCTAGGGCGCTGGGATAGAAGATGGGAGGTTTGGAGATGGTTCTGCATTTGAGATGATGAGATGAGATACCCATAAGATGATTTTGTTGCCCTTCGAAGATGCTCATCATTCGCGCGCTCTCCGCTCTTCGCAGGAAGCCTTTCCTCACGTTCGACGATGTTTTCTCGTTGTCTTCTCCGCAGTCCTACGATCGACTATGCAAAGCCAGACGCTACAGAGATGCTGCTTGCTATCACAGTAGTTGAGATTACTACAGCTATTCCAAGGAGAGCAAAACTCATGTTGGCATTGCCGTTGAATCTATCCTATTATGACCTGCCGCAGCCTCGCAATCTCTTGCGCCATGCTTCTCAAAGGCCGGCCACTGTTCACTTCAACGTTCGACCTGAAAGGAGCTTAGAGCGGCATCTCCGAGCTGAAGTGGAACCGTACTAGAGCGCGACGTGTTATAGGAGGTAGAGCACGTGGCTTACACCTGTCTTACATATATTCGCTTGTCTTACTTTAAAATGTCTCATGGCTCCTAGTTGAGCTTGCTCATCTACCCTTGGCTATTGTCCAGGCTGCATCGTTTATGAACGTCAACGCGGTGTCTGCGCCGGAATATTTCGACCCTATGTCTGTCACAGAGCTCGATCTAATCTACATCATGAGTATGGAGTTTCACGACAGTACACGGTACGAGAAAACTTCTAATGTCGTTGCCATTACTTGGGTTTTATCGTTCGTGCAACTTGCCCAGCGGCGGTGCAGCTATTCGAGCATGTCGTTAGCATCGGAGGAGGAGTGCTCGCCGAAGACCATCCCTCCCGATTGCACGCGACAAAGGGTGACTCGGCAGCTTAAACTATTTGTTTGGCATTTTTCCATGATTAGGCGCGTCATTCTTTTGCTAGGCAAAGGCGCACGTCTTTTCAAATGTGTTCGACGTGACTCGACTATCATTATGTGGAGAGGCACGATTCGCTTCCGATGAGCTGTGAAGAATTTTGTGCCAATACTGATCATGTGAGTGAATAATTTGCGTTCTCTCGCTAGCGTCCACCCTACTAGGACCAGTTACATTGGAGGACGAATGTGTTGAGAGGTTGAACTACAACTTTCTCTCCTGATTTTCCCACAAGGACAAAACTCCACTTGCTCGAAACCACTGCATCCGCCACCATCGCATCTATTTGACCTCTCTCGTCATTCATAATTGACCTGTATTAACGCCGGGCCGGCGATTGTGGCATCTGTGACGAGCGTTTCATTCATGAATGGTCCTGCACCGTTCACCAACGCAGCAACAATCAGACCCCTGCTGAAAGCTCCCTCCGTGGAACTTCCCTCAAATGGGAAAAGGGCCTTGAATGTCGTCTCGTTCGCCCTGTGGACAATGTCAGAGATCCCGACAGTCACCGGCGTGATCTGGCCCGACATGTACGCCACATGATCGTCAGTAGTGACATCGGGCTGATTCGTTGTGAAGGAAATGGTCGAGTTTTCTGGACGAGGTGACTCGAGCGCACGCAACTTGTTGAATCTGGGAATGTTGCTGAATTTCTGTGGACAGGACCCCGGCTTCACGAAGTGCTGGTTGAGATGATTGAAGAGGAGGGCGAGAGTCGTGGTCGTAGGAAACGGGCTCGAATTCGGTACGTATGGAATGACCCATCGAAAGTATCCATCTTGCGTGCCTTCCTGAGTCGCAACGCTACCGAGCTGCTGCACCACGATAGGAGCCGCTCCAAAGTCGGTGATAACTGCTGGGATGGCACCCATCAGCATACTCGTGAAATCGTCGGCCATCTTCATGGCGTCTTGGAAGGTGGTGACTGGGAATATGTATTCGCATGGTTGCACTTGAGGTGTAGTGCTGCCCTTCAGCCCGCTGTTCGCATTGAGAAAGTGTACTTCTTCTTGCTGGTATTATTTCAATAACACTCTTTCTGCCACCTCAGAGGTATGATACATACAGCCTGAGTGCTGTTCAAAGCATCAATGATCATTTCTCGATCGTCGCTAAGATCGTAACCGGAAACGCTATTCTATCGATTCGGTCAGACGTACACATTAACCAAGCTGCTTGAATGTAAACCCACCGTGATATTGTGGAGAAGCTGCGTGAAGAATGCTACTTCAAAAATCTCGTTGAAGGCTAGTGCCTCCAAAGCTTGTGCCGCTGAGCCATTCAAGGGGACCGACGGACCTCCCGTTCCTCCTGGCATTGGACCGCCGGCGCGATGCTCTATGTCCTTGAGTGTGGCCAAGGACACATTCGGAAAACCATTGGGTAGTGGGAACTTGAATGTTCCAGCGCTTACGGCGATGGCAAAGATGACGACGAGAAACATCATGATGGCGGATTGCAATCCGCGATAACAAGAGAAGCTCTTCAAGATTGGTGACCAAGCACGGCAGCAGAGCGGCTCTCGAGCTACTTATATGTCGTAGCAAGCGATTGATTTTCCTAATATCTCAGAAATTGCGATTTGGTACATTGCCCTAGCTGTGCCCTGCACGGTCGTTTGTGGGATCGACGTTCGTTTTGAACAAGCTTCTAGTTGTCCTGATGGAGTGCTTGAAGTGCTTGGTCAACGTTGATGACGATTGCGCTCCGGAGCCACATTGACTATGGATTCCTTATTGGACGTTGTTTCTGCAAATAATGCAAGTTACGGCCAATCCGCGGCAGCATGTGAAAGTGGTCCGTGCGGACCGAGCAGGAAGCGAGATGCATCAAATACCATACCTGAATCAAACATACCGGCGCATTTGACTTTACTTCATTGGCTTACGTGGCCAATCTGGTAATTTAGGGCTGCCCTATTGACTTGTGCTTACGATCGATCAATCTTCGAGATGCGGGTCGCGTTAAATCCGAGCTGGAAATGACCCCAGGCTAACGCAGAGTATCTGACCTGCTTTTGGTGATGTGGAGCTATGCCGTCAGTCGATATGGAAATGTCATCTTATATGCACGTCGGACAAAGACCGACCTGAAACGTAACTTCAGCTCGCGGCTGCTTCGCAAGGTCGCTTTGGGATGTGTAATGTGACAAGACTCAAGAGGTCGTCTTTCAGTAGACATAGTGTAGTGATGGCCGTCGTCGTATCCAAGTCCAAGCAGGCACTTTTCTTCGTCACATCCGTGCCAAATTATCAAGTCTTGAAAAAGAGCTGTGCATACGCACTTACTTGAGGACTGAATACTCGAGCTTTCGGCATCATGAAGCCCAGAATCTTCAATGTGTTACACTTGTTGGCAATACTTGCACTTTTGACCAACATTCCACTCTCGAGTGCTGTCCAAACCTCCACAGTTGGCTTCACAAATTCACACAGACACCTCTCGAGAAGCGGATCAGCAGACTGTGTCTCAGGCATAGTCTCAGTAACAACGGCCACCACGAAGAATCTCGAACTCCACCTTCCATCGCCACTGAATCAATCTCAAGTCACCCAGATTATTCTCGACTTCGCGACCTCTGGCTCAACATACATCCAGTCCATCTCGACCGGAACGCAGAATGTCACAGGTACATACGAGATAGGAGCAACGTTATGCGTCCCGATAAACAGAACTTCCAACCATCTTGTTCAATTCTTGACTCATGGTCTTGGCTTCGACCGCAGCTATTGGGACTTCGCATCCGGCTATTCATACGTCGACGCTGCCTTGACGAATGGACACGCAGTATTCTTGTACGATCGACTCGGTGTCGGCTTGTCGTCGAAACCAGATCCTGTCAACTTAGTTCAAGCAGGACTGCAGCTTGAGATTGCCAACGCTCTCATTTGCAAGCTTCGAGCTGGCGAATTGGAAAACACGACGTTCTCGACCGTCGTCGGAGTTGGTCATTCGTTCGGCAGCGTGCTGACACAAGCTGTCACTTCCACCTACCCCCGGTCGCTGGATGCCGCCATCTTAACTGGCTACAGTCTCAACTCGACTGGGTTCCCGCTATTTCTGACGGGCGTCAATCTCGCTATCGCCTCCGAAGCCCGTCCGTATCAATTCAGCGGTTCACAGAACGGATATACCGTTGCAAGTACAGCCATTTCGAACCAGATTGGGTTCTTCCACGCACCAGGTTTTGATCCCGCGATCGTCAGTCTTGCCGACTCGACGAAAGGGACCATCGCCGTAGGAGAGCTCTTGTCTACGAGTGCCATTGTCGGGCCAGCACTCGAGTTCAACGGCACGGTGGCCATCGTTAACGGGATCGATGACCTTCCCTTCTGCAATGGAAACTGCTCATCTCCAGGCAACCTCCTGGGGCAAGTTAAGCAATTGTATCCTCGAGTGTCCAATGACAGCTTCGTGACGTCGCTTGTACCGAATACTGGACACGCCATTAGCTTGCACTATTCTGCAGGAGCTGTGTACGAATCAGTTCAGGCTTTGCTGATTGCGAAGGGCTTGTGAGAAATTACTTCGCCATTGTGGATGCGTGCGGAGGAATGTATACTATTGGTTATGGAGTGCTCAGCCTCAATGGAAGATCAAATGCAGGGGAAGGTTGTACTGTTCAGCTGTGACGTCATTCCCACTCAACTTTATGCCAAGTTCACTTTCCTCTTTCCTCCTGTCCAGCCTTATAGCCAAGAAACACAAGACACTGCCCACTTATTCCAAACATCCGTATCTTTCTCCACACAGTTCCACGGCATATTGAAGTACAGAAATCGAAGTGCCTATGATTGGCCACAAGAAGACCAAGACGGTAGGTCAGAACTACTGGGCATCATCAATGTTAGGCTGTTTAGTTCTGACGAAATGCAACAGGGATGCAAAAAGTGCAAAGCCCGCAAAGTCAAATGCGATGAGACCAGACCCAACTGTCTCGCCTGCTCTCGACTGCACATTCAGTGCGAGTATTCTTCAATCCCTTCTTCAGGCCACTCCAGTCAAGACACATTCATCCACCAAAGAGACCACACGCTCGAACTCAGCCTGATGCACGAATGGATGGCCGAGATCTGCGAAAGCCTGACACCCGCAAAGGACTTTTGGAAATACGAAGCAGCGCACCTGGCGTTAAGGTGTCATTTCCTCTTGAATGGCGTTCTAGCTGTCGCGGCGCTGAGGGCGTCGAGGGAGTCGACAAGACGATGGCCTGCAAAGGATGCTGTCGAGAAACATATTCTGCGGTCGACGATATCAACCACCGATGCTTCAAGCGCAGATGGTGTCGTTCCTCTGTCTACGCATGATATGGTAAATGTATCGAGGAAGTTTTTCCACCAGTCCTTACAAGCATATCAGGATGCCGTCGCCGCACTGACGACGGAGAATATCAAATCCGCCTTCACGTGCTCGGCCTTGATATCGTTTTACTCGTTTCTGGTACTGAGCGAACAGGTTGAGAACGATTCTCTCCGAGATCTGGTGCAGTGGATCGGAGTCGCTAGTGGAATCAATAGCATTATACGGCAGTGGTATAGCTGGCTTGGACCTGGTTGGATAGATGAAGGTGTGTGCGACTAGGTTCCGTGATCTTCACCTTATTGACCAATTTTACAGCAGGTCTCACAACCGGCGAGCCATCAATGAGAACAGAAGATTCCGTCTTCCGCCCAGAGTACCGCATAGGTTTCGAGCATCTCCTCAGGCCAGTCGAAAACTATTTGATCTGTCCGGAAGACCAGAGGGCCTACGAGGATACACTTAGTTACATTGGGCTCATGCACAGAGGCATCATTCACGGTTCCGATTCGCAGCTTGCTATCTGTCGACGAATATATGCCATGCCAGCCAGAGCGCCGACTCGCTTCATAAAGTTGTTTAGAGAGCGTGATGCGCGAGCTCTGGTCGTCTTGGCACATTTTTTCGCAGTAGTCGCACTGGCAGAGGAAAAAGTACCCTGGTTTCAGGGAACTGGGAAGCGTCAAGTGCCGTTGTTGTGCGAGCAGATACCAGTCGAGTACAAAGCGTTGGTCGAGTGGCCGTTGTCGATAGTGATGGCTTGATCTACATATTGGAGCGATTATAAGAGTGGGTTTTGATTGTTAAGGAGCAAACTTTTAATAAAGGGTAGTACTGCAACGTTAAAGGAAGTGGGCCCATGTTAACTAATATAGACCTAGAGACATTTATTTCGAATAATCATGCCTTTCTTATAAAAAGATTATGTTATACATGTTCTACTTATTTATTAACCCTCTTCTTTCTACGAGCTCTAACTAAAGACTTAAGCTTGGTACACGTAATAAGTAAGATTCTAGGATTCACAAACCGATCCTAACACAATCTTCGATTAACTCGACGTAGTTTCTGTTACGCTGAAGACATTCTCGGTTGATTCTAGTATGCCGGCCTAGCGGGTTTCAAAGGTTTGCAGCCGGCCAGCTTGACGCAGCTTCCTTTACCGACCCCACGACGAATGGCTCCGATAGTACACCAGGGCGTGCTTGAGCTGCGCCTAGTTGAGGAGCTTCTGTCGTCCCGGAAGGGCGCCGATGCATTCTTGCAGTCTGAGTATTCGTTCTTCGCACCCAATGCTTCGCCCCAGATTGTTCCCTATCGTTCGTCCAGATAGCTGCCAACGGAGTATCTCAATAAATTCCTCCGCTGCTCAAAGTGTGCCGACCTGTCTCGCATAAAGGGCGGCCGAGCGATAGCTCAGAACGGAGCGCTATCTCGGGTAAATCAGCTTTCCGGAACCGAAGGGGTTTGTCTTCGCTTGTTTCTGGCTCACAACTCCGGCAGGCTCCCCTCCTGCTCACTGGCCAATGCTGCAGGCTTATCCTCTGAAAACGTCATGGTCCAGAAATTCTGCAAAAGCTCACAGTAGATACCATTCTCCGACTTCAGACGATTGCACTCCTCTTCAAGCTTTGCTTGTCGTGCCTGTAGGTTCTTGTTCTCCGCCATGCTCGTCCTCAATCGCTCGCCGAGATTGAGTACCTGCTCTCGGCGTCGGTCGCGGCATTTGCGTTGGCTGGAGCATCTGTTCAGCTACTGTGACTCTTGCTTGTGGGGAGGTCTTCTCACGCTTCGCGGTTTTGTATCTTTCGTTTCTTTGCTTTGCTGATGGTCTCATCTTGCTCTGATGCATTGTCGTGTGTTTCTGGTGGGAATCGATCAGATGTATCTGTCGATGCTGGAGATACCGCTGGAGGACGGCTGGATTCTTCAAACGATGATCGAGTGCCGAGTTGAAGCAGGGCATGGGTTGCCTCGGGTACTGGCTCTTGAAGGAAGCTGTTTTCCACTTCGGCCCACCACTCCGTCCATTCGAAACTTGTCTGGCCATTGTCAGCCGTTCTTTGTGTACAGGTGTCCCTCTACGCACATCGGTCTGAAGAAACCATTCCTGCTTAGAATTAAATGGGTATGATGTCTTCGACGCCATTTCTCATCGCTGTCTTTGCGCTTTTCCAGTTGGGCCTGTAACTCACGGTGGCAAACTCAAAGCCTTTATGTTCTCAACATTTGCATGGTGGATGCTCTTGATCTCGATCATGAGCGTCACTCATATGTATGTATCGTATGCTGGCTGATACGACATGAGCAACCGCTCGCACCCTTCCGGCGCCGAATCTGGCAACAGACCCTGGCTCGCCATCTCAACAGAACGCAAGGCTGCTTGTAAATTCAGCTGGCCACCACAATGCCCATTATACATGATTGGAAATTCTGCACCCTCGGAGATGCGAGAGTAGTCCAGCATGCATGTGGGCCTGCAATGCCCTACCAAGGCTTGACGTGGTGCCCTGACCGGGGACGCATGGTGGGCTGACTCTCACTGCGAGCTGCTGTAGGCTGTCGATGACCACATCCCTGATTAATAACAGCCGAGCTTCCATTTGGCCGACAGCTACTTTCGGAATGCCTGGCCTCTGTCCCGTACGTCTGTGCCGGGCATGAACACGGCGAGCTCTCGAAGCTGATTGCCAGTTCGGGCCGGATGCAGCAGTCAGTTGTGGTAGCACTCGCTTGCGACTCCGCGATATTGCCCCGACATGGAGCGAGTTTTGCCGGAGAAAGGTGCTATCGTTCGGCTGGACATGTGGTAAGGATTGCAATGCCTGTAGGGTCACTTCTGATGCCAAGTATTGTCTTGATTGTGGCGTTCTGTGGCTGGCGCTAGATGAGATTGGTTGTACGTAGCTCTTCGCTCGGTCTTTACTCGCTGCTACGTCGCCATGCTGGTATACTGATCATTGTACATTTTTTGTCAGCATTGGGTGCAGATAGGGTGAAGCTGAGACGATTTCCCGCAGCGCCCGCACATTGTCCGCAAGGAGGGTGTGAAGTTGATAACGTGAGACTTGAGCAGCCATAGTCACTGATTAGCATTTACGTCCAGTCTCAAGACTCATGAAGAGGGCAAGGACGTCGTATGAACCATGTCCGGATGAACAGAACGAGGTGAAGTCGATGGAAATCCACGAAGGTTTCGTTAGACCACTGATCTCGGAAGCAGGCGTGCCAGCGCTTTTGCCGCCATGTCTACCATTATATCGATGGAACTGCTGTCCTTTTCAGCGAAAACGAGCAGAGCAACGGGTATAGTGGCTGGAAACGTTGGAAAAGGGGGAACATCAATCTACTGACGTCGAGGATATCCCAAAGCTGGTTGATGAGCGCTTGTCCTTAGTTACAGTGAAAGCGGACTGCACGCATTTGTTATCAAACTCTTTGATTTTGCAGAAATGACAACGCTCCTTCTCATAATCCAGTCTGCCTAAACTGCCAGCAAGGAACGGGGATGAATGCTGGTGCACTTGAACGAATAGGAGGAGTCTCGTCACAGAGAAATGCTCGTCCCACAGTACCACGACTAAATGAATTCAATCTGCAAGCTTCTATGACTCTAGACTCTCCAAGCTGCCTCCCAAGCGTTAACAACGTCGACCAGCGACAAACGCCTCTGCAACAACAACAGCGATGGACAACGACAGCGATAACAAGGCCTCGGTGCACTTCCTCGACCTCCCCCAGGAAATCCGCGACTTGGTCTATCTCTACTTCCGTTCCTACTCCTGGATCGACATCACGCAAATGCCCGATAGAATCCAACAGCCCAGCATCAGCAAAGTCTCGAAACGAGTGCGCAAGGAGAGTCTAGACGTCTTCTATGGCAAGAATCGGTAACAGACATAGTTCTCTATAGTCTCACAGTTGCTGACCCTACTTCAGATTCATGCTCGACATGCGAGGCTGGAAGAACGGCGCCTGGCCCAAATCGTGGACGCCCGTCGACATCTTCACCCGCTGGGTCAAAGCCATCGGCGACGAGAACGCCGCTCGTCTCCGCCACGTCTCCTTCTACCTGCAGAACTTCGCCGTCCACTACACCATCAGCTCCGGCCAGGACAAGGACACCCCACGCATCGTCGCCAAATTCCGCCAGACGCGCTCGAATTTCGAAAGCTTCGACATATCTGAGCGCGCTCCGGCCGGATACACGGTCAAGGTCGCCATGAAGCGTGCCGAGCAGCACCTTTGCTACAAGGCCGGAGCGCTGGCCAAGCGGGTTGGTGATCGGAATCTCGGGGTCAAGGATGTTCTCGAGCTGTGCAAGTTCGTCGAGAGCCTCAAACCGGCGCTCTGCAGCGCTATGGGCATGGGTTGGAAGGGCGCTTTCATCGAGGAGGACCCGTCCCAATCGATCTTTGGAATGCCGCATATGATGGCGTGCAATGAGTGTGGATACTATCGCGTGAGCGAGGTGAACGCCAGGTACGTGCAGGGTTGATGGACATGGGAGCAGCGGGGAGATGCATTCGCAAGGAAGTTGGAGATGAATTGGGGCTGCGGTTGGCGCAGACAGAGTACTTTGATATACCAACTTCCAAGTTCCCTCCATGATGCTCCTATAGACCAAGCCTCGGGTGTCGTCAACGTATAAGTAGATCCGCGAGATCTGCGTGGGATAGAAGACATTCACCATTCACGCCCGCACGACTTCCACAGCCGTTCAGCCGGCTCCATATCCCTTCGCCACTCCTCTCGATTCTTTCAGGACCTCAATGTGCACCAGACCCATCCTCCCGCTCTCTTTGGCAGCAGCATCAAGTGAGCTAACTAGAAATTGGAAATGCTGTCTCTCCAATCATGGAGACGACCAAGCCAACATTAATTCGTCAAGGTGTTTAGACCAACAACCAGCGAGCGGGATGTGCTGCGCCTGTAAAGCATATGGTCCACGGCGCCAGGAGGGCAATGCAAGGGAACTGAGACTGTCTGCTCTTCCAAATGGTTTCGTTTCTCGTTGATCAGCCATTACTACAGAAGCATGCGTTCTATTGCGACAACATGATATGCCCCCATCAGCCTATGCTTTGCTGAAAGTTCCATCCAACATCGTATGTTTAATCCTTTTCCGTGGGTATAGTATAGGGTCGTATCTCATAATCCCAAGAATTTCGTAACTTCGTACCTGGGTGGTGGTATCTTGCGATTTTATATCTCATGCAGGGGTGTACCAATAGCTCCAAATGCTTTTTATTTTCCATGTCCTTTCGAGAATCGCCAAGACGCAGCCTCTCTCAATTTCGGTTCATAATTGAAGACAATCTCTCCGCCTCGCAGTTCCTTGCCATTCGCCAGGATAGTCTTCTCCCGAGGTCGTTTGCCCCCAATCCTATTGACAGCTGAGCCACTGAGAAAGCCGTTAAAGGGTTTGTTGTCCTCGGTGACTGTGTGATCCACCGCGCATCGAACGTTGTCACCTTCCGCGAGATGGCAGAAGTGATCAAGCGCTACGGAGAGCTGATTGACTGCAGCCGGGTTTGGTCGGATCATCTTCTGATCTTGACATCGCATTCGAGGCGTGGATTCGTTGCTGCCCGCTGGGGACCTCGAATCCGGGGTGTATGGAGCTCCACGACGGTCGAGTCTTGGGCGAGGCGGTTTGTGATTTCGGGGCCGACAGCGAGGCGCCGCAGCTGCTGTCGCTAAGGATCCATCACATTCAACTGCAGGCTTCAACATCACACCGACAGTGTTAACCCTCTCATCGTCCTTTCTCGGGTATTTGCTCGCGCGGTGGTTTGAACTCACGGGAAGTACATTCGAGCTCGTTGCGGGCGGGGCATCACTCAGCCGATACGTTGGCTCGTCAGGACTTGATAGGGTGATAAAAGGTATGTCTTCCATTCCTTGGGACGTGGCCACCATGACTGCGCTGTCCGGAGATGACACCTCTCCATCATCACTCTCACTCTCATACTCGGAGGGCACAAGTTGACCACCAAAGATCTTTGGTAACAGCACATGCACCGCCACTTCCGACGAGCCCGGGTGTGATTGCTTCGACCGTCTGCGGAACGAGGAACCCCGACGAGGCCGAGTAGAATTCAGAGAGCGCGTTTCCAACGGAGGAAGATATCTACTGGCCATCGTCGTGAGTGAAGCAAGTCGGATACAGGTCGCAATGGCATTGACTTGGTCACTCGTAGTACTTGTGCGGTCGACCAGGAGATGTCACGTGTTCCCGGGTTTCAGCGTTCGAGACCTCAACGCAAGTGAAACTCTATTAAGCTGGTCAGCAGAGCCCTGCATTATGCCACAGGCCAGGCGCATTCTTACCTTCAATTCGAGTGCTATCTCTGCCATTCTTTCGTAGAATGGCGTGTCGAGGCCGCTTCATGCCTTATCGATCGTCGCTCGTTATCCCGATGCTCGCAGCATCATTGCCTGTTCTTGGCATCATTCTCCTCAATCGTCTGCCTCCTCGTCCCGTCCACCTCTCCTCTCGCCTGGGCTGCGACTCCGCTGTCTTCCGCCCTTCTTGCTCGCTCCCTTGGAGCCGGTGGCGGACTTGCTTGGTGGTGGACGCACAAAGGCGAAGTCGACGCTGAGGGTCTGTTCGAGAAGCTGCTCTCCATTGGCACCCTCAATCGCAGCCTTTGCTTCGGACATGGTCGCGAACTCGATCAGAGCGTATCCCTTGCATCACAATCAGTTCACTGCCTTAGTCCGTGCCTGACGTTCCGCAAGGCGTGGTGCCTCTGCGTTGTATCCCGCCATACCTTGACGTATCCCGTCCTGCGATCCAAGTTGACGTGGACGTTCTTGATCTCTCCGTAGTCGGCAAACAGATCTTGCAGGTCCTCCTCAGAAGCCTCCTCGTGGACGTTGGTGACTATGATGATCCAGCCCTCAATGCTGCGGACTGGCACGGCGTTCTCGGCCGTCTTGGTGTCGGTGTGGCCGCTGCCGTTCTTGCGGTCTTGGTCGAGCGACTCGGGCGCGTCGACGTCCATTTCGGTGTCGGCCATCTTGACGATTTGGGGGTGTTTGTTGTGGTTGGGATGGTGGTTGGACGTCAATGCTCATTGCGATGGGGGCGACGCCAAGGCCGGAATTCCGCCGCGCTCAAATCTTCACAGGACAGGCTCGACTTCACTTCTGTCTTCTGAACACCACCGACCTCAATATCATTCACATGCGTCATCTGTCACATGCCACAGATCAACAGTCTCACATGGAAGTGAGCTAGCATGTGCTCATTTGTAGCCACGCAACATGACAACTCAGCTACTTGACCTCTCCCCCGGGATGAGAATTCACAAGGTCTTCTCCGGAAGAGCAGCCCTCCTGACCGCGTCTTGTGGAAGGGAACCAGCTGTGGACTGAGGCGTCACCTCGTCTTCGGACGAGTTTCGAAACGTTGCAAGAAAGATCGGACCTTCATAGTTCATACTGCTCTTCCACCTCGGGATCCCAGTGGGAAGTGTGACTCCTTGCGTACCGACATTCTCATACTCGAGATACCACCAGTAAACAGAGCTGCAGTTAAGTCGAGCTTTATCTTTCCTCGCATGCATCCTCTTTCGATCGTCTATCTGGTTGCTGGCATAGATGCTGCCTGGAGCTATTCTATTCCGTCAATTCCGAATGCCGTTCTTTCCACCCCGCAGCATCCCCAGCATACTATAGTCTGCAAATAAAGATCAACTGATTAGCATATACTGCAACGGCTAGAACTAAGTCTCCACGCACAACAGCTCATTGAGATAGGGATATGGTCATTCGTTACCACGGTCCCACCACAATGGCACAGAATCTGGTCGTCTTGGGGTACATTATGCTGGGCTACTCTCACGAAACTGGCTGACCTCTACTTTGCAGTGCCGGAGTATCTGGACTGACCACAGCTCTTTTACTCGCGAGAAAGAACAGCGGGCATGGAAGTCACATCACAATCGTAGCCAAACACATGCCAGGCGACACCGACATCGAATATGCTTCGCCCTGGGCTGGCGCCGACTTCAATCCCTTCACGGCACGACGGCCTAGTGAAAATAACGAGGAGCTGCGGATAGCGCAGGAGTTCGAGAGGGTGAGCTGGCCCGAGTGGGCTAAGCTGGCGAGCGATGTCCCAGAAGCTGGCGTTGGATTTAGACGTAAGTGCCCGCCGCCAGTCTCCGTGTTGGCGCCGATCTGCTCACCAGCGCTCAAGGCATAATCCAATATCGAAGAAAGAAGGACGCCGTGAGGCCACCGAGCGAGTGGCTCGAGCCTTGTTGGGGTATACATGAGATGCCCGATGTGAGTGAACCGTCGAGTTTTGGGTGCCTGACTGCTGACCTCTTACAGTTCAGAATGCTGGAAGAAGATGAGCTTCCGGATGGCATTGATGCCGGGTTGTCCGTCACTTCTATCTGCATCAACGTGACGATATATCTTCCATGGCTGGTGTCGCAGTGCCTGAAATACGGCGTCGTCTTCAGAAGGGCAATCGTGCAAAACATCCTCGATGCCGCGGACCTCCACCACTCCGGAAAGAAAGCAGACGTGATCATCAACTGCACAGGCCTTGGCTCTCTACGCATCGGCGGAATCGAAGACAAAAAGCTCTGCCCCGTGCGAGGACAGCTTGCTCTCGTGCGGAACTCGCCTCTCCAAAACCCAACCATGTACTCGATCTCAGGCACCGACGACGGGCCCGAAGAATCCTCATACATCATGCACCGTCCGGCTGCCGGAGGCTGCGTCATCGGTGGCTGCCGACAAAGGGACAACTGGGAGAGTCAACCCGATCCAAGCCTTGCTATCCGTATTATGAAGCGGGCCATTGAGCTGGATCCTTCCTTGGTCCCGGAGGGCAGGGGTATTGAGGCTTTGAGCGTCATCCGTCATACCGTTGGTCTGAGACCTCAGAGGGAGGGTGGCCTACGGGTGGAAAAGGAGGTGATGGAGTCGAAAGATGGGAAGAAGGTCAGGGTGGTGCACAACTATGGGCATGGAGGGGCTGGGTATGAGAAGTCGTATGGGTCTGCGAAGGCTGCGATCCGGCTTGTCGAGGAGGCGTTGGTGGCGAAGTTGTAGGCGATTATCACAACAGATCTTGCCAATCCCCCAAATAACATTTCGATGCATGCCGTCAGAACTAATCTGCGTTTTCACGGTCCATGTGCAAGGCTTTGTAGTCACGACACGGTGAATGTCGATTAACTCCATGCCGTCAACCGGGGAATGCAAGCTGTGGTGATGTCGTAATTGTAGACTAGCTTGACAGTCTTCCAGTTGTCCGATCACGAGACCGGTATTGCAGTAAGTGAAGCCTTGTTTCGAGGCTGACACAACGCACTGTCACAATGATGCGCTTTCACAGCGCCACAACCTGTCGCTGAGGAATATTCTGTATCCAGCATTCTACATGTACCCTTCCACCTGCTACCGACATTAAGCCCCGATTGCTTGCATCTCGCAAATACAGCCAAGACACCTTTGAGTGCTCAACAGACATGACGAACGGCAGAGTAGTCATCGCAGGATTCAGCAGTCTTTGGCTCGCCTCATTACGACAAAGGTATTGCAAAAGCCCGGCCTCGAAGTGATTGGTATCTGTCGAGATCTTTCCAGAGTCGACCCAATCCTCTCGTCGGACTCACGAGTCACCATTCACGAAGCGGATGCAACGAACTTCGAGAACCTACGCAAAGCTCTCAAAGGCGCGACAACATTCGTGTGCTGCTACCTTGGCGAAGACTCGTTGATGGTCGAAGGCCAAAAGCTTCTCATCGACGCCTGCATCACTGAGCAGGTGCCTCGATACTTTGCTTCTGACTACTCTTTCGACTTTCGCAATTTGAAACGAGACAAGCTTCCTCACAAGGACTGCCAGATCGACATTTATGAGCATCTGCAGCAACTCGGGAAGCATGGAAAGATCAAGCCGGTTCACATACTGAACGGTGCCTTCGCTGAAGCATTCGTTTCGGCATATATGGGGATAATTGATCCTGAGTCGAAAAGCCTTCACTACTGGGGCTCAGGTGAGGAGGTCTGGGAGGTCACGACCGTGGAGAACATGGCCGAGTTCACGGTGGAAGCAATCGCTAACCCAGGTGCCACGGGGCTTCTGAGGGGTAAGTTGTTTTCACTTTGAGATATACGTTGGCAGCCTGAGTAACACCGTCCAGTGCAAGGAGACTTCACTTCCGCTTTACACCTCGGTCGACTCGTGGAAGATGTATACGACGTCAAGCTTCGATATGAGAAGCTGGGTTCCCTGGAAGACCTCTACAAAGCACTTCAGGAAAGCAAATCTGCGAGGCCAAACGAGCCCTTCGCATGGCTTGGACTGGCCTACAACTACCACATCATCAATGGGCAAACTCTAATGCGTGGTAACGACAATAGCATGTTCCCGGACTTTCGGCCGGAGACGCTGAAGGAGTTCCTGAAGACGCACTCACTTCCGGATCTGCCGAACCTTTATGCTGCGACGGCGAAGATGTAGACTCAGAGTTGATTAGTCTTTGAAGTTTGAAAGTATGGCCAGCCCTACGCCAATGCCAGTGTTCCCAGCAAAGAAAGAAGTCTAGCCTTGTTCTTCCGCTCAAAGTGGAACACGAAACACTGTCGATTATCCCCCAACTCTCCAAGGGACTAAGCTCTTGATCACATTCCAGGTTGCTCAAACAGCTTAATAGCAATGGGGATTGTTCTAGTGCGTGATGCTCGCTGCTCTATGAAATAGTGTCCATTCCCTCAGTGAAGATTGTGAGATCTTCCAAGCCACCAAAGATGTCTCGCGCATTATGTAGCTGATAATCGTCTGTGAAGGTCCCAGGCAACATGGAAAAGCTAGCCACGTGCTGCTCCAAATGCCGTAACACGTCGTTGTGGAAAAGACTCTGTCCGATGTCACTCGTCACTGATACCGCAGCATGAAGTTCACCTGTCTTGAATGCAGTCGAGTAGTCTAGGCCAGCCTCATCAATTTCCCGTCTCAGCCGTGGTATCGCTAACGACGCCGTGTAGGATATGCTTGACAATACCTCCAGAGCCGCAAGAACGACGGTGAATATGGAGATTGTGGTGTCAATCGAGAGCTTCTGCAGGCGATGTAAAAGGAGCAGTGATGATCCCGTGCGAATGATGGCGTTTGTCATCAACTCCGGGTGAGGATCGAGAAGCAAGATGTTGTGCGTTTCCTGTGTCTGTAGAGCCAGATTCAAGGCTGTGATGATCGATCGACATGCACACAGGCGCAAGTCGTAAGGCGTGTAGTATTTGTCGATGAACACGAAGTCTGGTGGTAGTGCATCGACCAAGATTAGATGCCCGAGTTGAAAATGGATTTGTAGTAGAGCTGCAAGTTGTTCGTTAGCATCTTCGCGTGAGAAAGAGGTTCCCGACTGGCTGCATTGCCGGATGAAAGACTTACTGTAGCATATTTGTGTACTACGGTCAAGAAACAGAAAGTCTCGTTGACAAAATTCCAACTCCCGTTTGCTGCGTCCTGACAGTCCTCCGCCCCTTAGAGTTTCAATTCTATGATGGGGAACGAAGGGAAGACGCCTCTCATTTCATTGTCAAAGAAATCGTTAGAGGCTTTAAGACCCGCAATCTTCCAAACGCCTTCGACCTTCTCGTAGGTGAATTGTAATACGCCATGGCCAGAGCTTCGGGCGATCTCCTTTTTGGTATCGGGGTTATACAGGACATGCATTGCTCGGATCTGTCGCCCAGCCACCGCTATCGTTGATGACAGCTGTCGTACGGTGGATGCCACGAGAAGATGCTGCGTCTTGACGTTCGGGTTTCCGAGCATATCAGGGCTTGGAAACGTTTCGACATACGCTTCTGGCGTAAGGCTGTCGTTCTTGTAGCCGAAGACTTCGGTGTAATCGAGCTATGCAAGTCAGTCTCAGGAGGCACGTTGAACGCACATAGGTTGAACCTACAGTGACTTGTGGAGCCATGATGGATCGCATTAAGTCCCAATCCTTGAATGTCTATACCGTACTAGAAGTGCCATCTCTCCGACTTTTCACAAGCGACTGCGCTGCTAATTGCACTGCAAGCTGCTTAGATAGCGTGGAAGTAACGGGGATGAATATTCCACTTTGACCGGAACAAGGAGGGTATACCGATCATGTGATCGCGAATGACAAACAAGGCTTCAGTAGAGAAAAGCTAATCGAAAACCCAACCTTGAGCACTTCGCAAGGCCGGCTTCTTCAGGAAAGACTAACAGTGGAAGTTAACGGAGAAAGGTTGAATGAAAGCTGACGATTCAGCGTTTTCCACATCCAGACAGCATCTTGTACCGGCCAAAAGAAGGGCCTGCCGAGTAGTTCTAGGCGTTTCCCCTATGTTGCTTCCCCGATGTTCTTGAACGGTGTGATTGCAATGCACTAGAAGTTCTGACTTCCAGACAAACATTTCGTAGACATTGGGGACTGAACGTCTACACTTTTTGCAGGCGAAGAGCAACCCTCCACGTCGCAATAATCAACATGGCCCGACCAGCAAACTCGGACGACCCGTACGGGTCGACCATTGTCTCAAAGACACACGATGACACATACCCCTTCATCAACCCAGAGAGAGGCACCGCGACTAGTCTCAAAGTCTTAGTTACTGGAGCATCCAAGGGCATCGGGAGGGCGACCGTAATCTCGTTTGCCAGAGCGGGAGCTTCTTCCATCGCCATGCTCGCTCGCTCCGACATGGACAATGTGGCTGAAGACGTGAGTAGAGCAGCGAAGGCAGCAGTTTATGAGGTGCCCAAGATCTTGAAACTAAGTGCCGATATGTCTGACCCTGGCGCTATCGGCAAAGCAGTCGAAATAGTGAAGCAAGAGTTTGGTTACCTAGACGTAGTCATCAATAACGCTTCCAGGCTCGAGAATTGGGCTTCGCTTGCAGATACAAACGTGGACGAGTGGTGGTTGACATGGGAGGTTAATCTGAAAGGAACTTACATCGTCTCGCGAGCTACACTTCCATTGCTGCTTCAGGGGTAATTAGAGACCATTCTCACCGTATCAAGCGCTGGAGCTTTCGTTTCCCTGTAAGAAAATGGCACATTGGAATACCATTTACTAATGTTGTGAGGATGACCAGACCTGGTGCGAGTGCGTGTCAAGGTAGCAAGACCGCTCAGATCAGGCTGAATGACTTCCTGCTCAGCGAATATGGAGACCAGGTAATTGTGTTGTCTTCGAAGGGAACATCGAAGTAATACTGATACTTGCTTCAGGGATTAATCGCTTTCGCCATTCACCCTGCAGGGGCCAAGACAGAGTCAGCTCTGAAGATGCCCGAAGACAGCCATCATTACCTGACACAAACGCCCGAACTGGCGGCGGATACGATTGTATGGATGACCCGAGAGAGGAGGCAATGGTGAGCCAACACATACCATCAAGCTAGCCATGGAGACTAATCTGCAGTACAGGCTTAGCGGTCGATTCGTATACGGACCAGTTGACATGGAAGAGTTATTGGCGAAGAAGGACGAGATTGTGCAAAAAGACCTCCTCAAGGTGAAGCTGACGGTTTGAGCTTCTTCGTTGACTGCATCCACTTATGCCATTGGAGCATGTAGTCGGTAGTCTGTCTACTGCTTAGTCCTTGAGATTCAGCGCTTCAATTACGACATGGCTGTGATCTTCTCCCTGATCCCAGACGATTGTTCAAACATGCCTTCACCAAAGCCATGAGTTCTCCGCATGATATTCCGTTATTCCTAGCTGAGGTTTCTACAAAGAGCATTCACTGTATCTCGAGCATGGAATACAACATTTGCGAGGGATGTTATTGCTTCAAGAACCGTTGCCAACAACTTTCCTGCACACCAAACTAGCAAGATCTAAAGAACAGTTAGCAACGATGTCGGGCCAACAGCATGAAACCAACGCAGGATACGAAGAAAGACGCCGGTAAGCAGAACATCGGTATACACTTACCACGTATACTCACACCTTCCCAGCCGTCGTCAACAAGCAGCAACACACGCCCGTACGCAAGCTCAAGCCGGCACCCAGAACCCAGGACGAGCCCAGCTCAGCCAAATCTTAACTACTCGGCGTCAGGAGATAGGCCGGACAGTCGTAGAGGTGTTTAATGGTGGTTACTATAGCATCGGCATCCGTATACGTGGAGGTAGAACACTACGCCTCAGCAGACACACCACAGGGTCGCAGATGAACGTCGTTAACTTCGATGGCCGGGAGTTGGTACTTCAATTCGATGACCTGGCCGAGCTGTGTGATGGTGATGGGAATACTCTGGCTTCCACGGGTCTTGAAGTTACGACGAGGGAGACTATTGGGGAGGAGGAAGATGATGACGATGATGAGAGCTTTGTAGCAAACAGCTCGACGTCTGGTGGCGATCGCAGCAACGCCAGCTCATCATCGGCGTCAGATCAAGGATATGAGGGCGACATTGGCGACAGCGACGCGGAGTCCGACTCTGAACAGGAGACCTACAGAGAAGAGATTCAGGGGCGGCCAACTTCCATCAACTTCAGCTACGAGGGCACGCTCGCATTGCTCCGAGAACTCGGCGGTGAAGGTGGCGGAGAATCCACGACTAATCCGCAAAACTTCGAAGCTCAAGTGCTGAGGGGGCTGGAAGATATTGCAGGGCGAAGTGTATACCAGGGAGGCACCCAAGAAGATCGTCCTCTGCCAGCTCTTTACCACGACAACCACGACGACTTAGATGCTACCCCTGCGTCAGCCCCTCCGCCAAGGCCTGAGCACGTGTACACCGCTCTCCGCGCCATGGATGGCGAGTGGACGCATGTGGTGCAGCACGGTAACATCAGCAGGCTTGGTCAACGTCGGGACTTCAGCCTAATAGACGACGAGGCGTTCGATGCGATGATAGACATCGTACATCGATATCGAGTCAACCCAGATGAAGTTGATCGGAACGGAGTTGCCGATTCGGCTGCTCAGGCATTGCGGGAGGCTGGAGTTGAATGGACTGAGCTCGTTGACTTTCTCCGTCGTGAGCAGAGGAGGGCAGCAGTAGTTTCGTAGGATGGTCGGCAGGTCAAATGGTGGAAATTGCAGTGCTAGTAGTAGCAAGTAGTCGCGCCCAAGATGGAACAGTTATCCCCAATTCTGGCAATGCAAGGTGAGTAGAGGCGTAGTCGCTTGTGAAGGATTGGAGAGACGGGGAATGGTGGTAGGGTCAATTTGCTATTTTTAGATGTGAATTATCTCGTGGACCGTGCTTGTTTGCAGATGAAGATAAGCCGGCTAAGGGTGTTCACATTTCAGAACGCTAGTGCGTTTTTCCAGATCGGGAAAGAGCTCTCCTTTCCACGTGACGTTCTGCTTACTTCTACCCTCACTCGTGCCTTTATTACTCTTTACTTGAGATTTCACCTAAAGCTTCACTCTTCGCTTTAGTTCTACCCTCACTCGCACCTTCACATGAAGCTTCATCCAAGACTTCACATGATACTTCACTTCAAGTTATAACTAGGTCTCGAGTCCTTTACTTGTACTTTTACTTCGAGCCTCACATGGTATCTGTTCAGCTCTAGAATGTTGTATATCCACGTGCCTCAAACGTTGAATGAGCATGTAGTCATGGCCAGATGGTCATGCACGAATTTGACCCTCGACGGAGCGTCCCCATCACTCGTAAGCCGTGTAGGCAATCCAGCGTACAGTTTAAAGCTCAGTCATTCTAGGAATCAGGCGAATGACTGACGATGCCCTGCATTGTTGCACTTTGAGCGGGACGACGACGGAACCCATTCCCATGGCCACACAGAATCCCAAAAGAACTTTCAACAACACTTACTACATCCTGCTTCTCCCATCTCCCGCCCCGGCCTTGAAGTCACAGAATCCCTACCGCTCGTCAGCAAGCCCATCCACTTCCCCGGCAAACCGAATCATCACATACCTCCTGCTGTCCCGTCGCCACAAGCCCACCCCTCACATCTCGAATCACAAACTCTGTCAGCGCCCTCTTCCCTCTCGCCCACACCAGCTTACACTCGAACAGGACCCCCTCACGCGCATCCCACCCCTCACCCTGGCAAAAGTACAACGAGTGATTCAGCGTCGCCGCCACTCTCACGGACGAAGGATGCACCGTCTTCATCCTGTCCCCGATGCGAGACATGCCGAAATCGATCCCGCACACGGTGAGGGGCGTGTCGCCGACGAAGTGGTCCGAGAGGAAGATGATGGCGAGGATCTGGGCTTGAGAAGAGGAGAGTGGACACGTCGTTTGGAGCTTGATGCGGTAGATTCGTTAGGAGATGTCCGTGTGGGGCGTGACGTGAAGGCGTTGGCAGCTGATGGGGAAATACATATTGGGAATGGGCCAGTTTGGAGGGTTCCTTGCGCGTCCAGTGGCGCCTGGTCTTCCATAGTTGGCGTCGTCTAGGTCGGGGTCGATGGACTGGGCAGCTGCGGCTCTTGAATCCGGCGAGGGTTCTGCGATGTGGTCGAACGTTTGCGGAGCCTCGTCTTGTGCTGCCACTTTCAAGAAACCGATCGTGACAATCGCTCTAACGATGCTTTCCTGCTTTACGGCAACGACCCGAATTGCTGATTTGCCACCGCTGGAGACACGTCTGACTTCGTAGCGCAGAGCCAGTTTCTTGGAGCTGGCTTTGACAAATTGCGCTTGAATGAAATGGATGCTAAAGCCCAGCGGAACAGTCTCGTGAGCTGCAATCGCGGCCTGCGCCAAAATCATAGCGCCGTTGACTGCAGTAGCGTGAGCATGGCTCCATGCCGGCCACTTGTTGTTGTAGTTGTCTTCATCCTCGAGACGAACAAGATCTAGTAAACGCTCGAGCTCAAAGTCTTTGTGTGAAGCCATGACGTGGAGCTGGTGGTGAAGGTCGTAATTTCGATCAATGGGTCATTGGAAAGCTCGGGGCTTGATCAGAACGATCTCTCGGAGCAAATGCAAAGACCAATTTGACCGCAGGGTGTAGCTCATAGAGCTCTATGTCGATGTTCTTGGGTGGGTGGTCGTTGATGTAGAGGCGGCAACGTTTGGGTGGACGGTGTTCGTTATTGCGATCCCTGGTTGTAAGCATCTGCGCTCCTGAAGGATAGCAAGGGTAAGCATGAATGATCCCTCGCACAATGGCCCAACAATGGGACACTGCAGCTATCGTCATGATGGTATACCTGTTTCGCTGGACGGAATCCCTTCGACATCTGACTGGGTAGGGCTGTGCTCCCAGCGGCGGATGGTACCTGGGCCGAATCGTGAAGGTCGTGGAATTCACTTTATCCGTGGAGAACGATCACCTAGTGCTTCATGGTGATATTAGCAGCCTTGCGCCTTCCAATCAAAAGACAGGGTTGATGGCAGAGGATCATCTCTGCCTTTGTCGCTCCGCACTGTGTCGGACGCAGGGAAGTCTCACATATCTCCTATTTCCCTCAAGCGACCGCACTTCTAATCACATTTCAGACTAGTTGGATGGCTGTCGAGAATGGGGATGAAATTTCAACTTCGAGCGGGACCCAGGGTAGCAGTGGGGGCTGCTATGCAGCCGCATGTGACCTGTTCGTCCTGGAGGTTCAAGCCAGCGTGTTAGAACCCATGTTCACGTCCAAGGATATGCGCGGCCTTTAATTCAATGATGAAAACGACAGGCCGGCGAAACAATGTTGGCCACGGCCGCCAGTGGAAGACTGCATCTGTCTCCCTTGAGTGGTACGGACGACGCTAGAGCCGTCGATAGTTGGATAGGTGATCCAGAGTGTCTGGTACTTTGAGCGATATTCTTCCCATGACCTAGGCTGTTGTGCATCGAAGAAAGGCGAATGAGTGGCTAAGTCTTCCCTCGTCGAAGTATTAAAGACCATCCGTACCACGCAGAAGAGACAAATGCAGCCTCCCACTGGCGTCCGTCGACGAGGCATGCGGGATGTCCTGTCGGCGACTGCATTAACTTGGACGAGCGTAGTCGTGTCCACGGCATTGGGTCCTAGGCTAGCACGAGCCTCAATTGTTAGCACGACAAGGAAGTTTGGGTCAGCATAAGTATTCTCGGAGGATGATACAGAATGTCCTGCAATGATCAAGGTCGAATCCGTGGCTTCGTTGCTGCCTCGCCGAAGTCTTTGGAACGACCCGTACCACTTTCAAGACGCAAATGCGTCCTTCCACTGGTGTCCGTCCATAAGCATGCCCGTCACAGCCTTTGGATGGCTGCATAGAGTTGGACTACATGTGTCGTTCCAGGGTGTCATCACGCATTGGTCTCAACCCTCGGCACGAGAAGGATGTCCGAAGTTAGAACGAGGCAGTGGAGATGCGTCTCGTGCTGAGAGTTGAGCCAATGTCGAGTGACGACCCAGTACCGGGGCCTGAAAGTCCTGTTCATCTTGTCAACGCAACAGATTACAGGCCTCCAAAACAGAATCCTCGACGGACACCAGTGGAAGGCTGCATTCGCCGGCATTCAGCGGTAGCGACAGCCTTAGGCTTCTCAGCCATACAACTCCAAAGCCATGGATACCGACTCCTTCACTTCGAACATGCCTCGGCGGCGTGAGCGCCGCACTACATGCATATCTCAACCTCACGCCCAACGTTGATAGGACGGACACAGTCGATCGAAGCCCGGGCGTTAGTGGAAGGCCGCATGTCTTCATCTACAGTGGTAGCGACGAGAGTCTGTTCCTCCATCGAGGCATCGCAATCCATGGGCCGGTGAAGGCGTGCGGTCGCAACTCGGTACTGTCTTCCCGCTGCAACGTGCCCATCTCGTGGACGAGTGGACGGGCCGTGGTACGCCGCTGGGAGGGAGGCGACGTCTATTTTGACTTCATGTCAGGCTTCGAAGGGTGGTCATTGGATGTGGCAGACGGGATAGAGGCGGGCGTTAAGGGGTGGATGCAGATGGCTTAATTTGCGGTAGCGAAGAGCGCGAGAGGATGAGATGGACGTGTTGCGATGCCGTGGGAGTCGTTCGGCGTCAGCTGCGCGTCCGTCAATCATGTAGCCAGAGGACGCATCTGAGCCGAGGCGAGGGTGACGTCTGGGTCCGATAACTGGTAGCGAGCCGTAACGTCGTTGCATGGCCATGGTATAGGGATGCGTCAGGCCACCAAGGAGTACCTACATACATGAAGGAAGGGAAGGGCCAGCATATGTAGGCGCAAGTTCCTCGGTGAGGTGTGCTCTCCCTCATGGTTCGCGCGCTCAGCCTCCAACGGCTGCGGACGCCAGAGGAAGTACGCATCGACATGGATTCCAGGTACCGAATCAAGCCCCAAGTCCAGCACAAGATTCATACCAACGACGCGCAGCACTCAGCCGGTTGGTGGAGGGAAGCGAACCGGTTGCTCGCTGGCTGCAAATGCAGAGTCTATGCATGACGACGCTGCCCACTTTCGGAGTTGGAGGGCAAAAGGATGGTGTGGATACTGTATATTTTTCTGCGTGGGCGGCCATGTCTCAGAGCAGCGTGTGGTTCGCCGCAGCACCGCATGCACATGGTGTCTGAGGTGAGGTGAGCAGAAAACGTGGGCGACTCGCGTCGGTCAGGGCTGGAAGAGGAAGGTCCGGGAGGCGAGTCCCATGGTTCTGAGGCGACGCCATCAATCTACATCGGCATTTCGACTCCGGGGTGGCATTTCATCGTCTCCGTGCATCATCTTGTCGGACACGCTGAATGGGTGATGTTGGCAGAAGCGAAGGAGATGGGCTGTGCGTTGACGATCTGATAGACCTTGCAGAGTGAACAACACCAACCAAAAGTTCCGGAGCTGGCGGGGAGCCATGCAGGTTTATATGCAGTACCACAGACATCAAGACAAGATCTGCTACTCTTGCCTTGTTGGGATACCACGATGCATAGGAGGGCCTTGATTTTCTGGGACGCCGAGGTTCGAGGCCGACTATATCTGGTGAGCGAACGCAACGAAAAGAATTCCAGGAGAAGGTGAAGTCTGCTTCCCTCGTATCCGACTGATGGTGAAGGAATTGGGCTCGAATGCAGCAGTGGTGTGTCTAGCGTTCCAACTCTTCAGAAATGCGAAGATGGGAGGCAGCACCGTGAGTGCTTCAACAACACGCCCCTGGCCGGCAGAAGAGTATTCTTGGAGTCTCAGTCCGACACAAATCCAATACGAATCAGCCATCCCAAAACGCAGGAAGAGCTCACAAAACCACCTCACCAAACCCCTTCCCAACCACCACAATTCGCCCCAAATGCATCCACCCACTAACTCCCGTCGTCGAACCACACTCTTCACTCCCAAATCCAACTCTCCAACCTCCCTTCCCTTCCCTTCCACAATCTCCTCCTCTTCTACGTTTCAACAAACGGCACCGGACCCGCCATCCGGCACATGCTCCCACGTTGGGCGCCCTCGCTACCACTACCACATCCACATCTCGCCGTTCGGCGCAGAAGCCATCGAGACGAACTCTGGAAAATGGCTGAGACAGTGCAGGAAGTTCTGAGCTGATTCTGTAGTTGTGGTTGGGAGTGGCAGGGAGGGTAGGGTACGTCACTGGAACTTGGGTGGTTATGTCCACTCGTCTCTTCTCGTATTGTACTCTTTTGCGTGGATGGAGGCTGGTGATGTATATACCATAGCCACGGACCGATGTCCTATTGTCAATTGCGTGTACCGCTGGAAAAGGGTTGTCCGTTGTACGATGAGCCGAGAGTACCGTTCATTCTCAAAGCTATTCACTTCTTCACTTCTGATCTTTTGGTATTGTTACACTTTCAGCAAAACAAAAGGAAGCCTCTTCCTCCCGTAAACGCCGTGTCATTATGCATGCCGCTTGAATATCACACTATTCTTCCTTTCAACCTTTCTGTTCAGCTACACAGCTTTTGCTCATCTTTTACTTTCTCCTCTGCTGCATGGCCAAGATCTGGACCATGCGAACGAAGATGTTGATGAAATCAAGCTCGAGGGAGATGGATTCGTTGACGGCGTCGCGTCTGAACATGCCGCGTTCGGCCATGCGGGCGTGGGCGAGGATCTTTTGCGTATCGTAGAGGGTAAAGCCGCCGAAGACAGCCAATCTGTGGAAATCATTAGCATCAGAGACGCCCAAATGTGTGTGTGGTTTCGACTCACCCTCCGTAAAGCCAGATATTCTCAGTCCACATCAGTGCCCTGGTCGCTGTCGCAGGCAAGACAAGCGGTGCAAGTCCTGACAAAGCAACAATAGCAACACCCGCAAGGAGCGGTCCACCGATGTAAAGGTACTTCTCTTGCTTGGCCGTAGCGCCAACGAAAGCAATGCTACCCATCATACCAACAGTGTAAAGACCCGCGCGGGCGAGGATGGCTGGCGAGAAGAACAGGAGCGGAGACAGCAGAGCCGCTTGGGTAACGTTGAATCCCGCCCACAAGCCGTACTTCAAGACGTAGTTCTCTGGCGGCGTCGCGTGGCATCCCATCATCGTTCCGAGAGATCCAACAAGACCGATACCTAGCACGAGCCATGGGTTTGCGGACATGAGGCGATAAGACCAGCCGTTCACATGCAGAGCGCGGGCGGCGATGCCGATGATGCCGATTCCCAGGCCGGTGTGCAGGAAAGTATCGTTCAGGTAGGATCGTTCGTATGGAGGCATGCCGCCATCTTCGCGGGTTTCGCGGTTGAAGAGGAGGTTGATGGCGAGGAGGGTGCCGCCGAAGATGGCACCGCCGTAGATCAAGCGTTGTGTGATGTTGCCCTGCGCGAGCGGGTTCTGCGGCGCGGAGGTCTGGTATGATCGCTGTGATGATCGGAAGGCTTGACGGAAGACATTCTGCTGGTTCGATGCGAAGGTCGATCGTAGGGGCGTCGACTGTTTGAAGACGGACTGCTTGACGGGTTGCTGGGCTTGGGTTTGGAATGATCGGAAGACGCTTCGAGAGGTGGACTTGGGCAGCTCTTTGACGAGCGCGTTGGTGACGGCGAAAGGCCGCCGCATCAAGAAGGCCATGGCTGCGACAACAGATCCCGGTGGGCGTTTGCTGTTGATGAGGTTGAACTCAGGACGATGATGGTCTGGAGAGCTCTTCGGTACGTCACTATTGTGCTTACCTACGCAGTGGCGGGATTCACTTGATCATGTGACAGGAAAATTCCAGAAGGCTGGGCGGTTCGTCGACTTCACATCCTCCTGGCTGCCGTTTCATGGGTCGATTTATGTTGATATGCCCATGACAGTAGCTCTTGATGAACGGCATCACTCCATCTGGTGAAACGCCGCTCTGTGCCCTTTAAATCCAAACAAGGGACTTGTGATCTCCATTACCTCAGCCGCAGGCTTCAGCATTCGAAACCAACACAAGTAGCCTTATAGGCGACTAACTTCGCACAGATCCCGAGCGGTTGCCAGTCGCAGGTACAGCCGCAGCATATCCTCCTTTCGCTTTAGCATTTCAGGTACAGTCTCTTGCTTTCCAACCTCGTATCTCTCGATTGTCAATATCGTTGCCTGCAAGCCTTGAAATACATCTCAAATCCCTTCATTCCCCAACTAAACCACTACATTCTTCAACGAACTCTTTTTAAATGGCCACACAATCCCACCTTCTCAATCTCCCAAAAGAACTCCGCCTCCTCATCTACGAGTCCCTCTACCCCCTCCACCATTCCGGCAAACTACTCACGACATCTCACCCCCAACAAACTCCCTCGCACTAACCTGCCGCCAAATCCACCACGAAATCGGCTCTCTCTACAAACTCTGCTTCCGCACCTTCTGGACGACCGAAAAGTTCCTCCTCATCCACGAAACCCAAGCCCCCGAGACTTCGCGGGAGAGGACCATCACCCTCCCGGCCAGGGAAATGCAGCACATCACCAACCTGACCCTCATCGCCACATCCGACAACCCCCACGAGAGCTTCACGGCGTATCTCGTGCACCCCAATGGCGGCTGGAGGATCGTTTCGCACGATGGGGAGACGACGTTCCGAAGGTATCGAAAGTGGCTCTGGCGGAAGGATGCGAAGAGTGAGAGTGTGGTGGTTCCTACGAAGGCGGCGTGGGATGGGCATGGGAGCGAGGAGCAGTTGACGGAGGCGTGTGAGAGGGCGACGTGTGGGGTTCCGAGGGTGAATCAGGTTTTGCATGTGTGTGGGTTGGAGTTGGTGGATCTTTCAGGGGCGAGGTGGTGAGTGGGAGGTTGAAGTGAGGACGTACGATCGAAGCTCCAATATTGTACAACAGATTGCCTAGATGGCCGGCGAGCGATGCGTGTGAGTGGTTGACAAAGAGCGAAATCGAAAAGGCTCCCTCACTGCCCTCTACACCTCAGCACAATCACTCCACCCTTGTCCTCGTATACCTCGCCATCCCCGTCACTCTCCTCCTCTTCATCCTCATCCTCCTCCCTCTCATCTGTCTCATCCCAAAACCCCCAGAAACTCATACAGCGCCCTCCTCCCCTCAAAACTCAACTCCATCCGATCCCCTCTCCCTTCCATCTCCTTAATATCCTCTTCGTCCTCCTCGTCCTCCTCTTCACGCTGGATTTCAGCTTCGGTGAGACACAAATCACGATGTGCGGGGATCCAGCCTTCGTCGTAGCGCGGGAGGCGGTTTGGGGCTGCTGGCGTTAGTCTTGCAGGGATGAAAGGCTTCTTCGACGAGAGAAGATGGGCTTTGGTTTGGTCAACGCAACTCACCGACGACCAGCGTGACGGATCGGAACTCGAGCGCTTCGCCTTCGTTGTTGTTGTCCATGGCTTAGATTCCTTTTCGTCCTGCAATAGCTCGAAAGCAAGTGGCAGACTGCTCCCAACGCGCTTTGCTGCTGCGGAGATATTCTCGTTCTCGTAAATCCAATCCCAGCTTCTCTCCACGCAAAATGGCGTTGCTCCGTAAAGCTGTCCGCACCCGTCAGCGGCGACGGCAGTGATGATGAGAAAGCGGTGGTCCGTTGGCTCGGTCGTTGCCATCTGTCAGTGACCGAACAGACCTTCAGATATACTCCCCCGAGCGGTACCATTTCGAGCGCAAGCGACATGTCTTGATTGTCTCGCCATCGACTCCCACACGTCTGTGAGATCAGATTCAGAGTCACTTTCAGACATCCAAGCGCGACAATTCTGAGCGCTGTGAGCGCTGGCGTTCGACGCGCGACGAAAGCGCACACTCACCACCATTCGCGATGTGACCGACGCGTCCAATTCGACATGAGACATGTCCTTCGGGCAAGATCGGTGTCGCCAAGATATATCGCATCGCCACCTAACAATCAAGTGAATTTGGAAGACATGTCTTCACGCACGCACGCAAGATATGCGGTCTTCAGCCCATTCGACGTCCTCACAACAATTAATCATAGCATCGTAAGGTCACATCACAATACCCGTTCGTCTGAAGAAAACACTCACGTTTGATTTGACTTACGAGGTCGGAGCTAAGCTAAGTCTGCGTTTGCTCCGTTGCAGCATGTGCAATGCACAATCCAGTTCAGAAAGTACTCCTCACCGTTGCTACAAGCTCGTGGCTTGCGTTGGTCCGTTGAAAGCACGCCAAGTCAGCAGCACCACCCATGTGAACAGCAAAGCACTTAGCTCGCGCATCCTCCCAAATTCCAAAAAACCTGTCTCTCCCATCTTCGTCCTGTTCGCCGTTCTCCTTTACGCCGTGCTGTGAAATTCATGATTGCGACAAATTGCCGCGGTTGGTGCGATGCAGTCAGCTTGGTTTCTTGTGCGATTGCCGGTGGTTGAATGGTCGACAGCCAGACTTAGCTCATGTTGGCGGACAGCCCGTCGAGACTGCGTCAAAGAAAGTCTGCTCTCGAACACTTGCGGCAATTGTGTGAAAAGAGACTTAGCTAATTCCACTCTTGGAGAGAGCGAGCCACGCCCTAGCGTGGGGTGAACTTTGGCTGGGGTTGGTAGCGACCAGCACGAGCACGCTTCTCTTCCGGGGACACCAGGTTGTCGCGGAGCTTCAGCACGCTATGCTGTGCGCACTTACCTGCAGCGACCCGGAGGGCGAGCTTAGTCTTAGCTTTCGCCTTGGCCTCGGCTCGGTCGGTGGTTTGCTGTTGGGCGGTGTTTGGAGTTGGCTCGTTGGCTGGCTGTCCAGCGTTGTCCGACGATGGTGGGTCGACGGGCTGAGGGCTTGGAATCTGCGGATACGCAACTCCTGCGGCCTTCTGGGCCTCAAGCTCGGACCACATGGCGTTGATCTTGGCAGTGACCTGCTCGCTAGACATGGCCGGAGCTTCGAAGGACTTGATCTCGACAGGCTCTGGCGTGTCGTGCAAGCCTGTTGAGGGGTAGCGGAAGCGCGGCTCTGGCGTCTCGCTCTCGGTCGAATGTCTCAGTGGCATGTGGGCGAAGATGGATGGCTTGGGGATCTGCGGGGAAGGAACATGATAGTTGCTGGAGTCGGGAGGTGGCCTGGGAAGAGCTGTCGAGGCGGTGTTGAAGCCAGGTGGCATGCCGGGCGGGAATGACGACGAGCTGGGAGAGTGGCCAAGTGGCATGCCAAGCGGCAGTGGTGACGAGCTGGGAGGGTAGCCAGGTGGCAAGCCGTTGGTGGGTGGCATCGAGCCCGCACCGTAGCCAGGTGGCATGCCGTTGAAGGACGGTGGGAAGCTTGGTGCAAATCCTGGCGGAAAGCCCGGTGGAAGGCCTGTTGGAGCATGAGGAGGTCCAGCAGGAGGAGCGGCGTAGCCCTGCACGGCGGGTGGAGTCGGGGTCGGTTGAGCTTGGGAATCTGGCACATTCTGCGGCGTGGTCGAGGTCGCGCTGGGTGGAGTGCTCGAGGTTGGTGGAGGCAGACCCAAAGCTTGGGCTTTCTTGATGGCCTCACGCTTGGCCTTGGCCTCAGCGACACGACGCTTGAGCTCTTCCTTGCCCTCGATCTTGACCTTCTTAGAGCTGCCGCCCTCGTTGCGCTCCTTGGCGGCAGCCGAGCCGGCGAGCGGATTGCCGGTGCGACGCATGTGCTCGGCCTCCATGTTATGGTAGGCGCGGGTGACTATCTCGTTGCGGGCGGCGATCAGGCTCTCGGGCATGCCGATCATGGCAAAGACCTCGACGTTGATGTCCTTGCGGTTCTCGTTGGCGTTGGGCACCTCGTGCAGGTCGGCCTTGTGGACCTGCGCCATGTGCACGCGCAGCCCGCCGACGGTGTTGAGGCGGCGGTGACAGTTGCCGAAATGGCACTGGAAGTGCTTGACCTTCTGGTGATCGACGAGGACCTTGGTGTTATCGAAGTCCCGCTCACAGTAGTAGCACCACGGACGCGCGAGCACGTCCTCGAGCGACTCGCCCTGCTTGCGCTTCTTGCCCATCGTGGCGGTTGGTCGTCGGCGGATGGATAATCGACGGACGGCGGTGAGGGGGGTGGGTGGATGACGACGGTTTGGGGTGCCGTCGTTGGGAGGTGGTGGGTGTTGGTGGTGGAGGAAGAGGAGGAAGCGCAGTCGGAGCTTGATGGCTGGCTGACGCACGAAATCTGGAGCGCGCGACCGTCGGAACTTCCCATTCCTTCCTCACTTCCGGCTTACTTAGCGTGAGCGACACATTGCCTCCTATTCTTCACTTCAATTCCCCCGACAATCACATGCTCCGTCACATCTCGTTCACTTATTGCTCATCACGGCTTACTGCAACTCTTATGATCAGACTCGATGGCACAGTCTCATGTTCAAGCCAGGGAGCACCGACAATTGTCAAGGCCAACTGGACATTGAAGACATTTCATTGGCTCGTCTCAAGAGATGGGCTTTTCCTCATTGTCTTCAGGTCGCTTGACCTAGCTGCAGAGCCCCTTCGATCAGGCACAAAACGGAAATCGAGCACAGTACGCTGGAACTCGATCAGCATGGATGGTTCTGGTGGGCCTGCTAACGTATTCGGACACATCTTGGTGCTCACATCGAGATAGAGCAAGTTCATCGCTGAACATCAATTTGCACATGGACTCGAAGTCTCACCATGATACCAAGTTCCACGGACTTCTGATTTTTGACAATTGTGCAGTCCTCCTGCGGTCTCAGTCGTACAAGAGATCAAAAACCGGGCCCTTGTACCCAACCGATACCAAGGCATCTTCGAGACATATGCATCCATCTTCGTCTTTTTGCCATCTCCTCGAAAGGATGGCGATGGTGCTTGGTTCGGAGGCCATACGCTTCGCAACCAGAAGGTGTAATGGTATGGCTTCTATCTTGCTCAGACAAGCACAGAGTGTACATGACAAACGAAGGGGGTGAGGATTGGAACAAGCTTACCAACGCCCTTGGAGACCATTCACTCCGCACACTTCAAGGTCCAGCTCGCAATGGCGTAGAAGCAATTTCTGCTTGCGCAGCCCTCGTTCCAGATCAGAGCTATACTCAAGGCTGAAGACTGGTTGCCATCTTCGTCATCGTGGCTCTGCTCATGTATTGGATTTCCCAAAAAATTTGAAGAAATTGTCGACTCTTCACGGTCGAATCACATCGAACCAGAAGCGTGGCCTCACAGCAATCCCATTCTGCCAACCACTCGCCATTCGTGCAAATCTCCGTTACACTACATACAACAGGGTGTACACATGCAAGAACACCGATTACGAGATGGTAACACGGCGACTTGTGCTGCTTTGTCCACCAATCGACAGGTGTGCCGGCAGGGAAGGTAGCTGTTCTCTAATAATTCAACAATACCAACGACTTCATAGCCGACATTCAATTTTGGAGATAGTGCAGCTCTCTCCACAACCGAATGAGCGTCTTCGCAAGGAATCGAAGCAGAAGATGCGAAATCATCTTCGTGCTCGGCGAGACAGCGTGGCATCAGAGTCTGACTGCTTGCCAGAAACATGTGCGTTCTCACTTGAGCGTCGACAGCGAAAACAGACGAGTCGCTATCTGTTCGCCAACCTTGGGTGAGTGTTTGAAAGAACCATCCGCCAAGTTCGGCATGTTTTCAACACACGAAGACGCACGACGGTGACTTCGCAGCACTTCGTATGACCACTCTTCGGGGCTGTGTCGTCGGCGAACTCGTCATTGTGGCTCTGATAATTTTCGTTGCATCGTGGCTGAGTCTTGAGAGATTCCAAGAAGTTGTCGACTCTTCGCACGAGCCAATCAACGCGGACGGCGACCGAAGGCGACAGAGAGCAGTCTAGACTCTAGAAGCATGCAGGGCTCATGCACAATTGCTCCTTTGTGGCTCTGCCCGTAATAAAAAAGTGAGGCTTCGACGGCCATGTCGCGGAAATCCTCACCTCTGCTTGTGCACCAATCACAGGTTCTGACAAGATATGCCATCGATAGCCGCCTCAGTGAACCTCAGGTCAATGAGAGACTCACGTCGTTTTCCCCATCCAAGATGAACCCTCTTCAGAAGTGGCAAGGACATGTTTACGGTCGATTATGCTGATGCCAACAGAAGACTGCGGTCGCAGATGCGATGGTGACCCACTGAAGAACTGAAGCCTCCTGTACAACGCCACAAAGCTTTGAGGTCGTCGTTGCTCAAGTTTAGTTCGGAGAACAGGCCCGGCCGTGATGTTTACCACATGTGGGCAGATACGCGCCGCTTTGTAAGGCTTCGCCAACCAAGACCTAAGTGCTGAAGGATGAAACACATACCCTAACTGAAGTTTATGCAGGAAGTTAGCTCGGTGTTAACAGGACTTTCCGTCCGCACTGATAGACGAACAGGAAATGGCCTATCGGGGTCAGTGGTGGTTATGGGCTACGAGAAATATACCTTGTAAGCGTCATCTGTGTTCATCATCAACGAAGGAGAGTGATGAGGCCTATATCTTCCTCAACGAGCGTCTTGAATATGACTCTCTGCTGCCACAATCTGACCCATGACCGACTCCGAACATGCAGCACTTTGCAGTCCTTCCTAGCTTAGCGGTCCTGCTGGCCTCGACTCTTGTTGCCGCAACCCACGTGTCCTTCGTCGACTCAGAATACCCAACTCCAAACCTGGTAGCCGGTACCTGGTCCCTCGCCACCGCAAACATAACTCAAAACGGCACAACAGCCCCAGCCTTCGGCGACCACCCCGTTGGAATCCTCATCTTCGCCCCAACGCTCTACTTCAGCGAACTCATCACCGTCGACCCCTCCACCCTCCCCGTCTTCACCTCAAATTCAAAGACGAACGGCACAGCAGCAGAAAACGCCGCCGTCGTAGCAGGAACCCTGGGCCAAATCGGCAACTACACAGTAGCCTCGGACGGGACTTTCAAGAGCGAGGTGATCATCGCGAGCACGTTTCCGAATTGGATCGGGCTGTACCGGAATACGACCGCTCTCAATGAGACGGTGGATGGGACGGGAAGGCTCATGCATGAGATGTTGCATGATCCAGGGACGTCGACGAGGGTGGAGATTTTGTGGGAGAGGGTGGGCGGGCACGGGGGGAGGAACGAATGGCGGTGATACATGCGAGGCTATGAAGAAGCTTCGACACACGCTATATTGAAGATGCAGGAAGTCGAAGGCCATCGAGTCTATTGATTCTGCTCATCGCTTGTCCACCAAGAACGTCTCTCTCGCCGGCGGAGGACAGCCGATCCTGCAGAACCTCAGGGGCATGTGACTGCTAGATCTTGCGATGCAAAGCTCTAGATAATGCGAGGGTCTATGTGTCGTTAGCCTTACATTTGGGCCGATCTACATGGAAAGAAATCCCCTGCACCAATCATTGTCTGTATTGCGGCTCTGCCCTCACGTTGCCTTGTTCTGAGAATCTCGAGAAATATTTGTTTCTCCCTATAAACCAATCAGAGGATGGCTCAGTCCATACACACTCGCTCGCTTGGATACCATGTTACTGCAACGGGGAGATGGGATCACGAATGACACTCGTTTGGAGCTATCATAGCTGTAGCAGATCTCTTTATATGGTGCATATGATGGCTACGAAGACCCATAAATGCAGAAAGCGAAGCGCAGTAGCTGATACTACTGCTGCTCTTGTTATCAGTTAGAAGTGACTGGTTGAGTCGTCCATCGTGGCTCTGCTCTGTCTTCTCTTTGGGGTATTGCGTTCCCGGTGTTTGAGAAAATGGTCAACTCTCATCGTGAACCAATGGGAGTGTGGCTGAGAGGTGAGCTTTGCTGCTTTTGCAGTCGTGGAATCTTTGTCCTTTCCAGGCCATATTCTCCTTCTGGTGTGGAGAGAATCTCACATTGTAAATTCCAGTAAATTGGCATCGATTTTCGACATAGTACTCTCTGGTACTATGTGGCTTCAATCAACAGGAGAGAGCATTTAGCATCGGACAGGCTCGTCAGCTTGTCTATTTTCCGGGCGGACTGTTTCGGTTCGATTTCGCGCTGCAGCCTCGTCAGTGCGGTCTCGAAAAGTCAGTTCAAGTCTTCCTTCACTTTCGCTTTCGCCTTCAACATCAGGATGCCTTACATTCAGAGTGGTTCTGCTCTCGCGTAGGGCTACTCGTAGGGCTATCTCGAGATCAGGAGAGCCGGAAGCTCCTCAAACGCACCAATCACAGCCGCATCCTTATAGAGCCCGGCTACAAGCTTACACAGAAACGATAAATCTGATTCGTTCGTGCGAAGAGAGGAGCTTTGTCTCTCGCTCTGTCCGTGAAGGATTCCGGACGTGCATCTTGCAGAGCCACCTCCAGAATGGAAGAGACGTTCTGGTTGGTTCGTGCACTGGAAACGACTTTTCATGAAAATTCGACTGAGCCGCTTCACCGGATGAGCCACCTCCGCACCATCCATCTCTATGTCTGGGCCACATAGTCCTCAAAGTCCTAAAATGAGGGCATATCCCGATTCTAACAATATGTCTCAATGAGAGGTAATACAGGTGAAAGCCTAGGCCGCTCGACCTATCGGCAGCAAGTGAATAGATTGAAGTTGTTCAGAGTACAGCAACAATGCGTTATAGACAATCTACGTGCTCACGTTGACCACACTATTCTCTCTTGCTGCTCGGGTCAGATAATTGTGCCGAAACCGAATCTTAGCTGTTGGAAACAACATCAAGGGTCAAGACTGAGGTCTACATAACACACGATCATTAGCCCGTGCTCGGCACGCAAAGCTCAGCAGCAAACGACTTACATCGGCCGGGACAGCATAACAGCCATCCTCGTTGAAATTCTGACCAATAACGTCGTAGTTCGAGCAGACCTCGTCCGAGAACAGTGTCACGGTGTAAAGCCCCGTAATGCCTTGAGCATAGACGTTGTGGATCTTCTGCTGCGTGAATGGGACCGGTTCGCAGTACTCCGTCTCAGAGCTGACGGAATAATTGATGTAGTCGCTGTCTACTGGGTCGCTGGCCGGGCAGCCGTCGGCAAAGTAGTAGATGTACCTATTTCCCAAGGATATGTCAGTTCTGATGAAAGAAAATGACCATGGGCTGATAAGCTGACCAGGTCCCTTTCTCAGTGAGGACGGTCTCGTTGACAGGGATGGCGTGCACAGCTCGCAGCGCGAAGAGCGTGGCGAGAGCAGCGATTGTCGACTTCATCTTGGACGTGAAGATCGGAAATCAGGGCTGTTCGCGATGTTTCTGGCTTAGACGGTGTCGAGGAGTTGGATAGTTGTTGAGATATCGACAACTGGAGGCCCTTAGGTATCCCTTTATATACAGCTCATGCAATCGACAACGTCAACGACAGTATGATTCTTGCCACCGTCATGATGATGTTGCGGTCGATTGTAGATGGCGTTGCAACCTCGTCTTCCATCGTGTCTCTCAACAAAATCTTGAACTGCACCCATGTGGACCGGATGTCCGACAGACCCATATGATCTAGGAGCCACGCCGTTCACGAAGGCACGTGGCATGATCCATGGTGTTCGTAGATCTTCGTGCGAACCAATACCCAGCTCATGGTTGTCAAAGCGTGACCTCGCGCTTTGCGTCTATACGTGGGCAATGCCACAAGTTTCCACTCAGGGTATCATCGTCAGATCTTTCGGAAGGAAAGGGAGATTCCCAAATCTAGCCTAGTCGCGGATCTCGTAGGCTCACGTTACATGAACACCAACAGTACGTTCTCGGAATTTGGCCACGGTGGGCTCCCTCGCTAGATGGGGGTTGCCCGACAGCCTAGCATCGGGCGCGATCGTGCTTCGTCATTGGTCGAATCAACCATCTTCTCAATTTGTATGGCCTCGGCCGAGCCTTGTAGCCTGCTGTGGCATCCTTCTGGAGGCCAGTTGCCAAAATCCCTCAGTATAGTTCACGGCTCCACCGCATAGGAAACAGACTGTCACAACAACAGATCTTGGTAGCGCCACACTACCAAGGCCACTGTTGCACGTGTCTTCGATCCTGCACGTGTCTGTCTCCATAGTGTGCCTTGCCAGGTTTTGATTCGATATGTCTGTCTTTGTGTGGGGACTTTAACGACATTGCGATCATCGAACGAGTTGTTGCGTTGATGGTTGAGGATCTTGTGGCAATTAGCTCTCTGCACACACTGCTGTGATACGTCCAGTGCTCTTGCAGACGAGCGCTGAGCGCGTCACAGAGAGATCTTCAATCCAGAGGGAGGTGGTGTACACATGGTAGGCTAACAGGGCAGGCCCTCACTGCCCCAGAGACTGTCGGGAGAGCAGACTTGACCAAAACCTCTGCGTAACAGGGTCGTCTGTACGACACAGGGCGGTATCAATGGTCCAGCCTCGAAGGCACTAATGCCATCGGCTCTTGTTGGTGATTTTCGAGGAGTTGGTGGTCCACCTCGCGCTGTCACCAGTAGGTCGTGTGCGGAACCACTCACTTCCGACGCGCAACGAAGGAAGACAAACCGCATCTCAACGTCGCTAGACCATGCATTGCATTTGAACGGCGAATAACCTAGCTGTACTCAGTTTGCCGTTGATGCCGCTCACGGCTCGACGTTACGTTGACGAATTGAACAGCGGCTGACGCCCCGGTTGCGTTGGCTGCGAGGCGTGGATATAAAGTCTTCCAGAAAGTACGTTTTGATCTCGAGAAACACCCAGCCACACCATCACAGCAGCATCATTGACCTGATTCCCCTTTACTTCTCCAATCTCAAAAACAGATATGCTTCGCAACGTCGCCGTTCCGTCCACTCTTGTGGCACTGCTCCTCGTCCAGCAAGCGAGCGCAGTTCCCGACTTCACCTTCTGCACCGATGAGCAATGCACCGACTGCCCCGTCAGCGTAGCAAGCGAAGGGACCGGGTATCCCAACTGCGTGATCTACAACTCTGATGACATTTTTACAAACCAAGGCTTCTCAGGAGCCTCAGGAGGTGGCACCAGCGCATACCTCGACATTCCAGACCCTGGCGATGGTTGTTACATCATCATTAAGACGCCAGCCGACACCACTATGGCCGGATGTGGTGTTCCAATCGGGACTTACTCGCAGGCCACATGCTCGCACGTGGCTCTGAAGGAGACTTTCATGGTCCAATTCTGCTGTGGAACAGGCGACTGCACGGCAGCTGGAGCGGAGAAGCGATCGGCAAAGTTCCGGGCTTCTGAACTTCTCGACAACAATGGCATTGTCAGTCTTGGCGGTTTCATCCATCCTAACGGAACCGAGATCCAGCCTGTTCAAGTGGGCACTCCACCTGGACAGCAGAACCCAAAACGGGCCGCAGCCAAGACCAATGAGACACTTGCGAAGCTGAAACCGCGAGCTGCCGCCTGTACTGCCGGAAGCTGGGTCCCGGACGACAACGAAGTCGAGTACACACAGCCAGCATCCAGCTCGGAAGTGGTCGCCGATGGCGTGACAGGAGGCAGCTCTATTGAAATCACAACCAGTCGCGAATCATCCTGGTCCACCACGCTCTCAGCTGGGCTTAGTTTCGCCGACATTGTCAACATCGGCGTGTCCTTTACTCTAGAAGAGTCTATCACAGACTCCAAGTCGTACACCTTCAATGTCCCCGACGACGAGAACGGCGATGTCGATTGGACCGCGTTCCTAATGTGTAGCACTGGTAAGTCCCCGCATCTCAAGAAGCATTTCGGTCATATTGCTAACGCAAGGGGGAACTCAGGTACCGGCCAGTGCAACGGCGGCTCAGTCCATGGCCAGATTTGCAGCCCATACCGGTTTGAGTCGGGAGAGCTGGCTGGGATGTATTCCGTGATTGCGACGTCCTAGAGTCACCGACGAGTGGACGTAATCGAGAGCTGACGTCGCGAGTGCGAGCTATCGAAGGATCAGACTGGCGAACAGTGTTTGAGCCACAGGAGAAATGGGAGGGGGTGAGCAACCAGAGTTAGATGTCACTCGTTCATTGTGTATGTGGAGAAACTAGGTGTCGAACTTCCAATCCGGTGCTTTGTAAGCCTCTGGTTGAGTGAGATCAGGATTCGTCTTGATCTGAAATATCATAGTCAGAACGATGTACCAGAAGTGAGCAAGGTGAGGTCAGGTTTCAAATGCGGACGGGCCCGAATTGTCCCAATCCGTCACTGGAGCCTGAGGCATCAATAAATTGGCGAAGTACCCTCAGCACCTTGTACCCTGCAGAGGGAGAATGGTAAGCTCTCTAAAGATCTGCAAAATGTAAAAGTGAGGCGAGTAGTGCGATCTGTCCCTTCCCCATTTAGCTCTAGATCAGCGCGGGGTACAGAACGTCATGTGCATACGGGGAGCGGTTCGACCAGCAATAACGACCGTCTAGCCTTTGCGCAAAGATCTCATGGAAATCTGCTTTCGGAAGGGAAAGCGCTGAAGATCAGGCTTAGTCTCCGCTCCCCGAATGCATATAACGCTCTGTATCAGCGCCAACTCTCCAATTAGAAAAGGTGGCTCTGCGTTTTAGAAAGTGAGGCGAGCGCGATGATCGTCAAGATTGGGGAATTTTCCAAAGCTGTAAATGAACCAATGAGAGCATCGCAAGCGCAGGATCGTCTTGATCGTCCGTTCTGGCAAGGCTGCGCTATGACCGTACATGGCTTGAATCATAAACTCTGCTCAAGTTTACTGTGGCTTGCGTCCCAAAAAGTCGACGATTTGAGGAAAAGAACCGCTTCACTCCCGTGATATCCAGTATGGAACCAGTGATTGGCTCACGCCGAAGAGCTAAGATTTCCTGAGCTTTGTGGGTGGTTAGAGGCTCAGCTTTCTGCATTCGTCTTCCATTGGCCCGTCCGAAGAGCAGCAGTCTTTCCCAAATTTTTGAGGTTGGGCGGCCTCCAGCAGAGCCACACAAACCGCGTTAGGCCATGCAGTGCACCCTCACTCGGCCTCGATTGTCAAATGGTTGGCCCGCACGAAGAGCTGCGGCAGTCGCCTCAATGCAGGCGTCTAGTGATGCAAGGAGCCATCTTATCTACCTTGATTGGCTCACTGGAGAAGTTGTGGGATTGTTGAACTTTTGATCCTTGGGCGGCCTCCAGCAGAGCCACAGAAACTACGCTAATGCATGCAAGTAGCTGCAAATCCACGAAAGCGCTCGATCTTCTCTATGATGTGATTCAGAGGCCGCTCGCGAGGGAACAAGAACTGCAGAAACCCACAGCTCTTCACACTTACCAGAACCACGATACATGCGTGGTGCGATGCACTGCTGGCCTTGCCACTTCGAGGCCGCGGGTTGGAGACTCCCATCGAGAGTACGGTGAAAGGTGAGCCTCCAGAACATCTGAATTCTCTCAATTTCACCACGAGGTGTGCCAGAGACTGACTTGGAGGATACTTCGTGATGACTGTCACCAACAACGATGTGATGCTAAGAACACCATGCCGATGGGAAGAGCGCAATAACTCGCAGAGATGATTCTGTCGAACTGGCTACTGCCAGTGCGAGCGAACAGCCCAAGAAGGACACGACTTGCAAGCTGTATCATATGTGATTGGTTCACGCCGAAGAACTTTGGCAATCGTCAGTCCTGGCTAAGCCAAGTGGCTCTGCAGTCACATGAGGCCGCCATGTAGAACTAGCAAGCAGGCACAGCAGAAGCCCCAGTGATTGGTTCATGGCTCGACTCGCAAAATTCTCAGAGCTCGGAGGTGTGCTGCTGCCTACTGCAGAGCCACTCTCGTGGTCAACCTGCCTGCTAGCAACTCTCGCTGTATGGGATTGCGGTATGAGTCATGTTACTATTCTTGCGTTTGAGGAAGACAGCTCTCCTTCTATAGCGATATGACTGTCCTTGGCCAGCCTGCTCCGTTGCTGCAAACTCGGAAAGTGTCAAGCTCGCGATGCCTCTCCTGCTAGCACTCTGTTCGGCCCTCCCACTGATGCGTTGTACGTTCTGTCTCTCCTAGACCTGTTCGCTCGAGAGCACCAGACAGTCCATTTTGAGGGTCGAGTCGAGACAACAAAGAGCATAGAAAATGCCGTCGAGTAGCAACCAAAGAGGTATCCTCCACAACGGGCCAATAGAAGGTGGCCGGCATAGAGGTGCACTAAGAACGACTACGTACCAGTCTGGCACCGAGAGTTGTGGAAGGAAGACAAGTGCGTTGGAATCTTTGGTGTGACTTCCTATATCACCTCAGTGCACAAACATAGCCTAACGCTTGAGCGATGTTCTGCTCGTGACATACTCTTCCAGGCCTCCTCTGTGACTCTGTGGATGAAATGTTCGACCGGAATCGAAGGGAGAATACTAACGGCCTTCAAAATCGCCCAGATAGTCCGAAGGTCGAAAGCCCGTCTGCTGATAGCCGCTAGAGCTCGGTGCTTCTCCATATGCATACATCATGCTCGCATCTTGGGGAGGAGTGATAAAGACAGCACCAGAAGCCGGCTCGCTATAGGCTGGAAATGGGCGGAGATCTTGACTCTGGCCTGATCCCAGACTGTTAGTAGGAGCTGAAGACTCCCAAGTCGAGCCTGAAAGAGCCGGAAATTCCTGTCGTGGTCCTTCCAGAAGGAAATTATCCATTGCCGCGATTCCAGACGGAGTAGTGGCCGGGGCATCGTATTCATTACCCATTGAGACGTCTCTCTGATGTCTCAGGGTCTCCAGGCGCTGGATCTCCTTCTTTTCGTCTAACAAAGGTCGTCTGCAATTCTGCCCAGCTTCAGAACGGAAATGACGACGTAAAGCATCGTCTCGTGCAAAGCGTCTGTGACAGCCCCAAGCACCGCCGCGCATGAGCTCCCCGTAGCAGACAAATTTCCTTTCGCCACTGTGGAGCTCCTCGTGTCTCTTGCAATCACGCTGCCTGGCGAATTTCTTGTGGCACACTTTGCACTCATACTCTCGAATCTCCGTGTGCGTCTTCATATGTGATCGGAGCCGGAAGGCTCGAGGGAAGCGTTTGTGACAGCGGTCGCACTCATAACTCGAGGGTCTTTTGCGTCTCCGTCTAGTAGGTTCAGCTGGTTCCTTGCGTTGCTGCTCAGCAGGCTCGCCATTGGGTCTTCGTTGAGCATTGCGCGTGTCTGCCCGTTCGGTGTTGGTCGCCTTTTCGGCAGGTTCCACAGTCTCTGGGACAGTGTCACCTTCCTCTGGTTCATCATTTTCTTCGATGATGGCGGGAAACTCTTCCTCTGTGAGACCAACGCTGTGCAGTTCGGTAGCATGCTTGGCGAGGTCCTTTGCAGTCGGGAAGCCAAGAGTAGCGTACATGCAACCAGGAGAAGAACAGTAGTGCGACCGCTCGTGCTTGTCTACGTGAGATGTTCGACTTTCCTCATCCTCAAAGCCTTCGTGGAACCACTTGCAATAGACTCGTGGGCATTTGTATAGCTGGTAACCGTAAAACCGCTCAAGTTCGTCTGTGTAGTCCTGCTGGAGAGCCATGCTTTCCATGATCGAACGGACCCGAGCCAAGGTGGCAAAGACATCTGATGTCTGTACCGCTTCCAGATCTGACAGGTTCGTTGACATGAGACAGTGCATAGATGACATGCTGTCCTTGACTTTTTCGTAGATCGACATTGTCTCGATTTGTTTCGTCAACTCCAAGATGCGCTTCGTTGGCTTACTTCGTTTCCGTGGCTCTCTCCAATGTAGCTTAAAGAACGTATGGAGGGCTTCGGTAAGAGCCGCAGGTAATTCAGGGTCTTGGGACAGACTCAGAAAGTGCTCGAGATGTGTTGTCCATGAGATCATGGCGTACTCCATGAAAGCGTATGAACCAAGCAAAAGAGCACTCCGTACTTCGTGTTCGCCCCACGCTGTAGAAAAGGCTGGCATATTGAAGTAGTTGAGACAGAGTTCTGCCATTGTAGCATGCTCCTCTTCTGCTTTGACATAGCCATTGTTGAGCAGGTACCTGAGACTCTTGCATTAGCAATGAGAAAGGACTCTAGAAGGGCCAACTCACGGTTTGACAGTGGAATGCACGAACGACACGTCACCATTGGGCAGTTCTTCGATGAGAGCCCCGCATAATGTCTTTGAATCTTTCGAGAGTTGGTGACTGTCGAAGTCTACCATTTGGAGGTTCAGGTCTATCGACACAGCAGCTTGGATCTCCCGCCATTTGAGCACTCTGCCTGCGCAGGCTGTCCACGCGAGTAATCTTTTGGCGTGTTTGTGGTAGGGCCTAGGTGCTCGAACAAGGATTCTGTCGATGATTCGAGCATATCTAGCGTTCTTGTCAGATGTGCTAAACCATCAAAAGTATGGCAACATACGCATCGCTGAGCTCTAGCGGGAACATGTCCGGCTCCACTTCACGCAGCAGTTCTGCTTTCGTAACTTGAAGCGACAAGTTGTGCATGATGAGCTTCGCAAAGAGGAACATGCCTTGCGCACGACGCGACGTCTCAGATGCAATGTGTGCTTTTTCATAAGGGGCCAGACTGAACTCCTCCTGAAGACTCTTGGCAGCTGCGATACAGTAAGATCGGATGTCGTTATCATGGTGCTCTCCATGAACTCTGATGGTGGGCAGTCTGCAGAACAACGGTCTCGTCGTAGCATCGTCTTGACCAAATAAAACACATCGACTTAGTTCCACATCAGAGCCCGAGCTTTCGATGTAGTTCATCCAGAACTTGGCGATATGCTGCTGCTGCTCGCTCGGCTGGCACTCATCGATTCCATCTATTATCACATAAGTCTTTCTCACGGCTTTCAGGCATGTCGTCAGCATCTCTTTTGCCAACTTGACGGTGCGGAGGCTAGATTCGCCCCTCTTCGTAGCGATTTCAAACAGATACATCAGGAGCGTGTCGTCATGCAACAGAAGCTGGTGTAAGATGGACCTAGCCATCCCCAAGAACGAGCTTTTTTCGGGGTCATCATGTTTGCAGTAGAAGAAGAGCGTGGTTGTGTCTGGCAGTTTCAAGGCCTCCTTAATGACCACGGAAGCCAAAACAGACTTTCCTGTACAGAAGATGCCACGTCAGCACTGCGAGGGCACTCGCTTTGCAAGGTACTTACCTGCTCCCGGTTTTCCAGTCACCCACAGCAATGGAGGCGACGCGGACGATGGGTCGTACCAGGCACGGAATCGGGCAGTTCGCAAGAGCCACTGTCCATTAGCTGGGCTGTCCTTGATCAAGTTTTGTAGATGTTCATAGTCAGACATCGAGTTGGGCGCACAAAGCCAATTGAAGAGATAAGTCCTTCGGCGGACAACCTCGTCCGCATCCAGTTTCTTGAAGTTTTCTTCCGTTCTTATACGTGCTTGTCTAGCCTCTTCCAGAAGCTCTGAGAAACGATCGCGGTTGTCTTGCCGCCCTTGTTGAGCTTCCTCGAGTTCGTGGGCGTTAACCATGGTCTCTACCAACGTGGCATGTCGTCGTATGTCCAGAATAAACCCATTGAGTTGAGTCTGGAGCTGATTCCACGAAGAGGAGAATAGCTGCCACCAGGCTGAGTTTGATGTCAGCTAAGCAGCAGGCATGAATACGCTCAACACGCAAATGAGTACTCACCGGGCTTCTTGAAGTAGTGCAGCGTAAGCCTATGGAATTCGAAGACGTTGCGAAATACGACGCCGACAATCTCTGGTTGCTCATTAGAAGACAAGGACTTAATGTTCACGATGGGAGGCAGGCTCCCGCCCAGTTCCTCATATTGCGATAGAAGACCATCGAAGGCCTCAGACCGGCGGATCGTGGCCTATCCAAAGTCAGCGATCGAGTCGAGACAGTCTTTTGTTGGCAAGCCATACCTGAAGAAGAAATCTCATGGAGCCCTACAGAGATCAGTCACAATGGGAACGGTAACACAAGCTAAATGGCTTACCCAGATGAGCCGGACATTGTTGGGTTGCCCAACACAACCATCCAGAAGTTCTCCATATCCGTCCACGGCGTTCAAGAAAGCTCGAAGTCTGGTCATGTTCTGCAATGTACCCGTTGCCCTCTGCTTGTTCTGGATGGCAGCAATAGTGACATTCAGCTGGCTGAGTTGCGTGCCGGCGAAGTCGTTCTTTTCGGCATTGGTCAACTCCCTCTTGAACATCTTGATGGATCGTTGCAAAGGCGACTCCTCTGCATCAAGCCCTGCATCAGGCTCAGGCAGATTTAGATCATCTCGCACATCTTCTTGAACAACGTAAGCAAGCCCTTCACTTGTTTGCTCTGCGTTGTCGAAGGCTGGACCGTATATCGGATTCGGAAGACTGCTGTTGTAAGACGCTGCTATCTTCACGGCTTGTGAAACTCTGGTCTCGATATCGTCACTTGAAAGTCCGAGAATCCGATTGAGCATATCGCAATACATGCGACTTTCGTACTTCAAACTTTGGAGACCTCTCGATCCCGCATCTGCTCTCCAAAATGAAACGATGAGAGCAGCGGCAGCGTCTACAAAGAGTTGCTGCAGAGAGCTCTGATAATTGGGTGATATCATCTGCCTCCCCTCATCGTTAAGCAAGCCCACTAGGGCATAGACTTTGTCCTTGCGGTCGCCGCACTGCTGAGACATGAAAGCTGGCATTGCTTCATAGAATGGGAATCCTTCCCGAAGCGAGATGGAGGCATTGCCGTTTGAGACAACTTTTTCTCTGGATAGCCATTCATTGCGGTGGTGGAAAAGGCGTAGCGCGGACTGCCAGCCATTGAAGAGTCGATCGTCTATTGCTCGCTCGAATGAAAAATCCTCGGGTCGCACAAAAGACCACGCATCCCACCAAGCAGCATCTTCAGGAGTGTCGAAGAACTTTCTGGGAAGAGGTAGCTTCGTGAGTTGAATGAGCTCATCCAGTGTGAAAGTCGAAGTTCCACAATGGAGTGTAACAACATTGCTCAAAAGTAGCTCTTGTACAATCCATAATCTTTGCCAGTAGTTTCGAGAGAACAAGAAGCTCAGGCCAATCAGAGATTCTGTCTCCCAACGAGAACGCATGAAGTCCCCTGAGAGCTGCCTTCGCAACATCTGCACCATCAAGTCTTGATCTGGATGGGGAGTCCCGAGCCAAACATGTGTGTGGTCGGCATTGCTGTACACCGAAGACATCAGCTTCACTTGCTCGCCGCGTTCAGCATCGTCTAACTGATTCAGACAAATTGCATCGATATAGATTGGCATGTGGATCGCAAGATCTTGGATTGATTGGAAGAAGTTCCAGAGGTTTGTCCGCACCCAGAATGGCTGATTATCGACATAGATTTGGTGGATGTCTCTCTCGGTCCTGGCCTCGCCCCAACAATATGAGAGTGTGGCATAGTTCGTCTTTGGCAGTTCAGAAACGTCCACGATTTCCAGATCACATTCAATTTTTGGCGATAAGGACGCCGAGTTCCTGACCGACAGAAGCCGAATCTGGCTGCTGGAAGCGATCCATGGATGTTGAAAGGAGGCGTTCTTCCCACGGTCTTTGGGGGTGCCATCTTCGGTCTGGGAGTCAGCTAAAACCACACCCAAGAAGCTGCTCATATTAGCGTTGTCTGATGTGAGTAGTCCCTCGCCCCATCAAGAAAGAGGACTTGGGGAGCAGAAGAAGGCGAGAAAGGCTGGCCTGGCAATGTGGACACTTCGCTAAGCGCTGGGGCCGCCTGCAGCTCAGGCGGTGCAGCGACGCAGCCGCAGCCTCTTGCGGCTGAGCCACGACAAGGACATCTTCTGCCATCGAGCCTCTCTTCGGACCGTAGCAACATGTTGCCGAACACCATGAAACGGCCTGGTGAAGTGCTCGTACGAGGAGACGAGGTGGGAGAAGACTTGGGGAAGCGTCAGCGACAGGAGGAAGACAGCGAGGGTTCAGCGGAAAGTCTTGGCAGCGGCAACGACGGCGACGTCGGACCGCAGTATCCGAACAGTAACACCACCACAATCCAGACGCCGGAGAAGGACTCTTTCCACCATCCTCCACCAGAAATAGTCGTAGTCGACGATTCTGATATTGGAAGAACTGTTCGTCCTGATGCCGATGAGCACCCCAGCGATGGCCTCTTCATCCCTTCTCCCGGAGCCGGTAGTACGAACGCCGCCTCTTCGCTCAGAAGCACTCCGATCGCTGAGGATTCAGCAAACTTGGTTTGCTATGGAATGGTAGTTGGAAGCAAATCAGAAGCGTTTTTCTGATACTAATTGTATCTCAGGTGCTACAGATCAAGTGCCAGCGTCTCTCTGGGGCAGCACAACCCAGCGAGCCAAGCCCTGCTGATAACGAGCATGAGTCTGACTACATGCCCCTTGAGCTGGTTGTGAAGCGCGGAAGGCTAGTCGTTGGCCCACCTTCTTGTCCAGAGCTGGCTCATATGAACTCAAAAGCTACGTTCGTGCTGCTGGAAGCTCTCAAGTACGGCATTAAACTTCAACTCTGGGTAAAACGCAACGATCTACATCCAGCACACCCGGAGGAGTCTACACAGAAACAACCCGAGCTTCTGTATGTGGACGCCAACGTCCTCGGCCCAGAGGATGCCAGTGAAGATGTAGGCCGACTTCTTTCAAAACATGGCGTCTACTTACAGGATCCCCACTGTCCAGACAACGCCATGGAGTACACAAATCCCCATTTGATGGTTCTAGATGTCGAACAGATCGATATCTGGTTTCAGGAGCTTGCGATGGACTCTACTGGCGGGACTAGTAAAGCGAAAGACAATACGGACTGGAACGTCGTGCTCGATGACCTACCTCAGCAGCGCACTTTCAACGCGAATGCAGTTGAAGTAGATACGGCGATCGTTACTACCCCAGCTTTGCCGTATGTATTCGAGTTCCCGTCGGTGTGAGCTGTGTTGACATGTGATGCGATAGGCACCAAGGAGAGGCGCTCGATTTCATGTGCAAACGAGAACTCGGCGGCGTCCTCATGGACAATGAGCTGAAGTATTGGCAGCTGGACAGGAACGAGGACGGTGTACCAGTGTGAGTTCCATGTGAAGTTCGAGTACTGATGTCAAACTTACTTCTGCCTCAGATATCGCCACACCGTCACGGCAGACGAACAGTATTCACAGCAACCTGAGCCACACAGCGGCATTCTGGCCGACGATATGGGACTTGGGAAAACATTAACTAGCATATCACTGATTGCTTGCTCTCTGGACCGGGCCAGTCACTTCGCGAATGAGACTCTGAGCCACACTGATCGTGAAAATGGGGCGCGCTCGAGAAGTCGAGCTACGTTGGTTGTGGTTCCATCTACCCGTGAGCACCCATCTCTCTCTTTAGAGTCAAGATTGTGTGCTAACCACAAAGCAAGAGCTGATGGACTCTTGGACAGACGAGCTCAATACGTAAGGCCGTGCACACGTTGGTCCTTTTAGATGTCGCTGCTGATCGATTGCCAGGCATACATCGCCAGGTACCTTGAGAATCTCGAGATACCACAGCCACAATCGAGTCCATGATTTCTCGGATCTGTTAGACTACGACATTGTACTCACCACTTACGGAACAATTGCCACTGAGCATCGGAAAACCAGACGACGCGTGCTGTATTATATGAGATTCTTCCGAATCATCTTAGACGAAGGTACACCAAATTTAAAAGATTTTGATAGCCTTCTAATCCAGTAGCTAATACGATCCACAGCTCACACAATCCGATCACGCCGTACAAAGCTCTTCCAAGCCGTCACGGCGCTCGATGCCGCCCACCACTGGTGCCTCACAGGAACACCCATCTCCAACAAAGTAGACGACCTTGGAGCACTTCTGGACTTTTGCAGGGTACCTCTCCTTGGTGAGAGCAAGCTGTTCCAGCAACATGTTGCTGCGATCACAAGAAAGTCGGTGAGACGAGGCTACGGCATCTTGCGGGAGACATTGAAGCCTTTATGTCTTCGACGAACCAGAGCTCTGCTGAACATTGCTCAGCCGACGTGTTTAGAGAGAAAAATCGAGTTCTCGAAGGCTGAATACAGACAGTACAAGCGGATCATGAAGAGGAGCCGGAAAGCAATTGACGATGCTGTCAGCGGACGCACTGGCACCAACTCGCGCCAGACGATGCTGGAGGTGCTCCTCAAGCTTCGCATATTCTGCAACCAGGGTACCTTCACCCCTGAACAGACGGACGAGACCAACCACGGACTCGATGCAGACGAGCAGCTCACTCTGCTCGAGGAGCAAGAGTCAGCTTTTTGCGACGTCGACACTTGCTCGTCGGTGATTGCGATGCTGAATCAATTGGAAGATCCAACGTCGGGCGTGCTCGGACATTGCTCTCATGTGTTGTGTCGAACTTGCTACGATGACCTCTTTCAGGACACCGAACACTCGCTCCGTTACGAATGTCCCGTGTGCGAAAAGCCTACGGAGCTCGAGCAACTACAGGTCAGCAGTGGACTCGGAAATGGAGCAGGGGCTTCTTCACAAAACTCAAGCAAATTGAATGCTTTGACAGAAGATCTTCTGCAGTCGCAAAATTCTGAGTCGCCGGAGAAGAGGTACCCACTACCGCATCCACGAGTCTTCCAATACTGACCATCACGCAGCATCGTCTTCTCGGTATGGATAAAAACGCTCAACATTGCGGCCAACCTGTGCCGTCAAAGAGGCATTCGCTTTGTGCAAATTGACGGCACGACTCCGCAGTCTGAACGATCTGGCATCCTTCATAAGTTCACACACGACAAATCCATTTCCACCTTGCTGATGACCATGGGAACTGGTGCATTGGGGTGAGCCATATGTTTCAGTTCGAGTGGGAAAAGTGAACGTGCTGACCAGCTGCAAGCCTCAACATCACAGCCGCCTCTCGCATCCACATCCTCGAACCGCAATGGAACCCTGCCGTCGAAGACCAGGCGGTTGGTCGTGCAGTCCGTCTTGGACAATTGAAGGACGCCACTGTTATCCGCTACATCGTCGAGAATAGTGTAGAGAAGGTGAGCCACCATACTCCAACATTCAAACTCAGCTAATGGAGAACCAAGCAAATCCAAGGCTACCAGAAGCGCAAGATGAGGCTTGCTGCTGGAGGCTTTGAGCACCGCAACGAAAATACCGTGGCTGAGGAGAGCGTCCGCTTGAATGTGAGTTTATACCATCTTAACGAGTCACGCGGTAAACTAATGAAATCGAAGGCTGCCTTCCTCGCTCAGGCTTGAAGCCCGTCAGGACGTCGACCCAGACCGGTCAGACATTTGCTTCGCTCCCTCCCTTTCCTAATGCCAGCCACATGTCATATGTCGACTCGTCTGAGACGTCTGAAAAGTGTGATAAGATCGCGCTTTTGTTTGCGAAGATCTATCGAACGGTGACCAGAGAAGTATGTCTCTGGAAAAGACGCCTCTACCAAGCTGCTGCTGCACCGCTTAGATCGGCTTGTCGGAAACTCTTAGCAGTACTCTCTGCCTTGAAGCATGTAGCTACGCAGCTTGTCGGCGTCTGATGGGTCCAGAGAGATATGGTTGTGTGGAAGAAGTCCATCTAAACTCTCGCGAAGCTCTGACAAGCTTTACCTCTGGTGGCTAGTTTCAGGCCTCCTACATGTGAGTTCCGACCACTTGCGGCAAACCGATGTCCCACGTACCGACGAGCTTGCCTGGATTTGTGAGGTGGTATAGAGCTGGTCGATCTTGTCTGCGATCGACCGTGGTATGTACCATCGAGAGTAGACAACAACTTATCTAAAGATAAAAGCTGCCTTTTTGCTTTGGCTCTCAGCACAGCCTGGTTGCAGACTCCTCACATACCCCTGGGTTATATCATTGAGCCTGACTCCGATGACTCAAGTCCAAAAAAGCACAATGTCTGTTCACAAGCGCAGAACTTCTCAGCAGAACGCCCAAGATGCTCCCAAGCGGCCAGTCAGGCAGCGCCGAATCTTAACTTGGACTCGCCTCAGCCTCGCGGTTCTACTATGGCTCGTGGCAGACTACGGCTTCACAAGAGCAACAGCTTATCCAGCACCCACCATTCTGGAAGGACGAGAGCATCTGCACAATAACCTCGTCAACCACGCCATTGCGCTGGAGGACATCAACTCCGATCTTCCGTTCGCAAGTGTACGACATCTCTACTCTACGCATCCCAACTCTGTCATCCATGATGCCACCAAGAAAGCTGCTGCCCTGGCCGAAAAGAAGACGAGAGACAACCACATTCGCACAGAGACAAGTTCGAGCGGCGTGCACACGAGCGAGCCTGTAACGGATACAGCTCCCCCAACGCACACTCTATTTCTAGGAGCCTTCACAGGCGCCGCGATCAGAGCTCTGCTGGGCCTCGTTGGACTCAGCGCCAACTCGGTCTGCACCTTCCTCGACAAAGCGTTCGGCGACGACAAGAACGCCGCACAAATCGTAGGCGTGGTGGGTTGCTACATCGGCATGACGCTCCTCGGATTCTACGGACTCTTCTCAGCAGGACACAATTTGTATCAGATCCAGCAGGCTGGACAACGCACGGCCGACGCGCTCGATGCCGTCAATCAAGCGTTCGAATTGCAGGATACGATCGCGGGCGGGTTTGGCGGGAGACGCAAGCTGAGGATGTCCATGAGATGATGAAAGACGAGGTCAAAACGCACGAGCTCGTGGTGTGGATGGCGGCCCAGGGATACAAGTACGAAGCCGCGGGCCTGATGTCCACAATCCGCCCCGTTTCACTGCAGACGAAAACAAACCACACCGCGCACCTCTGGCAGGAGTTCCACGAAGGCCAAATCCGCAAAACCCACGTCTTCACCCGCCTCAACGTCCAGCTCACCACCCGAGACGTCTGCGCCAACTCCAACAACGAAACCGGCGAAGACCCGCAAGCAACGCTCTGCTCCAGCGGCGCCAACGAGGGCTCCACTGGCGTCTACGACTCCTTCGACATGTTCCAGGACGAGGACTCGTACGAGGTCGTCGACTACGGCATGGGCGACAGCAAGTATGCGGATGATGTGGCGCGGTATGGCGGAGATTTGATGGATCTTGGGGGGACGTCTGGGCTGTGTGTTTATCCTAGTGTGAATAATCGGACGGCGTTGACGATTTTGTCCGCAATTGAGATGGGGGGCCGGCCGAGTCAGACTTATGCGAATTGTCCTAGTTTGTCGTGAGAGGGGGTTGAGAGGTGTACGGTGTCTTCAGATGGCTTTTGGACTGGCTGTTGCGGATGACTGGGCTTGGCAACACATACTGAGCGATGCGGTTGAGTGATTAGCCTTGTACAATGAACTTTGCTCAAGATAAAAACTGTCGTAAAAGTACATCAAGAACCCAAGTCATCAACCCCACTGTTTCAAAAAATCAATACTGTCGTCAAGGCAAAAGTCTTTCCCTCACCGCAACCCCTTCACCACCAAACTCCCAAGCGCAATACCACCACTAATAGCCGCCAATCCCCAAAACGGAACAACAATTGCCCCCCATCTCAGCCCAATCTCAAACAGTCCCCCAACAAGCGCACTACCCAGTCCTCGACCAAGTCCCCCAAGCGTGAAGTTGACCCCATGCGCCAATGCGACATTCTCCTTCTCAACGCTGTTGGTGAGGCAGATCATACTCGCCTGGAGAGCGCAGATGAAGACGCCTCCCTTCAGGAGGAAGAGCAGGGTAAGCGTGCTGAGCGAGAGGAGTTGGCTGGTGGGGAGAAGGGTGAAGGGGAAAGTGAAGTAGATTAGGGGGTACGCCAGGAGGGTGCCCAGCAAGATCTTGGAATGCGATTTCGTCTTGGCGAGGCGTGGGTAAATCGTACTCGACACGACCATGGCGGAGACGCAGGCGGCGGAGAAGAGGAGGCCTGTGAAGCGGGGTGTTGTGCCGTAGCCGTAGGTGGTTGTGAAGAGGCTGGTGAGCGGGGAGGTGGTTGTCGGTCGGGAGGAGGGGTACTGCAGGACGAGCGGCAGCATGTTGTCTGAGCCGACGGAGTGGAGGGCTACGAGGGCGTTGAGCCAGATGAAGGGGTTGCGGACGATTTGGAAGAAGGTCGTGCGGTTGGTTGGGGGTTGGCGGTCTTCGTGGGTTGAGGGTCGTCTCTGGTCTTCGAGGTCCGGGTCTTTCTTTTGAGCGTCGTCAAGCTCGATTGAGTCGGAGTCTTCTTCGTCGTCAATGTCCTTTGAGGCGCTGAGTGACACTTTCTCGTATCCTAGCTTCACCCTGCCGGTCTCCTGATGATTCGCATTCAGTCAGCCAGTGCACTTCACCGTTCAGCAACACGGAAGCCACTCACCTCTAACATGAAGATAGCCGACCCAACAGCCGGTAGAAACACTATTGCACTAACAAGAGTCGGCAACACAAACACAGGCCACCCGCTTCCCAGCCTAACTCCACTCAACCACCCACCGCTCAGACTCCCGAGCAACGTCCCAGCTGCACTCGCCATAGGCGTAAAACTGAACGCCCTCGCCTGATGCTCCTTGGCCGTAACCATCTCCGCCACAATCGCCCTCATAACAGCAACATTGCCATTCGAAATGCCAATGACAATCATGCAAGCGAAAGCCTGCCATGTTTGCGTGCAGAAGCCGAGGGCCAAGTTCCCGAGGAGTTGGGTTATTAGCGTCGCGACGATGACGGGCTTGCGGCCGATGCGGTCGGCGAGACGGGTCCAGGGGATGGCGAAGGTGGATTCGCAGATACCTAGAGTGGCGAGGAAAGCTCCTTGGTAGGTTGCGATTGATGTAGTGGGGATGGAGAGGTTTTCGAGGTAGGAGGGAAGGTACGGGAGGAGGGAGGCGATGGCGACTGTGAGAAGGATCGATTAGTCTGAGTGAGTTTTGTCTTGCAGTGGTTTGACGTCGGTTCATGCGTACATGGCTGCGAACATCTGCACAATCCGACGATCAGGAGCTGCGCGAGCGGGAAAGGCTGTGAGCTTGGGGCCCCTTTTGGAGAAGCCATTGTTGTCGTTGTCGAAGGCGAGCGCTCTTGGGGAATCGAGGCGAACACTAGACAGAGGGGCGTCCCGTCATGATAGCCAACAGGATAGCATTGGCACTATGAGACCTGCAGTGTGATATCGACAGTCGAAACAAGGATGTTGTTGAAGTCTGTCCGTAGAAATCAAGCCCAGACTTTCACGCTCGGCGTCATCGCCATCGCCACCGCAAAGACCATCTCCGTGGATCTGTCGCCACTTCCGCACCTGGGGGTCGAAATCGCACGGACGTGGCCACAATAGGAAGTTGGGGTGACGTGGCAGGAGTCCGAATCTAAGATGCGGCTACATGTTTCCGATAGGCATTGGAAGGATGCAGATGCTTCGCATCGATTAAGCATTTCAATCAAGCTGCAAGTCTCGATCCAGAAACCGGTGTTGTGAACTTGTTCGTGCAGATGTGACAGCGAATGGAGGTCGACGATGGGATAGTGATCGGCACTATAGCAAGGATCAATGCCGCAGCACGTCGGTAATTGGAGGCATTTCTCCACGACATCCGGCATGCTGACGTCGTTTTCGGGAGGTTGTCAAACACCAGGTTGAGCGATGATGGGAGCCCGGTCTGGCATGAGTGGCGTGGTGGCTCGAGATTCGCTGGTGGATCACGAACCCCCTGGCGGATCTCGTGAAGTGCTTGGTAGGTTCGTGCCGTTCCGGCGATGTCCCTGCTTGTTCGAGACACTGGGCGCTTGGGCATGACTCGGCCGCCCACTTCATCTTGCGCAGGACATTAGCGGCTAGCTTGAAGAAGAAGTCGGTCTTCAGGCCAATGTGTTTGCACTGTGCCAGAGTGCAATACCAAGAAAACAGCAAGGCCTCAACTCAAAGATGGCAAGGGGTTGTACCTTGGCACTGGTCCGTAGGTTCAACAGGCATCGGTGCGAGCAAAGGCGAGGCGGCTCAAGGTCAGCAACGCGAATACCAGCGCTGTCTTGGCAAGGCGCAGTCTTTCTATTTCTTGCGCCGATGTATTCAGTCATATTCGGCGTGCCTGGAAAGAGTATGTGAAACAAGCGTCAGATGTATTTCGACGTCCCAAATGCTTGGCTGACTCGCCGCTTCGTACTTCGCGTTGACACAGGGACGGCGGAGTGTGAACGTCCGAGACACGGCATGCCCTTTGGAGGGTTGCTTTGTAATGGTCTTTTGAGCATTCAGTCATCTACACATCCGAGCTAGAACCAGGTCCTCCTTGTCAGCGCCGATACATTCCCACGCATAGAGTCTAGTCTTTATCCAGCCGGACTGCCGCGTTGCTCTCAATGAATCCCAGGTCGACCTTGTGGCCGAGCAGCTCACGAATGTTGCTCACCGCATACTTGATCATCGTCGGTCGTTCCAGGGACAGACCGAAGCCGTACACTCGTAGATCTTCCGGCAGGCCCATTGGCAGCAGCATTTCCGGCCTGAACATCCCTGAGTTACCAATTTCGACCCACTTGTTGAGACCACGGTGAAAGCCGAAGACTTCCATACTTGGCTCGGTGTAAGGGTTGTAGGCGGGCTTGAAGCGAAGGTTGGTGATGCCGAGCTGCTCGAAGAACTTGCCCAGGAAGGCCTGCAGACCTCCCAGTGTCAGACCGTAGTCTGCAATGACGCCTTCGATTTGGTGGAACTCGGCCAAATGCGTGGCATCGACCGTCTCGTTACGGAAAACTCGGTCAATCGAGAAGTAGCGGGCGGGTCTCGGGTTTGCGGCGAGGCGATGTAGACAGTAGGTGGAAACAGCAGTGGTATGTGTACGCAGGACAAGTCGTGTGGTCTCAGAGTCGGAGAATGGATACCGGTAGCCAATTGAGCCGAACTTGCCGTCTTGATGAACAGCTCTGACGTCCTTGTAGTATTGTGCGTAGTCGAGCTTCTTGCGACCAGATTCGTCTCCTGAGCTGAAGAGCATGGATTCGGCCTCCATCTTGTCGAGTGCACGGTCTGCGGGTACATCAGGTCCAGGCAGGCCTGATTCAGGGGGGTCCGAGACGTAGAAAGTGTCTTGTACATCACGCGCTGGATGCTGTTGTGGGACGAACAGGGCGTCGAAGTTCCAGAAGCCGGTGTCAACGAAGCTAGATCCGTTAGCCATGCACACTAAAGTACTGCTAGTACACTTACCGTCCTGTGGGCATCTCGATGAAGTCCCAATTGAAGAAGATTTTCCTGAACTCCTCGCGCACCTTGTTCAGGGGATGTAGCGCTCCTGAGTTCTGCTGCGCGCCAAGCGCCTTGAAGTTGTATGGCTTGAAGTTGGCTGACTTCCAGCTTCCATCCTCCAGCATCTCCGCCGTCAAGTCGGTCACTTCAAGAGGTATCTCCTTGGCCCACCGCGGGCCTTTCCGCACCTCGTAGGTGATGATCTTGGTGACACCGACCAGCTTTCGCTTCTGGAAGTCTTTGAGCTGCCGTTGGTCGGGCATTGTCTTGTATTCCGCCGCATACTTCAGAGTCTCCCTCGTAGCATCTTGTACAGTGTCTTTCACTGCCACGAAGGCATCACCATCCTTCTTGATCCAGCCCGCCTTGATCGCATTGCCGGAGCCCAACTTCGCCGAGGGCGTCGCCAGTGACGGATCTTTCGGCGGCACTCTGCCCTTCCCTTTGACCAGCTGCCAGACCTTGTACTCATGACTGCCTTCGTCCACAATCTGCTGTCCTTCTCCGGTTAAGGTGATCTGCTCGGCGTCGTTCGTGTCGTACTCGACCATGGCCCTGCTGGCGAGGCGGTCCAGAGCTGCCTTGATCTCGGCTTGGCTTTTGTCCGGATAGGCAACATCGGACTGGAAAGGATCGTTCGTTTCGAGGTGGTGGAGAATGTCGATGGTGAGGTCTCGTCCAGCGCCATTGGTCTCGGTCAGAGGTACCGGCACCGGACCTCGCGTGCCGACCATCTTGCGAATTGAGGCTATCTGTCGTGAGTGTGATGAGGGTGCCTGTTCGCCGGCGAGGAGGTCTTGTGGTGGTGGTAGAATGGGCGAAGATGTGTCACATGAAAGTGGGTGAGTGACTGTGCATCGGAGCCAGAAAGTTAGCGTTTGCGCTGCAAGGATGTTGCTGCGGCCCGAGCCGACCGAATGCTTGGCAGGAGACGACTCGACATCACCGCTGGAGCACCAGGTCACTCTACAGTACAGGGCATGTAACGCAACCCGCCCGAATTTTCGTGTGAGGAGTCAGTCTCAGCGGGGATCAGTCTGGAAATTGACATGGAGAATCAGCTTCCATACATGAAGTCTTTCGCCCCCACAAGAGCGATACACCATCTCCCCTTTCCATGTCAAGCAGGCCACACCATCCACTATCCCGTACCATAGCTAACATCCGAGCATGCCTGCGACGATACACACACGGCGGCATCAGCCTCGAAGTGGGGTCGAACAAACATTCAAAGATACGGCTAACAATTGGTACGCCTGAGACTTAGAATGTCAGCCGCTAGCATCCTCCACAAGCGCTACATACCGCGATGTGGTTGCATCGCTGAGAACAATGCCATCATACTCACCTGCGATCGCCATTGACACGGCGACATTGGGGCTTCATGCTCTTGTCTCGACGGCACTGGTGCTCAGACAAAGAGCAGACCGGATGCGGAAGCTGGCAAGCACAACCAAACTGGGAAGACAAAGAGCTGCTGGCTTGACAGACAACGGAAGATGGATGCTGATTCTCAATTCAATTCAATTCTCGTTGATCGTATTACATCTTTCCGACAACGCTGTGCAATCGTTTCGCTTTCATCGAAAATGGCGACATCGAAAAGGAAGACAAGAGCTGGTAAGAAGCTAGACGAAAAGGAAGGGAAGTCGGTTTCTCCGCCACGTGCACTCAGTCTTTCTAAAGCTGTAAAAAAACGCGGGCCCAAAACGAGAGCCGCTAGGACGGAAATCGCTACTTCACAGGACGACGAAGCCGTGGCAGACCCCAGAAATGACGAGCGTTCTGCATCACTGGACATGCCGGGAGACGGAGGTGAAGACGCTGATGGTGCGGAGCTGAGCAGACCGATTTCGAAAGGGAAAGGCGCTACGAACCAGACCCAAGGAAAGCGCGGTTCCAAGAGAAAGCAGGGCACACCGAACGATGTGACTGCTAGGGCGGGCGCAGATGTTCCATCAACAATTCGAGAGGAGGTGCATGGTGGTGGTGAAGGTGTATTCGGTGGGCCCATTCCTCCCAGGAATTCTTCCAGCTCACCAACGGGAAGCATTCCCAAAGGTGACTCCAACGGTGAACCTGAGGATCGAGGAAAGCAGAGGACCAAGAAAAGACATCGAAGGCCTCGAGAGTCAACAGGAGATTCCTTGCAGGAGGATGGACCTCCCCCGAAGAAACGAAATGTCGGTACTACAAACGAGCCTGCACTGTCTGGTGCCGGGGAGCATTCGAACTCTCATAGAGAACTGGTAGATGACGATCGCTCTCCTGCTCACCAGGATGATACCGTGAATACAGGCGTAGCAACCGACATGAGCCAGCCGCAAGTAGATCTTCGTGACCACAATGATGTCAGGGCGCAGGCTACAGCTGATGGATATGATTACGATGCAGCCGAGATGGCTCGCGACCGGCAACGTCTCCTTGACCATATTGCAAAGGGCAAACCAGCCTCGCAACCCGTTGAGGACTATCTCCACAAATATGAGCCTGCGGGTGAAAGGCTTATCTACTTCGTCCTGCTCAACTGGATCGGGAAACATGGATTCGGGGCAGACTGGAGCCAGGCCACGCCCATCGATTATTACGTCGAAGATCTCATGCTTCCCTTCTCTGAGAAGTGGGGTCCTCTTCCTCGGGCATTTGACGGCAACGACCCGGAAACTCGAGAATTGATGGAATACTGGCGCACATGCAGAACTGCCCCAGCTTGCCGAGGTTTCGTCCGCAGGGCGTTGACCAACGAGAAACTCGCACAGGAGTACACTTTAGCCCACCGCATCCACACATGCCTGGAAGTGATACGTCGCCATCCAAGCACTGACCAAACCCTGTGGGAAGCTTCGCCTGAACCTGAGAGATATCTCTCTGGCCTCTTTCCCCTTGGTGAGGAATGGCCTTTGACCTACGAGGGGCTGCGTCATGCCTGGTCGACATCGCGGGCTCAATTGGACGAGCGAGGTGAAGTCTCGCCGGTCCTTCACGTAGAGTTCGCAGACCTCTATCGCTGGGCACAAGGCATGTTCAAGCAGAAGGGGCTATACCTTGCTCCTGATGATCCCATGCCAGATGACACAGTTGAGAATTGCGTTCGCCAACACATGAGAGACTGGCTCAGACATGGCGCATTGTTCCTTCTGAAACCACTCTGGGACGATTCAATTCGCGATAGTCAATCCGAAGAGCAGCGTCAGTTCTTACAGCAGGAGTATGAACATATGGAAGCCAGTGGTGAGCTGTCGTTCACTGTAGAGTGGCTCACGTGGAAGCGCGAATGGGAGCATATTGAGAACCGGCTTGCAGGTTATGATCTCCCTCACCGACTTCGGCACCGTTTCCGTGATTTCAAAAGCATGGCAGATGAGAGTTTGGAGGAATATGGTGAGCTGCTACATCCGCCGGACCCAGAGTCCAGAGACTGGCCAGGAGCATACCTGGACGAGTTGGGGTTCAGCGTTCGGTCGCAGTCCTCCCAAAATCATCACCAAGCCTGGAACAAAGCTATAGCGGCAGCACATGGACCTTTGCAGGTGGAATTGCAGCTTCGATATGAGGATATGTTGGCTGAGGTCCGACGTGGTGTTGCCATGTGGCGGCCTGACGAGCAGCAGCCACCTTCGCCAGATGAATTTCGGCACAGAACAACACGCTCACTCGGATTTGGCGAAGACCGCAGCCAATTGCAAAGAGGCGACCACTGGAACTTTCACTCCGTTCTGGGTGAAGGCGGCCATGCCCAAGCTGCTCTGTGGGTCAAGCTTGACTCCACCATGAAGACAACGGAGCGGATGGTCCTGAAGGATGTGTTCATGAATCACGAGAATTGGGATTCAGACGATCACTGGTTTGGTGCCCTGCACGACAGACGGCCTATTGAAGAGCGCGTTCCGATGATACTCCAAGGGTACGAAGACAGCGACAACATTGTACGTTGTTACGGGGCGGCAATTTACGACAGCGTCTGCATGAATCGCATCTACAGCGAGTTTTGTCCGCACGGAGACCTCGCAGGCATCATCAGAGCTCATCGTCGTGCACGTCACATGGGTCTTGTTGATGAAAATGGTAATCGACTTGATCAGTACGATTCATTGCCGCCTCAATCATTATGTAGATGGCTGACCTTCTCCACTAGTCGCATCCCGGAACGAGCGCTCTGGGCGATTTTTGAAGCCTTGGTATCGGCCGTGTGTCTGCTGCAACAGGGTCACCTTCCGGTAACGGGTCGGCAACGACCTCACGATCAGATCCCCTTCATACACTGCGACATAAAGCCACATAACGGTCGGTCTTCTGAACGATAGCGATCATTCTTTGACTAACCTTGTTCATAATTGTAGTGTTCCTTGCACTGGCAGATGATACAGACGGTCTATGGCCTGGCATCCCAACTCCAAAGGTAAGCGTTGCGCGAGTTGCTGTTTCAGATGCCTCGCACTCACAGATGTCAACAGTTGGGAGATTTCGGTATAGTCGAACAAACCGAGTTGGACAACCCACTTAAATACACTGGGACCGGCACACCTGGGTACAGAGCACCGGTGAGTCAGGAAATAGCGCAGTATTCATTGGACCGCCAGAAAAGCTCACAGTTGCGCAGGAGACGTATAGCAGGGACCCTGACCGACAGGCCTACATCGAATTCGCCAGTGACGGTAAGTGTAGACTCAGAGCCACCGTTATTCAAGACATGCGGGAACCAGGACTGACATCCTCCGTGAGCAGTATGGGCCATCGGGCTCGTCATGTATTGCCTAGTCAACCTCATCGAAAGGCCCCTTCAACGTGACGCTCTCGAATACTCTCTCGAAGATAACCCGACTCGTTTCCCACCAGCTTTCGACCAAGACGTGACGTACACTGATGATTTACTCCGCACGATAAGCCGTTGTCTAACACAGAGGCCGGAAGATAGGATCTGGATCGACGACCTTTGGCATGACATTCATTACCAGGTCGCCACCATGGAGGGGAATACGGGCTCCGTGCCTAAGCTCAGACAGCCCGAGGATGGCGAGGCCAACTTCATGTTTGCACGCGACGTCTACTTGCAGTGGACGTGAGGGTGTCTTTCACTATGAAGTACGACTTAGGGTCTCCTGAAGCACTTCCTCAATTCTCCAGACTTCTCATATACCATTGACATAGTACCAACCCTCGCAATGCTCGATCGTCTCAACACTCCGACTGAGTCACGTCAAGCCGTGCTCTCGGTACCTGAGATCAATCGTGCGTTGGGAACATTGCATCCTTTGTCACCAAGCACGACTGCCACGAACAAAGCAGCGTCCGTATGCGGACTCACAAGCACCTTGGGCAAATCCAACAAAGAAGTCCGTCCAGCGTGAAGAATGTGAGTCCCGAAATTTCTGTCATTCGAAACTTACACTGCTGAACAGTTCCCAACCCAGCAACGATCGCATTTTCAGTATGCCGCCGAGGAAAAAGACAACTGCGGGACCGCCCCCCAAAAGAGATCCCAACAGAATCACACGCGCCAGTGAGTCACGCTGAGAGCATTTTTTGCATAGCAAATGCTGATATTATCAGACCCTGGCGGAGCTCCAGCCGCTCCTGCTCCAGCGGTTGCTCCTCCAGTGGCTCCTGCTCCAGCGGCTGCTGCTGCAGCGCCTCCCAAAAGAGGTCGTGGCGGAAAGGGAAAAGAGAATGCCACAGCTATCGAAAATGAAGATGATGTTGATGAGGAAGACCGCGAAGACGGCGAAGACGAGACTGTTCAGACCAAAAAAGCGGGGCCCAAGAAGACGGGAAGGAAGAGGAAAGCCGCGGGCAGTCAGAACGAAGAGCGCAACCCATCGCCCCGGAAAAAGCGACCTGTGAAGACGGGCGCTCCAATTCCAGTCGACGACGCCGAGGACGACGATGAAGACGACGACAACGATGGCCAGGGACAGGGCCCAGTGCGTCCCGAAGGCAGCAAAAAGGACGGCACGCGCAAAGCAACCGACGGTCCCGAAACCAGGGCAAGCAAGAAGACGAAGGTCGATACAGCAGGAAACGAGGATCAAGATTCTGCTGTACCCGGCGCGAAGCAGCCGTTGGTCCCTATTTCCGAAGGAGACGACGAGGAACATGACGATGGACGACTGAACCCTGCTCCGCCTGTCGACAAAGATGCCGTGAAGGAGACCGGCGTTCCTGATCGGCCTCGTGCTGATGGGCCAAATCATTTGCCAATAGCGAACGGTGAGGCCCCCCAGGACGTCCGAACAAGGGAACCTGCTGTAGGAAGGCCCGGGGGAAGCATTCCATTCGGCATGGAATCAAGCCCATTGCCAGATTATGAATCTTCTGCCCATGCAGACGCTGCGGAAGACGCTCCGCAAGGCTCTAAATTTGGAGGCGGACGTCAAAATCCCAATCTTTTCGATGGGACGGGCGACCGCGCGGTGGAATACCAACCAAAACGGCAGAATTCTGGCGAAGGTTCGAGACCTGCGCAGGCAGGGGCTGATGAGTCCTTGCCTCCTCAGGAGCAGCATGAAGCCCCAGCGGAGTCAATGGGTCCACGTGAAGACGTCGCCGATGCTCCAGAGGAAGGGGCTGGGCTTCCTGCATTGAGTGAAGATGATCCGACCGAGCCGGACGACCAGAATGTCCAGCAAGCACCTGACGCAAGCGAAGCGGATGACAACAGTGATGAGGCGAGATTCATGGAGGAGGTGATGGCACAGAATTTGCCCGAAGATCATGCACTGTTCGGCTACGTCGAAGCATTTGAAGAAAATTACAAAGGCCACCTCTACGGCATCCTTCTCAGACTGATTGAAAGACATGGCTACGACGTTAACTGGGCTAGCAATATAAGGCCGATATATGAGTACATCAACGATGACAGCCTGATCGACGAGCCATGGATTGATCGCAGTGCTCCTCCTGCCATACTCGATGACGATGTAACAGTCTCGGCAGATCCGAATGCTCAGGCTCTCAAAAACCTTTGGGCGCTTGCGGATACAGCACATAGCTGTCGAAATTACATCGCAAGAGCGTTGGACGCCTCGCAGTTCTCTCAGAAATACGGGGTGGATGTTCGCTTGGACGTCTGTGTGGGATTGGTCTTTGAACACGGAAACGACAACGAAAAACTTTGGTCTGCTGCTCCACCGCTGGAGAGGTACTTGGTAAACAAGGGGTCCAACCTTACGGAGCAGTGGCCCCTGGATCTGCCAACGTTGAATCAGAGGTGGCAGGTCCTTCGAGCCGAACTGATGTCGGCCTCGCCTTCTGAGGACACTCTCCGACTGTTCGATCATCTTCGCCGGTATGCCAAGAAACAATTCAGGAAAGAGTCTATATTTCTGGCGCCCATGCATTGGGATCAGACCACATCGGCAGAGCAGTTTGTCCGCAGTCACCTCAGGTTGCGGATCAACATCGACGCAGTGCAGCTTCTCACGCCAATGTGGGAAAAGTACATTGAGGATGCTCCCTCTGAGCACAAAATTGAACGACAGAATGAATTTCGTGCTGTGCGGGGCCTTATGACTCTGAATACTACAACAGTACCGCACGGCGTCCGGGAGGCAGTGTTCCGACGACAATGGCAAGATCGTGTGAATCGGATAAAAGAAGAGGAGGTGTCTGCCTTCCACTGGAGGCGATTCCAAGACTGCCAAAGAATGGCGGTTGACAACTTACGGTATGGAGAGCTTCTGCGGCCGCTGCGGTGGCTTCCGGACGTCCCAGCTGCAATGTTTGTCGAGGAACTCAGTCGCGACATTAGACGCCAGCAGATGGACGCCATTGAAGCTGCTTGGGACCTTGCGTTGGAACAAATGTCGGATGCCGCCCAGGTACAAGGACTTAATAGACGTTATAAGGCCTATCGCGACGCACGCCTTCTGGGTAGGCCCCTGTTCCGACCAGATGAAGTCCAGCCAACGGCTGATCCACAAGTACAAGAGCTTCAGGACAACTTCGCCGGTGACCGCAGTGATATTCCTGACCAATGGAGCAAAAGTGAGGTACTCGGAGAAGGTGGATTCGGAACGGCGGTACTATGGGTCAAATACAACGCTCGCCATCGGATCATCGACCGCATCGTTCTGAAAGATGCCAAACTGAAAGCCGTACGTGAGTCAGGGGAACATGAATTCGACGTTCAAAATCATTGGCATGGGCCCATTTCTGAGAGAGTTCCACTTGAGGCAGCCGTGCCCCGGACACTGAAGCAGGCAGTGGACTCTTTCCATATTGTGGAATGCCGAGGCTGGGCCATCTTCGACAGATATCGGACGTATCGTGTGTATGGGGAGTTCTGTCCACACGGCGATCTTGGCGATGTGGTACAGGCACACCACAGAGCTGGAAGTCATCCCCACTTCGATCAGAATGAACACGAGATTGACCAGTAGGTGGATGGGAGATTCAATGTTCAACGGCACGTGGCTGACTCCTCACAGTTACATACCCGAGAGGGCACTCTGGGCCATTTTCGAGGCCTTGACGTCGGCAGTCTGCATCATGCAGCGTGGTTGTGTCGCAGGAGGCACACCTAGCGATGAGCCACATATTCACCCTGTGATTCAATGCGACATCAAACCCGTGAATGGTATGTCACCTCCATCAGACACGCTTAACCTGTGCTGAATTCTGACGTCTTGCAGTCTTCCTGGCAGAACCACAAAAGGATTTTTGGCCTGGTATACCCGTGTTTAAGGTAATGAAATATGCCCCTCACACATACTTGAGCACTCTTGTTAACGATCTACAGTTGGGCGACTTCGGTCTAGTCAGGGAGTCCACGGTTGCTGACAAGCCTGTGGACGAGGCATGGGGAACGAGGGGCTTCCGTGCTCCTGTGAGTCTCTTCTTCAAATAATCTCAAATCAACGTCACTGAACCAACACTCAACAGGAACAATACCGGCAAGATCCAGGCCCCTTTGCGGTACATCGAAGCGACGTTTGGGGCATTGGAAAGACAATGCTCAGCCTGGTCAACCTCGAAAGAAAACCCGACGACGCGCGATTCGATGGGGATCCGCCGCGGCCCACGGACGCTGCTTGGAACAAGTACTCCGAAGAACTACTTGAAGAGATAATGTCGTGTCTACACCTCTACCCATTGAGACGAAAGGACATCGGCACACTTTGGTCCAGGATACGGACGCATGTCTGGGCTACGACGGGCGTGAGAGATTATCCGTTGAAGATAGTGAAGCCCGGACCAGAGGACGAGGCTCAGCTGGGCTATCAAGATGATAAATATCGACCATGGGTGGATAACATGTAGTTAGTGAAGGATTGGCGAGCTCCAATTCCTCTGGGAACAGCTCATTCGCTCGCAGGATGATACGCTCCTGCATCGGGAAGGAAGTAGCTCAGCATACACGAACACGAAACACTAGGGCTGGTACGAATCAGACTACATCCGATCTTGCCTCGCCATCATTCTTATATACTCAACAAACCATTTCCTATAACATCCCACCACCCTCCCCCTCCTCAAGATGTCCGCCCAACCAGCCCCTCCAACCCCCAAACTAATCTACCCAGCCCCCTTCCCCGGCCGCGGCGAACACATCCGCCTCCTCCTCGAAGAAGCCGGCGTCCCCTACATCGAAGGCACACTCCCAGAATTCCAATCCCTAAAATCCCCCGAAAACCTCGGCGACTCAATCAACACGCCGCTCTTCGCTCCACCCTTCCTCCAATACGGCGACCTGACTCTAAGCCAAACCCCCAACATCCTGCTCTTCCTGGCTCAGCAGTTCGGCCTAGCTGGAGATCCACAAGATCCCCACGCGGTGTACAGGCTCAATGGACTTGCCTTGACGGCGCTGGATGGGTTCAGTAATGCGGTGCATGATTGTCATCATCCGCTAGGAGGGAACTTCTACTATGAGGAGCAGAAGGGGGAGAGTTTGGTGAGGAGTAAGGATTATTTGAAGACGAGGTTGCCGCTTTTCTTGGGGTATTTTGAGAGGGTGCTGAAGGGGGAGGCGAGTGGCGAGGGGCCTTGGTTGCACGCGGGAGAGTTTACGTATGCGGATTTGGTGCTTTTTCAGGTGTGTTTGTGTCTAGTTCTGTCGTCTGTCAGCGTGTTTGAGAGACTGATGTATTCCAGTGTCTTAGCGGTACGAGACACCAATTCCCGAAAGCCATCCAGAGAGCCGAGGACTCAGGCAACTACGACTTGGTCTTCAAGCTCTACAACGCAGTCCAAGACCGTCCTAGGATCAAGGCATATCTGGAAAGTAATCGACGACAGAAATATGGGAACGGTATCTATAGGCATTACCCTGAACTTGACGTAGATCCAGAGGATGGAGAATGAAGCGACCTGCTTTACGAATCTAGGAGGGTCAGCTTGAGTCTCTTCAGGTGCATAGCCTACCTACCTACTTCCCCACCAACAGATCCCTCCATACAAACCCAGTCACCACATCTCCGGCGACATCCGCCGCTGGAACACCAACCCCTTCCCTGAACCCCACAGCCTGATGCGAAAGTTCAGCACCGCAACCTTGTCGACCCCTGAGCTCCAATGAGAGACGGTGCATTCAGGAATAAGCCTCATCAAGACAGGCCATTCCTACGACCCCGCGAGTATCTACCTGGCAGTCCTGCTGACTTTGCAATGTCGTCGCTCTCACGTACCTTTTCGGGGGAATGTAAGTGGCCGGAGAAGATCAATGCTGATACTATAGACCTGGCTTCTGGTATTGAGAAGCTCGTCGTTCCGAGCCTTGCGAACGGAATGTCAAGCTGCCCGGATCCGCGACGTGGAGTGGCCTTGTCGAAGACCTTGTTGAAGATCTTACGTCGTCTCGAAGGCTACTAGCATGCACCTCATGGGTACCCTGGAGCCCGTCGTGGAGGAAATAGGTGAAGAGATTCCGACTTCACCTTTCCTTCACTTCACTCTTTCTGCGCCTTTGTACCCATACAAAGGCTCGACCAACATGCCCTTCCACATCCCCTACACCTTCGGCGTAACGCTCTTCGCAGCAATAGGCACATTCCTGTACGTCCCCCCTCCCTCCCTCCCACCAAACAACCCCCCTCACCCTCCCTCCCACCACAGCTTCGGCTACGACTCCGGCATAGCAACCACAATCATCGCCTTCCCCTCCTGGAACACCTACATGTCCCACCCCTCCCCCACCCTAATAGGCGGCATCTCCTCCGCCTACTCCGCCGGGGAAGCCCTCGGCGTCCTCCTCCAAACCCTCATCGCCGACCGACTAGGCCGCATCCGCTTCCTGCAGCTCCTCTGCGTCATCACCCTCCTCGGCACGTGCGTGCAAACCGCCTCGACGGGCATCCGGATGTTCATCGCCGGGCGCGCGGTGACGGGCTTCGGCGTGGGTGGGATGGTCGCGACGATCCCGCTGTATCTCTCGGAGATCGCGCCGCCTCGACGGAGGGGGTTCCTCGCGGGTTTCACGGGCGTGGGCATCGCTGTCGGCGTGATGATGAGTTCGTGGGTCGCTGTGGCGTGCTTCTACGCTCCGCAGGGGGACGTGCAATGGCGGGTGCCGATTGCGTTGCAGATCCCTTGGACGCCGGTGCTGTTCCTGGGCCTGGCGACGTTTATGCCGGAGTCGCCGAGGATTCTGCTGCGGAAGGGGAGGCTTGCGGAGGCGGAGAGGGCGTTTGAGAGGGTGCATCGCGGGGAGGGGGAGGGGGAGACGAGGAGGGAGTTTGCGTTGATGAGGGCGCAGATTGAGTACGAGAAGGGGAGGGAGTTTGTGGGGTATTTGGCGCTGTTTAGGCAGTATCGTCAACGAGTGCTGGTGGCCATCGCGATTGCTCTGATGGCGATTTTGTCGGGGGCGCCTGTTGTGTAAACCTCACCGCCCTCATGTCTCCCCGTCCACCACGACTGACCTTGTGAATAGCGGCTTCTACCAAACAATTCTCTACCGCGCCCTCGGCATCCAGCAAAAGAACATCCTAATCCTCGCCGCAGCACGAGGCACCCTCTCCCTCGTCGCCGTTCTCCTCATCAACCGCTTCCTCCTGGACCAATGGGGCCGTCGCCAGCTCCTCCTCTGGGGCATGGCCATCTCCACCGGGATCCTGATCTACTGCGCCGCGATGCAAAAGATATACCAAGACAGCGATAATCAAGTCGGTAAAGGGTTCGCTGTGTTGGGGATATTCGCGCATGCGTTCTTCAATGGTTCGTCTGGCCCAATCCATCATAGTGTCTCATTCGAAGCTGATAGATCATCTATGCGGAACCCTCGAATCCGTCTGCCCCATCTACAACGCCGAGATCCTCCCCATCGCCCTCCGCAGCAAAGTCATCGGCATCGCAGCCTTCATCTTCTTCTCCGTGACGGTAGCGTTCACCGAAGCCGCCCCATCTGCTTTCGCGAATATCAAGCAGAACTACTATTATGTCTTCGTGGGCTGTACCGCGGTCATGTGGGTGATCGGGTACTACTGGTTTCCGGAGACGACGGGGCGGACGCTGGAGGAGATTGCGGCGGCGTTTGGGGATCGGGTGGTGGATGTTGCCAGGGAGAATTCGGAGACGAATATGGTGCTTGTTGAGGAGACGAAGGGGGCTGATGTTCGTGTGAATGATAGAGAGGCTGGGATGGCAGTATAGTGCATCGTCGCACGCTCCCATCGTCTACCTTTGAATAGAGGTCTGCTGAAGTTGTTAGATGGTCGATGAAAGAGCTCCAATTGACAGACAGATCTCGAGATTAATGAATGGGTGGGCATGTCATAAGAGTATGATCTGGCATTATGCATATCCTGTCATTACATCAGCAGCTCCTATCTGTCGTTTTGTGTTCATATTCCCTCATGCTATAGTCGTTTCCAACAAATCTGTGCTTTTCAACATCTCTTCCTCGTGCTTCATGGCTCGACAACGCTGAACTTGTACTTGGCGTAGTTGACAGCAGGTTCGGTCGTGGGCGAGAAGATCTGGTACTGCTCACGGCCCCACTGAGGTTGGTTGATGCCGTCGATCCACTGTTCAAATTCCGTCAGTCATATATCAAACATCTGAAAGTTATGAGTATCGACTTACATCCTGCGTCTCAATAACGATACACCCAAACTTGCCCACGTAGGTGGTTGAGTTCAAGTGCTGCTGGCTCTGCTTGACCGGAATGGTGCCGTTCTGTCCAATGCAAGTGTAAATCTGCAGACCACCCTGGTTGGTCGACAAGTCGAGCTGGATACCGGTGCTGGGAGCCCAGAGCTTCAGGACCTCCAGGTTGGGGTCGTAGGGCGCAGAGTAAGGGGAGCGGTCGTTGATGAAGGCGTTGTCAATGCCAGTGCATCCGGTACCGCAGAATCCCTCGGTGTTTGGGAGATTCTGGCCGATGGTGATGTTGGGCTGTTGGAAGTCGAGGCCAGTGCCGTTGGTCAGGGCCAGTGTACCGTTGGGGATTTGGATGCCGTCAGTTGGGATCCAACGGTCGGCGTATGGAAGTTGGAGAGTGCTGGAGTTGATGGTCAAGGCCTCTTGGTCGACGAAAGCGCCCAAGTTCCAGTAGATGTGGTTGGCGAGCATGATGGGGGTGGCTTCGTTGACGGGGATGGAGACCAGGCGGGAGATGAAGGAGGCATCGTCAGCCAAGGTATAGGTGGCTACGTTGAGAACATCGCCGGGGAAGCCAGATAGACCCTCGTCGTAGTAGGAGAAGGTTATGGAGTTGCCGGTGTGCGAAACGACAGTCCAGTTGGCTTGATCGTAGCCCACGAATCCACCATGAAGCGTATTCTCGCCGCCATGCTCGTTGGTGGGAATGTGTGATGTCTCGCCGTCGATCGTGAAGGTGCCGTTCTTGATTCTACAAAACCACAAGTCAGCAAACGCCAAAGCCGCCCAATCCTTTCACCACGACTCACCTGTTCGCATATCTCCCCACCACAGCGCCGAAATAGGTGTGATTCGTCTCAGAGTCCTGCAAATACCGCGTGCCCTCGTCGTACCCAACCGCGACATCCTGAGGATTGCCATACTTGTCGTTGACGTAGAGGTTTGTCAGACGCGCTCCGTACGGGATGAAAGACGCGTTGATGCCTTTGGCGCTCAAGTCATACTTCTGGAATGGGTTGCCGGAGAATGGTGGGAAGGCGCTGGAGCCGGTACTGTTGCTGCTGCTGTTGCTGCTCCCGTAGCCAGACTGCGCAGAGACAAAGGACGACGAAGCCGCGAGAAGCAGCGCTGATGATGTTGGACGCATGATTGTGATATGTTCGTCTTCTCTTCCAGCCCAATGCCTGACACAAAACAAGAGCGAGTCACAGAGGAAGAAACAGTAAAGCAAGACACGTCCTCAGCTCACCTCCTCTTTATGATGACCTCAATTCTCCACGCGAAGGAAGCTTTCACCACAGCTCTAAGCTCAATCATGCAGGAACACTCAAGCTCCGGAACGTGGAGAAACAATCCCCGGCGCTGCTGCTCCCCAGCCTCCCTCCTCCACGTGCGGAGTCGAACCAGGATTTGTGCGGAGAGCTGAAGAGGGGAAAAGATCGGTCACGGCGAAATCCATCACGCAGAATCCACGAATCCGGGCGTGGTGAGGCGTGCGCGAGTCTGACCGGCATACCGGTTACGTCGGCATGGGCGCGAACGGTGTGGTGGTATGGTCATGAGGGACGATGCGTCGATGATGGTCTGGTTTTTAAGCGAGATGAGTGGGAAGTGAGAAGTGCGAACGTCGGCGGAGGGAGATCTTGCGAAACGTGGCGTGCAGGGAAGGTCGAAGCAGAAGCAGCAGCAGAGGCCACCGCTCTCTTCATCCTCGCGGCCTCGCCTCGTCTCAAGAGGCCCATTCACTCTCGATCCGATGAAGTGCTGACGCAGGAACAATGGCTCGCATCAAACGTCGTAAGCACCGTTCAAACGAAGTGACAACGAAGAAGTCCATAGAACAGCAATGTCTCGATTCAACTCGATGGATCAGATCGCATCGCAAAGATCTCGCCATCTGCTGGATATCATTTCGTCTACATACATCAAGTCTCTCAAAAACGCCCCATTGCGCGAGGAAGGGCGGTTCTTCCCAACAAAGGTCATACATTACAACACGCCCCCCTCGCCCAAGTAATTTTATCCGCTTTCATGCAGGATTGCTCATTTCGTAACCACCGTGAAAGCGTTAATTAGGTAGGTGCGGCATAGTATCAGGTTCTTCTTATGCTTGAAGTGAATCAATTAAAACAGCCGCTTTGAATTCTTCTTGAAAGGGTCCCCGTGCGCCACACCAACAAGGTGGGTGTTGGGTGTGCGGTGATGAGGTAGTTCCTTGGGGGAGTGGTTGAGGTCGGGGAGGAAGAGGTAAAACCGCTAAAACAGTTTGAAGAAGTTTGGCTATTTTCGCGCGCTCCTTTGCTTTACAAACCGTCGTCGATCATGTCGACCACGTTCTCGCCCGTCCAGGCGGCCCAGTCGCGGCAGGTGTCGGCCATGACGCTTGGGATGGGCATGTTGGCGATGTCGTCCGGGCGCTCGAGAACGGACCAGACGAAACCAGAAGCGGAGTGCCAGGTCAAATGGCAATGGCTGTGAGGAACATGTTAGCGAGTGCGTCGGAAGGTTCGGAGCGGGTGTTTGAACTTACAGCGGCCAGACACCGGGGTTATCCTGCAGCCACTGGATGACAATGTATTGACCTGGGAGAAGCATCTGGACATCACGACGCTGTGGGTTGTCGGCGTTGGTGACATGGCCATCCCAGCAGTTACCGTACGCCTTGTTGGTGTTGTTCAAGTCAGCAGCAGCAACACCGTCGGATCGGCCAAAGACGAAGTTGTTGTCGGTGCATTCACCCTCAGCAAGGACGAACATGTTGTGCCCGTGAAGATGCATGGGGTGGGGCATGGAACCAGTATTCTCGATGACGAAAAGGACGGAGCTATTGTCGCCGTAGTTGTGCACGTTGCCGATATAGGGGAAGTCCAGATTGCCGAGCTTGGCCTCGAGAAGCATCGGGTCGTTGTAGTTGGTGCGGAACGTGCGGCCGGCCATGTACCACAGAAGATGGCTTCCGTTAACTTGAGCAGAGATAGGTATCACAGACTCGAAGGATGGGCTTGGTGGGGTGATTGGGTAGTAAGGAGTGGTCTGCGACAGGTCATCGTTTCCACAGTACGTGTTGTAGGCGTTGGCACCAGGCGAGGAGACTGGGAGAGAGCTGGTGTCGGCGTTCTGGTAGTACACAGCAGCCTTGGCCTCGGTTTGACCCTCAGCTTCGGAGCAAGGCGCTATGAAAGTGCGCATCCAGACGGCGGTGGTTGGGTCCTGGTTGAAGTTCACGATGACATCGCTACGTTGGCCAACGGATAGCGTAATGTGGTCGGTCTGATATGGGTTCACTGGGACGAAATCGTTGGCGATGACAGTGAAGCTGTGGTTGTCAATCGTGTACTTGACGGTGGCCGAGCAGGCAGCGCTGATCAGACGCAGACGATACTTCTTGCCAGAGCTGACCTGGAACTTCGCAGTTGGTGCATTGGCGCCGTAGTATGGGTTGAGACCGTTGATCAGGATGTTCTGCGATGGTGGAATCTTTGCATTGGGGTATGGTGCCATGAGCTCGTCGACCAAGTCGTGGAAGTCAGTGTGGACCCAGTCACCGAGGACGACAGGTCCCAGATCAGCGTCATATTCTGCGTTCTTGGGGCCGTAGACCACGACTGGTCCGTAGAGACCGTTTGCTGATTGTGCATCGTAGTGGCTGTGATACCACGCAGTTCCGTAAAGTTCTGCTCGTGTTCGGTAGGTGAAAGTCTTGCCAGGGGCGATTGGGCATTGCTGAACACCTGGAACACCGTCCATCCATTGCGAGTTCTTCTGCAAGAAACCGTGGAAATGGATGGCAGTACCCTCGTCGAGGTTGTTGGTGACCTGAATCTCGATCATGTCACCCCAGTTGGCTTCTACCAGAGGTCCAGGGAATTGGTTGTTCACAAGCACGCAGTCCAACTCAACACCATCTGGTGCGCATGTTCCCTTCGCAATACTCCAGGTGTACGTCCGAGTTACTCCAGTGTCTGGCCATGTGTCGTAGTAGTTGGTGTTGTTGGCGGTGGCGGAGCCCCAAGGGAATCCTTGTGGCAAAGGGTTGTTCGTTAAGAAGTCGGGAAGCAGGTTTGAAGTAAGGTTTGTTACGGCTGTCATGACGTGTCAGTGTCTTGATCAAAGGCTGTGATGTTCCCTGAACCTACCACTTGTCAGTGTCGCGAGTGTATCTCTAGGAGTGAATGTGTCTCGCGCCGCGAGGGCGGTGACTGCGTGCTTTGCGAAAGCAGGCATTGTGTAGGACGTGAAGAGCTAGGAACGAGTGATAGCTCTAACACAGGTGTAGTGAGTGAGTGCCGTACGGCGGTGTATGGTTGCTAGCCTCTAAGCAAGAAGGTAGTAATGCTGGGCACAACTTCACTTTTGTACGAGAAAGGCGGTAGGAGGGAGGTTGATGCAGACCGACCGTTGGGATCGTGATCGTTGCTATCCCGTTGGAAATTAGACGGCCTACGCGACACGTTCACCCATATCGTGCCGACTCCTCCAAATCGTGCCGCCACAATGAGGGTGAGGGACATGCCGAGCATGACAAGTCGGGTCGTCGTGGCTCCCTGCCGCCTGAGGTCTGTGTATTCGCCCATTACAGCAAGAGCAGAGCCAGTGACGGCGCATCTGGTCAGGCGCACAGGGCACACAACATGGCCGCTAGCGCGCCAGCTGAGGCCGCGATACCAGAAGTGGTGGAAGGCCGTCTCGGAATAGGAGCCTCATTCACCAGGTCTCACAGCAGGACAGCGATAAGAAACGGTCGTTTCCTGAGTGACGTGCTGCTCCTGATGATCTGATGCGAAGTTGTAACGCGCCACAACGTTATGTGTAGATCGCCATACCGCAGCATCTTTTTCAGGGCCGGCTAAAAACTACGACGCCACAGCCATGAGCTTGTTCGGTATAAGCATCGGGGCGAGCCAAACTCCGTCCCTCAGCCCAAACCGCTCCACAGGTGAATAGCTGTCTGCTGCATGATCCGGATGGAAGGCGACTCATGCTGACAGCGGCTCGTGCGATGGCATTTGCAGACAGATGCTTCCCGAACGCCACAGCCATCAAGACAAGCTGCGAGGACTCTGAGAAGGCATGAGTGGCCACATCAAATGACGATGTGAGGTCGGCAACCTTGACTGGAACAGGTCGGGCAGTTTCTCTGCCGCCGCGACGGAGCCGCTTGCCCTGAAAGGCCTTGCGCACGGCAAAAGCAGGTCTTTGCTGGCGAGGCGCTCGCTAAAGAAGGAGAAGCACTCGGCTCATCGTTCGGGGCGTCGACTTGTGGTGCATCTCCGCCAGCGCCTCTGATCAAGAGGCTGCCACAGCTGCTGATCCGTGAAGCCCCGGCTCTCCTCGCTGACGACGAATCGATGCAGTTTGGGCGGTTGCTGCAGCGGCAGAATTGCACCGGACGTGAGACGTGGACGCCCAGGCCGACCTTGTACCCAGCTCTGAGCGGTTTTGCGTGCGATTGAGGAGAAAATGGTGGACTCCGCCAAGGCGATCATCATCTGTAGGCAAGAAGGAAATAAGGTTAGATGAGCCCAGGGCGTATTTTTATCCCTAGCGCCGATCGTGCCCCGTCTTCTCCCCCAACTTCACCTCCCGAATTCTGCGCTCCCACGGGTTCGTCCAGCACACGTTTTGCGAACCTTTGGTTCTCCTGAGGGCGGTCGCAGTTCGAAGCTGCTGGAACGTTGCTCTCTTCTCACGCAATCTTCCTGCAAACATGTGGGCGGCGGGGGCGATCTGATCCTTTCTGAGAGTTCCTTCGCCCACAAGCCGGTGGGTACCTTCGTTGCCCAGAAGGCATGGCAACGCTGCTTGGTATCCTTAGCACGCCTGTACTGCTGCAAATCGTGCGAGAAAACTCGCTCACCAGCCCGATCATCCCAACTGCTGCAACGAGCGACTGAACATATAACATGCAAAGACCTCCCACCTCGATCGCAAAGTTTCCCCCCTCGATGGCAGACTGCATCGAGGTCTTGCTTGCCCTCTGTACGAGAGGCACCAATCTCGACAAGATTGCGCCGAAGATCTCCTCACCTGACGCTGACCTGCAATGCCCGCGAACAGTTGCCCCGACGCTGCTCCGCAGACAAGACCTCGTCTCGTCGCGCCCAGCAACAAGCAAGCAAGCAAGCGAGGCGTCTTGATGAGCATGCCTATCCTCATCGCAACATGTCTCGGTCTTTCAAACGGTCACCCATCACCGCACGGTCCTCTCGCCACATTTTACCAACGGCCGCTAACCCAGCCTTCGGCGTGTTTCAGCTTGTCCTCTTTTTCGCTTGCCGAGCATGTGGGCATAGTCAGCCACCTCAAATATCTCCTTGCGTGGTTCGTCGTCCTGAGTGATCGACTGTAACTTGGCCTAGACTTCTTGCTGAAGAAAGTCTTCATCGTACTGACGAAGCCTTCATCAAACATGAGGGCGTGCACGGCAAGTTCATCGCAACATCATCACATGCTTTTTCGTCTCTTCAGCGCACGAATGATGCTGCACAGTCACAGAACGCTTGACGTTCCCACAGAGTAGCGAGCAATTGAGCTCGTCCGAACCGGCCTCCGAGAGAAAGCGGATAATGCGGTTTCAATGTGCCGTCCAATCCTCGGTACAGCGTGAGTGACCAGACGACGAGAACGTACTGTAGCATACTCTGGTCCATCGACATGTCCCCGCAGGCTCTGTCACAGACAATGCGTTCTAGGCCTCAAGTGTCAGACCTGCCAGGGAAACCCTCGAATGTGAATCATGCGACATGATGTATTCCATGTGATACCCTCGTCGCCGTGTCAACTACCCAAAGAACCTCTTCGCCGTAACATTCTGAGTTCTTCACTACAGTCGAGGCATTGTTGCTTGATTGCGTCTGCTGTGTTGGTCATGTTTTACATACGCTTCGATACAAAAGGCTGTTGACTAGACACCGAAATCGAAACATACTCTGCCAGCGACATTCGTGGCTTCGGAGTGTGAGCGTCCTGCACATGAATGTGCGATTTCTACCCACAATGCATAGCACGAACTGTATCTTGTTCAACAAACAAACTTCACAATCCCAACAATATGTACATGCTTGACAGCATTCATTCCTCAACAATAGTCTCCTCGTTTCTGCTCAACATCATAACGCTCTCGCCGTAGTAGTTGGGCTGTGAAGAGTGTACTTCCTCGACTAGCGTTAGGGTTACCCTGGAGTTACATACGCCCCTCGATCAGCAAGTGAATGAATCTCAAAACACCACTTCCACGAACATATTCCACACTCTTTAGACTCAGAACACGATGAGACTTATTGGAAATATGTTCCAAAAAATTGCTACCATTTTTACTGTGTCATATACGCCGATGGGTACTTGACGTTCGAAGTTGGGTGTGTTTTGATAATCCAGTGGAGTGCATGTCAGAGTCTGCGAAGTTCTGGTCAACACTTGCGCGAGATGGACATTCGATATCTGGTTCAAAACACCAGAAATCTTCGCCATATGTTCTACTGTTGTGCTTGCTGTTGGGGTATTGGGGTGGATGTTTAATGGTGAGTTAGGCAACTCATATCAAACAAAAGGTCGCTCTTTTTGAATTTATCACACTACCCAGAAGCACAGAGACATGAAGCAATGCAACGCAATGCAGTATCTATCTCCCGCTTGAATCGAAACAAAGGCATCAAACATCATCATTCCTCATCTCATCCCCATACCGTCTAGTTCTCCGGCACAGGCAAAAGCTCATACTTTTCCCCTCTCGCATCAAGAGCATCCTCCAGCCTCTTCATGCAAGCCAACACCTTTTCCTCTTCAAGTCTCCGTCCAACGACCTGAACAGCGACAGGGAGACCAGCCATCTTGATCGCATCGTAGTGCTTGTATGCGCCTCTTGCTACGCCGTTCATTTTGCTGATCTTCACACTGGGTGAGAGCATGTCCTTGGAAGGGTCGACATGGGTGACGGGGACGATGCCGCAGGTGTAGTCCAGTAGGTTGAACAGGAAAGTGTATCCACAAGATGCAGCCGCATCCTTCATGCCATTGTGTGGTACGGCCGGGGTTGCATTGGGAGGAGTCAAAATGAAGTCCAAACCATCGCCGAAGGATCCAAAGCTGTTCCACCATTCGAAGAACTTGGCTCTGTAGAGCTCACGCTTCACCGTCCATTGCCAGTTCTCGTATGCAGACTTCTCGTGCCAGTGTTCCAAGAGCCCGGCCCAGATCGAGTCACGCTTGACGTATTTGACATATGCCCAGTAGAACCACTTGACAAATCGAGGCAGGCGCATGTATCGGCCGAACTCGCGAGCTCCAGCGTCGTCACTCTCGCCGGTTCGGAAGTAAGAGCGGAAGGTCCTGGTGCCGTCAGCGTTGAGAAGATTGCTTGCAATGACCATGGCTTCGTATGGGCTGGGAGGAACGACATCGAAGACCTCGTGACCTTGAGCTTTCATGGCATTTACGGCCAGATCGAGGGCTCGGACACAAGCTGGAGCTGGATCGACGACTTGATCGGTTCTCATAACGCCAATCTTGAGCTTCTTCCTGTCGGCGTACTCGTTTTCAACGTCGGTTCGCCAGGCCAGTGGGTGGACAGATGGGTCGTATTTCCAGGGCTGCATCTGAATGAAGGACCGGGAGAAGTAGCTGAGATCCAGAAGCGTGCGAGCCATTGGAGAGAAGACGGATGGGATACCTTCCTGGCCGGGCATGGAGGTGCTGACGCCCAGCTTGGGCCATCTTCCAGTACTGCAGCGAAGACTGTAGCAGCCAGAGAAATGTGCTGGCGCACGAACCGATCCAGCAACGTCTGAGCCAATGCCTATCCTGCTTCCACCAAAAGCCAGAATGGCACCCTCACCACCAGTGCTGCCTCCAGGCGAGTACTTCGTATTGTGGGGATTCATTGCTCGTCCCCAGACGTCGTTGAAGCTCTCAAAGCTCAGCAGAGTGACAGGCAACTGCGTCTTGACGAACGGAACAGCTCCAGCATCCTTGAGCATGCGAACGATGGCGCCGTCCTTCAATGCCGGCTTGCCCACATTGCAGGAGTAGCCAACACTGGTGTCGAAACCTCCGACCTGAATGCTGTCCTTCAGACTGACAGGCAGACCAGCCAATGGTCCTTTCAAGTTGATATCGCCATTGTCAATCCATGCCTGAGCTTCCTTGACCATCACCTCGGTGACGCAGTTTGTCTTCTCTTGTGCCCTGACGGCGACCTTGCTGTAGGCTCGCAGGACATTGCTTGCGGTGGTCTTGTTGCTTTGTACATCTTGCACCAGCTGATCGATCGGTTCGTTCAGAATGTCCTTCTCAGCCGGTGAGAGAGGGTAGAGGTATGGCTTGGGAAGGGTTGCAATGCGGCTGGCACGGTCATCCTGCTTTCGCTTGCTGCGCGGTGAAGTGAATGGTCAGCCTCTGATGTTCGTTTATCGACAGGTACTGTAACGCGGCGTGGGATAGTGTGGGGAGATGTGGGTGATGGAGGGGGGAATCTGGCGTACCATGCCGCGCGATGCTCGAAGAAGTCGAAGGGTGGGATCATTCTGCCGGAGCTGTGCCGCTCTGTCGACACTTTCTTCAACTACAACTTTGGAGGAGAGGAAGCGGTCGAGCTGGCCATTATGTTTCCCTTCCACAACGCCCGCCCCACGACCTGACCTGCCACCGAACAGATAGCGGGGTGTCACCCGTGCCTCCGTATGCGCTCGCCGAAGATAGCGTCTTCGCTGGCTCGATAGGGCAGCTGTATCCGGCCAGCGCTGGGAGGCCGCACGCCGTATTGCTTGCTCTGATCAATCGAAACCCTCACTATCGCCCTTCACGAACCGGATACGTGTCACGGGAGCAACGAAGCCTTCGAGTTGGTACCAACTGGTCCACGCTGAGCCACTTCGCCCTCCTTGCGACCCCCGAAGGCCATCAGCCGTGATGAGACTGCCCTCGATGGGGACGCTTCACGAGCTCAAGAGTCGGTCTGCAATGGACGGCAAGCATTCTGCTGGTATGAGTATAATGGACAATGGGCAAAGGTAGGGGAATCGTTGACCTGAATGCTTGGCCCGTCCTGCTGCGATGCGGTCCTGATGCCAAGGCACGTTCCATTGGCGATGGCCGCATGTCAGGCTTTTTCAATCCACATCATATTGCTAATAGCCCAGGAATGCGACCGATGTGGTCCGCTTTCGACCGAGTCCGCCGCTCTGGAGTACCTCACCACCAGTCTTGTAGCGACGGGCTGAATGCGGCGAGGAGGATGCACGGTTCACTCACATCTCGTGCGAACTCGCGCCAACCGTCCAACAAAGTCCCTCTCGTACGGCTGAGGATTTGCAAAATCTGATCCTAAGGCCAAGCCGAGCCCGAACCCAAGGTGTTATGCGATCCAAGGACGAAGTGAAAGAGCAGAGCGAGTTGCAGGACGTGGAGCCATCGGGCGACCAAGGTCAGGATATGATCCGAGTCAATGGCGAAAGGCTGTCTGCAAGATGTCCAAACACGAGGCCGTTGGAACAGTTTGGAGACGAGCCGAATGTTGCAGCATCCAAAGGTTTCGCGGCAAAAGCACATAGCGAGCTGTCGAGAAGCCCTCGTCTGCTGGAACCAGTCTCGATGAGTATGGAAAAGGATTCTCGATCCCCTAGACGAGAGGTAAGACAAGAGGTAAAGTGCAGACTGTTGGATGGGCCATGTTGCAGAGCGGCAGACGTACCCAATACTGTCCACGGGTTACTTGTGGGCACGGCTTGCTCGACATGCAACGACACCTCATTATCCTCAAGGCTCTACTGCCTCTTTGCTGCTTCTGAAATACAAGATTCAATCCATCCTACATCTCGTCCTTTTTCTCAAATCATTGTCATCCATTGTCATCCAACCACAATAAAACATAGGACTGATGGGGATAAGCATTAGCCAAGCTTTATGACATGCATCATGTACGAGGAGGGGTGACGGAAGATGTGAAAGCTTACAGCGACGCCTCCTCCAAAGACGCGTAATGTCCTCATATACACCTTCACACTCATTACAATACATCATTTACAGAGGAGGCGAACAGAATCCTCAATGTCTTCTGCCGTTCACCATTGATTGCCGAACACAACTTCCGGATACATCTCGATCTCTATTCTTGCAACAAGATTTTTGCCGCCCTGAGAAGTCCATCTTCACACCTCTACCCGCCCATCGGACTCGGTATCCCGGCACTAGCATTCCCCGTGGCGGCTCATAAAACAGAACAGAACATGATGTGGAAGTGAAAGGGGCGTCTATTACATATTCCTTGCATGAAAAGCTGACGCGGCGGTGGACATTTCTCTTCCCCAGCGCCTGGATGCATCTTGCGGGCGTTGGAACTAGCATTGCGGTTTTGAGCATTTTTGAGGGAGGGATTCCAGGAGCAACATATAACTGTGGAGGCCGTACCTGGATTCTGTGAGATTCTGGAGCGTACTGGCGAATGATCTGATCTGGACAGCATTTCACGAGCATCATGCGACTTCCTTTCGGCGCTTTGCTCTGCGCCTGGCTTTCGATACAGCAACATAGCTGGGCACGACCGATGGCCGACTTCGAGAGTGTGCGCACACGATTGGATGTCTCGTACGTCAATCCGGAAGAGGACCACCCTTACAAGTACTTCCACGAATCGACTTTCCATCCTCACTACGATGGCCGCTTTGGCGACAGAATTCTCAGGTACGACGAGCAACAAGCGCATCTCAAAGCGCTCATACAGACCTACCTCTCGACGATGAACAGCATTGGCGCGGAAACGTGGCTTATGCATGGGACTTTACTGGGCTGGTACTGGAACCGCAGAGTCATGCCGTGGGATTCTGATCTGGATGTTATGGTTTCGGAGAAATCGCTGCATTTCCTGGCCAGCTATCATAACATGACCATGTATCGCTTCAAACTGCCTGCCCAGAAGAAGACGAGGACGTATCTACTCGAGATCAACCCGAATTACCGAGAGGACGAAGTCGACGATGAGAACAGGATCGACGCTCGCTGGATCGATACCGAAATTGGCCTCTTCATCGACATTACCACCCTTCGCCGAGACAGAGCTTCAGATGACGAGGAAGCCATGATGGTCAAAGACAAACATCATTACATGCTTGAAGATATCTATCCTTTGCGAGAGAGCACTTTCGAAGACATTCCTGTCTGGGTTCCATATGCGTATCCGGATATTTTGAGCGAGGAGTATGGACACGAGGCGCTTTCGGGTACGAATTATGAGCACCATCGGTATGATGGGGAGAAGCAGACTTGGATCCCCCAGAAGATACTTACTTCGAAGTTTGATGACGAGGATGATGGCTGAGGATGGCAGAACTCTGATGTAACCTTTCATGCATCACGCATGGTATTACTGTCGATTTGTCCTGGTGAACTCGCATGCGCAACCCCGAAACGGCCGTGGAAATCATCAACGACTTTCTCCCAGTCCTCCACAACCAACTGTTGGTAAATCCGCAACCTCGCCGACTCCGCAATGTACATGAAGTAATTCCGCCCAATGCTCGGATCATCGAAGCTTGTCGATACGACCGTCCAGCCAACCTGCCCTTTACTCAACCCAGCCCAGACAAGAGCTTCCGCCAACTCCAGCCAGCCGCCTCGACGCAACGGTTGGGACCCTCCAGATGGCGGAGGCTGGTTCTCGCTGCTGGAGAGGTGATATTCCACGTTCAAGTGTTTGATGGTGGCCAGAATCTCTCGGCCTAGGAGTGTGGCTGAGAAATGCGATGCTGCGAAACGTTCGACGTAGACGGGGCATTGATCCCTGGGTACTCTGAGGACGAAGTCGTTGAGGGAGTAATACAAAAGCAAGGATTCTTCGCGGAGCTGACGACAAGTCCTTGTCAATGGCGGCGCTGAGGCTGTGAAGTCGACAGCAGCTGTTTTCGTGAGCGCATACTCGTACACGAGGTTGCGAAGTTCAGCACTGAGCTTCAGGGGAGGCGAGGAAGCGCTGTCCATGATATCCATCTTCTGCTCGTGGGCTCAGTCAGCTTCATCGTCACCGGGCAACAGAATACGATTACGAAATTACCAGAAAAAGTACCTGTGCAGCATGCAGACTTCATCAAGACGTCTGGTTCCGTCGACCGCTGATGACTCAAGCAGCAGCTGAAGAGCGAGCAAGGATGAAGATGCCCTGCCCTGTCTTGTTGATAGACTTTCGGAATGGCGGTGCTGGAAGAAGAAAATGTCGCGCGGCCCTGGTTACTCAGATTGCGCTATTCCCAAGGAGGCAACTTGAGATCGATGGGATGAGGCGAGCGGACATCGTTCGATCTGATGGCGTGGCGGTGCGGGAAGTGCACGAGAGTGCTGTGCGACTGTCTTTTTGTTGAAGGACAAGAGAGACTCTGGTGTTGGTGTTTTGTCCGAAGCCTCCTGTGGTGGGCTTGAGCGAGAGACATCAAGGTCGATGACGGGACACAACATAACATCATATCCTTCTCTCGATGCAATAGGGTTCTAGGGCCTTCTCGTCACAAGCAAACGACATGGGGTTCCGCGAGACGAACCCAATCGACATGGACCATTTGATGGAGGGACCTCACAACACCATTGCCAACCTGGAGGACCGGCCATGGCGAACAAGATACCACAGTGACAGATAGAGGAACGAAGGCTTCCGAAGATGGGGCTTTTCGATTCGAATCTATATTGAACGACACATGAAATACACAGAACTTAAATAAATTACTTCAAGGCTTGGCTGTGCTTTTAGATGAGTGTGCTGGATCTCGGCCCGAGATTTAGGCGCACGAAGGCTTGAGCAGGGGAGTGTGAGACTTTATACCTCGATGGCCCCTTGGCAAGTTCATCGAGGAACCCGATACGAAGCGTACCATGCCCAAGTGGTCCATCCTCCGCACGAAATATCGCGAGGCTGGGGAACGAACAGGTCTATCGACTGGGCAAAACCTCAGATGTGAATCTTGCCGAAATCCGCTCTACAGACGAAAGACCCTTCACAATTGCATCACATGGCTCATCAGCAAAACAACGGAGCAATCAAACCCCAAGAGTCAAACAGTGTCCCGAGCGCTACTCTATGGCAGTGGAGACACCATGTGAACTTGGCGCACATCGAAGCATACTAAGATATGCCGAAGAGCGCGGGCAAGACGGTAGGCGAGAGCCAAGAAGCCTGGATAGACGTCGACATCTTGGCTAAGACATAGCCGCCAGCAAGACGACGTACCATATCCGTCAAATGCGGTCTCATACGCCTGACTGCTGCCCACGAAACAGCTTCAGGACGACGCTCTCTCCTTCAGCTGGGTAGTTGCCCGGCACAGGCCTTAAACAACGCCATGGTGTAAACAGGATGCCGAGCAGAGCCAGTAGAACGACTACTACTTGGCGAATACCAGTCTATTGAATGCAGGTCTCACAATCTCACACTTTCATGGCGACATCTGCCAGCCGTGATGGCCGCGTGACTGCAATGGTTGCTGATAACGCGGTAGTATAAAATCTGGACGAAAGCCGCAGGTTGGACGTTCCATACCATCGCTGCAGAAATCGTTTCTTCGAAGCCGACGACAACCTCGAAGGGTTCATCGCCATCAGCCATCGGACATTGTTCATCATGCAACTCACCAACGTTCTCGCACTCTTCCCGATCGCTCTAGCTTACGCATTACCAAGTGGTGACACATCAAGACATGCCCGCGCAGAGGATATAGACGGCCTCGTGGTCCTGAACAAACTGATCCAGTCCGATAAATCTTCAGAACCGGCGTCCAAGAAGAATGTTCTGGCTGACAGCGAGTACAGGCAAAATATCACTCACCGATGGTGAAGACGGGCTCGACACTCGCGCTTTGTCCACTCGAGCGAACGTCCCAGGTCTGCACTGCGGGTATACTCGAGCAGCTCTATGTGCCTTGAATGTTGGGGGAGTCGTTGCTCAGTGCATCTGGGCTGCGGTCGATAGTGGAATTGACGCAGGGGCGGACGGGAGGTGTGTTGCTGCTTTTGGTAATCTTGGGACGAATTTCGTGAGTTTGATGTTTCTCGACTACTTGGTCTTGGTGTTTGATGAGCTAACTGAACTGCCTGTAGCCGCAAGACTGTAGGCTTTGCTTGGGGCTTTGAGTCATCACCGATCCAGAAACAAGAAATTTCAAACTCGACATCAATTCCCTTCGTGTTTGGTGTGATGCATCGCCAACAACCGACTGACATGAGAGATTGCCCTCGCCAAGACGGAAAGTGAGAACGAGAAGTGTTCGACTGGTCGACATACCCTCGAGAACGTCGATGAGGCCTCCACACCGTGGCATCAGAAGCTTGCTTGTGAACCGAGATGCCTCGAACGTTTCGTTGGCCCCGCGGCCTCTTCGACTGGACTTCAGCCATTGAATGCACTGCTGTTCGTAGGAGGAAACCGCTGATGTCGCCGTGACTCCAGAGGATTGCGGCTTCCTTCGGCCACCGAAGCCACCAAGGTCAGGAGGCAAGTGCGTTGGCGCTGGAGGCGTTCGAGGTCTTGATGAGATTGAGCCTAAGGATGGCGTGTACAAGCTCTGTGGCAGCGGTTGCGATGGAGACAGGCCAGCCTCGGCACCTTGGTTGATGCAAAATCAGCAACGATATGTCGCCATTCAGCGCCACGAGCAGAAACTCCTCAGGAAGGCCTCAGCTGACCCAAGCCTCCAGGCAAGCTTAACCTCATCCCCACAAGCCACCATCACTGGATCTGTGGGAAGATCCGGGGCGGCTGCAGTGACGATCACGCCACATGTTGCAAAGAAGATTCACAAGCTCAGGGACGAACCTCTGGAGGTGCGGAGAAGCTTTCATTGGCCATTCACTTACCTCCAAAGGATCTAGCAACTTCTTAAATTGGAAGGCAGACAGGAAAGCTTTCCGTGCTTGACTTTACTTGGTACCGCTTCTACTTACTTGCCAACCAACCCGCAACCTTACCTCACTTCCAGACTCGAATCTTATGCTGTTTGAGATGCTAGTGCATGCAGTTGGATCAATCAGCTGGACAACTACACCACACCGACCCGAGGAGGCGGCATCGAAAGGAGCTTCGTACATCAGCTCTTCTCTCGTTGTACGTAACAACAACTCACAAGTACACAGGAATTGCATTCGCATGCTGCACAACATGAAACGGGCGCTTCCCAGATTGCTATACCAACCAGCGGAGCCGAGGTGGCTGAAGGAGTCTGCAGACCGGGATTGGACGCCCAGCGGCACTACACATCAAAGTCTATGCGTTAAGCTTAAGCAGCCGCACACTCTATTTCGTCGTCTTACTTTTAGGCGTCCTGGGGAAGGCATGCGGTTTCAATGCAAGAAGCAACACTTGCGGAGACGAGAATGGTCAGGCTTGGACCATACCACAGGGCACCTCGGCGTCACAAGGCTCATATGCCAACAATGCAAGCAGAAGGAGGTGTTGACTTCGACACTCACTCTCTCCGCGGGATTGAGAAAAAGAACCCACCACAGTAAAATTGAATGTTTGAGAGTGGTCTACCAGTGACTGGCGCGTCGGCAGAATGCTGATCGCTACCCACATTGTTGATCACTGCCCGCAAAGGTGAGTACTGTCCACGAGGCGTTTGATTGAGGAACATGTGGGCCATATGGCCTACCTCTGACTACCGTGGACCAGAAGAAGTTCCAGAACGAGCATGCAGGGACCTGCAGCAACCTAGCAGAGTATTGGTCTCTAGCGTCTGGGGTAATTGTTCGCAAAGGCGGCAAGCAACAACGTCTTCATGACCAATAGGTCAATGCTCGAAGACAGCACAGACCAAGGCAGCAACGACGATGAGGAGAAGGACTTCACGTCGAGATGGATATAAAAGACTGCTGCTTTCCCATCATCTCAACTTCTCATCCACAACAGCAACAGCAATCTCAAGAACTCCAATCCCAACAACACAAAACAACTCTTCTCACTCTCCCACGAGAAACCACCAACCGCAAAAATGGTCGCCATCAGCCAGCTCATCCTCCTCGCCGTTTCGGCCACCGCCTCCGTCATCCCCCGTGATGCCGCCACCGTCCAGGCTGACCTCAAGACCATCAACACCGACACCACCACCTTGACCTCCAAGGTGCAGGCTTACAACGGCGGTGCTGCCAACGCCCTGCCAATCCAGTCGGCCGAGAACCAGCTCGAGAAGGACCTCAAGTCCGCCAACACCGACGCCGGCAACAGCGCCGTGGTCAGCGCCACCGACGCCCAGTCCATCATCGACTAGTAAGTAAAACCCCATCCTCCTACTCAAACCTCACAAGTTTACCAGGAAACTGACACTCTTTTCATCAGCATCAACAACACCCTCGAGCCCAACATCGCCAAGTCCATCCAAGCCCTCGAGGCCAAGAAGTCCAACTTCCAGACCGACGGCCTCGCCGGCACCGTCCTCACCGACCTGAAGAACATCAAGAACGAGACCGACACCCTCGGCGCCACCCTCAAGACCAAGACCCCAGCCGCCAAGCAGTCCGCTGCCCAGGCCGCTCTTGACAAGATCGACAACGACCTCCAGGGTGGCATCAACTACTTCTCTTAGATTGGGAATGTAGCTATGGGAGGATTAGAGATAGATGGAAACTATGAAAGGAAAAAAGTGAAGCGTGAAGCGTGAAAGCGAGCGAGTTGGAATGAGACTTGACTTTGATGATGTATGCGAGTAACGAAAATAGCTTTTGATGAATCGAATCAAAGAAAAAACACATGTTCAGAACGACTTCTCCAATTCAGACTGACTAGTACACATATCTAAAAGCAACCTTCTCCTTATCCGTCAGATCCGAGAACGCCTCCGAAGCCTGCTCACCCGCATCCACTCCATACACACGATCCCTGCGCCGATTCTCCAGGAAACAGAGCAACCCATGGCCCAAGATCGAGACGATCGCAACGACAATACAGCCGAGCATGCCCGCGTAGCCATGCGAGTAGTCCGGTGCATCGTTAGCTTGAAACAACTGAGGGCCGATGATGTTGCCGATGCAGTAGGACAGGAAGAAGACGGCGTTGACGGTGAGCTTCTTGGAGTGGCCAGAGGAGTTGGCCATGGGGAGGGAGGTGCAGAGGACGTAGGGGCCTGGATTTATGTGAGCTTGAGAGACACTGCGGCAGGGGCGTGGTTACTTACCCCAGTACGAGTAGAAAGAGTAGTACGCAGCTAGGAGGCCTTGCTTGTTGTCTCGTGGTAGCTTCCACATGAGCACTGCGCAAACCAGCGGGAAGAGATCCATGAATGCGATGGTCAGACATCTCCCGTTTGGAAACTTGGCAACCATGAACGACCAAATGAGCTGCCAAGCTGTAGCGATGACTCCAGTGGGTATTCCGAGAAGCGTCGTGACCAGCCGATTGTATCCCAGACCCGACACGATGATCGAAGAGAAAGTGATCAGTCCTCCGTTAGGGATGTTCTGCGCTATCGCAAACAATGCCAAAAGCCACGTCTTGGGATCCAGGAGGCATTCTCGGACTTGGTACCATTTGACCTTCTTCTCCTCAAGACCCGTATTGTTGCCTTTGACTCGCTGAACGCAGATAAATCTCTCTCGTTCCGACAGGTACCAGCATGTCGTCGGAGAGTCCGGCAGGAAGAAGTACAGCACAAGACCCCAGAGCAGGGAGAAGGCCCCCAGAACAATGAAGAGCAGCCTCCAAGGCGCGACTGAGGTATGCGTATGGCCAATCCCGTAGCTGACGATCCCAGCGAAAATCGAAGACCCCTGATTGAACCAGAAGGCGATGCGGATCGGCTGCTCGGATGTTTTCCACCACATGGCTGTCATGATTGCTGAGCTGGAGAAGACGGGCACTTCCATCGCTCCCATGATGAAACGGCAGGTGGCGAGACCACCGAAATTTTGAGTCGCGGATGTACAGAGCATGAGGACTCCCCAGCCAAAGACGTTGAAGACGAGGAACTTCGCCACGGGAAGTCGTTGCGTGAGGTATGCCGCTGGGAACTGGCAAAACGAATAAGTGCTGGCTCAAGGATTGATGGAGAGGGACTTACCTCGAAAGCCAGGTAGCCAAAGTAGAAGATCTCCGTCGAATCAGCATATGGAAGATTACACTCCTCCGGCGGCAGACTCACCGACCCAACCCAAGAGTAATCATTCCCGGTCAAATGCGTATCCTCCTCCATCCCATAGATAGCAGCATTAGATATAATGACCTTGTCGACCGCCGCGAGGATGCAGGTAACTGAGATCAGAGGAATCAAAATCCAATCGATCTTCCGGAGGACTTTCTTTTCCTCCTGTCGTGAAATTTCCTGCCCAGCGATGGCCGGATCGATATTGGCAAGGAAGCCGGCGGCGACATCTTCGTTCTTGCCGTCGTGCGGTCGAAAGGAGTCGAGGAGTTTCTGCTTTCTGTTGCGAGGAGGGGGATTCACTTCGGCGGTTGCGTTGATTGATGAGTGCTTCTCTTCGACGCCCATTGTCGCTCAGAGGGCGGGCAAACACCAGCAACAGTGGAAATTATGACAGCAATGAAAGCGTAAAGAAAGAGCGGCAGCGTTGGATGCCAGAAATTTGGTAGCAAGTATACTTCTCCCCGTCCGCAGTGCCTTGAAAGCCAAGCCTGTTCCGCTCAGTCCGAAGATAGGGCAGATAGACTATCAGTCGCACATAAGTCGTCAATGGCTGTTGCAGCGGTGCTCAGAGGATTATGAGGGGCAACGTAGGTGATACCGCATGCAGCTACCTACCGACGTCCTGGCCGTAGGCAAAGATAAGGCTCGAGAATCTTTCCAGTTCGGCCTATCGAACCGCTAGGTGAAGCTGTGTTGCTCGTATTCAAGATCGGCTTTTGTTGCTTTGGCCGACTTCATGTGGGGAGCTGTTCTCTTGATACATGAGATTGTGTTTTTGGAGGTTCTAAAGACCATGTCATCGTAGGCTTTGGAGCGAGGATAGTTTTGAGTCGAGCAAGCCAGTACGCCCGCTCCTTGATTTCCGATAGACTGAACGCAATCATGGGCAGCATAGAACAGCCAAACGGCTTGAAGATCAAGGTAGCAATAGGTGAGCTAAAAAGCTGACTGAAAAGGGACGAAAGCGGGCATGTACTTACTTTGACCAGATCGCGGAGGCACCTTCACCGACTGCCTAGGAATCGTCTCAGGCCAAGAAGACATCGTCGTAAAACTCCTCTCACAAGATCCTGACAATTATGAAGATGCTCCCATCGAAGGGATTCGACGTATCTTGGAACAGGCAACCGGGCAAGCATTTCCTCGCAATCAGAAGCTCGATGTCAGCGGCTTCTCTGAAGTGAGCGTGCGGATGGGCACTACCGTGGCAACGAACGCTTTGCTCGAGAGGAAAGGCGAGCGGGTGGCATTGTTGATCACGAAGGGTTTCGGTGATGCACTACGGATAGGCACGCAGTCGAGGCCGAAGCTTTTTGATCTGAACATCGTGCGGCCGGATGTGCTCTACGAAGATGTTGTGGAAATTGATGAACGGGTGACCATTGAGGCTTATCAACAAAACCCAGAGACCGACTTCGAGGGTTTACAGCGCCAGCTGGAGACTGATTCGAACCTGTGCAAAGGTGTTTCGGGTGAGGTGGTGCGAGTGTTGCAGAGACTTGATCGAGAGCAAGTCCGGAGAGACTTGCAACGCTTGTTCGATAATGGCTACCGAAGCATTGCGGTGTGTCTGGTGCACTCATACACCTTTCAAGGTTTGCCATCGCTGATCCATATCTTGCTTTTAACTGACCGCGTTTCCAGAGCACGAGCTGGCCATTGAGGAGGTTGCCCGAGAGATTGGCTTTACTCAAATCTCTCTGTCAAGCCAGCTTCTCCCAATGATCAAGTTGACTTCCAGAGGTACAAGCGCTACCGCAGATGCATACTTGACTCCAGTGATCAAGCGATACATCGAAGGCTTTCGCGATGGCTTCAAGGATCGCATGAGCAGTGACAAAGTTCGCTGCGAGTTTATGCAGAGTGACGGAGGGCTCGTCAACTTCGACAAGTAAGTGTTTGGACTAGAAAGTAGCATTGCCAATCTGACGGACTTGTCGTAGGTTCTCTGGTCTTCGAGCCATTCTATCCGGCCCAGCTGGTGGAGTTGTTGGCCACGCCAGAACTTCTTTTGACGAGAAGCGGAGGACTCCCATCATCGGGTGAGATTGTCCTCCATAGAACAATTGGCGACTTGACTGACATCGAAAGTTTTGACATGGGTGGTACGAGTACTGACGTCTCACGTTTCGATGGCAAGCTCGAGCACACATTCGAGAACGTGATAGCTGGAGTTACTGTCATGGCTCCTCAGCTCGACATCAACACTGTCGCCGCTGGAGGTGGTAGCATCCTCAATTGGAAGAACGGGTACCAAGGCTTCCAAGCGGACATTCATACCCATTCAAGACGCTGACATATGCTCCTAGGCTGTTCGCCGTTGGTCCAGAAAGCGCTGGCGCCCATCCAGGACCTGCCTGCTACCGCAAAGGAGGTCCATTGACCACAACAGACGCAAATCTGTTCCTAGGCCGCCTATTGCCCGATTCATTCCCCAAGATCTTCGGGCCCAATGAGAATGAGGCGCTGGACGTCGAAGTGACCAGAACTAAGTTCCAAGAGATGACTGACAAAATAAATGCCGAGACAGGACAGAGCAAGACTCCCGAAGAAATCGCATTAGGTTTCATCGAGGTGGCCAACGAAGCAATGGCGAAACCTATTCGACTGCTCACAGAGGCTCGAGGTTTCGATACGTCGACGCACCATTTAGCTTCCTTTGGTGGAGCTGGAGGACAGCACGCATGTGCGATAGCGTCGTCGCTCTCGATCCGGACCGTCATCATACATAGGTACTCGTCCATCCTTTCAGCGTACGGTATGGCCTTGGCCGACCTTGTCCAAGAAGCCCAAGAGCCGGCCTCAGGAGTCTTCGATGCGACAACTCAAGCTCAGATTCGCAAAAGAGCTGCTGCGCTGAAAGTCAAAGTGGTCGATGCCCTTGCAGATGACGGCGTTCCGGCAGATCACATCCGGTACGAAGTGTACCTCAATCTTCGATATCAAGGCACCGACAACACGCTCATGGTGTTGGAGCCTGAAGACGGTGACTTTTTGTCTGCATTCTATGCTGAGCACAAGAGGGAGTTCAGCTTCACTTTCCCAGAACGCAAGGTCCTCATTGAGGACATTCGAGTCCGAGGCATCGGTGGGTCGCTGTCACTGCCAGCTGAGGATCCTCATGCAGAGCTTCGGACGATCGTCAAGAAGCCAGTGCTCGCGGGTCAAGAAAGCAGCAGAAGTCCGGTCACATTTGCGTCTACAGGCACCGTCGATACACCAGTCTTCAAGCTTGAACATCTAGAGCCTGGGCACGCAATTGCAGGACCGGCAATAATTATCGACAGCACCCAGACGCTTCTCGTGGAGCCCGAAGCAACTGCGACGATCCTCTCCAGGCACATTATCTTAGACATCCCAGCGAAGGCGAAGAAGACACTCTCGGCAGACGTTGTGGATCCAATTCGTCTATCAGTGTTCGGATACCGCTTCATGGCAATCGCAGAGCAGATGGGTCGGATGTTCCAGAAGACGTCGGTCTCCACCAACATCAAGGAACGGCTTGACTTCTCGTGTGCGGTATTTTCACCGGACGGCAAGCTCGTAGCTAATGCGCCGCATGTGAGTGTCTCGAAGTGCATATTTGTAGCGTTCTAACCTTTCGCTAGGTCCCTGTGCATTTAGGGTCAATGGAGTACGCTGTCCGTTACCAGCACGAGGAACTTCGCGGACAGCTCAAGCCGGGAGATCACATCTGTACCAATCACCCTCTAGCAGGCGGCACCCATCTGCCAGACATCACCATCATAACTCCGGTATTTGACGACGCAGGCGACAAGATTATCTTCTACGTAGCCTCTAGAGGTCACCACGCAGAGATAGGCGGTATCCATCCAGGCTCCATGCCATCAGATAGCCGAATGCTGTACGAAGAGGGTGCCATGACCATGGGCTTCAAGATCGTCTCGGAAGGCCAATTCGACGAGGCTGTTGTTCGTGAGTTCCTCTACGACAAGCCGGCATCGTGCCCAGCATGCAGCGGCACCAGGACATACAAAGACAACGTGTCGGATCTGAAAGCAGCGATTGCTGCAAACCAGAAAGGAGCACAGTTGATCAACTCGCTAGTCGAAGAGTACAGTCTGCCGATAGTCCACTTCTACATGGATGCCATCAAGTCGAATGCCGAGGTTGCCGTGCGGCGGTATCTGATGCAGGTCGGCAAAGAGAGAAATGGCAGGCCATTGACATTCTCTGACTTTATGGATGACGGCACTGAAATCTGTCTGAAGGTGACGATAGATCCAGCTACGGGAGACAGCACTTTTGACTTCTCAGGCACAGGCCGCGAGACCTTCAATTGCCTGAATGCACCGAAGGCGATCGCGCATTCGGCGATCATCTACTCTCTTCGAGCATTGATCAACCAGGATATTCCTCTGAACCAAGGGTGCCTCGCTCCAATCAAGGTCATTATTCCAGAGCGTACGCTTCTGAATCCGTCCGAGCACGCGGCTGTCTGCGCCGGAAATCCCATCACCTCGCAAAGGATAACAGATGTCGTCCTGGGAGCTTTCGACGCCTGCGCAGCGTCACAAGGCTGCTGTAACATCATCTCGTTTGGTACTGGAGGACTTGACGCTTCCGGCAAAGAAATTCCAGGGTTCGGTGTCGGCGAGACCATCTGTGGCGGATCCGGAGCAGGAAATGGATGGCATGGCACATCTGGTGTGCATGTCCACATGACGAACACCAGAATCACCGACCCAGAAGTTTACGAGCTTCGATACCCCATCGTTCTGCGGCAGTTCTCCATTCGCAAGGGCTCTGGCGGCGAAGGATTGTACAGAGGCGGCGATGGTGTGCTTCGTGAGATTGAGTTTCGCATCCCGCTCTCAGTATCGATGCTCAGCGAGCGGAGAGTCATTCGTCCGTACGGTATGGCTGGCGGATCACGAGGACAGGCAGGCCTCAATCTCTTCGTCAAAAAGGAGCTCGATGGAAGTGAGCGGGTGATCAACATCGGCGGCAAAATGGAGTTGAACGTCCAGCCTGGGGAGAGGATCCTCATTCACACGTAAGTCCAGGCCCTTTCTGCATCGAGCGAACCTCAGCTAACATATTCGATAGACCAGGAGGCGGAGGTTGGGGCTCGAAAACATTAGAGTCTGCTGATGTCGCGATTAATGGTGGCGTAAAGCATTCTTCTTTCCTTCCCAGCGGCAGTGTGCATGCTTGGTCGGTCGCTGCTGAGGCAGCTCAATAGACAACGACCTGACGTACTTCTGTGGTACTCTATGGCCGTGTGATCTATTCTTCAGTTTCGATGATGTTTGTTGTTCTTGAAAGACACGTCCAGGCGCGAAAGTTGTCGCTGCTGCCCTATTAATAGCAGGACTCAATATACTCAGGGCGGTATGGGATATATGTCAACAAACGACCTCACGTCATGTCCGGCCCTTCAGCTCCTAGCTTTCCAGCCACTGATAAAGAATACAAACATCAAGACAGACCACCGAGTGCTAGCTGTGACGGCCAGAGCCATAGTGTACAGCGCATTATCCTGTCTCGCCCCTTTGACTATATCATTCAGCCCGCGAGGGTCATTTCTCCTTCGGAACCCATTCTCCGTCCGAGAAGTGCGCCGAAGCCGAATGGATACGCCACAATTTCCATTGACCTCACTCCTGTCATTGATGGCAGAAAAAATTCGCTGAGCGGTTTCTGTTGAAGTCCTGCCCTCATATCTGCCGTCTGATCGCCTACGCACCTTGCAGCTAACAGCTCTATCTGTGACATGGCATCTCGGAGGACAGCAGACTCACTGCTTCGCTGGACGAACTTGATCCCCAGCGGCCCACCCAGAACAAAACCTCAGACAGCCTCGATAGCTTCACCTTGCCAGCAGAAAAGCAGTTCGCATCCTCGAAGGCACCATGCCTCGACCCCTCAGTACCATCCACACAGGCTACTGGCTCATACCCAGTCGCCTCGGCCTTCATGCTGTACTAAGTCTCAGGCATCAAAACCGCCTTTACCCGGCACACGAAACCTTTACACAAGCGCGAGGAGATTCAAGTTCATGACGGGTGTGGGAGCGGAACCTGGCATAGATCCCAATGTGAGCAATCCCAAATGGGACCGGCTCAACCAATTACCGCAGGCGGACAGCGACATCAAGGTGATCGACTACTCCCGCGACCAGATGATAGAGCGAGACGTGAAGGTATCGGCATTGGCCACTTTCGTCAGGGATGAGCCAAAGCCTTCATGGGCAGCCTGCCGATGGATTTACGTCAACGGCGTGAATTGGCATGTCATTCGGAGTCTAGGAAGCACGTACAACCTGCATCCCTTGGCGATTGAGGATGTTATGGATACACGATCCCCTACCAAGGTCGACTGGTACCAGAACCATTGCTTCCTGGAGATGAACATGGCCAGGCTTGTGCACCTTGAGGACGACGATCCTCGCGCGACCGAGGATCCAGAGAACATTCTGCGGAAACGTCATGGCAACCACAAGTGGCGACTGCTATCCCCAGGGCACTTTGGTATGTCAGTCGAGCAAGTCTCGATGTTTCTGACAGACGACAACACCCTCATCACCATTTTCGAGAATGGTGGGTCGGAAGTGCTCAGCCCGATCTTGGCTCGATTGCAATCACCCTCGACTGTCGTCAGGTCTAGCAATGACCCATCGATGCTCCTTCAGGCCGTCATTGACGCAGTGGTGGACCTCTCCTTACCCATTGGTAAAGCTGTCGGCGATGCCTTCGACAACCTCGAACTGGCGGTCCTCTCCACACCGAAGATCAATCAGTCGAAACGCCTCCATATTCTCCGCTCAGGACTGACCCTGCTCAAAGAGCACACAATAGCCGTGGAGAGCCTCATAAGAGCTCTCATTGATCACCGCGCCGTCTTGAACTTCCGAGCCCAAGACGGAACAGCACCTGGTGGGAGCCTCATCCCCAACCAAATACCGACCAGCGTCCAAATCTCGCGTATGGCTCAAGTGTACCTGCAGGATGTGCGAGATCACGCTGCTGGTCTGTCAAACTCCACGTCAATGGCGATCCGTTCGGCTGAGCACCTCACCACGCTCATCTTCAACTCCATCGCAGCAAGCCAGAATGAGAGTGTTCGCAAGCTGACGCTCGTGTCAAGTTTCTTCTTGCCGCTGACATTCTTGACTGGTAAGTGCTGATCCTACATTCAACTACAGTATTGTGAATCAAGGCTGAACGGGATACAGGCTACTTCGGCATGAACTTCGACCCAATGCCAATCGTAAACGACCATTCGGATGTGTACTTCTGGTACATAGCGACACCAGTCATGCTGACCACAGTACTGCTCATGTCGACGAGAGTAGAAAGATTCGGTCCTCTCGCATGGGCAAGGAGGAGACGGATACGCCAACAAACGAAGCTGAGAGAACGAAATCTGAATGGAAAGAGGAAACCTGGTGCTGAAGGCCGAGACGAGTAGTTTCTACTCAACGTGTACGATATCGGTGAGCCCAGCTCACAAACCTCCAGCACTCTTCTCAATATACGTCGTATAGATGCAAGTCCTAAGGTCAGGACCAAGCTATGCCGAGCATTCCCATACCCTGGACATTCATCCACCAATCGCTGCCAAGAATATCCATTCCTTCCAGCACTAACCTTCGTTGAGAAGGAGATCTGCTTTCGACCCCATGCGGAGTACATGCATTGCATGCACGCTATACATTGAAGTGCGGAGGGAGATGTTCCAGGCTAATTGCCGGTATATATCATCCTCGTTGCCACCGGTACTATATCTTGCCCTTTCCGTCCCTGACAGAACGTCGATCCACAGTTTTGAAGTAACATGCAGCTCAAAAGCTCCATCGCAGCCCTTCTGCAATGTCTAGCGGCATCGGCAACATGGACGGCGTACGAAGAATATCTCTCGGGACTACCAAAGCACATATCAAGGCGACCAAGCCATCGCCCCAGCCTCACGTTCAAGCCCAACGAGCCTTGGAATCCCCTGCCGTCCTCGCCGCCTCGCCACAAGACTTGCTACGTTCACAGCCATGATGATCTGAAGACAGACGATTCGAAATACATCCTCGAAGCGTTGCGGGAGTGTAACGATGGTGGACATGTCGTCTTTCCGCAGGGGGCGATATTGGAACAGCGTTGAATCTACAGTTCTTGAAGCACATTGATATCGGTAAGTCGACCATCCATGCTCTTCGACTGATAATCACACTGACCAATTGATTGAAGACATCCAAGCCTACATCCAATTAACCAACGACACAGCCTACTGGCAATCCCACGCTTTCAACCAGACCTTCCAAAACGCCACAACCTTCTTCCAACTCGGCGGCACCGATGTAAATGTCTACGGCGGCGGGATGCTCGACGGCAACGGGCAGGTCTGGTACGATCTGTATGCTGAGGACATCTACATTCTCCGGCCGATCCTTGTCGGCGTCATTGATTTGCACAGCGGAAGCATCTCCAATCTCTGCTGGAGATACTCGCCGCAGTGGTATAGTCTTACCGCCAATTCGACAGATGTGGTTTTCTCTGGCATTGATGTGAGTGGGTATAGCCAGAGCTCCAATACGGCGAAGAACACGGATGGCTGGGATACGTACCGGAGTTCGAACATCGTCATTCAGGATTCGGTGATCAATAACGGGGATGACTGTGTGAGTTTCAAGCCGAATAGCACGGAGATTCTTGTGCAGAACTTGCATTGCAATGGGAGCCATGGGATTAGTGTGGGAAGTTTGGGGCAGTATGCTGGTGAGACGGATATTGTTGAGAATGTGCTGGTATTGTTGCTCCTTCTCTTCTCCCTTCATTACGCATGCTTCTTGCTGACGTCTCTTCCAGGTGACAAACATAACCATGTTCAACGCCTCTGACATGACTCGCATCAAAGTCTGGCCAGGCAGCGCCGCCGCTCTCTCGGGTGATCTCCAAGGAGGCGGTGGCACTGGACGCGTCTCGAATATCAGCTACACCGACATGGCCATCTCAAATGTCGACTACGCGATCGAAATCACGCAGTGCTATGGCCAGAACAACTTCACTCTCTGCAACGAGTATCCTTCGAAGTTGTCGATCGAGGGCGTGAAGATCGCTGGCTTGAAGGGGTCGACGAGCGTGAATTATGAGCCCGTGAGCGGGTATGTGGTTTGTAGCAGCCCGGAGGTGTGCAGTGGGATCGAGGTGGAGGATATCGACGTCGTGGCGCCGGATGGGACGAGGAATTTGTTCGAGTGCGGGAATGTCGACGAGAGCTTGTTGCAGGGTGTGACTTGTAAGCCTGTTCAAGATGATTAGCTCTGCTCAATGACCAGTTGTCATAGAATGGCCAACCTCATGCAAACATCCTCGCAATTCTCATGAACCCAGACGTCGTCAAGGAGAGGAAAAGCCCCAGCGCAAACCCCACCGCAGCGTATTCTCTCCGCGCTCCCATGCCCAAAACCCAGAGCAAAGCCGTCACTGACCAGTTGACCGCCCTGGAGAGACAGCGCCGTAAGTAGGTAGGATCGCCTTGCATCGGCTGGCCTGTGCGGAGCTCGTAGTGGTAGGTCATCATTGCTGCCGCGACGAAGTCTCCGCAGAAGAAGCAGAGGACGAGAGCGATGATGTTGACGAGGATGGCCCAGGCGGGGAGCTGCTCCGCGAGAGATGGAGTTGAGGGTGTCATGTTGGTGGAAGTGAGGTTCTCTGTGGTGTCGGTGTATTTGATTGTATGGTGGATCTTATGTAGGCGAGTTGAAAGGAAGTGAAGCTGAGGCCAAACATGTCTTGACACGTGTAGAAGAACACAAAGGCGGACGCTACAGTGATACTCACATCACCACGGCATTCCAGAGACATCTGGAGACAGAGAGTGTATTATTTCAAGTGTCAGCGGGTCTTACCATGTCACGGACAGGCGGCAAGTCCGTGGAAATGCCATCTCCTGAATCATTGTTCCTGACTGTATAAGAGAAGCCATTCAGCCCGCAAGACAGCAGTCATCGCATCTATCAGCCAGAACCTTCATGGAAGATGTCCCCAGAGACACTCCACCGCGGCCGTGACTTGTGCTTCAACTAACCGACGACTGGGCGCAGCGTGCTCCAATTATGTGAAGGTTATCGTGTAGTAAAGCCACAACTAGAGAAGCGCAGAGCGTAGATAGTCATCCCGTGAAGAGTCCTCTTCTCTTGGAGATCTCTTCATCTTAGACAACTCTTCATTTAGTGGATCTTTCTCACCTTGCAGTTCTTTTATCCTTTATAGCCCTCCTGTTCCATAGACCCCTCTCATCTCCCTGCGCTCGGGGTGATGTCCAAGCGTTGCAAGAGCGCTAAAGCTCATATCTCGGCGTCGACTTCCGCTTCTGAACTCCTCCTTCATTCACTCATCCATCACCATCGACACCCAGCCTCCAACGTTGCTGGCAACTCTTCACCAAGCACAGCATCAACAGTCATCGACGACAAAGCGCTGGTACCCATCTCCACCATCTGTGACGCCGTTAGGCTACATGCATGGTTGCCACTAAAAGGCCGCCGCAGCTTTGAGACCCCAACCGGCCTGTTCGACGACTCGTGCGATGAGAAACTAGTCGACCGCAACATGCACTACAGCGCTGTCACCAGTGGAGCCTGGTATCGTTCTTCCAAATGCAGAACAGCTGCGCAGGCCATCCACATTGAGGTTATGAGTGCTACCAACGAACAGCCAGCCGGCCATCCAGCGACGAGCCACCTTCTCACCTTCGAGCGTCCAGCTCCAAGGACCGAGCGACTTTCATCGACGTCAAAGTCACAACCTCCCAGAGCTCCGCAGGTCCATAGATGGGAGAGAAGCGTCAACCAGATGATAGGTTCGCGCAGTGGGACACCTCGCATGTCAAGACGCCAAAGATCTCAGCGTGCCTGGAGCTGAAGCTGGTGAGCGCCATCACCATCACCTCGCCGCCCAGAGACCATCGTGCAGAGCCTGTACGATGAAAACATCATCAGCGTTCGATCACCATCAGCGGCGGACTGCAACGAAAAAACCTCACCGACATCCTCAAGCTCATCATCGAGCTCCTCGCTGAGCAAGCAACGCTGCCGACCGTGACAAGACACCTTCATCTTGACCGATCGATACCACTAAAGAGGGTTCAGCAAACCTGGAGCGTAATCATGCGAAGGGTGCTCACCTGCGAAGACATCAGCACAACAAGTCAAGAGTTGCGATGTTGAACAGCCAACACGTTCTCCTCCACGTCTCTACGATCGACCGAATGGCGGAGATAGCGACGACAAGACATCCATTGCAAAGACATCACCATCCTGCCATGTCTCCACCTCCTCCTCTGCCGACCCAAGCAACAACACCAGCGACGATGAGGTCTCCACTTCGACACCTGAAGCGAACGAGCGGCATCCCACAAGCACAAATCATCATCATCGATACGTAAGCTATCGCCATAGCTATTAAGCAGCAGCAAGAAGAAGCCCATCTCCTCCCTCATCAAACGATCAGACCGCGACGAGGCAGCAAGCCCGTCTAACACCGCCACCACCACCAAAAGAAAAAGCAAGTCATCAATAGCCATCCCACCCCACACCCATCGCCGAAGCCCCATCACACGACATCATCGTTCGTTCCTCTTCGAAACCGGTCGTCACCGAACCAGAGACCACCGCATCTGCAACCTCAAGCCGTGAATCGTTGTCCAGGAACATCCATAGGATAGCAAGGCTTGCAGAACCCAAAAGGCCCATACCTGTCACCCGGCCACAGCGGCGGCCTAGGAACCGCCTCACGAGCCTCGAACTTCAGCGTGCGGCAAGGAACCCTCTCATACCCCATGAGCTTGGCCCATTGCTCACGAGATCTCGGCGCAAGAGGAGGAGAGTCTGATCCGTCGTTCTTCTCGCCGCCGATGAAGCGAGCGCCGTTGTTGAAGTTCGGACCACGGACATCTTGGTTGTTGCCGAAGTTGACATCGGAGGGTGGGTTGGGATCTCGCTCGGCGTTGGAGCCGCTGCCCCTGAAGCTGATCTCTAGACCGTCGCCGCCCTTCCAGCCATACTTGTTGTCGTGGAGGGAGCCGATACGCCAGCGACGAGCGCTACCTGGTGATGGCGTGAAGAATTTCGGCGGTGAGGTATCATTGGAAGTTGGGGAGATCTCTGGTGTGCCAGCATCTGGAGCTGCTGCTCGACCAAAGTGGATGATCTCCTTGCTACCATCGGCGGCCTCTTTGAACCACTGGATGGAGTTGGTGGCTTGATTCAGCTCGGGTTTCAACACGGCTCCAGTTTCGACAACGTACGGATCCGGCGTCGGCTTCCCGATGAAGACGTTCTTGTTCTCGTTCGATGGAATGGTGGGGCTGGGCGGGAGAGGTACAACAGCTGCCTGATTCATACCAGCAGCCTGATGGAGCCTCGTTGGCAGCCAGTCCTGTGGTCCAGGCACAGACGGATTATTCACCACTGGCCCCGGCGACAGATAGGCCGAATGAGAGGTGCCGTGTAAGACTTCGTGCGAAATATCGTGAGGACGACGAACAGGCGCCATCCTTCCTCCAGGGATATTTACTTGGCGGGACATGCGGATAGTCTCCTTCATTGCCGGGTCCAGGTTGTCCCAGTCCCGTTTTGAGTGATAGCCGAGCATGTCTTGCCGTTGCAAGGGGTCAATCTGCTGTCCAACATTGAGCTGTCCGACATTCTGCTGTCCGACATTCTGCTGTCCGACATTCTGCTGTCCGACATTCTGCTGTTCGACATCCTGCTTTCCGACATTCTGCTGTCCGACATTCTGCAGCTGCCCCATTGGCTTGAACTCCTCGGCGGTCGCTCTCAGGAAACCAGTCGTAGGATTTGGCGGTCGAATTCCAGCAGCAGTCAGGGCTGCGTTGGCCAAATTCCAAAAAGGGTTGTGAGCGGCAGCCTGCGACATCTCTCTCACCATATGAGGAGGCAAGACAGTGGGTGCAACTACGCGACCTCCTGGCTCGACAGCCATTGGCATCGTTGGCAGACTCGGCGGCAGGTTGCTGCGATCCATCGCCAACAGGTCAGACTGAAGGGCTTGTTCTGGCACCGAAGCTAGGGGTCCTTCCTGAAATCTGAGAAGACCTTCCTTTCCAAGTCTCTTAACAATTGGAGTCAACAGGTGGCCATGCGATCCCCGACGTTTGACGGTGGTGTTTGCCACCTGAGGAAAGCCAGCTTCTCTGGCCTTGGCTGCCACCATCTCCGCGATAGGAGAGCCAACGGTGGCCCGACGACTCGATCTACCAGACTTCGCGATTGGAGAATTGAAGACACTTGCAGTCGAGCTGGAAGCCGTGCGAGTAGCAGTCCCCGCCGGAGTCATGTCTGGTACGTCTGCCAATGGCGGGGGCCTTCCGGTCCTCAATTGCTGCATCACACGCTCAGTGATGTTGAGCTGCTCAAAGCCGACCGGCGATCCCGATCTAAGAGTACTTCCAGACAGTGGAGCAACCAAAGGAGGTGTATTCTCCATTGGCGACATGATGGCAGTGGCCGGAGAAACATTGGTGTCGATCTTGGCAGCGGCTTTCGACAGTCGTGGAGGACTTTGCTTGATGGTCTCCTGGCCGAGCGTCTCAATCGTGCGCTGAGCGGTGGCCTTGGTTGGCGACATGTATGAACTGGTCTTCTTGCGCAATCCTTGCTCCGGGCTGTCGGCCTTGGAGTGTGCTGGCGACGGAGCCTTCGTTTCTGGACTGGAAGGTGCATCGCGAGAGCGAGAAGGCGAGCTATGGATCGAGCCGAGGGTGGTGACGAATGACTGCTTGGACGGCGACGAGTCTGGCGACAAGGTCCAGTTCGAGGGAAGAGCTGCCCGCTTCTTCGGGCTCTGAGTAAGTGTGCGAGTCGACTTGGTTGGCGAGCCTTCTGGAGAAGCCTTCGACGTTGTGGAATCTTTGCGCAGAGTCTCGTCGACACGCCGAGTGGTGGCCTGAGTTGGTTGGGCGAATCGAGGAGACTGCTTGCCCAGAGTGCACGTCGACTGCGAAGGCTTCACAGTCCCCACCGATGGTGTGTTGATGCGAGACTTCTGTGGCGAGATGATGACACTGCTATCACCAACCTCACTCGAAGTCAGTTGCGGATCAGCACCAGCATTCGGGACGGCCTTGACCGGCTGTGGGCTGTTGAAGCTGCTGATGCTACCACGAGAAGTCCTCGAAGCCGACACAGTCGAAACACCGGCACTACCGATGCTGCTGCGCTTGCCAGGGGCATTATTTTCAACCGCTGCCTTCATGCCAGAAGAGGCAATCGTAGCCCACGAAGTCTTGCGTCCGCCCCGACTTCCCGCAGACGAGAGTGCTGTCCGCTGAGAAGATGTCGACGATGGAGTGCCCAAGCCAGGAAATTGCTCGGCCCCTGGAGGACGCTCCGGCGAAGCCCTTTCCCGCTCCAACTTCTCCCTGGCGAGCCTCTCACGCTTTTCCTTCTCTTGTCTCTCGTGTCTAGCCTGCAAAGCAGCAGCTCTCGAGTGGTATACCGGCTCTTCTGGTGGTGCCTCTGCCTGCGGGACAGGGATCTTGGAGCGAAGGCTTGGAAGCTGTGGGAACTCTTCCATCGAGGGAGGCTGTTTTGATTCTCCAACACGGAGCGTGGTAATCTCTGTCTTCATCAAATCCAGATCACGCTCGATAGCATCAATGCTGTCCCGAGGGTTGGAAGCGGCGTCGTGGGTGGCGAACTGCTGTACATCACTGCCACATGAGGATTCACGAAGAGGATCCGTGCCGATGCGAGAGGGAGTGAAGTCGCCGCCACAAGACTGGGTGATGTGCTGCAGAATTTCATTGCTGTTCACGGAGGTTAGTGACGATAAGGTAACAGCAAAGGAAAGCGAACACTGACCTGTGAGGCAGATCATAGCTCTCATCAGACCGATCTCTGATGCCAGACTGCCTGATGCGAAGGGAGCCACCCTGCTGATTCAAGTCTGGTGTCTAGAAGGACTGTCAGTACTGGACCTGCCCAAACACAGGGAGCGGTACTCACCATTTCTTGGGGTCCATTATGATGCTTGGCCGTGGTGACAGGAGTGGCAAGCTGCGAGGAGCCAGCTCCGCCCATCAAGTGCCTGAATGTCGACTTTCCGAATGGAGCGAGTCCAGCCATGTCCGTTTGTGCTTGCTCGGAAAATCGACGAGGAGATGGCGGCTTTGGTTGCCGCCGATTCTGTCGCTGCTGTTCAAGGGATGCGATATCTTCTGCCGTCTCTTCTGGAATGGGTGTAAAGCTGTGCTCTGGAAATGTCTTCGACAGGACGTTGCGATGTTTGGATGATCTCTTGTTGCTGGTTGAGGGAGGAGGTCGAGAAGTCGAGGAGGAAGCGCCAGCGGATCCAGACGAGCCTGCCTGTCCACGAGCGCGATCGCCGCCGGTTGGTCTTTCGCCTTCATCTGGAGTCCAGAATGAGCCAGGCGCAAGTGTGTTCCTGCGCGCCTTCTTGTCTGGTGGCGAGGTGGTCACTGCCGTCGAATCGGGGCAAAACGCCTCGAGGAATGTATCCTGGTGCCGACATGCGCCATAGTGATGTTGCACCCACCGACACATGGCAGGCGACCAAAGAGCATGCAAAAAGGAGCCAGCAAATCAAGAAGATGCAGATGCTAGTATCGGCGGAATAAATGGGAATGCGCGGTGCGAGCGGTGGTTCGGTGGTACGCGGTCGGAAATGTCGAGTCCTGGAAGTGACGTTGAAGACGGCGGCGCGAGCTCAGATGCGAAGTGTGGCAGCCACGAGGAGGGTGCTTGCATGCGATCGAGGGGCGGAGCGCATCTGGTGAGCGGGAAACGGCATCGGCGATGGGGGAGGTGGTGCGGAGGTGATGTTTCGGCTCTTGGCGACACTTTCGCTCGTGGTGAATGTCTGAGACATGGGGAGTTGGAGTCTAGCTGGAAGGACGGAGATTCTGCCGGACGAGAGATGAAGTCGCAAACGGAGGGCGGTTGAGGCAAACGGAGGATTCTGGTGTCAACATTCCCTCGATTTGGAGGAGACCACCGGACCAGGCGGGATCACATCGCTTCTGAACGGGAAACTTCAGTGAGTGGACCATGATGTCGGACAGTGCTGTCACATACCATTTCAATCTAGCTGTTTCACAAACACCCGCGACAGGAAAAGGGACGCTGAGAAAGGGAGGACACGCCGGGGAGGGTTCCAGTCATCCACCTACCCCCACGAGAAGTCAACTGCTGCATGTGCTTTGCTGGATGCTTTCACATACCTCGCGCCATGGTACATCTCCGCTACACAAAGAGATATGGCATCCCGAAGATCCCTAAGGCCGTAGAGACAAAGGGGAAGATGGAGCGCCAGGATCGAGCTCGAGATGGCAGGAGCTTGGACTCATCTTCTTCATGTGCGAGGGTGTTGTGTCATCTAGTCTCGGCGAGATGGCGAGACGAGCAGCCTGCGTCCGAGTCCGGAGCTCATGATGGGGAAATAGTCATAGTAGCGGGATGGCGGCGGCGGCGGCGGCGGTAAGGTTCAAGTTCTCTGGTATCTCTTGCTTGCCCTTGGATCTTTAGCATTTGCAGCACCACAGGGCTGCCGATAAGTAACATGCGCTTAGGCTGAGAAAAGGGCTGTTCCGGGAGTGACCTCGCAACTTCTCCTTCGTCAAAGTCTGCAAGGAATTGGCACTTCATCCGCAACCCACCTGTCAACCATGCCGGTAAAAGCCATTTCAAGATTCAGTAAGCTATGTCTCCCTCCTCTCATCATTCCTCATCATCAACTTCGCCATCTCAGAACTTCCTCTTCTTCTTCACGGGCGCCTTGGCCTTCTCCTCCAGCTCCCTCTTCAGCCTCTCCCGCTTCTTATCCGCCCTCTCCTGAGAATCCTCCCTCACATGTTCCTCCTGCTCCTCCTTCCTCTCGGGCGCACGTGATTGCCTCGCGGTCTCTAGCTCGGTCTTGACTTGTCCTGACTCTTCACTTTTGCTGCCACCCTTTCCTCCCAGTGTGCCAAGTTTCCTCTTTGCGGGTGATGGAGGCGGTTCGGCTTCGTGATCATGGGAAACCGTAGGCGCTGTGTCTGTTGAATTTTTGCCTCTTCCGCCAAGTGTCCCCAGTTTCGACTTTGGTTTTGTGTCATGCTTCTCTACATCCGTTGCTTCTTCTGAGGTTGCAGCTTTCTTTGATGATCCGCCAAATGCGCCGAGTCTAGCTCTTTTCTTTGGTGGCGAATCCTGTACTGGCTCAGGCTCCTGCTCCGGTGTTGTTTGTGGGCTTGCAGCCTTCTTAACACCAAAAGCGCCCAGCTTGCCCTTGGTCTTGGGTGTAGGTGCGGGCGCTGACACTTCTTCTTCGTCTTCGGTATCTGCTTCTGGTTCGGGCTGAGGTTGAGGCTGAGGGCTCTTCGACTTCTTACCACCCAGTACACCAAGCTTGCGAGGAGCAGCGTATGAAGTATCATTAGAGTGTGGCTTTTCATCTTGCTGCTGCGACCGTCCTTTTGTCTGCGAGGAAGATGCTTTGCTGGGAACGGCGTCAAGGTCATCATCATCTGTCTCCTCGTCGTCCACCTCGTCTGGCTGCTGTGATTTGGGAGCTTCGTCTGCAGTAGTATCAGTCTCGGCATCTCCGTCGTCTGGTTGCGGATGGGCCTTCTTCAGCTTTGGAGGTGTGACTTGACGCCGAAACTCATCTTCCCCCAAGCTCTGCTCCGTTGAAATCAAGGGCTGCCCATTCGTGTTTTCGACTTGTTGTTGTCTTGTTTGTCTTACGCTGTTCTGGCTTGGGTATAAGCTGTCGCTCTTGGACTGCAGCTGTTGCGCCCTCGCTCCAGAGTTTGCAAGATCTCTCCACCACTCGGCCACCGGTATTGGACTCTTTGCGACTGGCAAGTGGTCCAATACACTATTGAGAACTTCAGAACTCAAGTCTATTGTACCATCGTTCTGCTTCAGTGAGGCTCTCCAGGTATGCTCATCAAAATCTGCCAGCCCCTTGACATGTCCGGCCAGCTGTCCGCGCTGCGACTTCTTGCGAGAAAGCTTGATGCCAGAAGCCCCAGGAAACACGGCCGTCAGATCGTTGCCAGATGCCTCCAATCGGTCTGTGATTTTGCCAATCACATGGTCTTTCGAGCTCAACTCTCCGATCAGCAGCTGCATCTGATCACGTAACCGGGCTGCTTGGGCAACGAGCGGCGTCACGAGTTCGAGTCCAACGGCTGAATCTGGAAGGCGTGCAAGTCTGATGCTCCACACAAATGTGGGCAGGGAACCCGGTAGAGGAGCGGATAAGTCCAGTTGCAGAACATCGCCACGTTGTTGGGAACTGAGACTGAGAGTAGTGCCTTTGTCGCCTCTCAATGCACCTTCGATCTTCTCAAGCAGGATGTCATACTGGTCGTCCTCGCTCGGGTCTATGCTGCAGCCCTCATCGCCTGCCCTTTTCACGATATCCTCCTTTCCCAGTTCCTCGCCCCATATCCTGCTCAGATCCGTGAGCTGAATCTCGTACCCGCTTTTGTTGAGTCTCGTTTTCGCCAGAAGTTGAGGCAGACCCTCTTCACCGAGCTCCAGCGCCCTCCACGAGATCGTCTCCACCATTGCTGCTGCTGTCGATGAACATGATGAAGTTCAGCCGCGAGCTGAAGTGTGGCGACGGGGAGTTGTCCCGGCTGTCTCGCCTGCCTAAAGTTGTCCCGGGAGCAGCCGCCGCTAGTTACTAGCGTTTTAGGGCTCGGCTGTCCAACCGAGCTCGACTTTGCGACTTCACAGCTTCAGCAGCAGATTGTTTGCGTCCAGCACCCTCGACTCACCTCTCTCCTACACTGCCCACCGACTTGCGATGACCGGAGAATAGTCACGGCTCCCCGGTCACACCGTTACACAGCACACGACACAGCCCACCGCCGACATGTCACGCTCTACGGTCCCCAGCAAGCGGTCCGCCGATGCTGCAGAAGACGCCTGGGTGGCTGATGAAGATCGCTTTGTGCTACAGCAGGCCAAGAAGAAGGCCGCGATCCGAGTAAAAGGTGGAAGGGCTCAGCCGGTGGATTGGCTTGCCGTCACTCTGCTTGTCATTGATCCGGACCGCAATCGCCTGGACGATGAAGTCGGGTTGGATGATTTGGATATGGAGGATCCCCAAGGCGTGTTTGAGGGGCTGGATGACACGCAGTTAGCGGAATTGGAGAAGGGCATTGACACGTACATCACGCTGGAATCGAGCAGAAGCAATCAAGACTACTGGAATGTGAGTTTGTTCTCCTTGCGCCCCAGCTCATTCGCTCAGACTGACAGCCCATCAGATGATGAAAACCATCTGCAAAGACCGCCGGAAATCTACAGACGGTGCTCAACCAACCGCGCGAGTTGTGGGCTCAGTAGCCTCAGATCTGGACAAACTTCTCAGCCCCAAGAGTCTGGAAGAACTGGAGAAGCTCGAGAAGCAAATCCGATCCAAATTGGCCTCCAACGAGCCAATCGACACGGACTACTGGGAGCATTTGCTCAAGAGTTTGCTCAGTTACAAGGCGAGAGCGAAACTACGCAAAGTATCCCAATCCATTCTGGAGGCTCGAGTGGGCGGTTTGCGCAAACAGCAAGCGGCGGAAGCTGATGCCATGAAGGCTCGTCTTGAAGCACATCTTCAGAATGATCCCAATGCGTCTGGTGTGACATCTTCGGGCGATCGGCACCACGGCGCCCACCCGGACGACAGACACCCGCTCGATCCAGAGCCGTTGCTTCGTTTGCGACAGGAAGACAAGGCTCTTGAGTCCATGACCGACAAAGAGTTTGCCCAAAGTGTCGTCGACGACAGGAAAAAGGTGCTCAAGTTGGGTTTTGTGCCCAATCGGAAGAGGCCCGGTAGCTCTGGCCAAGAACCGGCAGCCAAGCGATCGCGAACCGAAGTCGGCGATGCGAGCCAGGCCAGGGATGCTGCCTTTGATCGTGAGGTTGCGCGAGGCCTTGGTGAGAATGAAGAGCTCTTCACGCAGGAAGAAGAGGTCGTCACCATGAACAAGGCTCAATGGGATAAGCTCTACCGCCCGCGAAAGCCCAAGTACTTCAATCGAGTGCTGCTGGGTTACGAATGGAACAAGTACAACCAGACACATTACGATCACGACAACCCCCCTCCTAAGGTGGTCCAGGGATACAGGTTCAACGTCTTCTACCCGGAGCTGGTGGACAAGACCAAGGCGCCGACGTACAAGATCGAACGGGAGAATGGCCGAAGGCGGGGTCAGACACTAGCTCCAGCTGGTGAAGACGACACATGCTTGATTCGGTTCACAGCAGGCGCACCATACGAAGACATTGCATTCCGTATTGTCGACAAGGAGTGGGACTATAGCGCCAAGCGAGAACGAGGGTTCAAAAGCAGCTTCGACAAGGTATGTCCATTTTCCTTTAATCTCACTGGCTGCTGCGCGAACGGCGATGTTGTAGCATAGACGGCGACTTCGTCTGACGTGCCTCAAGTGAGAGGTCTGCGAGAGCAATGTGCAACTGGGCATGTTAGTGCCACTGCGGGCAAGACTGCCATGGGACTGACGAGTTCACAGGGCATTCTCCAACTTCACTTCCAATTTAAGAAGGTAGGTGGCTTAGACGAACAACTGTCGACACCAAAAGCACTCCACTAATCACACAATGCAGATCTACTACCGGAAGTAGGACGTACTGTGCGCCTCAGCCACGTCCACTTCTTGCACGACCGCTGTCATTCGAGGCCAAAGCAGACCTGTGTCGCCAGCTTGACTTTAGGACGAATCAAGTTACGCAAATGCTCACCCTAAGCAAAACTTCAAGCAACCAGGAAATGAACGACAGCTGTTGTACCTTGCGCCAAGCCTGCATTCGTGCCTAGCATTTCACGTTGACAGCTTCCACAAAGCAACACACAATGCGGGCACCGCCGTGCACAGCAGACTGTCAACTCTGCGGTGTCTCGGGCGTACACCTGTTGTGTCTCTCTTTACCGCAGTCAGTAGAGAATTGACAATGGTTATCCAATCTGAAACGTTCTGTGGGTGCGACAGATCGCGCGCAGGGGTGCCGCAGGCCTAAGACGGCTACACACCTAACTGCATAACGGATAGCCACATGCTGTGGCGCGCGAGGACCAGACTCTCATCCACCGTCCCCTCGCATCACATCTCGCCAACGCTTTCGAATCGAATATGACCTCCAGGCGACGGGCGCGAATGATCGAACCGCCCTGGCAAACCGACTGCGACGGACAGCACCCACACCACGAAACAGACAAACGCAAACTCCTGCTGCTGCGCTGTGCCTGCCAAGAGATCCGAGCGATGCATGACAAAGCTTTTAATGAAGATTCCCGGTTGAGCTGCCCGTGCCCGTGCGAACCTCATTCTAGAAAGCCTTACACCCTAGGCAGCTCGATTGGGGATCGCGGTCGACAGTGGCAGGACCGCACAGCGCTGCACATCTATTGGGCTCTGCGGTGGTCAGCCTAGGCAGACTGCACCTGGCCGCTAGCCTCGCGGACCGACCCCGTGCAATATGTGCCAACCGCGTATCGCGGCGCCACTCTCTGGCTGCTCATTGCGCCTGCTGGGTGTGACCAGGACAGTGACCTCACCAGCAGCAAGTTGTGCATGCGGCTGCCGGTTGCCTTCCAGCACGGGTGCTTGATGGGGCGTGCTCCCGCATATGCCGCATGGCCAGGATGCCCATCTCTGCCGACGCCGGTCTGACAAAGCCTCTCTGCCCGCCGTCAGGGCGACATCGTCAGTAGGTGTTTGTGTGCAGACTGGCTCACAATGGCCCGCCAGGCCGCGCCGACGTGCGAGGCGGCCGAGAATAACGCCATGTGAGTGCGGGCATGCGCTGTCCGCAGCATCACCAAAGCAAAGGGTGCCGCCGCGACCATGGCCTCTTTGGCTGCACGCGCGAGCTGTGACAGGGACGTTTCTCAAATAAACCTGCACTGTAGGCTTTGCCCCATTTCCTTTGACTCTTGTCTCCCCCTCGCCCTACTTTCCTACCACATATCTCAGCGTTCTTGGTCGCCAGACACGTGCCCTTGAGCATTGTTAAACCGGCCTGAAGCCCTTCACACCGTACCACACCGCTCCGCCCCTTCGCCTGCAGTAGCTTGGTGCTCATAACCGCTGGCCAACCTGCACCGCAACGGGCCGCTGCTCTCATTACTGCTCCTTACACCGTCTATCATTCTCTCTGCGCTATTCACTGCGACGTTTGCCGATCAAAACCGCCGCCTTCGCCACCATGGAAGTCCACGAGACTTCCTGGCCGCAACTGGATCACGAAGCAATGACAGCGGCGACGAGGGGTGATTGTGTCACAGAGCCACCACGAGCCGATCAACGCCATGGTTCGACCTCGCATGACCAGGAATGGGCCGAATTCCTTCGTTCGTACTCGCAGGGTGGCCTGGACCCTACAACATCTTCCGACAACATTGGATTCGGACTCATGGGAGTTGACGACAACATGCCTGCCCAGTTTGGAGCTATGAACCAATTTCAAGACCACCCCGACCCAGCATCAACGACCGCTACCAACAGCTCGTTGTCATCGTCACTGAACCACCCAAACGGCGCTTCGCACCCTTTTCAGACTTGGCCGGTCGTTAACAATGCGCCCCTGATGGCTTACGAGCAATCCCCTTTCCACCCAGCGCCGTGGATGGCCGAGCCTCATCATCACCAGCAACCACATCATTACGACCAACCGCCGCTTACCTTTGGCATGCAAGGACGAGAAGGCTTGGGCATACACCTACCGCCAACCTCACACCCTATCGACGCCCAGCATGCCATGCACTTCGGCGGACCTTTCATCGACCACGAGTCGCCCATCGCCCAGCACCACCACGAAGACTTCAAACATGACATGAGTATTCCTCCCGCTCATCATCTCCACCCCTCCGCGCACGACGACCTCTTCGCAGGCGAAGACCTCGACGATCGCGAGGTCTCCGCCGACCCTGCCGATCCGTGCTATGCGCAGCTGCTCTATTCATGTTTGAAAAAGGCTCCTGAACACACGCTATCGCTGCGGGAGCTATATGACTGGGTCCAGCAACACAGTCAGAAAGCCAAAGATCCCAAGAATCGAGGCTGGCAGAACAGCGTGCGGCACAACTTGTCCATGAACGCCGTAAGAAGCCACCCCTATCCCCGCTCCCCTCAAAAAACCTACTAACCCATTCCCCACCCACAGGCCTTCCAACGAGTCCCCCACAACAACTCCAACACCCACCTTCCCAAGAAAGGCTCCCTCTGGCGCCTCACCCCGGACGCCCTCCGCTCCGGCGTCATCTCCACCACCCGCTACCGCAAAGACCCCAAACGCAAACCGGACACCCGGCGCTCTGCCCCGGCCCTGAACCGCCAAACCTCCGGTGCAAAAGGCGGCCGCGCAACCCGAGACGCCACCCGTGCGCGCCAGCGCGAGCGCGAACGCAGGGCGAGATTCGAGGGTTGGAGTCGCAGCGCGAGTCCGCCGGGGAGTGGCGTCGTCACGCCCACGAGTCCGTATTTCGGGTTCGCTGGCCCAGGACCAGGGCAGATTGGCGGCGGGGCGGCGTACGAGATGCTGCTGCCGACGAGTGCGCCGCAGACGCCGCCGGAGTGGGAGGCGCAGTTCCATCAGCATCATCATCAGCAAGCGCAAGAAGCGAAACATCATCATTCCCTTCATCATCATCAGCATCCTTTCGATGTGCAAAGTGGGGCGTTCGAGTTCCTGCCGTTGGATATGGGGACGCATGGCGGTGGAGGGTTGTTTGGGAATCAGGATGCGGAGATGCAGACGCCGACGCCGAGTTTGATGACGGAGGGGAGTTGGCCTGGGGAGGAGGGGGGACTGTTGCCGCCGAGTAGTGTTGTTGTTGAGGGGGAGGGGGGGTATTGAGCGAGGGTGGGTATCGCTTTTGGCATGATGATTTTTGGTGGTTGTGCTGGTGAGGCTTGCATGTCGAGTACTGATCTGTTGCGTGGGTGTATGGGATGCATGTATGCATGCACGCTGGCTTGGATGTTTGGAAGGTGATCTGCTCGAAATGCTTGGACGATGGCTGAATGAAGCGATACAGAAGACCTACTCCTCCTACTGCCGGGGACCTGCTCTACTTGTACCCACGATGTTTGGTTTGGCCTAGGCTTTGCTCGTTCGATGTGTGTGTTTATCTAGATACCTTTTGCGGCTTTTTGCTTGCAGTCACTTTTGCTCTCATGGAATGCATGCTTGATGCTGTTTCTTTTTCAAACAACTCTTCTCAGTCACTATTGCTTGTTCGCTGGGGGGCAATTGAGGGTGTTTTGCGATCAAATTGCTGGGAACTCTACTTGAGCGATAGAATTTGGTGTGTTTGGGGTGGAATCTCGCGGGCGTGCCTGATCAAGAGTAGTACTCATACTTATTTGTACTCTACTCGACCACAGAGTCTCGATGCTCACCACCTGAGAGTGATGCTCGCCTCTCGACAACCATCAAGCAGTCGCAGCTCTCCTCATCATAACATAGCGTCTCACGAATGCGTAAACCTGCTCTCCGCAACAACGTCTCCCACTCTGCCTTCGTCCGCTGCTGAGTTGCAAATCCCATCATGATGGTGTCGTAGTTGGCCGTAATCGCACTCGCATTCATCTCAGATACCACCATCTCGTCAATAACGAGCACCGAATCCTCCGCCAAAGCATCCCGCACGTGGGTTAGAATAGGCATGCAGGCCTCGTTATCCCAATTATGTAGCACGCTGCGAAGATAGTAGACCTTGGCGCCACGAGTCGCACTAGGCTGTGGTAAAGTGAAGTCATGCGTCAAGACTTCGATATCGTTGGCCAGGATTCTTGGATCCTTCGATGCTGGGGTCGTCGAGAACTCCATGTCTTGCAGGACTATCCTCCCCTTGAGCTCTGGCAAGTTCTCCCGTATCGCGATGCTTTGATGTCCGGCGCCGCTCCCGATGTCAACAAGTAAAGCCCTCCCCTTGGTTATATCATCCGTACTGAGAGTGAAATGCTTCTCTAGCAGAGGTTGAACTAACTCCCGCTGCTGCGTCCAGCATACCTGCCCGGCTCTCTGGATCGGCATCATGTCGAAGAACAATTTCGCGGTCTCCGGATTCTCCTGCAGCCATAGATACGGCGTAAGACTTGTCCCATAGCCCAGCTGGAACGCAGAATCGTTAACATCGCACGGGTTGCGATAGCCCGTTCTCGCAAGCTGCCGTGGCAAAGCATGCACGAAAGGACCACAGAATCCGATTTGGCATGAACTTTGCTTCCTAGCATTCTCATGTGCGAGCGTCACAGTGATGTTAGTCGCAGCATATGTTGAAGGCGAAGTCTGCGTCAAGGTTCCATGCGCTGCCAGTGCTCTCATCACTCGCTGGAGCAAGGTTGCCTCCGCACCGGTCCTAGAAGAAAGTTCGTCAATGCTCCATGAGCGGCTTGGGTCGTACGCGAGGACCCGGAAGATCCCCAGGTCGATACCTATCTGTATCATCGGACGAGTCCAGGAAATCAGGAGACGATGATGTGTGTCCCGCGGTGATTCGGTCTTGAGCATGAGATCTCGGGCGGCGTTGTAGAGTTCTTTGCGCTCTTTCGGATCGGACGGCAGGTCTTTCGTTGCTTCGCGGAGTCGTGACGCCGCCATGATAGCCAATTAGTCTAGATATGTTCTTCTCTGTCCAAGGCTTATAGTCTAATTATTGAAGAGCTGGGAAGCCTTGCGAGCAATCTAAAGGAGACGACCTTGCGAAGTCAGGCTGAAAGGTGCTGTCGATGATGTATTTCGCCAGACGTCTACATGAGAACGTCACGAAGAGACTTTCGCGCACATCGCGATCGTTTCGGCCGTTGAGAGCATTTTTGATAGTTGTCGATGTTGTGCTCGGGCTTAAACTTCGAACGGTGTCGTTAGCCCGTGATTTGCAACATTGATACTTCAACTATGAGGTTCCTAGTGCAATACATAAAGCATCGCATAAGAGCGTCAGGGTTCTTGTTAGTAATGCATACTATCGGGAGTTCTGCTCAGTCGCGCTGACGTCGATATAGGCAAGGAGGCTGAGTCGCCTCAGCACGCAAGCGTCGGTGCGCCATGAACGAAGATCTACGGTGTCAAGCGACATATGTCCCTCTCTCGAGCAGGCTACATCTGGACAGCGCTGCATTGGTATACAACCAGCTTAATAAGACACTTCCTGACTTAGGACCCGCTAAAACACCTATCCAACATGCAGTGGCCAAAAGGGCACGTGCGTGGAGAAGGCACTCGCACAGTCTGTTTAGCAAGAGAGCTCGACGAGTCTTTACACTATCTACTGAGTTTGACACCCCAAGCTCGTGACTGGAGTTGTTAGTATCAGGAGCAAAATTGTAACTCGTGTTGTGATACTCTCGGAGAGTCTCCGTTTCATTGACTCGATGCATTACGAAGACACCAGAACGCATGGTTCAGTCGGCGCATGAGGGAAGTTTTTGATCCATATCGTAGATTTAAAAGCCGCGTCATTCCTTCTCTCCTCGACTCTCAAGACTGATGTGAGTCTTATGCCGTAGCGAATGGCCAACCTGCCATCACTCCTGGTCTTCGGATCGCAGGCGGAATTCCCCTCCGTGGAGGAGCTTCAGCACTGTTATGATGAACTCATCGAAAATCCTTCTCTCACTGACTTGAGGTACCAATTGCGTGAGCTGCCTGGGTTTTGGCAGCGTCTTGTCAACTTCGACCTGGCTTTGATCGTTGTTCCTGGAACAGAGTACCTCGACTTGTTGGCAACGTGGTCGGATGGCAAGATTCAGCTGGCTCAGGACGACAAAGCGCCAAATCACTACACCCTGGCCATAACTGTCTTAGTGCAGATCACCCAGTATACGAGGTATCTTCGTGTAAGCGGACAGGATGCCCAAGAGCGGGTTTTGGGCTCGTTGAGGTCAGGGGGAGGCATACAAGGTCTTTGTGTTGGCTTCCTCACTGCCATCGCAATTGCCAGTTCGACCAGCGATGTTACCATTGGATCTCACGCCGCCCTCGCACTGCGACTTGCTGTGGCCGCTGGAGCTTATGTCGACCAAGATGGGCAGTACTCCTCAACCCCCACAGATTATGTTGCTGTGGCAGCCCGATGGAGTGGACACGACGCTGGCGGTGTCGCAAGGCTTCGTGGGCTTGTTCAAGACTTCACTGAGGAGAGTCCACTTCCATTAGCTCAGAGCAAGCTGGAGGCATTGGATTAGAGAACAGCTGCTGACTGTTCTAACAGGCATATATCTCGAGTATCAACGACGCCTCATCCGTCACTGTCACGCTCCCATCTGCGTCTTCGGAATTGTTCGCCGCCCAGGCAAGCGCAGAAGGTATCTGGACGAAACGAATTGCGACTCACGGTCGTTTTCACACTAAGCGTCACCTTCCCGCTGGGGAAAGACTGGTCGAACTCTTCAAGGACTCGGATACGGTTGGCTCGCCCTGCCTCCTCCAAGTGCCTGTACGGGATACAGCCACAGGTCGTCTCGTGTCCGAGGGTTCCATGATTCGAATAGCCCTGGAAAACGTCCTCGTAAACCCTGGTGACTGGTATACGACAATCAAAGAATCCATAGGCGCTTCGACCAGGACGGAGCAAACCATTGTGTACGTCAGTCGGAATAACTGCATACCGACATCACTTCGTGGAATCGCCAATGGTCGAATATTGGCGATCAATGGCACATCAGCTCCATCTGAAGGAACGAGTGGTTGTTTTGGCAAGACATTGAATGGCAGTGACGATCGGTTAGGTAAGGGGAATGGCACCGGCATAAACGGACACAATACGCAGAACGGCGAACCGGGGCATCGTCTATCGTCAAATTATCTCTCACAGTACCCTCCTCACTCCATTGCTGTGGTTGGCATGGCCGGCAGATTTCCTGAGGCGGACTCACTTGACGATCTGTGGGATCTGATAATTGAAGGAAGATCAACCGTCAAACCTGCCCCTGTAGAGCGTCTTGGCCTGCCTCATACCGACAATACCAGCACAAAGTGGTGGGGAAACTTCTTGAAGGAGCCAGAAAGATTCGACAATAAGTTCTTTAACAAATCATCTCGCCAGGCTCTAGCTTGGGACCCTCAGCAAAGGATCTTGCTCGAAACCATTTACGAGGCTTTGGAGTCAGCCGGCTACTTTGGTGCCTCAGGAGTCACGGAGCCTCGCGACTATGGCTGCTACATCGGGGCCGTCATGAACAACTATTACGACAACCTCTCTTGCCATCCAGCCACTGCATATGCTACCGTCGGAACGTCAAGATGCTATCTCAGTGGCGCCATGAGCCATCACTTTGGCTGGACTGGGCCTGCTCTTACCATCGACACTGCGTGCTCGTCTTCGCTGGTTGCCATCCACACAGCTTGTCGGGCGATCCTCTCCGGCGATTGCTCCCGAGCCATCGCAGGAGGTACAAATGTGATATCTAGTCCGTTCGATTATCAGGATTTGGCTGCCGCCGGCTTCCTCAGTCCATCAGGTCAGTGCAAGCCTTTTGACGCCGCCGCCGATGGATATTGTCGTGGCGAAGGAGTAGGAGTGGTCGTTATAAAGCGCCTATCCGATGCATTGAACGAGAACGATGGTATTCTCGGTGTGATTGTTGGCTCTGCTGCTAACCAAAATCACAACTGCGGTGCAATCACTGCACCGGACTCGAGCTCTCAAGTCGACTTGTTTCGGTCAGTGGCGAAGGCAGCTGGCGTAGAAGCACAATCGGTTTCATACGTGGAGGCCCACGGTACAGGTAGTGAGTACTAGGCTCTATTATCTTCAGTTAGTACTAGCTCTCTCATTGACCATGCCGATTAGCTGGTGTCGGTGACCCCGTCGAGGTCCGCTGTCTGCGTCAGACCTTCGGAGGACCCGACAGAACATATCCACTCCATTTTGGCTCCATCAAAGGCAACATTGGACATACTGAAGCAACCGCAGGCGTGGCCGGTCTGATCAAGGTCCTGCTGATGATGAGGCACCGGACTATTACTCCACAAGCAAGCCACACATCCTTGAATCCCAAGATACCACCTCTTGCACAAGATCAAATGATAATTGCAGGCGAAGTAACTACTTGGTCAGCACCAACACTTCTGGCTTGCGTGAACAGCTACGGCGCAGCTGGCAGTAACTCAGCAGTCATGGTTCGGGAGGCTCCACGTAGCGATCTCACGGCACAGCCAACACCACTGACGAGTTACCCAATTTTAATCTCGGCCTACTCTCCTAAGAGCTTGTCACTCTACTGCAGACGATTACTCGAATGGCTTCGAAAGAACAGAGAGGCCCCTTCGGAACTTCTAAGCTCTCTAGCTTTCAACTTGGCCAACAGGGGCAACCATGCGCTGTCTCATGTGTTTGCCTTTGCAGGAAGCAGCATCACTGAGATCGAGAACAGTCTCAGTATGCCAGCAAAAGATGGTGCTAGACTTGTGCATATGGCTCCAAACCGCAAGCCTGTCACTCTCGTCTTCGGTGGACAGGAAACCGTTCATATTGGACTCTCAGAGACGATTTACAAGTCATCGAAGCTCTTCCGACAACACCTGGACTCAGTCGACAGCCTTCTGTCCGAGAATGGACTTGGAAGCATCTTCCCTTCTATGTTCCAGGAGAACCCTATCCAGAATACAGTTCTCCTGCATTCTGCTCTCTTCACCATCCAATATGCCTCTGCTCGGAGCTGGATAGATTTTGGGCTTGAAGTAGACGCAGTTGTTGGCCACAGCTTCGGCTTCTTAACGGCTCTATGCATCTCTGGTGTTCTCTCGTTGACGGACGCTTTGGATCTAGTGGTCGGCCGAGCCTCGTTGGTGCAGACTCACTGGGGGGACGAAAAGGGGTCCATGCTGTCCATGCAAGCTACTCGCTCGACGGTGGAAGAGATCCTCGCATCTTTCGTTGCCCAACATGATCTTTGTGCAGAGATAGCATGTTACAACGGACCTGAGAATCACGTTGTCGTGTGCTCTTCGACCGCCATGGAAACCCTTCAGGAGTTTGCAAAGAGTCGACATGTCCGGACAAAGCTCCTCAACGTCTCAAATGGCTTCCACTCCCGCTTCACAAAGCCGTTGTTACTCCCGCTTGGGGACATAGCGAGACGACTGCAGTGGAATCCTCCCAAGATCCACCTGGAGACTACGGAGGAGCTGCCAAGGACTTCACAGCCTGACTTCAGCATGATCGCCCAGCACACACGACAACCAGTATTTTTCCAGAACGCTATTGAGAGGCTTACCAATCGCTACAGTCCCTGCACATGGCTTGAAGCAGGCCGTGGCTCGTCTGTCCTACAGCTTGTCAAGCGAAGCGTAGGCAATGTGACAGGACATGATTTTCACTCGCCTCAGCTGTGTTCCCGAACTCACGCACACGACTCTCTGATTGATGTCACAGTGGATCTCTGGAATACCGGCTACAATGTACAGTACTGGCCATTCCATCGCACGCAAAAAGCAGAATACCAGTATCTCGCCTTGCCACCTTACCAGTTTGAGAGGACTCGCCACTGGCTGGGGTTCACAAGGAAGGATCAAACGCACCAGGACAACGACGATACGAAGTTGAGTACAGAAATCGGCAGAGCTGACCACCATGAGCTGCTGAGGTTCGTCAAGTACCTGAACGGAGCGGAGACCGAGGCAGAGTTCTCCATCGACCCGCAGTCTGACCGCTTCCAGAAGATGGTGAATGGCCATATCATGGCTGGGGAGCCGCTAGCACCAGCGTCTTTATTCCTCGAGCTCGCAGCAAGTGCAGCTCTCTTCCTCCAGCACGACACACAAGGGAAAATGTTCGTGCCCAGTGTTGATGATCTTACCATGACATCGCCAATTGGTCCGTCCGAGGGAAAGCAGATATCGATGATCTTGAAGAGACAAGGAGACACTTCGCCTACATGGACATTTTATATCGCAACTCTGGATCCAGAAAAGATTTCGTCGAATCGTACTGAACATGTCACAGGTGTAACCCACTTGCAGAAGCGCGATGAAACCGCAGCATCGCGCATATTCCAACGCTACGATACCTTAATCGGCGGCGCTCGGCGGTACGAAGAACTGCTCAACAACCCTGAGAGCGAGAAGATGCAGGGTAATCACATCTATCGAGCATTCAGCACTGTTGTCACATACGACAAGCTCTTCCACGGCATCAGGGAAATCGCATGCTTGCGTTCGGAAGCCGCTGGCATGGTCAGACAATCCATAACGGGGAATCGACAAGCAGGAGATTCGTACAGGCTGTTCGATACGCCGCTGATCGACAGCTTCATGCAGTTTGCCGGGTTTCTGGTGAATTACTTCCACAATCCTTCTGTCGACGATGTCTTCGTGTGTGGAAAGATCGACCAGATTACAATGGGCGGAACTTGGGATCCGGACGCCGAAGAGTGGCTTGTGCATTCGTTTATGAGGGAGGAAGGAGGCCACGCCGGTGTCACGGTTGATGTGTACGTCACCGATCTTAAGACTGGGAGGATTGTCATGACTGCGTTCGGATTCCACTTCTCAAAAATGCATCGGAGTACGCTGGGCCGCCTGCTCAAGGCTGTGAACCAGCCCGGGGCGAAGAACATCAACACGGCTCCACGCATTCAGGACGACGACGAAAATGACGCTGTTCAAACGCCCAGGTCTCTGGCATCATCAAGCTCTGAAAAACGACGGGAGATAATTCACATACTTTCGAACGTCACAGACGTACCAGTGGAGAAGATCCAAGACGAGATAGCCCTAGACGAGCTGAGGATAGACTCACTGATGGCAGTGGAAGTGCTGAACGACCTACGTGCTGCGAACGGTCTAACAATTAACTTGCCCAAATTCCTGCTTTTCCCTAACATTCGAGCTTTGGTTGATTTCTGTGACGAAAAGCTCGGGCTTGGTCACACAGCTCCAGTTGGAGAGTCAGCCCCTGAGCCAGCCGCCAAGCTTGAAGTTGATGCTTCTACGACATTGGATGAGCCTAGCAGCTCTACACCGGGATCGACTGAGCCGCCATGTAGGGCTGACTGGAGTGCGCAGACGCCGAGCATCCCCTCCGCCGCGGGTGCTTTCGAAGAAACGAGGCTGAACTACGACCATCACGCTCAAGCAGCTCAAGCGTCCGGATTCTGGCAAACCGCCTATCCTCTCCAAGCACGACTCGTCCTGGCATACGTCGTGAAAGCCTTTGCAGACCTAGGCTGCGATCTTGGGGATCTCCTCCCGGATAGCAATCTCCCAGACATCGATGTGCTACCGAGGCATCAGCAACTTCTACGGCGTCTCTACTTGATTCTCGAAGATGGAAAACTCATTTACTCCTCAGACGATGATGATAAAGTCTACAGACGAACCGAAAAATCTGTCGACTCAACACCCGCGGACACCATATACGCGGAGGTCATTGATGTACACCCCCAGCACGACTGCGTGCTTCACCTTGTCAAAGCGATGGGCTCCAGGATGGCGGCTTGTCTACGCGGAGAGACTGATCCTCTAGAGATTCTCTTCGGAGACCAGGAGATGAAGAAACTGCAAGAAGATTTATACGAGTTCTGGCTCTTGCTGCTAACTCCAGCACTCGTCCTCGCAGACTTCCTGGCCAAAGCCACGACGTCCTCGAGTGGGAATGGGAAGCTTCGCATCCTCGAGATTGGCGCAGGAACTGGCGGCACGACGAAGCGTATCGTGGAATACCTGCAGAGACTGGATATTGACTTCGAGTACATCGTGACAGATATAAGTTCCTCCCTGGTAAACGCTACAGCGAAGCACTTCGCCGGAACCAAAGGCCTCCGTTTCGAGCGCCTAGACATCGAACAAGCTCCAACTCCCGATTTCCTCAACGCTTTCCACTTCATTGTCGCAACGAACTGCATCCACGCCACGAAAGACCTCCACGTCTCTCTCGGGCACGCCCGGCAGATGCTGCGGGATGATGGAGCGCTGGCACTGATTGAGATAACGCAGCCGATGTTCTGGCTTGATGTTGTTGTTGGGCTGTTGAGGGGCTGGTGGGCGTCTGAGGATGGGAGGGAGTATGCTCTGGTTGATGAGAGGGGGTGGGAGAGGAGGTTGAGAGAGGTGGGCTTTGGGGAGGTGGGGTGGAGTGACGGGCATACGGCAGAGGCGAAGACTGTGAGAGTCATTGCTGCGTTTCCGCAACGCTCAAGAGAAGCTGCTGCTACTCCCGCTTCAGCCCCTGACGATAACGATGGAGAGACCGACAACGAACACCATCACTCGACCCACAGCCCTACGCTCTTCTCCGGACAGGCTCCACCACCCCTAACAATCGTCCCAACAACCCACCGAGACACCTACCCCTTCATCTCGCCCTTAGCCCACCCCTTCCCGCCCCCAACAACCTCCGTCCTCATAACCGGCGCCTCCCGCGGCATCGGCCTCGCCACAGCCCTCTCCTTCGCCCGATCAGGCTACTCCCGCATCGCCATTCTCGCCCGCTCAGACCTCACCGGCGCAAAGCAAAAGATCCTCGCCGCCGCGAGCGAAGCCAACCGTTCAAAACCACACGTCCTAGAACTACAGGCGGATATCTCAGACCCAGACGCCGTAGCGAGATGCATGGCTCTGGTGAAGAACCTCTTCGGCCACATAGACATCCTCATCAACAACGCCAGCCGGCTCTCCTCCTGGACGCCCCTCGGCGACAGCGACATCGACGATTGGTGGCAGACATGGGAAGTCAACATCATCAAGGGAACCTACCTCGTCACTCGCTCCGCACTCCCGCTCCTCCTCCACTCTACCCTCAAAACAATCCTCACAATCACCAGCGCCGGCGCTTTCGCCTCCCTGCCCGGCGGCGGCGGCGGCGCCTCCGCATACCAAGGGACCAAAGCCGCGCAGATAAAAGTGACCGAAGACCTGATGGCCGAGTACGCCTCGCAGGGCCTTTTGGCGTACGCCGTGCACCCCTGCGCGACGCCGACGGCTGGGACGCTGGAGAAGATGCCTGTGGAGCTGCATGTGCTGCTTCAGGAGACGGCGGAGCTGGCGGGCGATACGGTGGTGTGGTTGACGAGGGAGAGGAAGGAGTGGCTTGCGGGGAGGTTTGTGTTTGGGCCGCAGGATATGGGGGAGTTGGAGGGGAGGAGGGGGGAGATTCTGGAGAGGGGGTTGTTAAGGGTTGGGTTGAGGGTTTAATGGGGGAAAAGGGGAAGGGGCATTTAGCACAGGATCATATTACTGAACGGAAGGGAAAAGAGAACCACGGAAACTATTCGTACACGGGTATCATATAAAACTAAACCTCATCAAACCAAACCCCTCACCCCCTCCACCGCCCGACTCTCCCCAACCCTCCACTCATCACTCCTCACCTTCTCCGTCGCCTTCCCCTCCCCGTCCTTCAACTTCTCCTCCCTCCACTCCCCCGCCACGCAAGCGCACAAACAGCCCTCCGTGGGACACTGTTCCCCCTTTGCCTCCACAAACCACTCATGCAAACAAGCCGCATGGCCCGAATGCCCGCACGCCAGACAGCACGAGAACAGCTTCCCCCCTCCATCGCCCTTCGCGAACGCACTGCGCGCTTCCCAGCAAATGGGACACCGCATCTGCTGGGCGCGACAGGCATCGCAGCGGAGAAAGGGCGACGGGGGAATATCTTGGGGGAAGGACTTCCCGCACTGTCCGCACAAGACGCTCACCTTGTTCTCGCGCATGAAGTCCTCGTATACCGCCGGGTAGGCGGGGTATGCCAGCTTCCGCAAGACCGCCGCCTCGTCGAACAGACGGTGGCTTAGCAGCTGTTCGTGGTAGGCGGAGAGGATGCTCTCCACCTGCAGCGGGTGCAGACCGGCCTTGAGGGGCTGCTCGAAGGACTCCCTCACTAGGGAGGGGATGTCTGCGGGGTCCCAGCCCAGCGCGTTGAGGAAGTAGTCCACGTAGCCGGAGATCTCGGCGTGGATTTCGGGCGCAGGGAGGGGATGCGTGCGTGGGATGAGGGGCCCGACGAGGAGGAGGAGGAAGGAGGTCATCTGCGGGTAAGGCTGCTCCGCGGTGTAGTGGTTGATGAGCTGGTGGAGCATGTCCACCAGCGTCCACGGGTACTCCTCCTCCAGGTCAACTTCCTCCTCTCCCACGACCGAGTCGACGGGCGAAACGTCGTTGCGGCTCCATGCTGCCATGGTCTCTGTCGTTCTGGCGGGGATCTTGTTCTGAGGCTCTTGGTGCGGTTGGCGTAGGATGAATACGGCATCTTCGCCGAATCCCTCGCCCTCGCGGATCTGCTCGGCGACGGAGGCGGCGAGATCGAGGCCTTGCGAGTGGGTTTGCTTCACCTTGGGGTCTTCGCGGGCGCGAAAAGCAAAGTCGGTGGTATCTGTCTGCCTCTCTCGTAGATCTTCGTCGGATGTGTGCATGCTGATGTTGCCCGAATGCTCCCTCGTAGCTTCAGCGCTGTTTGTTGCTAGAGTGCCAGAGCCACCAAAAAACATTGACTCATGTGCACTGGCTATGCCTCCATTCTCGTTGACGGAAGCTGGGTACGATGTTGGTTGCTCATTCTTCTTGGCTCGGCTGGGACGCTCTGAGACCATCATTCGTTGTAGTGTAGGCGAACCAGAGCTTTCAAGTGAAGCTGGAAATGATGACTCTCTTGAACCACCAGACTCTTCGAGAAATTGAAAGCTTTCGCCACTGTCATGCTTTTCGAGCTTTGCGGGTGGGATCTTAACGCCCTTGTCATCGACAGGGTCGAGACTGAGAGGTATCTTTGGTTGCGAACTCCAACGCTTGACCATCTCGTTTCGGTTGCTACTGTCATTCGGTTGAAGCTTCTGCAGTCCTTCAAGGTTTTCTAGCGTAAGTCTTCGATCTCGTGCCTGACTTGCTTCGACAGGGAGCTGCGGTGGTGAAGTAGGTTTTGAGGCAATGGAAGGAGGCAGTGCCAGCTTCTCATCTTTGTCTGGGTCTGGAAGTGTTTGTGCGTGTTGCTGTGACATGGGAAGCTTTCCGCTGGTGGATGGACGAGCGAGTGGCGTGGGAACGTTGGAGGTGCTTTCAGGTTGAGCCAGCTGCTGGGCAATGGTCGAGACTGGTCGTAAGGTGCCAGGTGATTGCGTCGGTGATTTGAGATGTTGTGTTGCAAGCCTCTTTGCCAACGTTTCGATTGAGGTGGTCATGGCAGGTTCTTGTGCAGGTGATGATGACTTCTCTGCCGCTCGCTTGCGCTTGAATGCGACACGATCTTGAATATGAACCAAAGTGCAATGTCCGACCATCTTCCAGACCGCCGCAGTGACGTTGTATCCAATCGAGTTGTAGTGATCCTCGTTCGCCTTGAAGGCATTTTCAACTTCACGCAGGAAGTCATCGTCGTTCGACGTTGATGGTATCTCAATTCGGGCTCGTTCAGCCATGAAGGCGACTGGCTCAGGATTGTTGTGACTTTCAAGCTGTCCACGACAGGAGAGTTGTTGCGGTCTGAAGGACTTGCGGTTGAGCAGAATGTCGTCGAGTTTGATGGTCGCCGACTGGTGTTGATTGGAGGTGGATGAAGAGCTTAAGGCACCGTGGACTCTGCTGCTGCTGTGCGATCTGGCTTGGCGTTTGAAAGGCAACACACTGAGAAATGATTGATCCAATGTATCGTCCTGCCAACTTCGACTGAGAAAGGTCGTCTCTGGACTGGTGCTCAGGCTGGTGTTTGTTCGTGTCGGGAGAGAAGGAGGAGGCACCGGCGGCGGCGGCGGCTTGCGGCGTTGTTGACGGGCTTGCGCAACAAACGACAACTCACCAAGCGCCGACACATCAATTGCTTGCAAGTTGCATCGATCAATGACTTTCGACGTGTGCTGCACATCCGTCTGGATGAAAGCACCTTCTCTGCCGACAGTCCACAACAGATCCTGCGAGTGCCACAGAAGATCAGTCGGCGCCGATGGATGCGGAAACAGCTCGCGAAATGGAAGAAGAGGACGACGAAAATCCCAGACATGCATGATCGGATGCTCGACGTCGTACGCAGTGACGATCTGGGTGCACTGCTGGGCTCCGTTGTCGTGCGGCATAGCAGACTGACAGGATGGTCGCCATCGAGCGTTCATGACGGGAAAGGCAGTCTTGATCTCCCAGGCCGCCTTTCTAGGACGACTCGTGGAAACATCAAAGACTCGCACCGTCTTGTCAGAGCTGGCGCTGAGGATGTGCTTGCCGTCTGGATGCCAATCGACCGTGTTGCACGCCAGACTGTGAGCCGGTACTCTGACCTTGGCCGACTTCAAATTCCTCATATCCCAACGCTGGACATCGCCATTGTCTGTCCCAAACGCAAAATCAAAGCCCTCCACGGGCGACCACTTCACATCTCGAACTCCATCACTCTGGCCTGAATACTTTCGCTTGCTCTGCACGGTCGTCACTTGGCTCTTCACGTCACGCAAGTCCCAAAGCCGGACCGTACCGTCCTGTGAGCCTGACAGGAGCAAGCTGCCTCGATGAGGATTGAATGTTACATTATGCACCTGCCGGAAGTGCTCGTGCAGCTGTGCGGCCTGGAGACCAGCATGGCCGAGGTCGTACACAATGATCTTGCCACTGGAGGTTGCCGCTGCCACGAGATGGTTACTGTCGCCCTTGGCCCAAGCTACATCGGCAATATCGATGGAGTATATCTGCCGCGGCTGGCCTGAGGCCTGAGTGGGTGTGCTTCGGATGGCCGTCCTAAGGTTGAAATCCTCCGCACAATGCCCATCTTCGACCTTGACCGTCTTGAAGATCTCCTTTCCTGCAATGATGGCATGACTTCCGCTGTCGTTTATACTGAGCGAATGGATCTCCAGTCCGGTCTTATGGCTGGTGGTGGCGTTCTGAGTAGCGCCGAGAGAGGAGGACCTGGTGAATTGGCTACTGCCCAGCGTGAAGCGGTCGTCGTCTCGCAGGCCTTGCGGACTGGGAGGTCTCGAAGCGTAACCCAAAAGCCTGGACGCTGCATCTCTAGCTCGCTGCAACGGCCTGGGATTGGGAGCTGGCAGTGGTGGAGGTCGCGGAATTGTGGCCGGAGACGTCGCATTGCCTGCGGAAGACCGCTTGGGATCCTGGCTCATCGTGGCGACCTGCGGGTGTGTGTGATCCGCTTCATCGCAGTCTCAAGACGTCTCTTTCTCATGCCACGAGGATCTGATCAAGGTGTGGTTGTTGGTGGAGGAAAGACGATATCGAAGTCCAGGTCACGTTACCGGTTGGTGAATGCCAAGGAATTTGGAAGAGCTCTGGCCGACGTCTCTTCCTCCAACACGACCACCTCTTCCTTCCAACTCGAGTCGAGACACGCTGTCGCAGCCTGGCAGGCACATGATCCACCCCAAAGACGAACCGCGACAGCCTCGCAACCCTCCAAGACCATCTCAGCCACCCCGACGAGCGCGCGTGGAGGACAGCTCGAAACATCCGCAGACGCCCGGCTTCAACCTCACACCTCGCCAACAACGAGGCATCGACTGTACAGACACCGAATCCTATTCACAGACCATACCAAAGGCCCATATAGCACAGACTCAGCGACGATGAGGCTCTTCTGGCCCGTCTGTGGTCATCCGTGCGCTTCTCGTCCCGTAGCCGCCGAGTGCATACAATTAGCCGCCAGGCTCCATTGGCCATAAACATCTCGTCGCATGGCAGTCATGAAACCATGGCATACTCCAAAACAAGACAGAAATAAGGTGAGCTATGTTTGGGAATGGTTGATGGGTGGAGGCGTGGGTATAAACACAGGTGGGACATGCAGGTCTGGACTGCTGCACTTCAATCCTTTCCCTATTTTGAATTATCACGAATCTCTTTTGTGGGTTTCATTCAGTTCTGTATTTCTCCATATCATTCTTTGCGAGCAAAAGTCTCTGATTTGCCACTTCTAATCTACTTCACATCTCGATCCCAGAGATCAGATCGCCCGCTGGCAGGGATCACCACCACACACAAAAGACAACCACCAAAGCAACAGCAACAATCACCACACCAGACCTCCATCCACCAACATGCCTCTCCCAGACTACGGTGCCGCTCCTCTGGCGAAAACCTTCCTCCTGGTCCGCGGCCTCTCCCTCATCGCCATGATCGCCATAGTCGGCGTAACAGCCAACTTCGTCTCCCAAATCGTCTCCTCCAACATCGAGCCACCCAAAGAAATCGTCGGCACACTGGTCATCGTACGGCCTCCTCTTCTCCCTCCCCCAACCCCCCAAAACTAACGCTCCCCTCACAGACCTGCCTAGCAACCCTCTACACCCTCCTCACAATACCCTTCTTCTACGCCAACGCCCGCCTCTCCCTCCTCCTCATGACTGCAACCGACACCCTCCTCCTCCTCGCCTTCCTCACCCTCTCCATCATCCTCGGCCGCCCCCTCTCCTACCTCAACTGCCCCGCCATCGCCTCCCAAACCGCCGCCTCCAACGCCCACTCCGCCGCGGCCTTCACGCAGAGTCTCGCGCAGAACTTGAACGAGAGCGGCGCGAGACTCGGGTTGGGCCGCTGGGCGGGGAGTACGCGCACGAATTGTTATGAGAGTAAGGCGGTGTGGGGACTGGGGATTGCGTTGGCGGTGTTGTATTTTTGTTCGGTGGTGGTTTTGCCGACGCTTTGGGTTAAGGCTAGGAGGGTTGGTGGTGGCAGTGGCGGGGGTAAGAGTGCTTTTTGAAGGAATATCTCGAGACAGTTGGGTGTATTATGGGTGTTTGAAAGTCGCGGCGAAGGGCGATCATGACGGGTCTGGCTGGGGGCGTTTTTGGGTGCGGCGGGATATCTCTCTGGTAGAGTCTGGAAGGGCAAGGCAACGGCTGGAATTGTAATGTCTAAGAGATACACAACACACTACACTATCAGTCAATGAATATACAGCCCGGAATAACGAACCACAAGCATCGCCCCCATAACACGAACTTCTTTCCCAAACACACCAAGATCCCCCTGACCGCGATGTTTCGCACACGCATAGAACACCAGCAATACCGCCCGCCCATATCCGCGACCTCCATGTGTGATTCCTCGCAGAAACTCGTAAAACCCCATCAAGACACAATCCACATTCACACATTCACCCACAAAGCGTGCACGGACCTTTTTCTCACATGGTTTCGTCAAGTCGCATGTATGTCTTTTCGTCCATCAACTCCACAACTCCAGGGAACAAGGACCAAGACTTCGGAAAATATGTGCTTTTGAGGAAGGTTTTGATCCTGGCGCTAGATGCCTAAGTCTTTGGGATGAAGAGGGAGGTTGTCTTTACCACGAGCCTCATGCCCAGCGAGCACGCCTCCGCCACGCAAGAAAATCATGCGCTCCTCCGCTCATGCCCTCTCCTCGACAGCTGAAGAGCACATGTGTTCATGTGTGCATGTGTTGTCCATCATGCTACAGCCGAGCAGATGCAGAATGTCCTTCTTGCGATGTTGGTTGGTTGGTCTTGTAACGAGCAAGCAAGCACTCGAATCGAATCGACAAAGCAGAACCAGCAAGTCCGGAAAAGGGGATTTCGACGACTGTTGATAGCGGAGAGTATTAACGACGCACAACGGGGTTGATTTCGATTCCTACAACACGGGGGGAAGACTCGATACAATGGCCCCCATCATCCTCCTCGCCCTCCTCGCCATTCTGCCCCTAACAAACCCCTGCCCAACCCCCTTCCCGCTCCCCTCCCCCCTATCCAACACAACCTCCCCCCTCCACCCCCGCTCCTACGGCCTCCCCGCCCCCCACCCAAACAACCCGCACCCGGGCCCTTGGCCCACCACAACCCCCGGCACGCAACCCCTCCGCTACTGCTACGCCACAACCACCGACTACGACTCCCTCAACGCCATCGTGTTCGCCGCCATAAACCTCTGGAAACCGGCCCTGAAACCCAACTCCGCCCTGGAGATTGTGCCGGATAATGGGGATCCTGAAGGATGTATTTGTGGCGCGGAGGGAGTCACTGGGGATGCGTTGAATTTGAGGGATTATTCCGGGGAGAGGGTGACGGTTGCTAGTGTTGGGTGAGTTTTGAATATCTCTTTTTCTGGGAGGGGACTTTGGGGCATGATGGGTTGGGGGTTTTGCTGACATGTTTGGGGTGTAGATGGGATCCCACCGTCAAAGGCCTAGAGAGCCACAGCTGGCACGAGCTGCGGTTCGCGAGGGTGGATACGCCGGTGGATGGGCAGGGGAAGGCGGGAAAGGTTGGGGAGAGGGATGTTGTGAGGATGGCGCATGAGATTGGTGGGTATCAATTCGCCTTCCTGGGACGATTGAGGAGTACTGATCTTGGGTGTGTAGGTCATGCCCTCGGTTTTGAGCACGAACATCAGCGTCCAGATGCGGCGAAGTTCATTGAGTTTGATTGTAAGGTGTTGATGGGGTATGCGCAGGTGAGGATCCATTCATACACCGCCGAAGAAGGGTGAGGATGCTGACTCGATACAAGATGAAGAGTAACATCGCCGCTGGCACAGCCAATGGATTCCAGAGTGGCGACACGATCGAGAGAGCGTAAGTTTCAGTAGCAAACCCACCCCAAAAGCCAACATACTAACACATCCCTCCCAGCTGCACCGACCTCCCCACGGCCCTCCGCCTCGGCTGGTCCGAAGTCACCCAACGCCTCCCGATAATCCAACCCCCCAACACCCTCGGCGCCTACGTCCCGTCCGCGGCCATCGACCTCTCCTCGATCATGATGTATGGCAGTTTCGACTCGCACATGGCGGGCGTGGATCCGAACAAGTTCGACGACAAAGGCGCCGGGGCGGTGTTGAAGGCGTTCACGGAGAAGAAGTCGAAGATTCCGGGGAAGAAGGCGAAGCGCGAGTATTCGAGGGTGAGTATGGGGGGCAAGTGGCCGCCGAGGTATGTCTCGAGTGTGAGTGAGGGGGATGTGACGTGGGTGAAGGCGATGTATCCGAAGACTTGATGGGGTTGCGTATGTAGTGAGGGGGATTTGAATTAAAGATGAAATTGCGTACATAGAGAGAGCATTTCTGAAGATGAGATTCTTGCGTTCGATGAAGAGAGCAGAAATACCCACCTTACAGTATGAATTCTGGCATGTCCCGCCCGTATCTGTACCACGACCAATACGCTCAACGATCGCAGCTTTTTAAAGGCGTAGTAGACCTCTTTTCTAGGCTGGAGTGAGATCCCTCGAGGAGCGGTTTCCGAAGACCCCAGCAACCCTCAAGGAACCTCTGCCTTTCCCTCTCTTTCATAGAGTCCAACTCACCTGGGCGAGGAGGGGAAAGAGAAGGCCGTAATCAGCCGGGTGGGAAGTATACAAGAATGGTATATGAAGAAGAAGAAGAAGAAGAAGAAGAAGAAGAAATACGAGCTTGGTTGTGGTTGTTGGCGTGGAAACGTGATGTATTCAGGCCGCGACTGCCCGAAGGCAAGCGCACGCAGGTCTCTCGCTCAGACTTCAGCTACCCTTCGCAGTCGAAGCCGCATCTGTGACTCGCTCGATGTATGCCGGTATAAGAAACCAGTCCGTCCCACATCCCCATGCGCCAACCTCGTATCGAGACCTGCCCACACCGTCAGTCAAAACCCTCTCCCACCAATTCTCATCTTCTCCAACCTACCTCATCCCCATCCGATCATCTCATCTCTCTACCGGCTTCCACTCCACACACCCTTCAAGTAGCCGTCGCGCTGGGTCAGACGGTTGATGCAGTCGTCGCTCTCGCCCATGGCGCGCACGAACCCGCACAGGGCGTACACCTGGTTCTCGCCCGTGTATCGGCCGTTCTCGTCCACCTTGCCGACGGAGATCTGGACGGAGGCGTGGTCCTTGGCCTTGATGATGCGGTTGGTGGCGCTGCACTTGCGTGGGACGTAGCTGGGAAGATCAGATGTTAGTGGGAGGTGTTTTCGAGGTGGTGGGTGGTGTTGGGTGCTGCTCACAGGTCGACGAGCTCGCCGCGTTCGTTCTCCATGGTGACGGTGTGGTTGAGGTGGAGGATTTGGCGGTGGGTGTGGTGTTGCGACGGTGCTGTGCTCTGCGTTCGGCGGGGGAATGGCTGAAGTCGTCGGCGACAGAAAGTCGAATTGCGCACAGACGTGCGAAAAATCTTGGCGTCACGTGATGACGTGAAGATTGATGATTCTCATTGAACATTATTTTGCTGACGCTGGCTACAAATTCAATCATGCACACGAATTCAAGGCTTCAATCGTCCCACGGCAGAGTGCTGTACACATTCCCAATGCCCTGGTTGGCCGCAACGCCTCGCATTCAAGGACAGGATGCCGTTCAGGCATTAACTTTCTCCCACAAACATCATCAAACTTAGATCATAAGAGCTGCGACGAAGAAGCCGAGCAGAGCCACTGCGCTGCCCGCAACAATCTTCGGGGCATCGCTGCTGCTTCCGCTGCCACTGCCGCTACTGCTGCCGCCTTGTGAGAAACCGCTCGAGCCAGATGATGCCGAGCTTTGAGACGCTGCTGAAGAATCGGTACCGCTGCCACTGCCGCTGCCACTGCTGCCAGAGGAGCCGGTGCCAGTGTTTCCATTGGCGTCACCTGCTGGCGCACCGTTGGAAGATGCCATGTTGCCACCGCCTGAGATACCTGGAACAGACTCTGGGGTCGCGGAAATGCTGGCTGAGGAAGACGTTGCGCTGTTGGTCTTGGAAGAAGAAGTACCAGATGGCTTGGCGTTGGGGTCAAAGCTGGGGTTGTCACCCGTGGCCATGAAGGAAGACAAGATAGTGTCGTTGTTGCCAATCGCGACGGACGAGTTGGTGCCGAGGGTGTCCATGTAGTAGTATGACTTGTCACCGTTGTTGGTGTAGCCATCCGGTGGGTCGTAGCACTCAATGCTCACATCGTTGACCATGGCGTAGTAGTATCCGTTTTGCATGTACTGGCTGTCCCAGTTGACGAGACCTCCAGCCCAGGAAACCGTACCCTCGCCGTTGCTCTCAAGACCCGCGGGCCACAGAGAAAGCTGAACACGGGCGGGAGTCTGAGGGAAGTGGTAGCTGTTGGTGGAGCTGTTCCAAGTATCCGACTTCTTCAAAGTACGCATAGAGTTGCCGTCAATCGACCAGGTGACCTGATCAGGAGTCCAGTCAATGGTGTAGGTGTGGGTGTTGCTGCGAGTGTCGGAAGTGTCAAGCGGGACCATGTTGTGGTCTGTGGATTGTTAGTATTTCCTTGACTGCGTTTTCAGCTCCGACTTACAATCAGTCACACCCTGCCAGTAGTAGTTACTCTGCGCATGCGTCACATCATCTCCAACAAACTCGAAATCAATCTCGTCCTTGACATCACTCATCAAGATGAATGCAGTGACAACACCCTGGCCCTGAGATGTGGTCATGGTCGCGCTAATCTTTCCGTACCAAACGTAGTGCGTGCTCGAGAGCAAAGTGCCGACCGTGCTGGGGGCCATGGTGAGCAATATCGAATCGCCATTGTAAGTGACAGGCTTTCCAGAGCTGACCCAGTTGGCCTTGCTGGCGTCTCCGAGGTAAACAGTATTTGCAGCCACATCGTCGAGGGAGTCCAACTTGAAATCACCGCTCTTGCAGGTGGGTGCAGCCACGCACGATTGGAGATCAAACGAGGATTCCGGGTCGCATCCACCCAAGCAGTATGCACCGACACCACATTGCCCGTACTGGGAGCAGCAGGGCGCGGAGTCGGGACATTTCTGGGTCGGACTGCAAGTTGGTGCGTCGGCGGCCAAGGTGAGGGAGAAGGTCGCGAGGAGCGCGGCCGCGGTGCTGAAGGCGTATTTCATGGTCGCGTGGTGGGGAGCGCGATGGCTCTGGTGTATTATATGGATGTAGATGCGCTTCGGGGCGCGTAGGCGCGCAGAGAAGGTCGAGCGATGGTGCGGCGGAGTGGGTCAACGATGGGTTGCGCAGGAATGCAGGCGTGTGTTGATGGGGTTGCCACTCTGCGACAAAGCGAGGGTGGGTATAGATAGAACACGGCTCACAAAGCGACAGAATCCCTTGCCCGAAAAACGAAGGTCGCAAGGGGAATATGAGGGTAGTATACACACAATAACGATAGAGAGGTGCGGCGAAAGGCTGGAGGAAGGGGAGAGAAGCTCAGATGTGCAGGGGCGGTTTTTGGTTCGAGGCGTGCACGGCAACCGTCTTGCTGGCCATGCCCATCTGGGCAAGCTCAATGCATGGAGATGTGGGGCCGCGTAAGACGTCCTGTGTCGTTTAAGCAGCCTCCAATCTATCATATTCTCCAGTCCTTCGTTTCTACATCTCTGCCAACAACACGTCGATATGCCCTCTATCACTCCCAGAAGTAAGTATCACATCGCAAAATGTAGCACAAGCCGGAGAAATGGCTTTTCTCCATACCTTTGTCATGTTGCAGATTTGACTACATCACGTGCGTGAGCATCCGCTCGCAAAACCAACCCTCCGAATACCTCAGTACAAAACTCGAGCCTCTTCGCCTCGGACCAGCCTCAAACGGCTTAACGTGGCCCTCCAATACGACCACCCTCAACCCATCCTTCGACAAACCAGCGAGTCATAGCCCACCAGTGGCAAGATTCACGTATTTTTGGACACACAGCTCGACTTCAAGTACCTGGTGGGCGCAGGTCTGGAGCTTGAGCTACTACTCCTACAGACAGCTTATTCCTGATTCTTGAAGAACAACGAATGCCTGTTTTGTAGCTAGCCCAGGCTGGTTCTGCAGAGGGTGGTAGTAGTCTGTCCGGCTTTCGCACGCGTTGCTGACCGAGGACGTCGATGCGGTATATACCCTTCCAGCGCAACTCATCAGCTGAAGGGCATTAAAGACGGACGACGGACTTTACTTCGGACTCCTTCGCGCTGCCATCAGCCATCACTCAAGAAGTACTCGCAAGACGCAGCAGGTAGGTCTCTCAAACCTCTCCCTCTCATTTCCATACAAAATGTCAAACCTACATTTCGTCCTCGTCCACGGCGCCTACCACCGCGCCTGGCACTTCAAATTCCTCCAAGAAGAACTCGAGAAAGCCGGGCACAAAGTCAGCACCCTCGACCTCCCCTCCGGCAGCGAAGATGGCCCCGAAGACAACGCCATGTCCGCCGACACCTCCGCCATCAAGTCCGCCCTCGAAACCGCCGCCTCGCACTCCCCCACCATCGTCCCCGTCTTCCACAGCTACGGCGGCATCCCCGGCAGCGACGCCGCCGCCGAACTGAGCGAAGCCGCCAAGAACAAAGTCCTCCGCCTCATCTTCATAGGCTCCTTCATCTTCCCCGCCAACACCTCCCTCCTCTCCCTCAGCGGCGGCAAAACCGCCTCCTGGGCGCAACCCGTGCCCGAAAACCCCAAATACCGCTACGTCCCGGACCCGATCCCGACCTTCTTCCACGACGTCGAGCCCGCCCGCGCGCAGGAAGCCGCGGCGCACCTCGTGCAGAACGCCGTGTCGGCGTTTCGCGAGCCGACGAAATATGCGGGCTGGAGTGGGTTTGAGTGTACGTATGTGTTTTGCGAGGAGGATCGGGTGGTGCCGAGCGCGGCGGCGGAGAGGATGTTGGGGGCGATGACGGAGGCGCAGAGGAAGCGGTGGAGGACGGAGGAGATTGGGGGGAGTCATAGTCCGTTTTTGTCGAGGCCGGCGGAGTTGGCGCGGTTGTTGGGGAGGATTACTGCTGGGGAGGACGGGGAGAAGTTGTAGAGGTGAGGTAATGTAGAAGAGAAGAATGTATATTCTTGGGTGGTGTGAAGGGCTTGTTATTCTCGTGTTGTCTGATCGTCCACTTCCTGGGGATGGGTGACTTGTTTCAGTCGCTCGACGAAAACGTGGTCATATCAACAATATTTTTGTCCTCTGAAATGGCTCGCAACCTTCAGTAGCCCTTCGGATCTCATCTCAAGCGACACTCACTTCTCAACAAGATGGAAATATTCTCCACAATCCAAACACCATCCCCTCCAGCTCACCGATCCAAACAATCACCCTCACTTCCAGCATACCACATATCTTCACCATATCCACCATTCTCATCTAACCCCAAAATAACCCTAACGCCAACCCAGTCCAGTCCAGCCCACCTCGCGCACGCACGCGATTCAGCCCCACACGAGCTCTCGAAACACCTCCGGGCGAAACGCCCAAAAACAGCTCGAAACATGGATGGAAACTAGCATCGGAGTATTCTTACCCTCCAAGCTTCCAGTGAAGATGTCTTTTCCACCCACCGACCACCGACCGTCGTCTACCACCACCAACTCTCACCCACCACGGCCCTAAACCCCACCACAGACCATAAACCATGGCCTCACCCACCACGCACCCCCTCAACACCGACAGCGTACCCCGCGACACAATAACCCTCACCAACCTTCAACTCCCCCACGGCATAACCGCCCCTGACGTCTGGGGAAAACCCAAAGAACAGCCCGCGCTCATCTCCCTCTCGCTGCAACTCCAAGGCCGGGGCTTCGGGACCGCGGCGCAGGGCGACAAGTTAGATGACTCGACGATTCACTATGGCGAACTCGCGAAGAAGATCCGGGCTGGGTGTGTGGAGGGGCAGACGGCGGGGGAGTTGGGCGGGGTGGTGGAGGGGTGTGTGTTGGAGATGGGGATGAAAGATGGTGGGAAGAGGTTTATTGTGGCGCGGGCGGAGGTGGAGGTGCGTTTGCCTAAGGCGAGTATGTTTGGGGATGGAGGGGTGACGCTCACGACGAGCACGGCGTATGATGGGGCGGGGAAGGTGGTGGGGGTCGGGAGGGTGTTTGGGGTGAAGGGGATTAAGGTCATGACGTTGATTGGGGTGAATGGGTATGAGCGGAGTCAGAAGCAGCCGTTGGTGGTGAGTGTGTTGTTGCATTTGAGGAGTGAGGTGCAGAGTACGGGGTCGGGGGAGACGGTGGCGTTGTTTAATTTGGAGCAGACGCTTGTGCAGGTGAGTGTGATGATGAGCACGTGGTGTGGTGGGTGGTGGGTGGTGGCTGATATGATTCTCAAGATCATCCAAGATACCTCGTTCGAGACGCTCGAGACGCTGGCGGATTTCACGGTGGTGCAGCTGAGGAAGAAGATGCTGGATTCGGTGTTGCCTGGGACAAGAGTGCAGTTGAGGATTGAGAAGCCTAGGGCTATTGCGTGGGCAGATGCTCCAGCTGTTGAAGTGCTGCGAGATGTGCCGTCGAAGAGGTCGAGCAATGTCGTCAGTACAGGTCAGGGGAAAGCAAGAGAGGGCAGTCGTCCTGCTACGGCAACGTCATCCACATTGGAGAGGAGAGACATGGCTGGCCCAAAAGAGAGGTTGAGCATCATCAAGCCGTACAGTGGCTGAGAGGTGTTTGATATATCCAGACACAAGAAGACTGCATGGAGCCTGGTCCGCTCGCTGTTGTCTGCAACAGTGGTCCAGCTTCAAGAGTTGAGGCTGATTTACGAACGACCGATATGTCGCCGCGAATACTTGCATGTGAGACGAGTGGGTTGCAGAGTGGATACGGCAAGCGGTCGTTTGGGCAGATCGGACATTTTCGAAATGAGAGGCTCCACCGCAGATATACAGATCTGTATGGCTTGGCAGGCATTGCGATAACACATTGCCAATTGCGTGCACTCTTGAAACAGACTTGGCTCAACATTGCGGATGATGTCCGACGTTCTCCTGACGATGTGCGTTCAGCCGCGGTCTCTTCAACATGTCGTCGTGATCGATTTGTGCCCATGTCTCGCGACTCCTGAAAAGACGTTCCATCTGCCAACGCTCGTCGGCCAGCAAGTCGGGGAGAAGGAGTGGTTTGCGCGGATGATGGTGAAACGTAGGGCGGTCGGCCTCTTGATCCAGCACGTGCGAAGCTTCACAGGTCGCAAGGTGCGGGTGGCGCCCGGGTTGCCGAAGCCGCGAGGCGGACCTGCAGGTTGAAGGCTGATCGACGCAGCGCTGAGGAAAAATCTGTGCGTGACATGGATGTCGCCCAGCAACAGATGCGAATTGCCGTCAGATGGCGGCCAGAACGTGCGACGATATGGAGTGTGGTGGTTGAGCTTGTAATTGATGGGAATGGGTATGTGTATTTTGGGGTGTTGGGAATAGTGGTTGGAAGAATCGGATGGTTCTCCCAGGGTTTGGAAAGTTGCAGCAGTGCCGAAAACCTTAATGGAGACGTCTGCGATGGCATCGTGAGGCTTTGAAACAGGATGCAGATGCAGCAATTGTCGGTGTGGATCGGTGAGGCAATGTGGAAGACGCACGTCGTTTGTGATGCGGCTCTAGTCAATACATACTCAACTCGGAACATACACAGCTACGCGAGGGGCGCTCGTCCATCTGCTGGTCGGTCGGTGAGGATCGCTGGTGAAGTCGTGATAACGGCCGGCACGACTTGTAGATAGTGGCATGTGGAGGTGGCGAGTCTGGAGTGCGGCGCGCGGGAATAGAAGGGCGGAAAGGAGACGACGGCTGTGCGACGAGACAAGTGGTGAGCTGCTAGGCCGGGCAGGTGCATTCGGGCGAGCAGCTGGAGTGAATCTTGCGCAGAATCTAGGCGGTGGAGTGCTGCTCGCTGTCGTCGTGGTTGCTGTGCCTTCCCCCAACGCTGGCTGCTAGCGCCGAACTCTGATCCGCTCGCCAGCTTGCAAGGCAGGTGGGGCGGTCGTTGTGACCCTGAATGTTTCTGGCATTGACACTTGATAAACCCGCCAAACGCTCGTCGACACTCCTCGTCCTCCTGCAATTCCCTCCTCTCCTCCTCGTACACCCTCACACAGCGGCCTGTCAACGCCAGGTCCGGCACCACCACTCGAAACAGGTAAGAAGCACGCCCAAGTGACGAAACAGCTCACCTCACCCCACATTCGCTACTGCACTTCCTGCTTCCAGCGCCCGCCAGCTTTTTCTTCCAGACCACCACCACTGACCGCCATCTCGCAGACACCTTCACCCACACCTTCACCAAACACACCGCATGGACAAGATGGCCTCCAAGATCAAGGACGCCTTGCCCGCCCACATGAAGCCCTCCAACGGCACCGACGGCGAGCGCCATCACGGCAAGTCGCAGTCGCACGTGGTAAGTTTCGTGATATTGTGAGCAGCGGCAGTTGCAGCAGCAGAGCGAGCATGAGCATGAGCACCGAGCACCGAGCATCGAGCACCAAGCAATGAGCATTTGAGCAACGAGCACCTACGGCACTTCGAGCACCTCCCACGACAGGCCAGTTGGCCGCCCACCTTCGCCGCGGACTCCATCAAAGTGGCAAACCCGCCCGCAAGCATCACCTGAGATTTGACGACATCGCGGATGGCGAGCAACCTCGACAGCGGACTGTTTGTGACACCTGGCTGCCAGATGGCGAGTGTGCACCCATCTGCAACGCTGGCATGCTCGGCCCGCGGCATTGCATTGAATTGTGTTGGCTGGCCGCAGTCACTCGCCCACTTCACCACACTCGACCTTTCACGAGGTCGGAGGATGGTAACTTGAGAGACGATGACTTGGAAGTTGTTACTACTAAACACACCAGCACACGACAAGCTCGAGGCTCTTTGACTCTGCTCTCTCTCACGCTATGCGACCCAGCAAGCTGGCTAGAGAGATTGGGAGTTTGCTGACTTTTGACCAGGCCTTCGAGAACACCTCCACCTCTGTTGCCGCCTCGCAGATGCGCAATGCCCTCAACCAGCTGGCAGACTCTGTCAAGGACCCCAAGGAGAAGCAGGTAAGTCACTCATGCAGCAGCACTCTATGAAGACCAGCTTTTCTGACCTCTTTCCAGCGCTTCGAGACTGAGATGGACAACTTCTTCGCTCTCTTCCGCCGCTACCTCAACGACAAGGCCAAGGGCAACGAGATCGACTGGGCCAAGATCTCCCCACCAAAGCCAGAGCAGGTCGTCGACTACAACAGCTTGGGCAACACCGAGTCGGTCGAGTTCCTCAACAAGCTCGCCGTTCTCAAGCTCAACGGTGGTCTCGGTACCTCCATGGGTTGCGTTGGCCCCAAGTCCGTCATCGAAGTCCGTGATGGCATGTCCTTCCTCGACTTGTCGGTCCGCCAGATCGAGTACCTCAACCGCACCTACGACGTTAACGTCCCGTTCGTGCTCATGAACTCGTTCAACACCGACTCCGACACCGCCAATATCATCAAGAAGTACGAGGGCCACAACATCGACATCATGACCTTCAACCAGTCCCGCTACCCACGTATCCTCAAGGACTCGCTTCTCCCAGCCCCCAAGTCCTCCGACTCGCCCATCACCGACTGGTACCCACCCGGCCACGGTGACGTTTTCGAGTCGCTCTACAACTCCGGCATCCTCGACAAGCTGCTCGACCGCGGCATCGAGATCCTCTTCCTGTCCAACGCCGACAACCTGGGCGCCGTCGTCGACCTCAACATCCTCCAGCACATGGTTGAGACAAGAGCAGAGTACATCATGGAGTTGACCGACAAGACCAAGGCCGACGTCAAGGGTGGTACCATCATTGACTACGAGGGCCAGGCGCGCCTGCTCGAAATCGCCCAGGTGCCCAAGCAGTACGTCAACGAGTTCAAGAGCATCAAGAAGTTCAAGTACTTCAACACCAACAACATCTGGATGAACCTGCGGGCCGTCAAGCGTGTGGTGGAGAACAACGAGCTCAGCATGGAGATCATCCCCAACGGCAAGAGCATCCCAGCCGACAAGAAGGGCGAGGCGGACGTTAGCATCATCCAGCTCGAGACGGCCGTCGGCGCTGCCATCCGCCACTTCAGCAACGCGCACGGTGTCAACGTGCCCCGCCGCCGCTTCTTGCCAGTCAAGACCTGCTCTGACCTCATGCTCGTCAAGTCCGACCTCTACACGCTCAAGCACGGCCAGCTTATGATGGACCCCAACCGCTTCGGCCCAGCTCCTCTGATCAAGCTCGGCAGCGACTTCAAGAAGGTGTCCAACTTCCAGAGCCGCATCCCATCGATCCCGAAGATCCTCGAGCTCGACCACCTCACCATCACCGGTGCCGTCAACCTCGGCCGCGGTGTCGTGTGCAAGGGCACGGTCATCATCGTCGCCACCGAGGGCAGCACCATCGACATCCCCCCGGGCTCGGTGCTCGAGAACGTGGTGGTGCAGGGCAGCTTGAGACTGCTCGAGCACTAGAGGGAAGATGATTTTGCACAGCTGCACCGGCGCAAAGGGTTTCGGCTCTGGAACATAGATGAAGTACGGGCATTGTGGGATGTTTCGTTTTTGGGCTGGGTCGGATAGACTGATCCCAGCCGTGTACTTTGCATGCGATGGTACTCTAGACAGACCCCCAGTAGAGGAAATGAGCTGAATGAAAGACGCATAATGTGATCAAGACATCTCTTGCGTGTTCGTGGTTCAAGTTGATGCCTCAGGCCACCATGTTTATCAACTTCGGCTCCGTGTGGTGACGTAGCGTTGTACCGTACCAGCGGATGACCCATCTGCTGCACAAGACGAGCACGACCAGCTGGGGAGGCATGTGAAACACGTCGCCTCGTGCATCTGAGTAACCAGCATCGGATGTCTTCGGCCGCCCTCCCCTCGTCATCCTGTTCCTCGACTCTTCTCCAATACTTCACTTCACCTCTCGCTTTCCGTTCGAACGTGAGAGCTAAAATTGGACTCGCGACTGCTTCACCTCTTCACAGCTGTTGGTAGCTCGACTCGATAGCGTGCGCCACGCGACAAGCTTCACCGATATTTGGAGACACCACGAGACGACCACGAGACCGAACGGAGCATTCAAAAGTACCCAACCCTCCGGATGCGACTGTAATCACTATCCAGACCTCGAGTCTTGGACGTCGCCATGAATGCGCCACCGACCGAGGAGCCTCCTCCACCAGAGCGTGAGAGGGAGACTCGAGCAGACGAGCATGAGAGGGAGATTGAACAGCATGAGGCGTATGAATACTGGGGATATCTGTTCAAACCGGACAAGACGGGAACGGATAAGCTGAAGAGCTTGTTGCGTGGGTTGAAGGATGTTATGGTATGCGGTAGTACTGGTCAGAGAGCGATGGACAGCTAACAGTCGCACAGAATGAGCGGTATGAACCATCCGACCAACCCGATCTCACGCCCAACCAACTGGCGCATTTCTACCGTGACTTGCATGGCAACTACGATCAGCTGTTCCTGGGCACGCCAAATGAGAGTATTGCATTCATTTACAAGAGCTTGGGATGTCTGCACAGTCTACAGCCACCGGCATACACACATGCGACGGCTTTTACGGATCCGACAGTTCCTGCGCTCAAAACGGAAGGATGGATCATGTGGCAGACCATCCAAGTCCTGCTGGGACCTGAAGAACATTCGAGTTTCCTGAGAGAGGCCGTGCAGATGTACGATGTCAGGGATCACGATACTGGCGAGATCTTTCCCAAGATCCTGCCGAGGGAATGTTTCCCGCGCGAGCCGGATAAGCATATGGTTGCCTGGTATGAGGGGGTGTCGGAACGTTTGAGGAAGGAGGCGGATGAGGAGGAGAGGCATAGGCAGGTTGAGGTGGAGCATGCGCCTGAGGTGAGGAGGATCCATGCGAGGGAGCATGGCCCAAGACGGGAGGAGGGCGTTATGAGTGACGAGGAGGGATCAGTCGACTCGAGAGGTCCTGCGTTGGCATACTTCCGCAATCCACTCTACCGCCATGTTGATGGCAGGCCCAGCATTGTGCGAAGGAACTCGAAGCGACCAGCCCTCAGTCCGCGGCAGACGATGATGGACAAGGGTAAAGAGGCTGCCAATGCTTTTGGTCGCATTGCAAAAAACGTGGGAAGTCCACATCTATGGGACGGACGTGGAAGTAGTAGGAGCCGCGATCGTGACCATCGAAGGAAGAGCCACCCAGACAATCACTACCAGTACCCAGAAGATGCGCCACCCCCTACTTCAGCTGGCGCATATGATGGCCGAAGAGAGCATTCAGGTCACAGTGGTCATCGCAGACGGCGTAGTTCGCAGCTCGAAAGACCAGAGCGACCAGTCTCAGCTGCTATGTCCGCGGATGACGAGTGGGACCAAAGCGAAGCCAGCCCGGTATACAGTCCACCACCTCATCCCACTGGATCCAATTCGAGCAGGCATCGCCATCACGGCTCTCGACCTGTCTCGCGAGACCAGCCTCTACGACATTCGAGAAGCCACGAACCGACCCCAAGCCAGGAGCTGGAGGACGATTACTTTGCGGGTTATGATGATCCCGCGAAGAGGAGGAACTCGGCTCATGATAAGCCCTTCACGCCGCCTCCCGCTCCCGCTCCCAACGGCGTGGGAATGTCGTTCGGTCCGTCTGGCGGGCCACTGTTTGCTTCTCATGTCGCGAGACAGCCCCAGCCTCCTCCTATGCAGCGTCTCCCACCACCTGGACCAGGTCCAGATCCTTATGAAGGAGGTCCGCCAATACAGCACCCATCTATCCGTCGAGCGCAGGGTGCGGGAAGGTATCCAAGCCGAAGTCCAGAGCCTGGGGTTGGTGGACGGCCGCCTCCGCCGTTGGATCCGAGGGGAAGACCACTAGATCCTAGGGATAGAGACCCACGAGACCCTCGAGACAGAGACCCCCGAGATCCGCGAGATCCCCGCGACATGCGAGACCCCCGACACAGCCGCTACGACTCCCCCGGCCGCGACCACCGCCCACGCTACGAACAAAGCCCCGCGCCCTACGACGACCTCCCTCCACCACAAGGCGGGCCCCCTCCTCCCCCAGGCGGAGGAAGCTACCCACCACCCCGCGGCGACCCCCGCGACCGACGACTCGGCAGCGGAAGAATGAGCGGCAGCGATCTGGATCAGTACTATTCTGCTGGCGAGGATCGACGGGGTGGGAGGCCGAAGCAGACGCGGTTTGCGGAGAGGCCTGTTAGCGGTGGTGGTGGGGGGCCACCCGAGACGGGGGTTAGTGGGCGGAGGTATCCGGAGGGGAGTCCTTGGAGGAGGGGGAGTTAAGTTGAGAATGGGAGAGGATTGGGATGGGTGATTGATGGTGTAGGTTGATGAGTGAGGGATGGTGACGGGGTATGAGGCTCACGAGGCTATGACTTTCCTTTCCTTTCTCACCTCTTTTCGGTAGCGTCGCACGGACTCTTTTCATACAATGATGCAGAAACACGACAGACAGATAGACAGATGAACGAATGGATGAATGAAATGCAATAAGACCAGTCAGTAACAGTATGGCAAATATGACTACATAGCCCCTTCTCTCTCACCCTCATTCCATTTTGAATACTATACGAGAGAGAACAAGAGATCTGAACCAAGAGGAGGGTACTTATGGGATGAACGTTCGAGGAAAGATGCGATTCTTGCTAAGGTTGAGTGAGTTGTATCTTGTTTTCCATTTTCTCTCTCTCTGTGCTGGTGTCTATCATCTATCGTTCGTTCGTTCCTTCTATGCAAATTCTATCTCTTTGTTGGTTGATGCGGTGCTGCTAGTGGTATCTCTCGCTTCGCTATGCCAATGCCAATGCTATGCCAAATGCCGATGTAAATGCCGTGCCTAATGCCCATGCTCGTACAAAAGGAAGTTCGTGTCGTCGTTCAGATGTCGTCTCTGTATGCATCCAGTTCCTCCTTTGCCCTCCTCTCATCCTCGCTGTCAAGATCGTACATGAACCTCCTATCCCGTGCCATTCCCTCGTATGTAGCCGAGTGGCTTCATCTTTCGTTTTTCATCGCCTTCACAACCCATCAGCACCTCCTCATATCTGTATAATGGATGGAGAGTGGCTCACTGATTACAAATCCCACTCCTCTTCAACGCACTCGTCGGATAGAAGACTTGAGGAAGACCGCTGGTGATGGTGACGCCCAAGTTCCCCTTCGAATCCGTCGTGAAGCTCTTGCACGCCACGACGTCCATGACGGACTGATACTTGACGAAGCCGGAATTCGTCGCTCCCAAAGTGAGGGTGGCGGTCTTAGCACTTGCCCCGCGGTTCGTGAAGACGGACACGACCTGCGCGTTGGCGTTGCCCTTGCGCATGATGATCGTGGACGTGTCGGTGTAGATCGGCCAGGCGTTGTAGGTGATGTACGCGGCGTCCTTCTTGATGGCCCAGGCGCGGATCTTGTTCAGCGTCGTGATGAAGGGGTACAGCGTGGCGGAGCTGGAGGTGGAGTACGCCGTGGACCAGAGGGCCTCGCGGTTGTAGGGGACGCTGCCGCCGTAGAGTTTCTGCTCCTGGCCCTGGTAGAGGATGGGGATGCCGTCCTGCAGCAGGGCGAAGGAGACGGCGTTGCGGATGAGGGATTGATCGGATGTGAGGGCGGGGAAGCGTGGGTTGTCGTGGTTTTCGAGGAAGGAGCCGAGGAGGGTGACGTCTTTGCAGGTGGATTTGAGGGTGTTGATGCCGGTGGCGAGGGTGGTCATGTTGCCGGAGGTGGACTTGAAGGCTTGCGTGATCCAGAAGTAGGCCGGGTAGTTCATGAGGCCCGTTATGGTGGATTGGTAGGGGCAGAGGTAGGACGGGTCGCCGCTGTAGACTTCGCCGAGGACGTGCATGCCGTTGGCGGCGGATTGGAGGGCGGAGAGGGAGGAGGGCGTGACGTGTTTGGCCGAGTCGATGCGCAGGCCGTCGATGGTGTAGTTGGAGACGAGCTGGGGGATCCAGCTGTTCCAGAGGGCTTGGACGTTGGAGTCTTCGGTGCGGACGTCGGCGAGGGCGACGATGTTGTCGCCTTGCCAGCATTGTTCGATGCTGGTTTGGTTGTTGTAGTCGATGTCGCAGGGGGTGTGGTACATGGAGACGTTGTTGAAGGGGGCACCCACGGCGCTGGCGTTGAAGTTGGCGCGGGTGTTGGCCTGGGCGAAGTGGTTGGTGACGATGTCGACCATGAGGTACATGCCGCGGTTGTGGAGGGCGTTGGACAATGCGACGAGATCAGAGGCAGCGCCGAAGTTGGTGTTGACGTTGTAGATGTTCTGCGCCCAGTAGCCGTGGTATGCTGATCCATCGGCGGTTGACTGTGGGATGTTCTCGACGATGGGGGAGATCCAGATTGCTGTGAAGCCCATGTTTTGGATATAAGCCAGCTTGTTGATCAGGCCTTGGTATGTGCCGCCGCAGTAGTTGTTCACATCACAAGATGCGCTGGTGGAGCCGTCTGTTCTGGCGAAGCGGTCCGTCATGACTTGGTAGATGCTTTGTGTCCGCCATTGTGCTGGAGTGAGAGCGGATGCGAGGCCGGAGAAGGAAGCGAGTGTCGAGAGAGTGGTGTACTTCATGGTGGCGGCTTGTCTGCAGATGGGTAGTCTAGTAGCTGCAGGTGAATTGGTGTAGATAGGAAGGTCTACTCGAGTGAGGTGCTTGTGTAACTCTGATTGATGATGATGGATACATGCCGACGACTGCCTACCTCTATATACCACCTGCATGCGAAGACCCTCATGTACCAAACTCCCTCGTGGCGTCTGCACGAACAGCCAGAGGCGTGGTCTTGGACGCAGGTACACTCATGCTCGCAGCCAGACTCGACACATGTCGCAAGCAGCCTTGCGCACAGAGGGTTCGAGGGCGTTAGCCAGGCGCCGAAGTCAAAGGAGTGGAAGTGAAAGACTCTTCCACATGGATTGGCAACGGTTCTGGGTAGTCTGGAGCGCTAGGCATCGCAGAGTAGAAGAGGTTTCTGCGAGGAGACATGATTCGGTGTGAGACGCAGAATCGTGTGGTGCTGGCGAGAAGCCAAGGTGAGAATTGAGGCTGGCTGGAGGACGCGGTCGAGACTTTGGGCCGTTGGAGAACACACTGTTGGAAGAGGTTAAAGCGTCAACGTCCTGAATGGTGCAGGTAAGACATTTTTTCGGTCGTCGCCTGCGGTGAGGGTGAGGGCTTCGGCTCTGGTATCCCTTGAATCTGGAGCATCGCGTGCTTGTCGGGTCAGATACGAAGAGGTTCTCAGCATGAGGCTCTGCGGTCGAGAAGAAGCAGGGTCAAGCCGTGGCGTCGTTGTTGACAGCTGATCCGCGCCCCTTCGGCATCCCTATCGCCCATCCGCCGGCATCCACAGCCAGCCTCAGTCCACCTCACCGACCTCACCCTGTGGACAAGGTCACATGGAGCGAGCAGTTCGGTCACGCCGAGACTTTTCGCAAGCCATATGGAACACCGCTCATCCTTTCGTCTTCTTTGGTGGTAGGAAATCCACTTGGCCAATGTTCCACGTTTGCTTCGAGTCGGCCGAGCCAGTCCCAGGTCCATCCGGCGCAGAATGATGGCTGTTGTCGTGGAAAAGATCTCTCCAGCGCTCTTTGAGACTCATCCTTTTGTGCTTCTTCGGCGGAGGACCCAAGATTGCCGCGATGCTGGCCGCGGACGCTGGACCGGAATTCCGCTTGGACGGCGATACATGGCCGCAGTGTTTGTGGTATGACGGCGGTTGACTGCTGGGCTCCGAGTCGAAATACTGCGGCGGATCCTGATCGTCTTGATCTCGTCTTGCTGATGGAGAGGAAGAAATCGATGCTCGGGGCGACGTAGCGGGAGTGCTGGACGCCGCTTCTTGAGCTTGGACTCTGGCTTTTTCGGAGCTCATGGTTCTCCTGGATCTCTATCTGACAACTTGTCGAAATGGCTGTGGATGATTCTGGCCGAAAGGATGATATGCTGACTACATATACCATGGACTGAAGGTGGAGTCTGTTTGTGATGCGGTGTTACCGGCCAAGAAGTCTGCGACACTGCCCTGCCCTTCACCACAAGCCTGACCACCATCTCTCCAACATTACCTGGCAACTTATGCGACATCGTTCTGTCGTATCTCGTCAGGAAGGCATTGGGCACGACTATAATCACAGCGAAGACTTCGACTGGCTCGCAGGATGGCTCTGTCGGCGCCGGATCCTGAATTTTTGTCCCGGTTCCGTTCCAGCTCAAGACAAGTCACCACTGCATACTCTCACAAAGACGTGTACCTTGACGTCCTGTTACTCAAGGCAGAAGATTCGGGTTCAGGAAACATGATCTGCCATCGGTGGTCAGACTGGACATATTTCAACCCACTCCGACGGAACGCATCTCATCGTCATCTCCTGCAGAGCTAGCCAGCCTACGACAAGCAAGCTATGTGCGTGCCAGGAGGATGCATGCTGGGCAGACTCACAAGCTGATATCGTCATGTTCGACGCCAAGGACTTGGACATCTTGACCTTGGTCCACCCTGCACGAGGTCAGCGACGAGAGGCGGCCACCACAAACCGGCCACCACAAACCAGCCTCGGGAGGGAGAAACGCGGCTTGCATGCCTTGCACGCACGATTTGGGCCACATCTGAAGCTGTAGAACATGCTCCTCTATAATAATAAGAGGTGCATCTATGACGACGTTCGCCGCCAGGAGGTCTAGACCACCTGCCTCTCTGCCATGACAGATCGCGGCAAACTCTACTTCCAGTTTACCCGCTCCAATGCACCTCCTTCATCGAAAGATCGAGGAGACAATACCACCAATTCCATCATGACGGACACCTACTACGAATCAACAGCCTCGGTGCTCAGTCTCAAAGGCGCCAAGAGCCGTCCAGCTCCTTCGACTGAGAGGCCTACCGCCACATCGCGGACGAGTGAAGTTTGACTTGAGGCTCACCAGCATTGATTGCGACCGGTCGCATAACTCGACATCCATTTCGCCTCATTATGTGCTGGCGGTTCGCAAATTGTTGTGAAGGAAAGCAGCCCTGCGGTTTTGGTGCAACCACGACCTTCAAATCTTCAAATCGCAAACGCTGTGTCAACGATGTGATGCACCACATCGCCCTTCGAACGCTCGCGCCAATGGGAGAGTTTTCGGAATTCAACCCATCGATGGCGCACTCAAGCGTTGCAGAAAGTTGGCCTCGGTGTTTGCAAGCGCAGTCCTTATCTGCAGTTGAGAACGCAGCCTGGCGATCGTTCTCGGACCTTTGTTTCTCACTCTTTGGAACGCTACACTCACAAGGCCTGCAGCATACGAGGGCGGACCATCAGCCAGCCGAGGCCTCAAGGCGAACCTGTTCTTCCTATCATCTGGCCTTGTTGTTGTTCTCCATCGACATGAAAGTACTTCACAGTGGGGAAAGATGAAACTCTAGCATCGATGCAGCAATGACGGAGCTGAACCCGAATGGCATTGATCAACAACGCTTGACCCTTGAAACTGTGAGGAGGAAGGCAAGTCACGGCATGGTCAAGGTTGTTCCCATGTGAAACCTCGGCGATCGTGCAATCGCAGCCGTGCTGTCCACTGTTTGTTGCTGTGCCATGGGGGCAACTTGGCTTCCCCGCTTGTGGTTTGCAAGAAGGACCTGCAGTAGCGCCAGTCGTTCAGCTGCTCTCGACGCCGCTACCGAGGCATCTTTCTCACTTCACTTCATCGGAACCTCCCGAACGAAATACACTTCACACCATTTGCTCGTCAGCGCAATCGATTGTTCAACGACTGGGTTGCTGCTCCTGAGGTGACGAATCATCGCACCGGTAAAATCCGCATTCCAGATACCTCTCTGACTTGCAGTAGACGAAACCGCTGGTCTCACTACCATGTGGTGTCCATGATGGCGTGGCTACACCTATTCAAACAAGATCTTCGCCGGCCTCGACCTCGTGGAAAGTTAAGGCGGTTTTCCAAAAGTAAGGATGCAAATATCGCCGTCGAACAACGCGTCCTCACCGTCTGCACTGGACGCACGGCGGGACAGGGAACCACATCCATCTTGCCGTCAGTCAAGCGTCAATCGAGCCACACTCCTCTCAGCTTGCAGGCATTGTGGGATGCCAGCTCTTGACAAGGTTGGTTACAGAACTCCCCCGGCGCACCAGAGGACAAGCATCGTGTACTCGAAGACCGCGGCTTCTCACAACGGAGGCGGTATATTGCTATCCACACTGCTCGGAGACTGGGGCCGACGACATGGTGTTTGCCGCCATCACGGCACTAGAGCAACATCCTGGTTGCAAGTCGCAACGGTCTACCAGGCTCGTGCTGAGGAGGTGTTGGTTGAGGTAGGTTAAGACTCTCCCCTTTCCTTCTGCGCCCGCGCACGTCGCTCGTTTCTTCTGCATCGCAACTTTCCTGACAGCATGACCACCAAATCCGCTGCCCTCCTGGTCCTTTTGAACTGCGGACAATCCTTGGCGAACGGCTGGGGATGGCTGCCAGAGGGTTACGGTCAGCACGAACCTCATCAGGGTGAAGGCCGGCCAGCACACTGGGGTAACCGCCCACCCCCATCCTGGCAATCGGCCAGTCAAGGATCTTGGGAAGCTGGGAAGGGCCATGGCAGCAAGACCGTCGGACCAAGCCAGGCCTCATCGATACCTGTATCAATCCCCTACCCTTCTTTGATCCCCTCTTCGGTCCGACCTTCGATTCCGTCCTCGATTCCTTCATCGATTCCTTCCGCCATCCCTCACTCATCTTACCCTTCAGGAGGTAACGGAGGAAGTGGCGGCTCGCCAACCAGCAGCCATGTTACCAGCTACTTGGCCACGACCACCATCTTCAGCGAAATCACCGTGTACGGCTGCTACTCACACTGCCCTGTCCAGACCGCTCCGTCGTCGGCGCCCGGTGGCGGACAGCAATCAATTTCACCGACTGTACCCGTAGGAGGTGGAAGCTCATCATCTACGCCTGGGTCGGGAGCCTCACAGCCAGCGTCGTCGCCCACTACCAAGCCCTCTAATGGTGGCTCGTTGCCGTCTGGAAGCGTCGGCTCTTCGTTCCCTGGATCTGTGAAGCCATCCGTCAAGCCCTCAGGATCGGTCCCTGGCTCAGGCGGAAGCGTTGCGCCAACTACCAGCGTTAAGCCATCTATCCCATCGGGCAGCTCGTTTCCAGGCAGCTCTGTGCCGTATACACTCCCGCCGAAGCCGAGCGTTCAGCCCTCCGTGTCGGGAAGCTCGCCACCCGGAGGTTCGGTCCCTGGAAGCTCGATCCCATCAAAACCAGTCTCGACGCCGGTATCTGTCCCCTCTTCGATTGGAGGAAGCACTCCTCCTCTACCGTCGAGCATCCCATATCCGTCTGGAGGATCTTCTTTCCCGGGATCTGTGCAGCCCTCTGTGCAGCCCTCTGTGCAGCCCTCTGTTACGCCTAGCGTCCAACCGTCCGTCAAGCCTTCGGTGGTTCCATCGCAGCCTCCTTCAGTGGTCCCCTCTGTTGCGCCTAGCGTTCAGCCATCTGTCACGCCTTCAGTGGTTCCCTCCGTCAAGCCATCAGTAATTCCATCTCAGCCTCCGTCAGTGGTCCCCTCGGTCAAGCCTTCAGTGGCTCCGTCACAGCCTCCTTCGGTGGTCCCCTCCGTCAAGCCGTCGATTCCAGCGTCCCAGCCGACGGGATCGCAGCCTGCGTCGAGCTTCCCTAGCTCTTCTAAATCTACGGTCGCGCCATCAGTTGCGCCGTCGGTGGCTCCCTCAGTTGCGCCATCCGTTGCGCCATCAGTTGCGCCGTCAGTGCAGCCTTCAGTACAGCCACCGAAGCCGTCAGTGCAGCCGTCGGTGCAGCCTTCTGTGCAGCCTTCTGTGCAGCCTTCTGTGCAGCCTTCGGTACAGCCGTCAGTGCAGCCGTCAGTGCAGCCGTCAGTGCAGCCGTCAGTGCAGCCGTCAGTGCAGCCATCAGTCCAACCCTCCGTACCAACCTCGAAACCCAGCTCGCAGCCAACAGGATCTATTCCGCCATCGAGCACCCCAAGCTCATC